TAGGTGCTCTTGTCCATCAATGCCACAACGATTGAGGAACCAAAAAAAGTATCCAAAAAAAGTTTCATTCCGGCCGACCGAGTCTCCTTTTTGAGGGGTTGCCGACCGGAAACAAGCCTATTTTTTGTTTTGGCCTAATAATAATAATGGCTTCTATCATCACTCACGACATGCCTCCGTTTCTTGTTGCCTCAATGTAATGACTCGTGGTCCAAATAGGGACAACACAATGTAATAATTATGAATAGCCCTGAAACCCAACTTAGGGTGCTGGGTAGTGTGCTATGTAGCATCAGATGTGGTATGCCCAGCACCAAAGAACAACTCAACTTATGCCAACATCACCCGGAAGAGACGTAAAAGAGCAAAGTGTTTGATGTGTAATGATGGAGTTCCTCTGCTTACATGCATAAGCAGTGAGTGGTCTTCACGCATGTCCTGGGACCCACAAATACGAATCAGCATTATGGTCCTTCAGAGATACATGCAAGCAAAGAAATACAAGAAAGGTAACGGAAATCGTTCCGAAGCCCAGTCACCGATTGTATGCACACACGTGGCAAGTGCAACAGCAAGCACCGTGGAAGGCACAGCAGAACAAAAGTTGAAAATACAACTCTAGAAATACCAGAAGAGCAGGCTCCATGAATATAATCACTTCTCAAATGCTTGAGACTTGGATTTAAAAATTTAATGCTACGACAAAAAATGACTATGTACATGGAAAGTTGGTTGCTCCCCACACTAGAGGTCGAGCTTTTCTGCCGCCTTGACTGGACATTTGACTGAGTCACGACTGCCATTCAGAAACTTGACAAACTCACGACTTCCATCCAGACACTTGACTGACTCACAACTGCCATCCAGAGCAGAGAAGAAGTCCCTCGAGCCCTCCACCCGGCAAACCTGCAAGAAAGCACCACTCCCTGCTCAATACACAGTGTTTCGGGGAATTCACCCCTCATGCAGTTGAGCTTGAGTAGGCTGACGAACGTTGTGCTTAGCGACCAACATTCCTATAAACTTGTCACCGAAGTCGCTACCACTGTAATTGTACATGCATATCATTATTTAGTGGCAGATTTGATCTTGCGACACTCCGGGCAGGTCCTGTTCTTGCGCTTTGGCTTACTCTTCAGCTGCAAACAAGCCATGTGGAACAAACGAATACTGCAATCGTTGTTGGAACATCGCAGTACCTCGCCAGCCTTCACAGACTTGCAGTAGCAAAACTCCGGAGGGTCTTCTTGATCCGCAGTAGATGTTGTACTGGCAGCACCAAGTGGTTCCGAGGCTGATGTAGCTGCTGAAGATGCATCGGCAGGAAGAGTGGAGAACGTCTTAGTGAACCGTTTCCCAACAAGCTCTGGGAGAACAGCACACTGGAAGAATTTCTTGGCACTTGCTACCGCTTCACGGATGAAATCTGTGTCTGCAGAGATATGCTCCACAAACAGCTGACCTTCATTCCACACAACAAAGTCACAGTACTGCACCTTACACACCATCTCATCTGTAGCTGCACTTGGTAGTAGTACATGTGATCTTGCTTAAGATGGAGTGCTCCGCCGGACTTTACTAGACAGAACTTCCCTGAATAGGCAGCATCATGCAGGCTACTGTCTCGGCACCCGTACGGGCACTTCACTTCCACCACACCATTGCCACAGCAGGAGCACTGCACAAGGGAGTCGGGAGTAGCGCCAAGATATGGATAGTCCGGATGAATTACAAAGCCACTGGGCAGTACTTCAACCTTCTGATGTATTGCACTGGCATGTTCGCTATAGTTCTCAATTGCCTTCTGCTCATGATCACATCCCCATTGCGTGGCTTTGCTACGAAACTTGTGTGCCTCAGGGTAACACACAGAGCGGACTAAGGACGCAGAGGGCTGGCTAATATCCGTGCGAACAGCAGACTTCAACTTTGAAGCTGTGATTCGGCCGGCACGAAATTCAAACCAGGCCTTGGAAACTGCCTGGTTCCGCGTAGCCTCTTCCACAGCGCATGCTTCCTCCTCTGAAACACAGACCGCTGGAAATACTGCCTCGCAACGAACGAGCAGGTCCCCAAAACTAGCATCCAGCATGGTTCGTACAATAAATCCAAAATGGGCGGATATCCCTCGGGCTTGGAAGGTACGTACCTATCGCAGAACCCGGGAACAAGGGAGAGTAATGACGGTTTACCAGCTTGACATAAATGTCCATATAGTTCACCCAGCTCAGCACTGGAGGGTTGCTTAATATCAGCAGGGACCTTCTCCTCCGACCTACGGCGCTTGGTCCCATGCTGTTTAGTGTCGGGTGCAGTGAAGTTTATATCACGAATCCTAGCATACTCCACCTCCTTCATTGAAGGAGTTGACCATTGGCACGGCAATGAAGTGCTTCCGGTGTTCTGAATCAGCTGCGTTCGAGAATACAGGCTGAACAACAGTGCAGCAACGTGAGAACAAGACTCACCAAGACCAGCCATGCAGGTGCAGTGCGCACAAATCACGCTACCGTCGTTTTGTGCAGCAATCCAGGGTTGCAGATGGGTGCCGGAAACTGACTGGGAATGGCGGACTTTGGCGATGACAAACTTGCTGTCACATGTGTCAGATTCGGACGCTGGAAACGCACGAACATCGTCGACCCAGCCATTGACAAGGTATTTGTAGCCTTCCAAGCTCTTGTAGGCCTTGAGCTGCTCCTTGGTGTAGGGGCTGGACGCGTCGACCGAGAAATTGTAAATATCGGGATAGTCCACAAGTGGAAATTTATCTTTCTCTAAAAAAATACTTCTGGGCCGGTACGGATCACTTGAGTCTGGTGCAACGCGCTCGAGCTTTTCACGGTACCGGCATTTGCTGGAGTCATCTAACTCGTCATACACTTTTGAAAACTTAGGAGAAGTCATGGTCACTGATTCAGCCTTCGTACACTAGTCCTTTGTAAAGAACAGAAGAGGAACGTAACAGCGATACAGGAAATTTCCTTCGTGAAATTATTCCAGGCACATGTAGTTCTTTTGAACTTTTCATCTCTTTTGCCACCCCTGCGGAGCGCGGCCGCTTTGGCCGCCTGCACGCCACCTACACGCCGCCTACGCGTGATCCTTTCGCATAACCTCTATTGTATTTGGCACATATTGAAGCTTGCCATTGGTCCTCAATGACCAAATCCGTCCACCATTGCAGTTTTCAAAGCAATGTTAAGAACGTGCGGGTAGCGGCCTATGAAATAGGTTTCGTTCTTGAACAAGCCACCTAATGCGACCGCATTTCCCTTCTCTTCTCCGGACTGCGTAGAGGCATTATCTCCAACCACTCCGCCTACTGAGTTGATTCCATCGACATTCTTCAAGATGTGGAAGTCTGCTTTAGTTTGATCTTCTCCGTGGCCACCTGCGACAAGTGTATCCGCTAATAAATATCTTGCTGGGCAATTGCGTTTCGCTGACCAGTTGTGCACCCCCACCATGTGCCTGGCTTCTCCTTTCTTATTCGAGTCATCTGCGAAAACTGCAATGCCATAGGGTGTTGAGGAGAGGTTGTCAAGGAGGATAGCCTTGTCAACCTCTCCTAGAAGCAAGTAGTTCCGTTTGACAAGCGGCGATGGTGAACATGTTGTGCCAAGATGGCTGCAGCGAGCTTTACCAGTTAGTGCATGGTGGCTTATATGTATTTCCAATCCTGTCTTCTGATTAGACAATAGGCATGCAATCTGAAGAAACCGCATCTGTACCATGAAGCACGGGCAATGGGCTGCCCGCGCAACGCCTTTTCGCACTCGTGTGTCCGGACTGCGTAGAGGCATTATCTCCAACCACTCCGCATACTGAGTTGATTCCATCGACATTCTTCAAGATGTGGAAGTCTGCTTTAGTTTGATCTTCTCCGTGGCCACCTGCGACAAGTGTATCCGCCAATAAATATCTTGCTGGGCAATTGCGTTTCGCTGACCAGTTGTGCACCCCCACCATGTGCCTGGCTTCTCCTTTCTTATTCGAGTCATCTGCGAAAACTGCAATGCCATAGGGTGTTGAGGAGAGGTTGTCAAGGAGGATAGCCTTGTCAACCTCTCCTAGAAGCAAGTAGTTCCGTTTGACAAGCGGCGATGGTGAACATGTTGTGCCAAGATGGCTGCAGCGAGCTTTACCAGTTAGTGCATGGTGGCTTACATGTATTTCCAATCCTGTCTTCTGATTAGACAATAGGCATGCAATCTGAAGAAACCGCATCTGTACCATGAAGCACGGGCAATGGGCTGCCCGCGCAACGCCTTTTCGCACTCGTGTGTCACAGTGGCCGGCATTCTTCTTCCTCTTTCGACGTTTCGGGTAATTCACTCCCGACAGGTCTGTTTTAATGTTTGCAGAGGTTGTGAAACTCTTAATATAGCTTTGAACTCCAAAAAGACTTGCTTCTGCATTCACTATCACCAACAAGAAAATGAAGGCTATGAGTATGAAGAAAGAAAGAGTTGATTCGGTTTGTTGCGGCGGGAAAACGGGTGTAGCTACAATGTACCTTGCTGAACTCGACATTGTCGCCATGCTGACTCTCCACTACCAGGAGACATTTACAAAGACAAAGATGTGTCGTTGCTGCTCCAGACCGATTCCCAGTAGACGCCAGACAGAAAATTGGTTTAAAAAAGAGGAGGTCGGCACAAGACCTATCATCGCTGTGCTAGGTACTTTTAGAAGGCAATCGAATACAAGAAGCAGCAGACTGTCGAATCGAAAGAGAAAGACACTTAGGGATGGTTATGTCTGATGTTGTTCGACTTGGAAAGTTGGAGATTTGTTTTGTGTAGCTCGAACGCAGGAGTCCAATCCACGATTTGAAGAAAAAAACGAGGCCCGCTCCTTGGCGGCCTGGTACGTGAGGATACTGCATGAATATGTGCCATATGTACATTTCTATGCGTGTGTATACGTATTCACGTGTTTTCCTGCATGTACATGTATGTGGGTTTGTGTGCATGTAATGTATCCATGTCACCCAGGGTATTCAGAGTGAGAATACGAGGCGGCCGCTATTCTGTGATGCAAGTGATTGTGCTGATGGCCATCTTGCTAGTCATCATACAAACTGCTCTCCACAGCAAACTGCCGTGATGCGTATGTACTGGTATCCCGTCCATGCATGTATGTACAGTCTCCATGAATACAGGTTTGGCATTATCTCCAACCACTCCGCATACTGAGTTGATTCCATCGACATTCTTCAAGATGTGGAAGTCTGCTTTAGTTTGATCTTCTCCGTGGCCACCTGCGACAAGTGTATCCGCCAATAAATATCTTGCTGGGCAATTGCGTTTCGCTGACCAGTTGTGCACCCCCACCATGTGCCTGGCTTCTCCTTTCTTATTCGAGTCATCTGCGAAAACTGCAATGCCATAGGGTGTTGAGGAGAGGTTGTCAAGGAGGATAGCCTTGTCAACCTCTCCTAGAAGCAAGTAGTTCCGTTTGACAAGCGGCGATGGTGAACATGTTGTGCCAAGATGGCTGCAGCGAGCTTTACCAGTTAGTGCATGGTGGCTTACATGTATTTCCAATCCTGTCTTCTGATTAGACAATAGGCATGCAATCTGAAGAAACCGCATCTGTACCATGAAGCACGGGCAATGGGCTGCCCGCGCAACGCCTTTTCGCACTCGTGTGTCACAGTGGCCGGCATTCTTCTTCCTCTTTCGACGTTTCGGGTAATTCACTCCCGACAGGTCTGTTTTAATGTTTGCAGAGGTTGTGAAACTCTTAATATAGCTTTGAACTCCAAAAAGACTTGCTTCTGCATTCACTATCACCAACAAGAAAATGAAGGCTATGAGTATGAAGAAAGAAAGAGTTGATTCGGTTTGTTGCGGCGGGAAAACGGGTGTAGCTACAATGTACCTTGCTGAACTCGACATTGTCGCCATGCTGACTCTCCACTACCAGGAGACATTTACAAAGACAAAGATGTGTCGTTGCTGCTCCAGACCGATTCCCAGTAGACGCCAGACAGAAAATTGGTTTAAAAAAGAGGAGGTCGGCACAAGACCTATCATCGCTGTGCTAGGTACTTTTAGAAGGCAATCGAATACAAGAAGCAGCAGACTGTCGAATCGAAAGAGAAAGACACTTAGGGATGGTTATGTCTGATGTTGTTCGACTTGGAAAGTTGGAGATTTGTTTTGTGTAGCTCGAACGCAGGAGTCCAATCCACGATTTGAAGAAAAAAACGAGGCCCGCTCCTTGGCGGCCTGGTACGTGAGGATACTGCATGAATATGTGCCATATGTACATTTCTATGCGTGTGTATACGTATTCACGTGTTTTCCTGCATGTACATGTATGTGGGTTTGTGTGCATGTAATGTATCCATGTCACCCAGGGTATTCAGAGTGAGAATACGAGGCGGCCGCTATTCTGTGATGCAAGTGATTGTGCTGATGGCCATCTTGCTAGTCATCATACAAACTGCTCTCCACAGCAAACTGCCGTGATGCGTATGTACTGGTATCCCGTCCATGCATGTATGTACAGTCTCCATGAATACAGGTTTGGATTTTTGATCAAATGAACTATTGAATTCCCTACTAGGTATATGAAAAAATATGTTTTATCTTCCGCCAATGAGGCTACCATCTTTAGGGTGTGCTATTTTGCTGAAGTGTTGATTGGAAATGATTCATTGGCGTGATGCTGAATAGTGCCTTATAAATCGCTTTTTGTTGACACTTATCCTACTCACACTGCTGATGGCAACTGTTTCTATTGTTGACAGTACTAGTACTGTGCATGAGCACAGATGGAGTGTAAGAGTTGCATTCCCCTGAATGTGCGCTGTAATTGTCTACCCTGAATATCTCTTTCAAAGTTCTAATGAACTACTACTATCATTTCTGTCTTCTCCGTGAAGTCGCATCACCCATGAATGGGTTACTAATGTCCTTGTAAAAAAACTGAATGGTTGTACATCAGTGGTCCCCATAGCTGGTACACCACATGGGTTGCCAACAAAAGTATGTTGTACAGGATTCTATTGCAGGTGTTGTATACTAGTAGCTGTGACAGGTACATGTATGTACACTAATTGTGTGTGCCAAGGTCCTTCCTGTAGACTTGTAGCATCACTCAGCCATTATTTTGCTAACAATGGAGTTATCAGCATGACCAATGATCTGCCAGTGAAGCACATGATGTCATGTAATGGAATTCCCCCCCCCCCCCCCCCGACTTCTGCATTAATTTTACATCCACATCAGAAGTCACGAAATAGAGGATACCGCCCTGCCCCCCCCCCCCCCTTGCAGGGCACAGTTTTCGGCATACATGTACAATGTACATGTATCTATTCTCACCCCTGGCCCTATTCACTGGTGGATGACTTTGTACTTTCTTTGTTGCTACAATGTATATTATTAAAAACGTTAATGTTTATCTTCTTGTAACAGATCTTAGAACCCCAGACTTCCTCCTCTTGAGCAGGGTCCCTCTGGTTTCAAGCATGGTGCTTGTAAGGAAAGAAGAACACTGGTGGAGCACTAGCTGCACCGCTTTCGCCACTCATTATGCCGCTGGTGTTTCCTTTTGTGAATTACTAGCACATCACCGTAATGACGGTGGATGATTCAGCGCCGTCTCCTCCCCTTGCCCCACCTCTCTGACACCACTACTGCACTAGTACTGCACGTGACCCTTGCTGTACCCTTGCCTTGGTAGTGGAAGAATAATGCCATAATTATGCGCTTGGTGGCTGAGTGGTTGGTCAGTTACTGGCTCTAGAACCTTCCAACTGAGTTTATTACAATTGTAGTACTTCAAGACTACACAATCCCTATAAACTCAAGTGTCTGGGATGGGACACTTGAGATTGAAGTGGAAGCATACTGGTACAGACTGGTTGGGAAGTCATGTAATTATGTCCAATGTCATTCAGATTGTATCCAGTGCCAGAGCGGCAATACCGCATGCCCACAGTGTAGTCAAAGACTACAGAGTAGAGTAAGACCCTGGTTAGCCCTTACCTCTTCACCCACCGGAAGCTGTGGTCAGGACATTCTTGCTTTGATTATCTAGCCAGCTAGCTGTGCTCCAGTGCATGCAGTGTCCAGTGTGGTCCGTGTGGAGGCAGTGGCCACTCTATACTATAGTCTAGATCTAGTACTTGTCCCTGGCCTAGATCTAGTACTTGTCTCTAGTCTAGTACATACACATGCTATAATACATGTAGCTCTATCACAATCTGACCAATCAGCAAAGGCGCAGCGCTAGCATGCATAGAAACGCGTCATTTTTGGTCATGTACTAGACTGTACACTGTATTACACTGCATTTTGGTGCCAAGGACCTGCCATGCGCCAGGTGTCAGGGTGACCAGCATTCCCTCCACACTGAGTCAGTACGGACTTCTCAGTGCTGCATCTGCTGACCAGTACTGTACTCAGTAGTCAAGGTTTAGTTCTTTGGCTTTAGTGTACCATGGTGTACAGCGGCATTATTTATTAAGGATTTTCGGCGACGATATTATTAGTAAAGGCATACACGTACTAGTATCGTCGCAAAAACAATCCGGTCAATGCTGCACATGGTAGTCGACTACCATGTGCAGCATTTGGCCAGGATTTTTGGTGACGATTTGAGTATTCTGGTGCCCTTTAGATGTAATCTAAATTTAGGTGCCTGGTTTCATCTTCACCGAAATAATAATTAAAGTTAGTACACCGAATTTTTTCGGCGAAAACAGCTCAGTCTTGTGACAGGTTTCATCAGTGTTTTTTTAGTGTGCGGGGGGGGGGGAGGGGGGCTGGCCAGGGCATGGATCATTCATGGCAAGCAAGGATTGGCCCAGCAGGCCAGGCCAGTGCAGGGGGGGGGGGTCTGTATCATACTCATAGTATGACACGACTAGCAGTCTCCAACCAGTGCATACACATGTACATGTACATGTACATGTACATTGTAGAGTCAAACCTCAGTAGGACGAACTAAGGGAGGGAACAAGTTTGTTTGTCTTATCTGGAGTTCTGCTTATCCAGATCTGACAAAAAAATTGACATGCATATCATAATTATGGATTGTATTTATGTGAAGGGGCATGCTGTGGCAAAATGTAAAACATTTTTTTCATAACATTACTCAGCAACAGGTACAAGTAAGTACAATGTGCAATGAATTCATGACAGCATTACATCCGCCTTGTAACATGTTTTGCCAGTACAAGAGGCCTCGATTATCGAAAAAAAAAAACTTCAGCCAGCGCACCCACGGGGACCGAAAGTTCGTACTCGTACACGCTGATTTTGTTAAAATCACGCATGCAATTACATGTTGTTCGTCTTCATGAAAGTTCGCCGCACAGAGTTCTTCGTAAACGAATAATTTTGACGAATAATGATGCCTGGCCAACCATAGGATTGGCCTTAGTTCGTACTAAAGGAAAGTTCGCCTTATCAGTGTTCGTCCTAACGAGGTTTGACTGTACATGAAGTACAGTGTCGGCACATAAGCCTGGTTTTAGTGTGACACACATAGAAATACCTGGTTTGAATCAGGGAGCAGTACATAGGTATTGTACTTCTCCCTGGTTTGAATAGAAGCCTAGCCCTGACATCGGCTTCTACAGAAGTAAGCCCGGCTATAATACGGGGCATTGCATTCCCAACATATATAATACGGGGCATTAATTTTACTAGTATTTTGTCCTCGACCTTGTTACCAGTGTACATGCTGCCAATCAACAACAATACATGATTGTACATGTACATGTACATGGCATTATAATAATAATTGTATTGCTCTTGCTCTTGTTGCTCTTACCTGTATAATAATATCACCTGATGACCGACCTTTCTGGGCTAGCAGCTAGTGTAGTACTGAGTCTGTACAATCATGTACTACAACACAGTAGTACTGTACTAGTACTAGTAGTAGTTTACTTCTCTCTCTTTAGTCTAGTAGTACTAGTAGCTTGCTTTCGTCCTCCCGGCTTCACTGTTTCCATTCAGTTTTATTTTAGTAACATGCCAAATCACCGTGAGACTGCAGTGATATGGCAGATCTTGACCTGACACAGTCACCCGCGGCGCAACTATTTTACTAACACTTGCGGCGTGCGTCCTCGACACACGGTACACGTCAACGGTCAATGGTCGACACTTGCCCTTGACAGGCTAGGCCTGGAGCCCGTCACTGCTATGATGACTGGAGGTGCAGGTGGTTGAGACAGAAAGAAAGAACCCTGCGCTGACGCTAGCGCCTCGTCCTCAGCAGGAGGACAAAAATGCATTACACGTATTATTACTATTATAAAGTGAGTATGTAGATCTACGAGTCGTAGATAAACACTCTTGATATTATAGATTCGATAAAAGCCTTATCATATGCAGCGTGGCCTAAGCGCGCGCATACATGTATGTCGGAGGTCCGTCGTGAGTTCGAGTCGAACCTACATGACTCAGTGACAGCAAGCTGTTTCGGCCATACAGGCCTCATCAGTACAGCTACGAGCCCCAAGTAAGCATGTGTAAAATTTGCTTTTCTTCTGGCTGTTTCTCTGCTATGGATATCGAAACATACATAATTATGTAGGTGGTAGCAAAAGAGAGCCAACTAATTACTTATCGTAGATGCACATGATGTAGATCAACATTCAAAGTGACCAGAAACTTCGGTGCATAATGATATCCTTCTCCCTGCCAAATCGGTATAACTGTTGGTAGGTGCGTTACCATTTTGTGTAAAATCTGTAAAATCAGCTTCCTCAATGGAGGAGGAGCAGGGCTGTAAATATTAATTGTTTCCGTAGGGCCTTTGGAGGAGATCAGGCCGTCTTGTCATCACCAGACACAATAATTATGAAGAGCAGTAGGCCACGTTCACTCAGTGACTTCGGAACGAAAAAAAATGGCTGCGGTGCTATGCTACCTATCCAATTCCACAGTCTGACACAGCCACTACAGTCATGTATTACAAATAATTAATTCAAGAACACAGCTTTCACAGCATACAATGCAGTTGACAAGTAGTTTTCATTTACATTGAAGTGATATCTATCAACTAACTTACTTACTTCAGACTGACATTCATGACGGGCATGAAGGTTTGCTCAGAGTTATGAAATCGCAACTCTTCATCCTTTTGGGTTTGTGTATCTCGGTTTGTGATGCAATTTTACATTTTTTTGGTGTAAAAAAAGTTACACACCAAGTACAGGTACCTGGGTACGGGACATGATTGTATTTAAAGGGGAAGTTAAGGCAAAAATTAAAATTTCACCAGTTGTAGTCTTCGGGGTGCTGAGTCGAATGGTCTTGGTCCGAGGAAGCTGAGACGCTCCCTTCCTACTTGAATCCCAATCAAACTCGCGCACTTCCACCGAAACTGGGTGACTGCGCCCTACTAGATGGGGATTTGTATGCAAAATGTCACTAAAAGCGCCATTTCGTTCTTATAAAAGCACGGATGACCGCGATTGGCCCATATGTTGTAGTCTTTTGGACGCTGAGTCGACTGGTTTTGGTCCGAAAAGGCTGCGATGCAGCGTTCCTCCTTTATTCCCAATCGAACATGGTTGAAGAAGCGGTCACGTGCTCCTGGGTGCCCAAATCACCTGGTCACCACGCCAGCAGGCGACAACTTTCACACCAAGGTTCAACTCGAGTGACAGGACTGCACCCAAAAAAGGTCAAACAGGCTAGTAAGTTGTACCCTGCAGGCACGGTGACCAGGTGACTGGTGTACGCAGGAGCACGTGACCACTTGTTCGACCATGTTCGATTGGGAATAAAGGAGGAACGCTGCATCGCAGCCTTTTCGGACCAAAACCAGTCGACTCAGCGTCCAAAAGACTACAACATATGGGCCAATCGCGGTCATCCGTGCTTTTATAAGAACGAAATGGCGCTTTTAGTGACATTTTGCATACAAATCCCCATCTAGTAGGGCGCAGTCACCCAGTTTCGGTGGAAGTGCGCGAGTTCGATTGGGATTCAAGTAGGAAGGGAGCGTCTCAGCTTCCTCGGACCACGACCATTCGACTCAGCACCCCGAAGACTACAACTGGTGAAATTTTAATTTTTGCCTTAACTTCCCCTTTAATTTGAATCACTGAGAATACTACAATGTACATGTAAAAGTATGCAAGTAGGACATGATTCAATCCGCGGCAAGCGGCACTTTCCAAAGTGGAATCATCCCGAAGTTTAATTTTAAAAAGCCATAACGGGCATGAAGGATAGCACTCCAACTATTGCTTTCCACCGGTGATTGATTTGGACGTACATGTAGCGTGCCTAGTAGTTGCAGAAAAACGACCTGGCCAAATCAGTGACGACCTCGTACTTTCGATGCAATCTACTCATGCTCATGCTTCTCGTACATGTGCTGTACATCATTTTTTTTTAAGTCTTTGAAGTAAATACACTACATACCCTGTACTTAGCAGTAAATACACTACATACCCTGTACTTAGCAGTAAATACACTACATACCCTGTACTTAGCAGTAAATACACTACATACCCTGTACTTAGCAGTAAATACACTACATACCCTGTACTTAGCAGTAAATACACTACATACCCTGTACTTAGCAGTAACTGTTACTATACTACTACAGTCAGACCTCACATAACCGCACACATCCGTTTTCCACAAAAATATCCGGATAGGCGAGGGAACCGGATAATCGAACACACACACTGGGTGTGTGCATAGCATTGCTGTAAATCGGTGACCAACAATTTTCTTCCGGATGGCGAGGGATCCAGATAAACGAGGACCGGATAAGCGAGGTCTGACTGTACTGCAGTGGTGACAACTGAAATCCGACCGCTGATTCCCGTGCTCGAGTGCTGCACCGATTCTAGCAGTCCCTATTTCACAGTGTTACAATCGAGTGCTGCGTGGGTTTTCGCAATGGGAGCGGACCGAGCTGGGGTCGGATTTCAGTTGCCACCACTTTAGTACAGTCAGACCTCACATAACCGCACACATCCGTTTTCCACCAAAATATCCGAATAGGCGAGGGAAGCGGATAATCGAACACACATGCTGTATGTGTTCGATGGCATGGCATGGCAAATGCTGTAAATCGGTAAACCAACGATTTTCTTCCGGATGGCGAGGGATCCGGATAAAAGAGGACCGGATAAGCGAGGTCTGACTGTATTGGCATTGGTCTACATGTACATGTACATGTAGACCCCTTTAGCCTAGGTCTTGGCAACAACCTCTGTATGTTGCCTTGCGAGTCTTGTGAGCATGCAGTGAGTGCATCATAATTATACTGTATATATAATACACGTACAGTTGTACATTACAGTCATGTACATGTATACATTGGATATTCTTCTCTTATTACATGTACACAGTGTACATGTAATGGAGATGACCATCTCAGTACAACACCGTAAGCCCTTTTTTCTTTTGTAAGCAACAGAATGAGGTCCGGTTGGAATTTGACGTAACTTTTAAAAAACTCTCTTGCTGAGGCAATCATCAGACATTCGACAAACTTTAATCTGACCTCTTTCTCTCTCTCTCTTATGCCAGCTACATGTATGGTGAAACGCTCTGCACTCGGCGCATTGAGCACGTTTTCGGGATGCGACTCCGTGACTCTCTGGCTGTATTGCTAGTGCAGTGGTGTCAGTGTTTATGGTGTTGCCTGTTTAGCTACAGCACCTCCATGGGATCCAAGCAGTGAAACACACACTGGTGACACAGTGTCAGACTCACAACACACACACACACATACACACAGTCATACCAGTGTGTGTCTCTCACACACACCATGTACCACGTGTGCACACACACACCACACACACACACACACACACACACACACACACACACACACACACACACACACACACACACACACACCATGCACACACACACACACACACACATACACACACACACACCATGCACACACACACACACACACACACACACACACACACACACACACACACATAGTCATACACAGTCACAGAGTGTCACACACGCAAGCACAAAGTACTACTACTACTAGTACTTAGTAGTAGTAGTATGACAGACACCATGTACACAAGCGCCCCACACCACCCCCACCACCTGCACCTCTTGCCATGGGCATGGAGTCATAAAATACCGGTATTAATATTTTACGACTCCCGGCACTGGCTGTATGCTCTTCATACTTCGTAGATCTATGGTCCTGGATGGATGGGCATGGCCAGGCCAGATGACCTGAGCTGAGTGAGTGATTGGCTTGGATGTTGACCATGTTGACGTAACGGTCGTTGGACCGTTGGGGTCGAATGCAGAGCTAGCTTGGCCAGCTTGGCCAGTTTTCCACACGTGCTGAATGAACGCAACAGTATGCATAGTAATGAGTCCCATCACAGCTGAATGCTGAGTGCATTGTAATAAACAGGCATGTGCAATCCGTAGTTGCGACCAGTTGCTGGCGGGTGCGCGCTGTGCAGTGCTGGGGAGAAACACAGCGAGGATCCGCTGATGTCCAGGCAAGGCAAGAACTTGAAGGATGGAGAGAGAAAACGACATCGGAATGTCGGTAGCTGGTGGAACGTCCACTGCAGACCAAGGAAACATGGAACAGCAGGTAAGACAACTCAGGCAAAAACAAACGTTCGGCCACTGTTTCGTCTCCCGTACTATTTTGCGTACTCGTGGGTCGTGTTGTATCCCGACAGTCTTTGCTTACTCATCATGACCTGAACTTACTTGCAGAAAGACAGCTAGCCCCTCGCGCGACCCGGCCTCAATCAAATCTCAGTCGATGCGCAACTGGCAAAATTTAATAGATTTGCCTTTCCGATGGCTAGCATGATTCTCCTTGTAATTGTGGAGGGTTGTTGCTGGTGATCACGCTAGTCGCTAGTGATCTCCTTGCGATGGTGGGAGAAACGATTCACCAGGTGTACTGGGTGACGGTGCAAGTAATGATGCTGCGGTCTTTCTCCTTAGTAGAGTCCTTACCTTCGAGCTCCTGATGTTGTTGCTGTCAAAGAGAGTTTGGAATACTGGATATTTAATTGGACTATCTTGGCGAGGGCATTACTGGCTGTTGACGCTCTTTGTGTCTTTCTTTGTGCATCCATACCCTTCCCTGAATTTGCTTTCTTGCAGGCTGTTTCCGATGTAAATGATTCCGACAAGAAGCAATGCTGCGTAAAGCTCGATCGTATTCCGAAGCGTATAAACGTGGCGTTGCCGATCCAGAGCTTCATACCAGGCCTAGCGACAGGCCCCGCAGCTGGAAGCGTTCTACCGATTTTCTCCAATACCGGAATGCCGCTCTACCTCGGGATCGTACCCGCTAGCCATCAGCAACAACAGCAGCGGACAGCGCCAGTGGGAGTGCAACAGCGACAAGCTGGCGAGACTGTCACGGTGGACAAGGTCGTGTACAAAGTTGGCCCTACAATGTGCAGGGAAACCAAAGTGAATTTGCTGAAATCGGCTGATGTCTGCAATCCATGTGTGTGTAAAAGCGAGGATGGTTGCGAGCGATGTGAGGATCGCTACTCGACCGTGGCCCAAACAGATAGGCACCGTGAAGATGGAGATACGAGCAGCATAACGGAAAGGTCCGAGGTGGCTCCATCTATATCTTCCATACCAGATGTTCATTCCGAAAGAGGTTAGTGTGGAATGAGTATTTGCCCTGCTGCACGTGACGGTGTACATGTACTACCGTACTACATCATAGTACATGACTGTACTGCGGTACTATCTGACTTTGCTGTTTGGGATACTGACATACATGTACTCAGAGTACATGACATTCTACAGTCCTGTACAGTCATGTATATTGTACACCATATCACCCGTGACTGTGGTGTGCGTGCGTGCGTGTGTGTGTGTGTGTGTGTGTGTGTGTGTGTGTGTGTGTGTGTGTGTGTGCGTGCGTGTGCGCCAGCGTGTGCGTGTGCCTCCTTACACGTTGTATACTATTGTCTAGAGTAGTGTGTTGTGTTGGGTGTTGTGCTACAGGGTACAGCATAGGTGAAGATGAGGAGGCAAGCTCAGTGACAAGCGACGTAAATCTCAGATATGGGAGACGAGCAGCAAGAGCCCCGTCCCAAGCCTCACAGCAGTCGTACGAGCGCGAGTCAAGAGCTCGCACACACAGCGGTCGCCCCCAGGGACGTGGTGTCCAATTCCCAAATAGTCTTGCCGCCATACTGAAGCAATCCAAGTCAGGCGGTGCTGACGAGGAAGGTGGCCTGGATGAGGATGACATTAATGTTCTGACCGCCATCACTGGCAGTCCTCCTGGATCTCATGACGATGTGCATACCGCCAACTCCGATGTACATTCGCAGGGAAATGCCGACTGGAATGCGGAGCGCTCTGCGTATGCAGCGAGCAGCATGACAGCGTCAACTCGTGATGGTGGGGGTGCCGCTGGTGCTATCTACAGCGATGACAGTGACGATGATGATGATCCCACTGGAAAGAAGGTATGCATACCCGATCATGTACTACAGGGATACACACCTTGCATAGAAAGAACAAACATTTAGTAAGAGCCCCGGATTTCCGCAGGGGATGATAGGAGGGTGGTACAATAGAGAGGCTTATCAGCCAGCTATCAGTCTACATACATTACACGGTAGGCGACTTCCATTGCTCAAAGCATGCTCAAAGCCATACCTGGGGGTAGAGCTCTCTTAGCCTCTCTATCACAGATTCAGCCTGGTCGTTTGTAGCGATATTCATTATGTTGTGTACTTCTTGTTTGTTAAAAAAACTGTCTACATGTTCTCCAGCAGTCGGAAGCACGGTTTGAAAATATTTTGATCAACATTTACGTAACAATCACCGTATGCTGTCGTGATGAAATCCAGTCTCCTGAGTTGGTTATCTTCCTGCACTAGTGCGTAGCCCATGAGTCAGGTCTGGGGCTGCATGGCGGCCTGATGATGCTAGCTTATAGTGACTCACATGATTGGATTTCATTCAGCAGCACTGTACATTCTATGAGCTCATGTACGTCATGTACGTCGTATGCGTGTGTGCGTGTTTCCGATTCTGTATCAGGTCCTGATGCGAAGCCCCGCCGATATCCGCGTTGTCGAGAAGCTATTTGGCCTGAGCACTGTATCGACTGAGGAGGCCATGAGAATTGCAACCATGCCCGTCCAGGAACTGAACAAACTCATGCAACAAGCCGGCTTGAGTGATGCAGACTCTTCTCTTGTCCGGGACATACGGCGGCGTGGTAAGAATAAAGTTGCTGCCAGGAATTGCCGAAAGAGGAAGATTGAGAATATTGAGAAGTTAGAGGGCGAGGTCGACTTCCTGAACTCAAAGCGGGAAAGCTTGCTAGACGAGCTTCGGAAGGTGAAGACGGATACGGAGAAGTATAAGAAGTGTGTCCAAAGAATCCGGCACTTCATGATAAAGAAACGGGGCCATGCCTCTGCCGGTAGCCAGACGAACTTATCTACCATATCAGCAGCTGACATCAATACTACGAATGCACTTGCTGCTTCCGGCTCGTTGGGCCAGGATTATCTCAGTAGTGTGCCATTCTCAGCAACATCTACAGACAGCTCTGTCTTCACTGCTCTGGACGGACAGTCGGAAGGTATGGGCTCAACGAGCAATCTGCTAGCCGCATCATCTTCCTCTCTACAACATCAACGCCAGCATCAAGCAGTGCAACGGACTGGTAGCGGTGGTAGCAATGCTGGCGAGTTTCTTTCAGTTCCGGCTCAGTTGAGCGTCATTTCCGGAATGAATGCAATGGCTGGCTATCCACCTGCATCCCTACCCGACGGAAGCCGGGCCATTTTAGACTTGCAGCAACTCACTCCAGAGAGCCCTCCCACGTCCAGTACCAATGCCACATCTGTTGCTGGCATGTACTTCAACACAAGCAATCAAGGAGTGACCGCAATGACCAGCCTCCCAGGAGTATCCCAGACTGCCACAAATGTCGCCCCGATTCCAGCTGGCATACAAATTCAACCGCCGTTTCAGACGTTATATGCTGGATCTGCCGGGACAGGGCAGAATGTGCAACTTAGTGTTCTGCCACAAGGCACAACATGGGTTCCCGCACAATGGCCGGCAGCGGCAGCATTCCGCCCCGCCATGCAATGAACTATGCAGTGTGAGGCGGCTATGTGACGATTGCCGAATGCCGACATCTTGGCTAGGATGCATAGTAGATTGTTAGACCGGTGGCCGGGTGGCTCCGCCGCATCACTGCCCCCCGTAGCACAGTCTTGTAACCAGCTGTATCTCCACCCTGCCGGAGTGCGACTCGTCTCCAACATGAACATCATGCAGACAAGTAGAGGGTGGGGATGAGAGCACGGCCGATGATAGGAGTTTTCAGTTCTAACACTTGCTTAGGCTGATAGTGCAGAGCTTGTAGATCCTAGATACGTTTTATACACAATTGCAATGATGAGATTACTGAGACAACTTGGAAAGCCATGCTCCTCCTGTGGGTTGGTTTTCTGGAAAATATGAATGTTGCTGAGCAGTCTAGCAATCTGGGAATTCCCGCTATTGTCATTACTGTCATTTTTTGTCTAAACAATTTTGATTGATTATTGGTGAAGAGATTACTGTGACGTAGTAAATGTTTGCTGCAAACAGACATTGTAGGTCATTGAATGCGTATGTCAAAGATCAATGTTTTTTATCTCAACTATTTGTGAAGATCCGTGTGCCTCGGACTGTGCGGACTGCCATAGCAACGCAGTGGAGAGTCCGCTGCAGTCTTATCAGAGTGTGTGTCTTCTCAGTGATGGCAGTATAATCCGCATGAGCGGCCACAGTCTGAGCCGGCGTAGCAACGGGTTCTTCCTGGCTGTCTCCACAGACAGTGTGATGTCCAGCCTGAGATAGTGAGAAATGACTCTGACGTCACTGCTGGGCTGTAAAACCACCCCTTGCATTTGTTTGTAGTCGCCGACCCTGCTACCCATGCCGGGCACCCCTGATAACTGCCAAGACCGTCGTAACTGGACTTTCTCATGTAGAATATTGACCGTGCCGTGCCGGCCCCTGTGCTTTTGTAGTGCCTCAGTAGCTGAGCACGAGCAGACATTACGGATGGCCAGCCGGGATGCAATTCTTGGATCATCATGTGACCAAATTAGCTCCAATCCCGTACATGGAGACGAAAAGCGCAGCTTGTACATGAATAGAGCATGTGGAGCCGGGCTGGCCGTGACCACACACTCACACACAGTCGTCAGTCTGTGCTGGACTTTCAAGTTTTGAGCGGCCTCAGCCAGTGTTGCATGGTGTAGTCGTTTCAAGCCTTACCGTATTCAGTTCTTGTGGGCCGGGTTCGAATTTGCCACTGCACGACGGGTGCACCATATTTCAGCTTGGGTCATTTGTCCCAGTGTTGACCCGGACCCAGGCGCGGTGCCACGGCAGAGCTTGTGGACCTACAGTTTTTACACACAGCAGTCAAATTTCAATTTTGCAATAGATCTACATGTATGAAGAAGCACTCATTCAGCAAGAAGATAAGTATGACTACAATCATGTACATGAAAAACATGTAGCATTTACAGTAATTTTAATTTACACTACCTTTTATTAGGTGATACAATCATGTACCAGATGTACAGGCATCAAGATTGCCCATTGTATTGACCTGCTTCAGTATAGACTATAGGATGTTTTTGTCATTTCACTCCATCGTTAGGGGTGGCCACATCATGCAAATTATTTTGTCCAAAATTGAAATTCAAAAAGCGAAAAACGGTCAAAATGTTTTAAGAAAATTCAAAAAATCCCCCAAAATGCAGAAAAAATTCGATCCGTTGCCATGGTTTTTACAGTACTCGTACCCAATAGTTCCAAAAAAAACAAAAAAATCAACAAACTGTTTATCATGTGTACGTGTGTCTGTGTGCTTCCAAATTCGGGGATGGGTGTCAAAAGGTCAAAGGTCAAAGGTGTGTGTATTTGAAAGTACTGTTTTCACATGTCAAACTTGGTAATATATTGAGCAGCACATGTAGTAGTAGTAGTAGTAGAATTTATTATTTTGATAGGGAAGGCCCTACAGACGTTGCCGTCTTGTTACAGGGAACCCTAAGTGCTCTTTACAGAGCGAAACAAAAACGGATAGATGCTCAACCTGACGACACGAGACAGGCAGAGAATTCCACCTATCAGCGCCAAGGAAAGAAATGGAGAACATGCCATATCTAGTGGTAGCAGCGGGCAAAGAAAGTGAAGAGAATGATTGCCCTCTAGTGCGCCTCTCGGTGCAAGTAGCAGCCGACTGGAGGGTGAACATTGAGGAAAGAAGAGGACTTGTAAGCTGATGAATACAGCGGAAAACAAAAATAAAAAGCCTCAAGTTGAGACGAGATTCGAGGGAGTATAACTTAGCGTGCCGCAAAACAAAGACAGTCGGGGTACGGCGAGGGAGACCAAAAACCTGTTTCATGCTGATATGACTTAAAGTAACAAGGCGAGAGTATAAAGATGGTGTAAGACAGTGAGCATACGAGTTGCTGGCGTATTCAATAGTGGATTGGATGAGGGATAAATAAAATATTCGCTTAGTTGTGTGGTCTACTGTACGGCGGCAGCGGCGGAATGCTCCTATCTTCTTATAAACAGATGTACATACATGGTTGACGTTGATCCTCAAAGGTGAGGTGTTGGTCAATAACGAGGCCAAGATAACGCGCTGTGGCAGAAGGTCGAATATCGACACCACCGCATGCAATGGTAAGATCCGGCGGAAGAGGCAGAGCCTTCTTCCGAAGCACCATGAACTTCGTTTTCTGGGCATTCAAGATGAGACCAATGCTTCCAAGGTACGTATTTAGTCTGTTCAACTCACTTGTCAACTTGTGCTGAAGTTCTCCAGTAGACTGACAGTGTATATAAAAGGCGATATCGTCAGCATACTGTTGGGACTCTGCGTGGCGAAGTACTCCAGGGACATGTCGCACGTACAAAGAGAATAACAGAGGCCCTAGCACCGACCCTTGCGGAACGCCTCGTGTACAATGTGTCTCGTCTCCTCTGGTATTTCCAATTTTCACCTGTTGTCGTCGACCCTGGAGATAGCTGGAGAACCACTGTAGTGCTACTCCGCTTATGCCAATAGCTTGAAGTAGTTCATGGCGTACCCGATCGAAGGCCTTGCTCATGTCCACGAGTACAACCCCGCAATACTCGCCCTTGTCCACACTCATCATCCAGCGGTTTACTGCGAGAGTTAACGCATCCTCACAGGAGTGCCCTCTGCGGTAGGCGAATTGCTCGTCTGGGAGAATACGAAGCTCAGCGTGATCTTGAAGATGTATTCTCCTGATGTGACATCACTGCACTGTCGTTCTCCAAAAACGGCCAAAATTCAATCCTGATGGGTCAAAATTCCAAAAAAATTCAAAGTGCAAAAATCCAACCAAAATTCAAAAATAATTGCAAACATTTTGTGGACAAGCCTATGCATCGTGCGTGCGCGTGCATCATGTCAGACTCACAGGAATGACATAATCATGACATCGATTGTTTATTTTGCACAAAAAGATTTTTCCGCATTTCGCAAATCATTCGAATCGATCGAATGAATGAAGGGGAAGCAGGGAAAGGACTGTTCACTGCTAGCTGATTTAGTTTTAGTTCTTGCGACCTTCACGTTCATTGCAGAATCCGTTTCGAGAGTTAGACAAGATGGCGGTGAACGAGGAAGCTGTGCAGAACCTGGTGGACAATTTGAAAGAAAGGCTGGAGACCATAGAATCGTACATCGCGAAAAATACAACACAGGTACATGTACTTGTGTGTCATGGTATTTGTGCATTCAATTACAGCCACGAGTGCATGATTCTTTGAAAATATATTTCCAGACTCAGTTGGTTACAAGATCAAATCAATAATCTCGATAAGTAGAATAGTGAAGTACGCAAAAGCCAGAATCATACAAAAGTCTACTGGATGTACCCTGTACGTTATCAGTGGAGGTAAGGGCCCAACCACTTCTGCGCAAAGTTTCTAGCAAACACAGGGGTATGCTCACCCCCATCAATGCCGGGCCATTAACATTTTCACAGCTTGCAATAGAGTCAGTCGGACTGACTTTTCCACATACACAGCAATGCCGCCTCCCGCGAAGTGCCGGTGCAGCTCCAAAAGCAGTGAGAGGTGAGTAGATTAGACTCACCGTGCCCACTGTTGTCAGAACGCGTTCACATTTGGTATGGGGAAAGCATCCCAAGCGTTGTCCATGGTTGACTAGATAGCCAAGTACATGTACGGTATTTTCCGGAGTACAGGTACAGGTATATAACGAGTCCAGTTAGTACATAAACCCCGTTAGTACATAAACCCCGTTAGTACATAAACCCCGTTAGTACATAAACCCCGTTAGTACATAAACCCCGTTAGTACATAAACCCCGTTAGTACATAAACCCCGTTAGTACATAAACCCCGTTAGTACATAAACCCCGTTAGTACATAAACCCCGTTAGTACATAAACCCCGTTAGTACATAAACCCCGTTAGTACATAAACCCCGTTAGTACATAAACCCCGTTAGTAAATAGAAATCTGAAATCCCCTGGCGAAACGTGGTCTATACAGCTGTTTACAGGTCCGGTTACAACATAATCTGTTAGTACATAAAATTCGTTATAACGACCCTTTGCCCAGGTCCCTGGAGTGCCAAACCCTCAGTATAAGATAATATTGACCATGCAGGACCAAGGCCAAAACACGTGGGATAAAGCAGAAAGACGAAACGTATTATATCTATGTATTCGTGAATATGGACGATCATTTGCATCCAAGGAAGAGTTATGTTGGAGATTTTCAATTATCTTATAACGAGTTGAAGCATCGATAATTTATGTTGTATTGAGGGTAGCCCCGGTAAGTACGAAGTAGTGCCTATTTCACCTTTAGCTGCAAGTCCTGCTACAAGATAAGTCTCGTTATAAGATAACTTTTTCGATGGCCCAGAGATTATCTACTAACGAGGGAGGACCTGTATAAGCCGCACCCCCCCCCCCCCCCCTAGTCATAGCCCAAATTTGCTAGCAATTCTTGAAACAAAATATCGGATGCGCAAGTTGCCGGCAAGTTTTTGAGCAAAATATCAAATTTTGGTGGGCTTTTCGGAAAATCCAAGTCTTCTTAGGGATTTTCCCAACACAAACAGCCACCAAGGTTGAAAACGAGCACAAAAGCTGTACAAAACAGTCTCATGTCCACATTTTTGTAGAAAGTTGAGCAGCAGCAGCAGCAGGAGCTCAATCAAAATGCTGTCATCATCAGCGACAGTTTTCGTTGACTTTTCCTTGAGACTCATTTATCTTGAGCAAAACGAAAGCAAAATATCGACAGAGAAAGGAAATGCCAAGCAGATTATCGAAAATTTGGGGGCACGATTGTGGCAAAATATTGATGTGGGCAGAGCAAATTTGGGCCATTTTTTGCCACGAAATATAGACATCTACCCTATTTTAGGAATGGGTTTGCTCCCACACTGGAGCTCGCGCTATTCCGCCGACTTGACTTGACACTTGACTGACTCACGGCTGCCATCCAGAGCACACGAGAAGTCCATCGAACCTTCGACTTGGCAAACCTGCAAGAAAGCACCACTCCCTCCTCAATACACAGTGGTGCTCTTCAGGCACAATCTTCCTCAGCCTACTCAAGCTCAACTGATGAGGGGTGAATTCCCCGAAACACTGTGTATTGAGCAGGGAGTGGTGCTTTCTTGCAGGTTTGCCGAGTCGAAAGTTCGATGGACTTCTCGTGTGCTCTGGATGGCAGTCGTGCGTCAGTCAAGTGTCAAGTCAAGTCGGCGGAATAGCGCGAGCTCCAGTATGGGAGCAAACCCATTCCTAAAAAACTCATCGCCGAAGTCGCAACCACTATATCTACCCTATTTATCACCTTTAATTTGATCATCGTAGTATAAGCCGCAACCCCCTTTGTTTGGGTGAGTTTTCAGTGTTCAAAGTGCGGCTTATACTCCGGAAAATACGGTACACACTTATAACATGAGAATATTAGCATGGGTCCAAATCGCTTTAGAGGGACAATCCAGGCAAAGATTGAACAGGGCTCCTTTGGTGGCTAGTATCATACTGAGCACAACTCTAAAGGAATCTTGCTCTGCATCTTGACTAGCTTTTTTTTAGTCAGGAGACGTTATCCGCATCTCAGAGCCTCGGTCTCCTACTTCCATTGCCTTGTGGCTGTGCGTATGCGCATCCATGAAACATTTCACGTCGTACATTTTCGTCACGTGCATATCGGTATATAGGTAAAATCCTGATAATTCGAACCCCGTATTGCCGGGGAAGCGCTTCTAATTATGCGGACATTCTAATTATCCAAACAGGTTCCCACGACACGATATGTTGACCGAGTGCTCATGCTGTCACACCACGTTGCAATAATGCTCTATAGACACAGATTCTCTGTGCTCTGAATTTACCAGTACAATCTGCTTGTGCACACTGAATTGTCTGGTATAACCAAGACTACATCACAGGTATGTACTCTTGGTATAATGTACAGTGAACTTCGAGTTATGCCTTGCTAAACTTCCAATTATCAGCACAAATCCCACATCTTTTCTAATTCGTGGGACTTCTAATAAGGCATGCATGCACTTGCCCATTTTGAGATTTGAATTATCAAACACTGTTATGTGGGAATTGTATTGGGCTGAAATCGGTTCTAGAAGAAAGTTCTAATCAAGCGGTATATTTGAGTTATCAGGATACCATCGGTAGTGCATGGAATCTCAGAACCTCTGTGCCATTGAAAACCTTCCTGTTTCATGGACATTATTTTAACGAGGCGGTCACCTACAAGAGGAATCCAGCTTTTGTTAAGCTGCATATCCTGCATAGAGTGTTGGCACATCTACCATGCCAGACATACCATACTCGTGCGATTACTATTAGTGCCCCTGGGGTACTATTTTTTCAATGTCCATCACATATGGGGCACTATTCAAGAGAGGGCACTATTTTTTTAATGCTGGTACATTTACTTCATCCGCATAAAACCAAAGAAAGCGAAGAAAAACAGAGCCTAACGTTTACTGTAAACTATCACAACTCAACAGAAAGGGCAACAAGAACTGCGATTTTGATCCTAAAACCACCAGTTCAATGACATGGACAAGAACATTACCAAAAGAGCACATGCGCTTGGTTACATGCCTGGGGGGGGGGGGGAGGCACTATTCAAGAGAGGGCTTTATTTTCTCACTGGCTCTTAGAGACTGGTGCACTATTCAAGAGAGGGCTCTAATCGCGCGAGGACGGTATGCAATACCGATCCAATGGCAATAACATGTACGTTTGCCATCCATGCCATGATAACCCAATTAAGTTTAATATCAACCAATACGAGAGAGCTTGGAAGCTCAGAGCCCTACGCTATGCTTTTTTGCCAAGCTCATCACCGTGTACCACCTTGATGACCCAGGCAAAAAAATCATAGGGATGTTATAAATTTTTCATTTCTCCAATTTTTTTAAGACGTAATCTGGGATTCGAACCCGCACTATCGCCCTGCATGCATTCCCCCGACACACTTTGCATACATACTCATTCTTCCAAGTTGCTTCACGTTATAATCTTGCATTTGAAAACCCTATTGGAATTTTGTGGCCAGCTGTCTTTGATGGTACGGCACGGGACAGGTACGGGATAGCGCCAGGCATCTTTTCCATTTGCCATTCTTCGGCAACAGCTCTGGCCTTCATCTCTGGTGCGGGTGTAATCCAGTGACTTCGTACATGCGTTATAATAGACCAATCCCTTTGTCTGGGTTCGTGAAAAGGGCCACGCGTGCAAGTCAGCTCGTGTGAAGTGCATGGTTTTGTATTTAGTTGGTATGTGGCAGCTTATGGGACAGAGAGACTTTTGCTCCCCGAGCTTGTGTATGTAAATAGTGTTTTACGTCCACCATGACGGCTACAATGCCCAACCATACCACAACGAACTGATCGGCTACATCATTGTACAGTTGTCCCTCTCTAATCCGGCTCATTTTGCAACGGCATTTTCTGCTGGATAAACAAGGGTGCTGGATTATCAAATCCTGCCCTCCAACCCGGCCCACCTGTTAACATACGTGTTTGTGTCGTACGTCAAAACGTAGGGATTTTCTTTGTCAATCCAAGTACTTTGTGTAATACATGTCTTTAACATACACTTGGGAATATCCTATGCACTGGAATAGGATATTCCCAAGTGTATGTTACATGTGTTGTGTATGTTGCAATGCTCCCTGACCGTATGCGATGTACAACTGCTGGATTAGAAAATCGATTTATGTACAGTTTGAGTGATTTGTTGCAGAAAATCGCTGCTGGAGGCGGAATTCAAGTGCCGGATTAAAGCGTAGAAAATGAACTGAAAAAATCCGTTTTGCCAGAAAGTGTGCTGGTTTGCAAGGGTGCTGGATAAACAAGTGCCGGATTAGAGAGGGACGACTGTATTGCAAAAAGTTTCCATCTGTTCGAATAACATGCATGATGAGCTAGGCAAAAGAGCATAGCGTAGGGCTCTGAGCGAAAGAAATAAACCTTCTCTTTGCATTTGAGGGTAATACGACACCGTCTACCACCTTGATGACCCAGGCAAAAAAAGCATAGGGATGTTATAAATTTTTCATTTCTCCTATATATTTTCTAGGGCTGAAACGATCATTCAATAACTCCTAACGATCAACCAATATCATTAACGATCGATATATTGGTTTTATCGATTCTTGTCGGCTCAATCGAACACCAGTTTATAAAGAAATTCTATGATGCCTTTGCTACGCTAGAAATTTGTGGCACCGCACCTGTTGACATCTGTAGATATCTGGCTGGTTTTATCAGCATGAACTACTCAACTAGAGAATTTCATATTGTTTCTTGAGCAAAGAATCTTGTCATCACCCTCTGGCAACTACTCTCATCTCCAACTTCTCCCACAAATAAACCGAAGAGACTTCTTCTCTCCCAATCTCTTTCAAAGCCACAAATCAATTTAACTGCGCTTGACAGTACATGATTGCACTCGTATTCCACTATCGGATGGAGTGCAAGGGCTAGAATACTGTCACTGATATGCATGCATAAAAAATCGTTAGTATTCGTTTTGAACACTAACGATTATCGATCGCACTCTTAACGATCGATATGCGAGTTATCGGTATAATTGTTTCAGCCCTAATATTTTCAAGACATAACCTAGGATTCGAACCCGCACTATCGCCCTGCATGCATTCCCCCGATACACTTCGCATACATACTCATTCTTCCAAGTTGCTTCACGTTATGATCTTGCATTTGAAAGCCCTATTTGAATATTGTGGCCAGCTGTCTTTGATGGTACAGTACGGGACAGGTACGGGATACCGCCAGGCATGCCGACGGCACAAACACACAAATACACAAAGACACACGGAATTAAAGCTGTGTGGACCCTGGCTAGCGCCAGACGTTACTGAAGTAACGTCTTTTGCATAGCTACGGGAATAATTATTAATCCAAGTATCCATTCAGCCCCAGACGCTCACACTCAGATGCTCACCTTGACGAGATTTGAAGAAGGCAAGTGGGCAGGAAACTAACCAATTAGCAGCAGTGGAATAAAGTAACCAATCAGAATATAGACAGATGTCAAGATTTGACCAATGAGCAATGAGCAAAAACCGTCAGCTGCCACTCCCGATATAACACATCGTAACAAACTTTTTTTATTTTCTCTTTCTTTTGTTTGTGCTTAGGCTACCTGGGCTGAGCCATGTAAACTGACAATGGAAAAGTGCCTTTCTCGCCTTTCTCAGCTCCTTCCGGCAGGTGAAGGTATGTTATCAACTTACTTATTTTCATGATTGTTTGTTATCCGTCTGTACATACATGTATGTGCTAGTGTCAAGTACAAGTAGTGTTTTAAATGTGACTGTGATGGACAAAGAGGAACAACAGTCCAGCAGCCAGGCGCCGTAAATATTCACTCCCGTTCCCACTTTGAGCGCACAACAAATTGACACCTAAAACCTGACCATGACACCTAGTACTCCCTATAAATCACATTATTTCCTTTGGAAAATCAGGATGCAAGGGCATAAAATACGGAAGAAATTGTTTCACATCCGCAACCATAGCAACGGCATAGTAGCTGCATAGTAACTGTTACATTGGAGGCAATTTAGTATGTTTTGTTATTGGAAAATCATCTATACCACCGGGTTCGCACAAAATGCCTTTCAAACATACAGAAAGGTGCAGTGCACATAGAACAGGGGGAAGAAACCATTCTTCTGCATACATGTACCGGTATGTAGAACTGGACGAACGTCCATGTTCCTACTCTGAGCAATGAGAGCCATCCAGCTAAAGAGAACGCAGTCCGCGCGAAGGACATCCACTTTTGTGCTCCTGGATTGAGAAGACTTCCTCATGGTGAAGGAAGGCAGCTTCATTTTCTTGATAGGACCATGAAACTTCTTCGTCTGACTTTGAAAGCGCTCCTGGAGAAATTCGTGGAAAGCTGTTTCTCCGTGATGTTTAGCTTCAAGGAGATCTTCTGCGGTCGCTTTGGAGCAGACACAACCAGACGAAACACAGACGAGATCAGATGGCTTCTCGGATGGTTCTTTGAAGGGGTGCAATAAGTCGCTGATGGCGTCAAGGGCACGACTGACATCCGCTTCATCACGAGCCATTCTGGTGGCCTGACATTCCTTGTGATACGATGCTGCTTCCTCTGCTGCTTCGTCGAGTCTGCACATCGACAGACAGTAGTCGGCCATCTTCGCACGCTCGTGTGATATGAATCATGTGATACACCATCGGTGGGTGGCTGACGCACTGCGGCTTATGCCAATGATACCGCCGTCGTCTTGGAGGATCTGTTGATAGACTGCTCTATCGCCATGTCTGCAGCCACCTTTGCGAATGCATTGCTGGACCGTTGCACCGAAAAGCCACCAGACTGCAGGAATTCTGATGCTTCTGGATGCGTGGATGGCAGCTTCATCATCTGCAGCCAGTAGAGGCTCAGGTATCTGGCATCGTTGTGCCTATCGTATGCGAAACACCACGGTATTATCTCCAGTAGGCATGACAGATGAAGTGGCCAGTTGGCGACGCTGCTGGAGCGGATCAAGCTCTGAAGAAGCAAAATAAGCTCAATATAGCTACAGCAGAAGTTGAACATCACTGAGGTTTTCTGCTGCTGCTTGCAGTAACTTTTATTCCATGTAGCTGGAGTAGAGAGCAGAAAGCGTGTCGCTTTGCAGGATGCGGGATACATTGTCCCCATTGATGCAGCCTTGAAGCTCGATGAACGCATCCTTCAAGCTGTTGGACTCCTGTACCGATTCAAGCGACTGGGCATAGGCTTGCCACCGCAAACGCTCAAGAGCCTCAGCAACGAGCTTGTGCATGCGAACACCGCGGTTGTAATGCCTACCCTCCTGAGCAGCACTGGCATTAGCAGAACCTCCGACCTGTGACTCCACGACGATATCAGAAGGCCGGCATCGCGGAGTCTTTGACCAATAATGGACGGAAGCGTTGACGCAATATGGAACGCTCCCGTTCTCAGGACAACACTTCGAAACTCAACCTCTCTCTGCAGAACAATGTCCACTGCTTTCGCATAGATAGCTTGGTCGAAGACCACGGTGGTGAATAGGAGGTGTGCCTGCTTTGCCATCTCTACCAATCGCGTCAGGACAGCATACACTGTTGCCATTTTCGTTGGAGAGGAGTTGATGACTGGACAGTATGTGATTGTGGCAGGCAGAGGTCCACTGGCTTTGCTGGAAAGAGCATTGAAGGCTGTCCAGTCAGGAATTTGCTGGTCCTTCGTGATTGCATTGGCAGAGTAGGCATTCTGTGAGCACAGGAACAGGTCTCCATCGAGGGAGGAACGAGCCAGTGTCCAAATGAAGTCCAAGTGTCTGGGCTCTGCTGCAACAATTGGATTCGGCACAAGGTCTGACTCACTGTATGGGATTGATCGCGGATTACTCCTTCCCGCTCAGGAGAATTCATGAGAGCGGAAGAGATGGAATGGACGTTGTCCTGCTGCGCTTTACGGAGAGAACCGAGGGTGCATCTGATTGCGTTGACTGCGGGAGCGCATTGGGTTGCATGACAATACCATGTGTGCAATGCGTTGTCTCCATTCCGCTCAGAGTTTCCTCTTTAAGATCGTTATTATCCCAGACGAAGAAGAACGGTTGCTCCTTGTTGATGCTGGGAGGAGGAGCGGACGGGTGGGATTGCTCCCTCGCGATGTGTTCTGCCATTGCCGTCTCTGCTTCCAGGTCCTGGCAGTATGACATGCGGTGGCCAAGGCGGTTCAGGATGTCGATCGTCCTCCTGCTCATGTGGTGTAGAGCCATGGCCAACATAGTATGCTTTACTATGCGATGGCCAGTCGCAGAGAAAACTATGTCCTGTGCCACAGAAGCCGTGCGGCGCTCCATGTCCACACTCAGACCGTCCAGCACTTGATCGTGTCTACAACAATTATTATTTCTGGCATTCAATTTTAACTGCATTTCCCGGTGCCTTGTCATTTCCATGTGTTCCACCCGTGGTTGATTGGTCTCGGATCCTGCGGATGTCGCAAACTACGCACGCGCATACTCTGCACTATGCCCTTTGACACCAATATCTCATTATGGGGAAATCCCGCCAAAGGGTGCCGCCGAGAGTCGTAGAATAACTACCCGCCGCAGTGCGCTTGAGGTGAAAGAAGCAATGGCCGAGTTGGACGAAAAAAAGTCTGTTTTACAAGTCGATGCATTCACTTTTGAAGGCGACGGACAGCGCAGTCGATGCCTGGGAAGCCTTCTCTTCAACTTGGCATCGTCCAAAAGTTGTGCGGAAGAAGTCGGAACGAAAGTCAATTTCTAGAGGTATTTTCCGGGCCTGGTTGCTGGACTAGAAAACATGATGCCAATGTGGTGGAAAGTGATGGACAATGATGAAAAAAAATACTTGGGGACTATTATAGTGAACTTCCAAAGTGAGAAATGAACTCCTGTAGCAAGGCAGGTAACTGCTAGTTCGTTCGCTCTTCTACATAGGTACATACAATAAAGCCGTTATGAAAAAATGTCAATTCAGCTGGTCCTGTTGATCGTTATTCTTACATCAAGTGTTACCTCACCGCTTGTTTAAATAGTTCAGTTTTTTTGTTTTTGTTTTTTTGGTTCTCTTTTCACAATACCATGCCAGGTAAACCCCTTGCTATCGATCAAATGGAGAAGATATCTCGCTGCTGTGGGTAAGAGGTCAGCTGTTCTGTCTTGGTTGTGTTTGGCCATGATGCCGGTGACAGTGGTAGAACCAGATCTGGCATGTGTGTGTTGCGCTTGCGTTTGTCTTCATGAGCCACTTGTAGTTGTGTTTTCTCCTGGGTGTTCATACTGTTGTGCACGTGTGTGTGTGTGTGTGTGTGTGTGTGTGTGTGTGTGTGTGTGTGTGTGTGCGCGTGTGCGTGTGTGCGTGTGCGTGCATGTGTGTGTGTGTGTGTGTGTGTGTGTGTGTGTGTGTGTGTGTGTGTGTGTGTGTGTGTGTGTGTGTGTGCATGCATGCGCGCTTGCGCGTGCGCTTACCTGCCATGTGTGTATTCTTTGCTAGGCTCCGCTTTGATTGTGACGGTGGGAGTGGTGGTATGCAGTCTTGCTACATAAGCTGCGATAACTTCTTCTTGGAAGTGGAAATGACAGCAGAGAACCTAGTCAGTGAGGTGAAGCTTGGCCATGGCAAAGAGCCACGGGCGCATCCTCTCCTTCGACAACTGCTGATGACTGGTAGATATGCTACGTTCATGCGTCATCTGCGTGGTCTTGTTGCAATCTACGACCTCCCTGGTCCCAAAGAAGACCGTTTGAGCATGTATGCAGCACTGTGTGCAGTGGAGGAGGATTTGCTAGCAGTCAGTAATACTAGAAAGTAAGTTTTGGCAATACAGTAAAACCTGTAACTAACGACCACCCCTTGGTGCCCGGAAAAGTGGTCTTTAGTGGCAGGTGGTCTTTAGTTAGAGGTTTGCACCGCGTGACCATATATGGATCCCATTATATGATATGTATGTCAAAATGCAGATAATACAATCCCCCACCACTTGCGCACTGACATTCTTCTTTTTAAAGATCATACAACACTTGGAGAGAGAGAAAATCAAGTTTTATTGCAGACATTAAATTCAGCTCCTACTTCTGAAGCCAGGAGTCAAGAGTTCCCTGTTGAAGCTTCGCTTTGCGCTGGTGTGTAGATCTACCAGTACTCGATCTACATGTACGTGATACGGCGATGTTGCGAGTTTTCGCACCTTCACTGTAGACTATAGTATCCGCCATCGTATCCTGGCCTGTGTTCCGTACACATGGTACAGGTGAGTACATAATACCGTAGCATGCTAGCTAGCCAGCACAGACTGTCAGTATGACCTGGTGACTGAGCTGTGTGATTGCACTTCGACAGAGAGCCGCTCAGTCTTGGTTGGTGGTTGTGTTTATTTGAATTCGCAAACGAACGGACTGAACATGTCCAATGACAAGGAAGCGAATGAAGTCCAAGTAACCCAGAAATGGGGACACAGATGAAAAGAAAATATGGGAACAGAAGGCTCTCAGCAAAGGAAGAAGAGAAGAGAAGGAAAGAAAAAGAATAAAGGAGAAAAGGAAGTCTTAGTTTCTCCTTCGAGTAGTAACATCGATCAAAGAGCGCTTTGGATGCGCTCTCCAAGACGTTTCCTATCATGTTTGTTCTTGACAGCACTTGAAATTATGACAGGTGTAGTGCAGTCCACACTGATTCCACAGTCAAAATGAGACTGCGTTCATTTGTCCAGCTGTAGTATCGAAACAGTCCTCTCAGGACCATGGAAAATCATCAACATTTCGAGAAGGAGCTTCGAGCAATGTTTGATTTCCTACATCGCGGTCGCTAGTTACGGGTCAAAATTCGACATTGGGACAAGAAAAGGCGGTCGCTGGTCGCGTTCAGCAGGTAGTCGCTAGTCACAGTGCATTTTGAATGTGAGACCGTCCGTGCCTGACGAAGTGGTCGGTAGTAGCAGGCCGGTCGCTAGTCACGGTGGTCGTTAGTTACAGGTTTTACTGTAGTACCAGGCTGGTCGCTAGTCAAGGTGGTCGTTAGTCAAGGTTTTACTGTATGTGTAGAATGCAACCACATGTTACTAGCAAAGGCATGATTCTATCTGTGGGACTTGGGCAAATTGAAAAATACCATGCCAAGGGTTCTACCTGGCAATGCAGGACTTTATATAAGGCAACGAGCCATACATTTCATGGTTCATGTGCGAGTCAGTCAGACTGACTTTTCCGCATCTGTAGAAACAACACCACCCTCGAGAATGCATAGATGCAGCTCCTAAAGGCATGGGAGATGAGTTGATCAGACCCACCACCGAAGTGGCGGAAGACTGATAATGTAAAAGCCATATATACACAAAGTGCTTATTCTAACGAGTTAAACGAGGAGAAATCTGTCGTTAACATAGAAATCGTTATACAGAAATCGATACATATACTGTCCTATTGAGCGTTGAGAACGAGTGAGAATCTTTACCTTTGGTACATGTAAACCAGTCAATTTTAGGAAATCGTTATAATGCGCCTCGTTAGAATAATGGCTTTTACAGTACTCTGATTTCTGAAATTTTCGGTGCTCAATATTTTCGGTATGAGGGCAAAAGGCCAGGTTAGGCGAACAGAAAATTTAGGTACAGAGAAGCAGTTCCCTATTGGATTATGTGTGTTAGTGCTTGTTCGGTGTATTGAAAATTTAGGTATGAAACAGATGCACCGAAAGTACCGAAAATAAAGTACACCGAAAATTTGTGAAATTACAGTAATCTTTTTTTCTGCATCCAGGGAATATTTTAGAATTTTCTTTGTTCTTGTGTTTGAGCCCACTGCTGAATGTAACTGATGGACACGGTATACCGGTATGTGTGTGTTTGCATGTGGACCGTTGCTTTCTCTCACTCCAGGGTTGAAGGCGATCTTCCGCATGTGATAATGGAGCACCCGTTGGGTTTAGTACAGCGACGTGAATGTGGTATGGTATGCTGTGCGCTGGTGATGTGTTCGGTTTTTAAAGAGGATCGTCTACAACAGAGTTTATGGACTGCCAACAAATTCTGACTGCAGTTTTTGAAGCGAAAAGTATGGCCTAGGTTTCAGAAAAGAAAAAACACTTCAAAGTAGCAAGTACATGACGATTGTACATGCAGTCTTGCTTAATATAATCCAACATACATGCCACCATCTAGTGAATTAATCACCACTCTTATCATAGGAATTGGCCCGTGGTTGCATTGCTGCACAGTACTACGCCCTCACTTACTCATGTGGTCGGGTTTCATTATAGACAATTGTGACAGGCATGTCCTTGTGTATGTGTTGTTTCTGCTGCTGCTGCTGCTGCTGCTGCTGCTGCTGCTGCTGCTGCTGCTGCTGCTGCTGCTGCTGCTGCTGCTGCTGCTGCTGCTGCTGCTGCTGCTGCTGCTGCTGCTGCTGCTGCTGCTGCTGCTGCTGCTGCTGCCAACTTGGTGTTGTTCTTGTTCTTTTTCAAATCTTTATTCTCACGTTGCTCTTGTTGTTGTTGTTGTTGTTGTTGTTGTTGTTGTTGTTGTTGTTGTTGTTGTTGTTGTTGTCCCTACACAATATAGCAACTGTCATTCAGAGATCAGTTAGTGCTACAGTATGATGATCTGGTCGTTCTTGGTTTTCTTTTTTCTTTTTCAGGAAAGCTGATGTCAACTACGTTCTTCATCTCGCCTGAGAATGCTTTGGATCTGAAGTCTGACATAGCAGCAGGTTAGTCAAAGAGCATTAGGAGTTATGTCTGGACACTTTCAGGCTGTGGAAGTCGACATGAAGTGGATAATGTACGTGTCTATAGTGTGCAGGCGGCTCTAGTTAATCTTTCATGTACATGTTTTAGTGGAGAGTTGCAGCATCTGTTAAGTAGGTAGATGACACGAGACAATGGTGCCTGAAACGATGTGTTTTTCAACCCCGGACAAGGCGGATATTCTCAGTAGAGGTTCTACCTGATCTGTGATCTGCACAGTAGAGGTTCCACCTGATCTGTGGCCTGCACAGTAGAACTAGCTGTTGTGATCTGTGGTCTATGCAGCTCGTGATCGTGCCCTTGATCTGCGGAGTCCAACGCAGGCCAGCGATGCCAACTTGTTTGGGTGTGTGCCCATGCATGTGTGAGTGTGTGTGTGCGTGTGTGTCTGTGTGTGTGCGTGCGCGTACGGGCGCGCTTGTGTGTGTGCTGTGTGCGCGTGTGTTGTCTTCGATTTGCAGAGCGGCATGGGGTGTGTGGTCATGTTGGGATAGCTACAACGCTTGGCAGTCATTCATTGCCGTCTCGACCTGTGCATCGTGTGGAAGAAGGCAGGTAGGCTTGGTTTGGCAACGTATGGAGTTTAGGTCAGCAGTACTCCAGCCTGTATATGACAAACCTGCCAGTTTTTTTTAGTGTAGCACTATGTGTGTTTCAGTGCTGTAACTATCCACATGTAGGATCGTGTAGTGCTGTGTGCTTTCAGTGCTGTACTATCTACATGTAGGATCGTGTAGTGCTGTGTGCTTTCAGTGCTGTACTATCTACATACTGTAAAAGCCATATATATATAACGGCCTCTGCTGAGATGACGACTACACCATAGCTCAGTGGTTAGAGCATCGCTGGCTACAAGCGAGGGTCCCTGGTTCGAGTCCTGGTGGTGACAGTCAATTTTTTCTTCAGACTTTTCCCGTTTGTCTCTTTCCCTCAAACCAGTTAATATATATATATATATATATATATAGTTTGTGTGTGAAGTGTGTGGGTTACAGTGAGGGCTGCGTCCCACCCGCCTGTGTGGATTCATAGGAAGTGTGAGTTACGAAGTCTGAAGAAAACGTTGAACGGTCTCTGCTTGGATGACGACTACACCATAGCTCAGTGGTTAGAGCATCGCTGGCTACAAGCGAGGGTCCCTGGTTCGAGTCCTGGTGGTGACAGTCAATTTTTTCTTCAGACTTTTCCCGTTTGTCTCTTTCCCTCAAACCAGTTAATATATATATATATATATATAGTTTGTGTGTGAAGTGTGTGGGTTACAGTGAGGGCTGCGTCCCACCCGCCTGTGTGGATTCATAGGAAGTGTGAGTTACGAAGTCTGAAGAAAACGTTGAACGGTCTCTGCTTGGATGACGACTACACCATAGCTCAGTGGTTAGAGCATCGCTGGCTACAAGCGAGGGTCCCTGGTTCGAGTCCTGGTGGTGACAGTCAATTTTTTCTTCAGACTTTTCCCGTTTGTCTCTTTCCCTCAAACCAGTTAATATATATATATATATATATACTCAATCTGCGGACAGCATGCTGTTTCGTTCTTTTTGAACTCATCAGCGCAGCACAGAGGAAATGAGGCCGAACCTGATAGCAATGGAAATAAAAATTTCCAATCAGGCCCGAACGTTATATATATATATATATAACGAAGTGCTAACTCTAACGAGTTAACGAGGAGAAGTCTGTCGTTAAAATAGAAATTGTTATACAGAAATCGATACATATACTGTCCTATTGAGCGTTGAGAATAAGTGAAAATCGTTACCTTTGGTACACGTAAACTAGTCAATTTCGGGAAATCGTTATATATTCGCCTCGTTAGAATAATGGCTGGTTTACAGTAGTACATGTAGGACATGGTACTGGTGTTCACACCCTGCTCTGCTCCGCCGTTTTTCCGACTATTTTACTGGTGTTATGGAAGGCTAGATTGCTCCGATGAGCTTTAGCAGTTTCATTAGGGCAGCGAGTTGCACCATATGCACAGTGTGTGTGGGCGCGTATGTGTGTGTGTGTGCGTGCGCGCGTGCGTACGTGTGACTCAGAGCATGTTCAGCAGTCTGCCAATGGAATCCTGTTTTGCATGCAGTATATTGTGTTCGTTTGTGTCTTTCAGACTTGGCCTGAGTACTTTCAGCTTGTGTGTGTTTTTACCTGACTATGATGAAACATGCTGTTCTTTTCCTGACAGTTCCAACGTCACATTCGTTCCGCTTGATTCAAGCAACACTTTGAACGTCCCATGCACGTTTATGTTCCATCTTAGCAAAAGCGTCGCTGCACCTTCGTCAGTCACCCATTCAATCCTAGAAATGACGGATATGAAAGGTATGGGAGTTATTCCTTTCCATATCCGTATGTGCCAGTACCCCTTTCTCTAGATGCCTCGCTGATTATTTCGCTCACTTCCTTGCTGTTTCTCTCTCCCTGTCCCTGTGACTGTCTGTCTCTCTGTCTCTGTATCTGTCTCTCTGTCTCTCCTTCTCTCTCACCACTAGCGTTTTTGCTTGGATAATAAATAAAGTCAAGTACCGGTATCCTTCGATACTAGTACATGTATACAAAGCCATGATTTCCGCTACTCAATGTGCTAGTGGCTGATGTTTGCTATATATGTCATTGTTATCTTCCCAGATTCGGTTCTGACACCATCCGGTACTTTACACAATGTTCTATTCAACGAGGTAAGATCAGCTTGCACCTGCACAGATGCACTGTGTGTGCTGTTACGCTTGTACCGCGTGTGCTTTGTGTGCTGTTACGCTTGTACCGCGTGTGCTTTGTGTGCTTTGTGTGCTGTTACGCTTGTACCGCGTGTGCTTTGTGCCAGTCACCTACTTGTTACTGTGTGTGAGGCAACTACTGAAATTGTCCCTCTCGGTCCTGTGCCTGTCCCGCTCCTAAACTCAACACTGTTTAAAAAATTCATTTGTGTGTGCGGACATGTGTGTGTGTGTGTGTGCGTGCGTGCGTGCGTGCGTGCGTGCGTGTGTGTGTGCCGGGGTGGTGAAGGCAGTGGGGATGGTGGAGTATGAGCGTGATGTTCTGTCGAGTTACTTTGTTAGCGTGACTTGAATTTGAACTTTGTGCTTGGAACTTTCTCTGTTTGGCTGTTGCATTCCGGAGCATTACAAAGCCAAATTGAAGCAAATTCCCTATTTTTGTTTCTAACCCGCAGGTGTTCAAGGGCTCTGCTGCTGGCCAGATCAAGCCGAAGGACAGCACGCATCGGCATGATGTTGTGAGTGTAACTAAGACCGTACTCTTGTTTCCCTATCCGCTTGCTTTCTTTTTGCGTGTGCTGGCTGGGTTTGTGTTTTGTGAGCTTTTAAGTAAGTGGCTTTCAGGGTGGGGAAAGAAAGAAAGTTGAAGAAAGTTAGTTGCTTCAATGTGAGGGCTCAGTGTACTCCTCGAGTGCGCCGAATGGCAGTCGTGAGTTAATCAAGCGCCTATTTGTTTGACAGGAAGCATGAGCTCCACGTTGGCAGCAACTAACTTCCCCAATTCTCACCGCCGTTGTCGCTGTTTCTAAGCCCGACAAGAATATGTAAACACCGAGGTGTATGCTCCGCACTCGAATACTTTGAAGTCAACCTCGCTTACCAGGCTCATCCTATCCGTGGATTGTGCAGCCTACTCACTTTTAGGGGGCGTTCGAATTGTCTTCATCAACTTTTCGAACAAATTTTTTAAAGAGATTAGTTGATGTGTCCCAATAGAACGGTTTCTATCATTTTTAGAGTTTTTCAGTGGAATTGTCATGGCGACAATGACATCCGATCAGATCGACCATCTCGATGCAGCTATTCCAAACTCTTCGGAACTAATCCACCTCTCCCATCGGATGAGGTTGTGGAGTTTCGAGGAGTTTCGTTTTTCGGTTACTCAGTAACCTACAGATACAACAGCTTCACTGAGATGATCAATCAGGTATACCACAGAGCCTGGCATAGAGCAACACTACATGAGCCACAGACCTCCTGCTGTTGTTTATGTGGTGGTGGTGGTGCTGGTGCTGCTTACATGCATGATTATGTGATTGCAGTGTTAACTGGTGCTAGCCTCTGCATTCTTTGTCTGTGCGTGGAACTGGTTCTAGCCTCTGCATTCTTTGTCTGTGCATTGAACTGGTGCTAGCCTCTGCACTCTTTGTCTGTGCGTGGAACTGGTTCTAGCCTCTGCATGCTATGTCTGTGCGTGGAACTGGTGCTAGCCTTTGCAATCTATGTCTGTGCGTGGAACTGGTGCTAGCCTTTGCAATCTATGTCTGTGCGTGGAACTGGTGCTAGCCTTTGCATTCTTTGTCTGTGCGTGGAACTGGTGCTAGCCTTTGCATTCTAATGTCTGTGCGTGCAGGCTGTGCCCAGTGGTGTGTTTGCTTTCTTCGTTCGGCCTCTCAAGAAAGACTCTGGCGCAGAGGAAACTGCCGTGGAGCTGCAGGACATCAACTTCACACACCCTAAACAACTCCTTCGCGTTATACAGGTTAATACTGATGGTGTCTGAGTGCACGTGAAATGTACAATGTCAGCTGTGTGCTATAACAATTGCTTGGTTGTTTTGCCTGAGTTACATACTGTGGAGTGTGGTCATATTAGACAGAGGATGTTGGATTTGGGATGTTGTCTGAAGATTCATGTAGCGTGAAACTCAGAATTACAATGTACGGCTCAAATGCTGTTGTCCCCCATTGCTGTCCAGAGAATGTTGGGTATTGGAGATAGTTCTGTTCCCATCAAAGGTTCTTCGGTGCCTGTGTGTTTGTGTCTTTGTGCTTGCGCTCACGTATGTGTGTGTATGTGCTTGTGTTTGTGTGTGTGTGTGTGCATGCTTGCGTGCGTGTGTGTGTGTGTGTGTGTGTGTGTTTGCGCGTGCACGCGCGTGTGTGTGTGTGTGTGTTTGTGTGTGTGTCCCATATGGTGCAGTGGTATGTGCAGTCGATTTCCAATCGAGAGGTTGCGGGTTCAATTCCCGACGATTATGGTCGCACACGTCTTTCTTCTCTCTCTCATTCTCCTAGCTCTTCTTTCATTCTCCTGGGTGATTACCAACAGCCAGTGTATGCCGGAGTATGTGGTGTGGCGTGTGTGTGTGTAAAACATAAATGAAAAAAATGAAAAATGAAAAATAGGGATTCACTGGCCAGAAAAAGCCACTTCAATTAGCTGTGTGGTGGATACCAGGCTAAAAATTAGTGGCGGTCAATTCATCAGCCTTGCAAGCTGTTGAATGGTGTAATCCCAGCACAAGTTGCTATGTCTAACATAGCTGTTCGCTATCATCGCTTCCGCGATGGGCATGTCTGAGGTGTGTGTGTGTGTTTGCGTGTGTGTGTCTGTCTGTGTCTGTCTGTAGGTATTACGACAGCAACTGGCCTATAACAGCCTAATCCAGAGCTGCTTTGCCTCTTCGCCAGGTAAGACCACTCCACGTGTCAGGGACACTGCAATAATCTTCAATTCAGACGCATTGTACTAGTATTGTGTTACTTGAGTCTGCGTAATGGCTTCTTTCACATCATCCCTGCACAGTGTAAAGCTGCTCAAGGTTTTGAATGATAACCTGTTCTATTGCGCTTGGCATCCTTGCTGCCAGGTGGGGAATCATCGACTCATTGCTGAGTATGAGTGCGTGGCCTTTGCTGTATGTGTGTGTGTTGTGGTCTTTACGTTGCTGTACGTTTGTGTGTGTGTGTGTGTGTGTATGTGTGTGTATGTGTGTGTATGCATGTGTGTGTGTGTGTGTGTGTACGTGTGTGTGTGCGTGCATGCATGCGGGCTTGCGTGCATACGTGTTTGTTATACCGTACTTAGTATCCCAGCAGTACTCTACGATTCAGATCATTGACGTGGAAGGCGATGGCATTTCTGTGATCCGTATCACTCTCGAACATCCGCTTTCCCGTAACCTAGCTTGCAGTGAGTTTCCATTTCTCTTGTTTTGTGGAGTATTAAAATGCACACCATCATAATTATTATGTGCATGGTGTGTGTGTGCGTGCGTGTGTATGTGCATATGTGTGTGACTGTGTGTATGTATGCATGTGTATGACTGTGTATCTGTGTCTGTATATGTGTGCACGTGTGTGTGTGTGTGTGTGTGTGTGTGTGTGTGTGTGTGTGTGTGTGTGTGTGCGTGTGCGTGTGCGTGCGTGTGTTTACACCTTGTGAGGGTAGCTGTGCTCTGTCGGTGTGCAAATTACTCGCTGTACCCACTTCAGCTATGAACAGAATGCAGAAGCTCTGGTGACCTTATTCATGTACTACAGTGCATTTCAAAACTATAGACGCGTAGGTTTTTTGAAATATTTCAAATTTGGCTGGAACTTTTTGAGAATAGTTTTCGGAATATTGCTCAGGATCGCTCCACAATTACTCTCATATAGTTTCTAAAGGATTGGATAACAGACGCCCAATTTGGAAAAATTTATGCACAAAGTGATCACAGATTTTATGTGGTATAGATGCTGGCATAACGGTTTTTGCCTAGGTACGCGTCTATAGTTTTGAAATGGACTGTAGTACATGTACATTGTTCATGCACTGAGTCTGTAATGACAGTTACCTGAATCAGTGAATGGCATGGTGTTTTGAATGAGTACTACACACACTCTCTGGTGGATATCGCTGTAACGTTACAGCGTGCCTCGTCAGGAAATAGTACAGTCATCAGTAGGCCACTGGCCAGACAATAGCAACATTTAATAGGCCACTGTTAGTGAACTCTACCACTGCATAACATCGCACATAGCCACTATAGCGCAGCCCATTCCTATTGTCAGACCCTCCAGACAGCGGTTTCGCTCCAACTGACCTCATCAGTGAAGGCATCGGGCAATTCTTTGCCTGATTCTGAATAAGAGAAGAGAAGTTTGTCATGATTGGTTCATAAGGTTGTGTACAGTGACACTTCCACTTGGTGTTTGTATTGTTTGTTCTGTCATCACTGCAGTTCTATTGCAGATTGCACCAGGTGGTGTAGCTAGTGCCGAGCTGCATCTTGTTGAAGGAGATAGTAGACCCTGCTGCAATGCAGTCATCACAAAGATTGTAGCCAGGTATGTCATGGAGTGTCGTTTTGTCACTTTTGTGTGCATCCGTGTGTTTGTTGTGTATGTACGTGTGTATGTGCGGAGCAAGGGTGGATTTGCCCGACACAAGTGCTCGCCAGCAACATCATCAGCAGAGGCATCTTCTGACACACTTGAGTTACCAGTTACGAACAATATGTCCTGCGAACGCTGCAGCTTCCACTGCGCCCGCTGTAACCGCTGTGTGCTATCTCGCCAAGGCATGAAGCGTCACAAGTGCAGCCATGGCTCGGCCAGAGCAACCAACACAGACCGTAGCTCCTTCTGCATCGTTTGCAATTGCGGTCGACGTTTCAGTAGACCACAGGACGTATCCCGTCGTCGCCCCTACTGTTCCGAATCTGCTCACCCCCCCCCTGGGGTCCGCATAGCCAGAATATGGCAGCGCGTCCAAGGTCCTGTGTGTGTGTGTGTGTGTGTGTGTGTGTGTGTGTGTGTGTGTGTGTGTGTGTGTGTGTGTGTGTGTGTGTGTGTGTGTGTGTGTGTGTGTGTGTGTGTGTGTGTGTGTGTGTGTGTGTGTGTGTGTGTGTGTGTGTGTGTGTGTGTGTGTGTGTGTGTGTGTGTGTGTGTGACAGTTGTTTGTTGTGTGTGTCTGATTCTTTTAGTTCTGTGGGTGTGTAATGTGCTCCCATTGGTTTCTCTCACTAGCTGATAAGAATACAGGACATGTACTTGTACATGCTGCACTACCATGCGGTACATGCGACTTACTGTTCACCCAGATATGATCGAGTCTATTCCAAACTGATTTAGGCTAAATTAGGCTCAAAGCTAATTTAGCTAGATATGGACATGCTTGTACAGATATCGATGCATAGACCACCCTTTTCAGGTGACCTACGGATATTTCCCCTAGTTTGAGGGGATTATGGCTCATAATCCCCTCAAACGAGGGGATCTCATATCCACAGGAAATCCTCTGGATCTCCTCTGGATCTCCTCTGGATCCCCCTTGGACCCAGTCCTTCTACCAGCATAACCAAGAGAGCTAGCTCACTTGGCTGCTGTTTGTATATGCAAGAATGGGCCTTCCAGATAAGGTCTAACAAGGAGAAGTGGCTATAGTTGTCAAAAGAAAAGCATATTGGTGAAACAAAATTAAGGAAGTGGCAATCTTTCTATCACCAACAAACAAAGCATCTTAATTTGCAACATACTACATGAACCGGGTGTGCCGAACACCGGTAACCATGGAGACAGACCACACTCATAGATACTTATAAAACGCCACAAAATGTGTGTATGAAGAGACAGTGTGCTCAATTCAAGAATGGCAACCATGACGGGAGCAAAGACGGAACATGTGAAAAGCACCACAAACATGTTTGAATAAATAGACAAAATGCTCAATTCAAATACTAGTTGGCGGAATAGAATGTTAACCATGACGGGAGCAAAGGCGGAACATGTGAAAAGCACCACAAAATGTTTGAATAAAAATTAAATAAATGCGGAACATGTGAAAGCACCAATGTTCGAATAAATAGAGAAAATGCTCAATTCAAATAGGCGGAATAGAATTATAACCATGATGGGAGCAAAGGCGGAACATGTGAAAAGCACCACAAAATGTTTGAATAAAAAATAAATAAATGCTCAATTCAAGTAGGCGGAATAGAGTGGCATTCATGAGGATATGTTACTTCATGTTGATGATTATGGTAGCTCCTTGCTGTGCATAGATGTTGCCGATGCTTGCAAGAGAAGACCTCTTTGCATCCGCCCCCAGTGGCTCAACAGGCTCACTAGTTGCACCTTCAGCAGGCTTGGACACTCCTGAGTGCGCCGCTGATGCAGGGTTGAGCTGTGCCTTCTCTTCGGCTTCCGGTTCTGACTTCTTCGTGTCAGGAGTGCTCTCCTTACAACCATTGAGCACATCAGATGCACGCATCTCGCTTTTATGCGACGTCGTCTTGTAGGCTCGGACGGACTCGCTTCGGTGACCTGTGTGCTCTTTAATCAGCTGCTCGTCCATGCCCTCGTCGTAGAGGACGGTGGCACACGTTCGTCGTAGAGGACGGTGGCACACGTTCGGCGGAGAGAGTGATTGGTGTAGTAGCCCTTCAGGCCAGCACGGGCACACATGTCCGACACCATGGTGCGCAAGGTATTCTTCCCAACTGGTTGTACTGAAAACCATTTCTCCTCGGTTGGTTTTCTTAGCGGCTTGAGATAAAACTCATTGCTATCTGGACGCTTGTCCGTGTAGGTTTTGAAGAGTGAGACAATGCACCGCTCGGGGCACTGCGGATTATTGAAGGCTTTGACCGTTTTGGGGGTCAGTTTCCGGGTCTTGAGACCACCCTGGTAACTCTTCGAAACTTCCTCCGTGTACAGAAGGTACGGGCGCTCCCCGTCCTTCTCCACCAGCTTGATCTGGCTGGTGGAACCAAAGCGCAACGCACGGTGCTCTTCTCCGCTGCGCAGTGCAAAATTCTTGCCAACAAGATAAAACATTGTGTCCACAAGCTGCTTTGGGTTTCTTCCGCCCAACACACCCGACTTCCAAAGAACATCTTCATCTTTAGGCCATGTTGCCAGGGCCTGCTTCGTCTTTGGTTGGCCAAATCTTGCAGATTGCTTTATGAGGCCATCCATTACGTCCTGGAACGACTTGAATTCCCAGGAGCAAAAGAAGCTGCAGTCAGGCCGCTTTGTCCTGACAGCTCTCTGCAGCTCAACCGTTATCTCGTGATTGGTTTTGGCACAGTACTCCTGGCCGCCACCGTCACGGACTTCGAGGACAAACCTTTGCAGGAGCCACACCAGCTCAATGTCGTCTAACTCCACAATTGGACGAGCGGCTGCATTTTTCATTTTTTCGTTTGGATACTGTGCTGAATCCCTTGATGATCTCCACTTGTCCCAAACGGCCCAGGCCATTTTTTCTGGTGTTCTTGGGCACACTTGACTTTGCCATGGCGCTAACCTGTTCGTCCGAAACCAGGGCAAATCGAGTACTGGCGTTATCATTCGTGGAACTGGAAGACTCATCCGGGACACTATTATGATTATTATCGTCCTTTGCTCCATCAGCATCATCAGCAGCAGCAATATCAGCATTATCATCAGCATCAGGGACAAGCGAACAACAAAGCTCATCAAACTCTTCATCTTCCACATCTTGAACTAGCGAGCAGCAAAGCTCGTCAAATTCATTACTTGTAGTATCTGTGTCGCAGTTTTTCTCCGGAGCATCCGGAACAAGTGAGCAGCAAAGCTCATCATACTCCTCATCAGACACTTCCCATGAAACCAGATCTTCGTCCATGTCAAACAAGCTTAGCTACTCGTCGTTCTAGAACACAAACAGCACGTTACCTACACCTATTCTAGCTACTGTGACCACGCAAGTTATCGCACTGTAAACACTACTAAAATACTATTGTTACAGGCTGTCGAATGCACAGCCAGAGCAACAAAAGACAGTGGGGAGACGACGATCACAAGGAGACAGAAACAACAACTTGACCAGCATGAAATGACATAGAAAAAACAACATGGTAGTACCGGTCTTTGTACAAGTCAAGCAGCACACAAAACAGCACACAAAACGTGTACCACATTGATCCCCTGAAAAGGGTGGTCTATACAGGATATTGCACAGTGTCCGCGAGGATTATTTTTCATAATCCCCGCGGCGGATTTGAAAAATAATCCCCTCAGAACCGTGCAATATCCTATACATACTCTGGCCAAAAAATAGGTTTGTGAAGGTTCACTCCAACATTTGGAGGTACAAATCTCGATACTATGTAATCGAATTGAAAGAACATGCCACTCTGGATTGTCAAAAGCAATCCTGAAAATCAGACTCGGGTGGAGAGCCAAGGATTAATTTATAAGAAGAAAAGAGGACCAACGAGCTACAATAGAAATAACAACAGGAGGGGAAGTTCACAGCTGAGACTTTCGGCTCGTGCTTGTCTTGGTTGCGCTCACCGTCCCCTCCTTATGTTATTTCTATAACTTGGAACCTTCCAAGTTGGAAGGCTGTTGGAGTGCTAGAGCTGTTAGCCAGCTAGGTGTAGAACGTCAGTACCGTTGGTCAGTGCCGTGCAATGTTATCGCATGAGCTTATTGTAAAGTAACTGGTGCTGTTAGTGGATATTATAGCGAATCTTGTAGCTCGTTGGTCCTCTTTTCTTCTTATGAATCAATCCTGAAAAGTTCAGCCTTTCACTTTTGTATGGTTCAAAAGCAATTCCATACGCTTCCAAGCAGGACTTTACTTGGTATCCTCTGTTTCTCAATCATGGTCTTAGACCACCCTACTATGCCTGCCTGCCTGCTGCATGGATGCAGCGCATGGAATTTTCGGTCTTTGACCACTTGGTGGCGGGTCTGACCTACTCACCTCCCACCGCTTTAAATCCTTGAGGATGGTGGTGTTTCTACGGATGCGGAAAACACACAGTCTGCCTGGTCTGACGCAAACAGTGAAGTTAATTAATTTCCTGTCATTGTCGTCTTCTTTGTTGTTGCACCCACTGCAGCTGTATGTCCATACCGGCGTTAGTGCACTCCGTACGCAAGAGGTGCTCCGCACAATAACTTAGCTAGAGACCTTGTGGAGGCATCGACGCACCCAGACCTGCCCCGTACACTTGGGTAGTAGCAACAAACTGTGCCAGCGGCGGCGAGAATATCACCTGGAGGCATCTTGGCTTGGTACCGCTTTATTGGCGTATTGAATCATTCCGCTTACCATGTGTATGTCGCTGTACGTGGTACCTGCGCTGAACATGTTTGTTTGATTTGTTTCTTCTAAAGCAGCAGTACATGTACCCCACTACACGGCAGGCAGTGTGACTGGTGTCGCTGGCACTAGTGATATGTTTCACATTAGTTTCCTAACCGTATTTTTTTAGTCTTTAATCTTTTGTACAGAAAGGAGCCTGAAGAGATCATTATGCATGGTGGTGAATGTCCAGCCGAGTTGTTTTGCTTGCTCGTAAGTAATTAGTTAGTTGTCTGCCTCTTTTCATAGGGAATGCAGGCCTCCCTAAAAACATGATGATTGTACGAAACACACATGATTCAGGCTTTGCATATGAAAAGCTTCCAGACTTTTGAACTTTGCCTTGATTTTCTTGTATATTTCCTATCCGTTTTCGGTTGCAACAAGTATGTATATTTTATTTTCTCAACTTACTTGATATTTCAATATGTTCTTAGCTGTGAGCCTGGTCTGCCCATGGCTTTCATCTTGTTTTCAGCCTTACTTGTTTGCCTTTGTGCAGGCTGTATTTTATCAAGAAAGTTAGTGTTCGACGAGCTTTGTCACAGTGCACTGTAGGTATGTAATCCTGATGGCAGAGTGTGTGTGTGTGTGTGTGTGTGTGTGTGTGTGTGTGTGTGTGTGTGTGTGTGGGTGTGGGTGTGGGTGTGGGTGTGGGTGTGTGTGTGTGGGTGGGTGGGTGGGTGTGGGTGGGTGTGTGTGTGTTTATGGTGGTGACAGTATGAGCGATGAGAGCCAGGTCCTGTACACTAAACGGCCTGGCCTGGATCATGGAGGAGTACTCATCTGGACATCCAGAACTGTTACGTGGTCGCAGCTAACTGGAAATGATGTGTCCACAGCAGGGAGTAATTCTGTTTTGTTTTGTTTTTACTCCATGGTGCGCAGAGCTAGAGTCAGGGGGTAGTCTGGATCAGTGCATGCATGGAGGATCTAGCTAGGAGAGTGACATAGCCACCTACTACCAGTATACGGGCATGGTCCTTGACAGCCGCTGCATGATGCAAGCTGGTCCGTTTGAAACTGACGACAGGGCAGGGGACTGTGCAGTGACCAGTGGTGACAGTTCACGGTCGCCGTTGACCATGATTGACGTCGTCTTGGCTCCGCGGTGAGTGGAACAGTAAACCATCTACGGGCAACAGTTGTCTGTCGACAGCTCACCTCGCTCAACTCATATTCGATCCAATCCTGATCCTGACTGTTCTCTCTTTCATAACAACTGCTTCAGCTGTAGAGACCGGGTTGCTTTTGGCATAGTTTTGCTTTTTGTTTGTTTTTCATCTGCCTTCCGCTCGAGGGTAGCGAAAACCTGAACAGGCGTCTACTCGTAGTTGTGACCGGGTACGCTAAAGGAAGTCGGTACTAACAGACTATTCGCTTTGAGCTGAAGCAATTGACCAGAAAAGAGGACGAATGGGATTACTACTAGCAAAAAGCGTGGCGATGTCACATCGTACGACTAGGGATTCCAGCAAGTAATATCCGGAAAGCTGATCAGCGAGGGGACGGTGTTGATCTGCGAGCCCATTCGTTGTGGGGTGACTGTGAGGTCACGGTGGCTGAGCGAAGCAGCTTGGACTGGAATCGGAGCCTTTCACAGTTTCAGAATTGACGGTTAGGCGATACTGCCCAGCTTACATAACAGTTTGAGTGAGGGCACCGTCAGCTGAGCGTCTCGGCCTTGCTTATGTATGGCCGACAAAGAGAATGATGCGAACAGTGATGGGGTGATCGAACACAAAGAGGCTAGCGAACGATGTCGAGTAGATCTACTCCAGGAGAGCAACACCTGGCGATATCCCCATTCAACCAGTACTTCTGCATCTTCAGTGCACTCGCCAGCATGCTCGGATGGAATCAAAGCTGATCTGACAACGTTATCTGGCTGGAAGCAGTCGCCAGCCATCGCAAACTACTGGTGGAACCGTAGAGGCTTGCAGGAGCGTGGGCTGGGGCATGACAAAACCACCGGTGCAGGGCGAACAGGCGGAGCAGTGGCAGCAGCAGCCGCCAAAAGCCATCCAGAGTCCAGTGTCCATAGCCATGGCAGAGTCGGGCAAATCACATGTGACAACAGCAGAACCAGTCGCCACGCTGCCCATTCCCATGAGTCGGCGGCGACGACGACTTCAGAAGTGAAGTATCCGTGTCCATTGCATTCTGCCACTCTGCATAAGGAGCCTAAGAAGCCATCACATGATTCTCGAGATGCTTCAAAGGCCAAACATGCAGCCACTGGTGTCGCCAGTGTTTTTCACAAGTACACAACAGTCACATCCCCGCGCACAGAGAAAGAGGGGATTTCCCTGCAACCAGACGAGCTCATCAAAGTAACAGCGCCAGCGAAGTCACACCATGGCAATGCTCGCTTTACGGCAGGTTCGCAGGGTCAGCAGGCTGGTCATAGTGTGGATGAGGTCGTTGTACAGTACACGCCATACCACCTATTGAAGCAGATGTTCACGAATACAGCCACGTGCACGCCGCCACCCAGCGGTGTGGACCTTCGCCATCAGTGTCAACAGCTGAGTGCATACTTGTATGCCACTGATCAGCTTGGTCAGCAACAGTACCATGTGCAGTGTCAACAACAATTGCTGCAGATGCAACAGCATCAACAAAGGCCAGCTGAACCTGTCCATGTCACCAGGCAGCTTGGCGGCGGCGGGACGAGCAGACACGTGGGGAATGGTCATGTCCCCCTTCAGACCAGCTCCATGCCAATGTGTGGTGTTACGGGCAGTTCAACAGTACCAGGAGCTGTTCAGCATCACACACAGCAGCAGCAGAACTCAGCTCAGCAGCGCAGCGGTCGGCGAGAGCTCGGCTCTGTACAGCGTCGGCCAAGCCTTACGTCAGTGCTTGTAGAGCCGTGCCTTCCAGCATTCTCTAGTGCTTTTGATAACCTTACTGCTGAGAACCGAGGCAGCACGCATGCCAATAGCCTGCAGCAGCGGCGGGTATCTATACCAAACAGCAACCAGACACACAAGTCAAACTGGACGTCCATGCAGAAAGCTTCACATGCCGAACTGCTCCTTGAGAGTGGCATCTCAGTTCCAAACCTCACACAAGCTGCAGGCCTGCCTCTTCTCGTATCGCATGCAAGCAGCAGAGGGCCAGAGCTGTTAGTAGTAGATCCTAGGGATATGTCAGGTGAGGGACGCCGATGGAGACCGGCTGACTCGCATGCCTATAGCAACAAGGAAAGACAGACCCAGCAGCTGCCATCTCACCAGCGTGCAAAGCCACCGATGCAGCAGCAGCAGACTTGCTCGCTGGTTGAGATGTCCCTTGCCGAGAGTGTTCCACAGCGGGACACTAGGCACACTAACAGCATGATCAACTTTCCACTGATACAGGCCAAAGGCAAAGGTCACAATTCAAGTCTAAAGCAAAGTCGGACAGGTCACGGCCGTACCAGAGGCGATAAGTCCGAGCAACCTCAGTCTACGACACTTCCAAAAATTGACGGCTTCAAATTCATGGGAGATATTCCAGGAAAGGCACCAGATGGCGGCATTATGGCATCCAAAAGCGTACATGCAAGTCGTGATGCACTGGCTGCACGAGAGGCTGCGGGTCAGCCGTCACAATTTCAAGTTGCGAAGAGCAAAGCTGGGCGCACAACATCAGGTAGATCTACCAGTCATCACAGGCAAGCAGTGAAACCGGGTTCTAAACCTGGACATATGGTAGTCGAGTGGAAGGCAATGTGAGTGATGGCCAGACCTGATCATGTGATATCCTTCATTTTTTTGCTGGGTACGTCATCGCGATGGATGCAGATTAGCTCGGTGTTTTCATCACAGGGATGTTCTGGAACATACCCCAGACCCGACCATTGTGGTGGATATGTGTCCCTTCCTTTCCCAGCATCTACGCTACTAGTATTCTTCTTGAGCTGGGCTGTCATAGGATCTACATGGCAGTGATAATAATTATGTGCTTGCTGGAGCATGATACTGTGTATCTGGGAGATCTAAATTATTGCATGCCCGGCATGGCAAACTTGAACACCGATGCACGATTCTCCACCAGCTTGAATACCCCCTTTTTTAATTGGTCCTGGGTTTTTTTCAGCAACATGTTGACACAAATCTTGATTTTGCAGCGCACAATAATCGGAGAAATATGCCGTTTTGTAACTCTATATCTGGCCAACCTGTTCTCAACCATTTCCGTCCTATTCTTCATACTAGTGCTGCAGTATTCTTGTCAACTACATTCCAGCCAGCGCTGAGCAAAAACTAAACTACAAGTGCAACTGTTCATGCACAGTGGCGGGAACTGAAATCCGACCCCTGATTCAGTGCTGGAGTGCAGCACCGATTCTAGCGGTCTGTATTTTGTAGTGTAGCCGGGTCTTGCAATGTGAGCGCACCGCTCCAGGGGTTGGATTTCATTTGCCAGCATTTTACTATACATGTAGCAACCACAGCAAGAGTATGGGAGGTTCTACTCTTGGCCATAGCCATAGTGTGAAGTAGGACACCCAATAGATTGGCCCTTGGCAGATAATGCCAGCAGTAAAACAGGCAGAATGTAGTACTCTTTCTGGTATATTTCTTGCATGTTTGGTATAATATGAATAGAGAAGAGAAACGGAATTGGAGGAATTGCACACCATACGCTTTTCATGGTTCTGTCAAGTTTCTGCTTTTTTTTGCAGAATCTGCCCATTTTTAGAACATTATTCGCCAAGGCCTATCATAGATATGCATTCTTTTTGAATACGTCCACAGAACAATCAGATAGCAGTTAGAAAGAAGGCTGGAGAAGCAAGGATTGGTATCAGCCCTGGAAGATGCAGTGCAGCTAGCCCAAGCAGCAAGGTCATCACGGTTTTAAAATAAATAAAGCAGAGTGCATAATAACGTATAGGAAGTTTCCAGAAAGAATGGAGCATCTTCAGTGAAAATGGAAAATGCAGGCACAAGTTAAGTATGACTTGTGCCCACATTTTCCATGTTACAATTTTTTCCTGGCTCACCATCTGAGTTATTAGTGCACAGCTGAAGAGCCGTCATGAACAATACGGCGAAACGATCGTCGCGTGATACTTCAATTAAAAAAGTGAAAAAGAGAAAGGTCCCAGATGTGTTGTAAAAAAATTGAGACTTTTGTACTGAAAAAATATTATAAAACACCTAGTTAGGGGGGGGGGGGGGCAGGAGGTTCAATACGCATAATGTAATGTAGCTAAAACACACACGTACGCATAGAAACAAAAATAAAAATAGAATATTCAGAAACACAGCCTGCATGGCCAGCATGCACGACACTGTGAATTCTGACACCATCACCATACACTGATTCCAACACCCATGCACAACATGCTAGTATATGTCATACTAGTGCGTACTGCAATGTAAAAATTGGTATAATTATTAAATAGCAATAGTGATAATTATGGACTTGGATGGAGAGCCAAGGATAAATTTATAGCAAAGAAAAGGACCAAGGAACTACAAGTTACAAGACTAGTGCAATGTTATCGCATGAGCTGATGGTCAAGTAACTGGTGATGTTAGTGGACATTATAACGTAACTTACTTGTAGTTCCTTGGTCCTTTCTTTGCTCTAAGTGAAAATCATGTTGAACAATACGAGCATGACAGACACAGCTGAAAGGTGCCTGCACTGAGCCATGCTATCTGAACACTATCCAGACCGACAGAAGAATAGTAAGTTGGACAACAACAGCTATACGCAAGAACCACTTGAGCCCAGTGGGGGACCAGCGGAAGCCAAAGAGTTTCTCTACCGTCTCTTCAGTGTGGTCCGACTCCAGGGTATGTTCATCGACATTACCACCCGGCATGTCGTCTTCAGATAGTCCAGCCTCACTTTCAGACGCAGTGCCGCCGCCAGCAGCATTGGCAGACAAGGACGTTTCACGGACATCAGGACCGACCTCATGTTCCACAAGCAGGGTGTTCTCAGAGTTGTGCTCGGGACTAGAGGTCGGTGCTACACTATATTCTTGGCTGTCATTTCTGGTCCACCAAGTCAGTCCAGCAAGTTGTGACCTAGGAATGGGTTCAGTGACTAGACTAACTACAGCTGTGATTACCAAACTGACTAGTAGCTCAAAGAAGCCAACATAGATGAAGTGAACACGCACAACCCACGGACGCATGTCCTCACAACCGGAGCTTGACATGGAGTTGTAGACGCTCTCCAGGACGAAGCGGACCAAGCCGATCAGCAAACCCACCGTAAGACCAGCGTAGACACCGCGTGGTGTTGTGCGCGTCCAAAACACACCCATCAGGTAGACTGCGGACAATGGTGGCTGTGCATAGCTGCTGATTGCCTGCATAGGACAATCATCACAATGAATACAACATACACTAGAGAAAGTCAAGATAGAACCCGTAGTTGAAAACAGCTACAAACATATCAAATACGGGATAGGCAGAAACATTGACCTCACAAGACACACCATATGTACTAATACACAGCAGTTGCAGGTCTTTGAGGGAAACTTTGGAAAACAACCCACCTTGATCACATTATCGCTTCTACCAAGAGTACATAACGAAGAGTATGCAACTCCCATCTTGAGGTGCAATGGGGTCACCCACGGCAGAATTAGTTTATTGCGTCATTTTTCTGGCAAAAAAAAAGGTGTATGGTTTTCAGCGCTTATCTTGTATACACGGTGTCAGTTCATCAGGGCTCAGGGTGTATGGATCTACCATCCGTTGTTCTGCTTCGACTACCGTAGCTGCAATGTACAAGTTATTCGTATTGTGACCTCTAGCTATGCATGATAGCATGATCGAACCAAACGGCTCCGAAAGACTGACGTCATAAAAATTCCACCATGGGCTGAGAGATTCTTGAGTTGCACACTCTTGCCAGTCTTGGTTAGGTACTCTTCCTGCTACATGTACTCTTGTCTTTCATTTTTCTTGTATACCAGTTAAAAAAAGTACAAGTACATGAATAGTACTGCACTGTACCTGCACTGTACCTGCAAATAGAGAAAGAGCTGATCACCCTGCAGGGCTTCAAGAACAGGTAGCCAAGCGACGCTGATGACCACCATGACAACCACCACCACATAGCCAACAACGACCTGCTGTCTCTGTGACGAGTGCGGCCTGAGTGCGTTCCAGACGTCAATGGTGAACATTGTGCCAGCACTGTTGAAGGTCGACGCCAGGGAGGACATGAGGGCTGCCATCATCACAGCTAGTAGAAGACCGGTAAGGCCCGTTGGAAGGACATTCAGCACCAGCTCGGGGTACGCAATGTTGGAGCAGCCATCGGAATTGTCACAGATCTCCTCGCATTCACAAGCAATGCCGCAGCCAACTCGCCGCGGGTACAGTGTGCGTGCAATCATGCCAGGCAGGACGATGAGGAACAAGGGCAGAATCTTGAGCAAGCCGCACAGGATCGTCCCCAGCTTTGCATGGAACGCATTCTTGGCACCGAGAACACGTTGAACCATGACCTACATGCATACATACGGAAAACACAGAGAGAGAGAGAGAGAGAGAGAGAGAGAGAGAGAGAGAGAGAGAGAGAGAGAGAGAGAGAGCGAGAGAGAGCGAGAGAGAGAGAGAGAGAGAGAGAGAGAGAGAGAGAGAGAGAGAGAGAGAGAGAGAGAGAGAGAGAGAGAGAGAGAGAGAGAGAGAGAGAGAGAGAGAGAGAGAGAGAGAGAGAGAGAGAGAGAGAGAGAGAGAGAGAGAGAGAGAGAGAGAGAGAGAGAGAGAGAGAGAGAGGAGAGAGCAAGAGAGAGAGAGAGAGAGAGAGAGAGAGAGAGAGAGAGAGAGAGAGAGAGAGAGAGAGAGAGAGAGAGAGAGAGAGAGAGCGAGAGAGCGAGAGAGAGAGAGAGAGAGAGAGAGAGAGAGAGAGAGAGAGAGAGAGAGAGAGAGAGAGAGAGAGAGAGAGAGAGAGAGAGAGAGAGAGAGAGAGAGAGAGAGAGAGAGAGACAGAGAGAGAGAGAGAGAGAGAGATCTAGCCAGGGGAGGGGGAGGGAGAAGAATGGTCAGAGATGGGCAGGGGAGGTTCCACTGCGTCCCAGTATGTCATAGCATTGGCAATACCTGAACCAAAAGAAGATACTGCAACATTCATTCCATGCCGGTGCATGGCTGTGGAAAATGGATTCTTGGCACGTGTGCCAAAGGCTATGAATCTACTTCGGGTAGTCCTCTCGCATCCTCCGTTGAGGCACCACGTCTGCCGCTTGGGGACTATGTCATGGATGGTAGAAGCTTAGCGCATTCGCATGCACAGTGTAGGTAAAAACACGTACTGGTAATTTACTTTGAGTAGTAGATTTGGTATGGTATGGTATTTTAATTTTAATTCACCAATCGAACAGGCATATCTGCCTTCTTGCCGGGATGGCCAGAGCCAACCACGGCTCCTACTAATTGATGAATATGATTTAGTGTCTACATGTTCTGGTACCGGTACTTGATTGCCTTGCAATAGACCTGGATAGGGCTCAGTAGCCCGGAAAAAAGAAGAGTACAAGTTAACTCATAAATTATCGCGTCCGTACCCGAGGGAATTCACGGCGGCCGCTAACACCTGGTAAATCCAGCGGCATATGCAGCGTAGCCTAAAGGTAGACAACAAACTTTTTTCAAGTTCAATACCTGACTAGAGCACCAGTAGAATATGCCAGTGGAGGGAATAGCTATCACCACGGCTGGCCAAGGAAACTTCTCATCGCTGGGACTACGGAACATGTGGAAAGCGTTGTCTGGAACTGCACCGACATCACACGTTCCGTTTGGCACGCTGTATGTGTAGTTTCCTGGCCACTTCTCACGCAAACCGGAAAGGCCGCCGACTTTGTTGAAGCCTGCATCGGCAATACACATGGCAGGGAACTGGCCAGATCAGCAAACATCGGGTGTCTATAAGTCATTGTAATCGGTACATTGGTGATATGGGCAGCAGATAACAAGTCATTTTATCCAGCTTTCTAGGCGGTCAAAGCAGTGACAATTTGGCAACTAATAGAGTGCACGTGGCGCCAGCTACCTAGTGAAACCAGCAATAACGTTACAAAGCATAACATCCTGCAACAATGGGGACTCATACTTGCCAACCCAGCCAAAGCAAATCCCTTAGTCACACACCCAGTTTCCCTTAATTTTCTCTCATTTCCCTTATTCCCTGGTTTTCGCCAATTTCGGCCATTTTCTCTTTTTTTGGGCAATTTTGTTCTCTCTTTTTATTCATTTCTAACCCATTGCTCATTGGGGGACCAAAACCTGAGTTTCAGATCGCCACTACATGTGTGATTCTGTGAAATGCGGGGCCGTATGAGCCCTTGTCACACCACAAAACCATTTTTTTTAAACAATCATGGTTCAGTGCCAATACCGGTAGTTTTCCGATCAAAGTCAAAAATCCCCGGTATGCAGGTAGTGACCGTAGTTTCCCGGTATAATACCGGGAAAACCGGTATAATACCGGGAAAACCGGTATGGTTGGCAAGTATGGCGACTACGGTACTACTGTACACTGTCAAGACAGTGAATATTTTCGCACATACATGTACTTCTTCTGCGCATACAATTCAGATTTCAGCTTAGCAATGTACACGTTGCGCCCCGCCCCCTTGGACATTGAAGCGTAAAGTGCTTGTATCGCTGATGTACCGATTATGTAAAGGTGCGAAAAGCATTATTGGATTTACCAGTGGGCTTTGTGCTATGTGCACTGATTTTTCTTCTTCCAACTAAATCTCTCTATTATTCATTGCAACGGGCTATTCATAGTTAATTACCACTTTGTCATTGTAATTTAGTATTCACGCAAATAGGTTCAACTGATTGAATACAGGACACAGGTATGCTTACTGAGAACCATCAACACAAAAGAGCCGGCGACCATGATTACTGATTGCAAGACTTCAGTGTAGATGACAGCTGCCAGACCACCTGAACAAAGATAACAGCGGAACAGCGAGGCTTAGCCCGGGGGACAGTCCCTTCTACAGTGGCTTTACAGAGTAGCTCACCTGACCTATACCTGTATGGTGGTTTCCCATAAGCTGGAACTGTGCCACAACATCACCATAATTATGGGTGTAACAACTGATTTCTGGTAATAATTGGACTTTCAACGAAGAACAAACAAGAGCTACTTTTAAAATCATATCTGGAAATTTGTGGAAATACTTCTGATCACAATCCGCACATGTAGCGTTAGTTGCATAACGTACCAGTGATTGTATAGATACCAGTGATGACCAACAGAGTGATTGTTGATGGGTAGATGTCCCAGCCAAGAGCTTCTTTCATGAAGACATCCCCGGCATATAAATCGACCTACCCGTAACATGAGAAGCCCAGAATAAGGCAAAGTTGCACCAGAAACAAGCAGGTGTCGCTACTGGCGCACAAACAGCACACTCACCACTGACCACAAAAATAATTGCACACAAACCAGCTAGGACAGGAAGAATGAGGAGGATTTCCTTTTTCACTAAGTTTCCAGTAAAATAGTCTATCTGCAAGATCACTGTTGATGTGAAAACAACAGGGAGTCATATAAATTCACTCCACTAAAATAATGACATCAGCACATGTAGATGACATACCGACACTTTGGTCAAGATGTAGCTGATTAGCGTGTAGACCGAGACAAAGGCACGTAACCGAGGACTTTGGAACCTCCGTCCCAGGAACTGTGGCATAGTATACACCTGTATGGGTGAGGCAGAATAGTGTGTGTTTCCATTGTAAGCATTAGTGCTAGCTCTTGCACGTCACAATATTACTGAGCTAGGCCCCAGAGTCAACAGTACTCTTGATGTACAGCATGGCCACTCTGGCGGTACTCCGCTGCTGCCAAAGGGATCATGCAATGACACACAGTCCACGTCACCCTTCAGCAATCAAGCCATGTATTCAGTGAAGTTACGAAATTACACCTGTGCCGCTGCACATACATCCCCACTCGCAAGCAGGACTTCGCTCAGCACAACTGCTATTCAAGTAAGCCAAGTGCATAATACACACCATAACACAGAACAGATATTTATTGAGCCAATTTGGCTGGAAATCACTTGATATTGGAGAAAAAAACTCATAATTGGCTTCTCAGTGACCTGCTGACAGTGGTGTTGTCAGCTAAAACTTACCCCAGACTTGAGGTAGATAGGTGCAAAGAGCCAGCCAAGAAGTAGTACTATCCAAACAGCCTTCGCATTGCGCAAACAGAAAAGGAAAAAATGGTCTCACAATTAAACGAAAGAACCAAAATGTTACATGTTATCCGTAGTTTGTGTCCAACACTAACACTAACACTAACACTAACGGCAGTTATAAGCAAGATGTTGTGTAGTCTCAATCTACACAGAACAACAAGGGCAATCGAGGCCAGTTTGTTGCTACTTAAAGTTTCAAGCTCTCGCAATCATCAGGCATGAAAAGTTAAAAGTAGCGACAAACAAGCCTAGATCGCCCTTGTTGTTCTGTGTATTACGCTCTACCTCCGCCATGGTGTTGAACACTGTCAGCACACTGGGTGCATCCTCCGGCGTAGTCTCAATTTACAAATTTGCAACGTGCTAAGGGCTAGGTACATGTATATAGGCAAGTGCATCCAGCGGCTTGAACAAACCATATGGGCCATTGCAAGCAAGATAGTGTCTTCGGAGCTACATTTTAGTAAGTATGAACTCCCATGCGAGCAAGAGTAGTTAATTCATCTTGAAAACTTATGTAGCCCCGAAGACACAATTTGCTCATAACGGCCCATACTAGTATTTATTTAGAAACATTTCATTACTTTGAGGGAAAGGAATGGGGAAAAGTCTGGAGAAAATGGACTGTCACCACCACGATTTGAGCCAGGGACCACTCTACCACTAGGTCACGGCGTGAGTTAGTCGCCATCCCAACTTTTCATGTGGTAATAAAAACTAATACGCACAACCTTGTAGAATACATACTAAGTCCCGAGTGTTCCCAGACAGTATGAGCATTGGGAAGATACCAAGGAAGAATATTCAGTAATCACACAGGTCTTCTGAGTTACCGGTACCTACATGTAGTTCATATGCAGAGACAGCAACACCGGATGCAGCACCAGTGCCAGCAAGGCCAATGAAGTGTTCACTGCCAATATTGCTGGCGAACAAACTGGTACCAATCTGGACACAGGCAAGTCATGGTGATAACTGATAAGCGACAATGCAGTGACAATTTAGATTACAACCACGCAAACAGTAAAGGCGTTTGCTCCCCGCAAACACACACACAGTCACACACACACACACACACACACACACACACACACACACACACACACCATTGGACGCCCATCGCCATAGCGATGCTACAGCAGAAGCCATAGCAGCTTGTGCTGGAATTGCACCATTCAACACACACGTGCACACGCATGCACACTTCTAGTGCCCATTGTGCGCAATCCAGTATCTAACAAAAAGCCATAGCTAATAGAATTCCATGTTCTGCCATCATACAACAAGTGGCATCCACTCTAAAGTTAGCAGTGTGTAGACTGGTAATACCTAGCTTCTTGAAAGGCTCTGCGAAAAATACAACCATCACCATGCGATTTGAGAGTACCAGCCATGCAGGAGCTCAAGGTGGACAAGACAAGAGCCAGTTTTCTGACCTAAAAAAACACCCATGATTATACTACTATACTAGCAGCACCCCCGCCAGCGTTGCCTGGCCGAATGTGGCATGCCGGTGAAGCAAGTACATGAAGCGCACACGTGCTCAGCACGTGGTGGTGGCCAGACCGCTGAAGTCCTGGTGAGGGAGGTTCTTCATCGTTGGAAGGAGAAGGAGGGACGTCTGTTACGCCTTCGGGAGGCTGGTCAGGGTTGTCCATCACCTGGTGGCGGATGAAGCGGCTCAAAAAATTCAAAAACTTACGAACAAAAGTGCGATGCGCTCTTCACTGCAGATCAGATGCAGAGTGCAGTCAGTGCAGATCTTTTGTATCCTTTTGTTGGAGATGTTTCTATTTGCAGAGAACGGTTCACGTGGTCCGCAGCGCTTGTGCGGCTGCTAGTGCTACCTATGGCCTAGGCTAGGTGGCTACATGATTCGCACGCTTCGCGTGCTCAGTGCTTCTGCGCGCGGCTGCTACTGCTACTCGTACTGATCGTGTCTGCATAAGTATAAGCGCTACCACCGTAGAAATAAAAAATCCGAAGGAAATACGACAATTTTACTGCGTCTGTAGCTTGTGTTGTAGCGCACCCATGTTCTGAATTCCTGCTGGGTGGGTCAAGCCAGACTCTCTTCCCTGTTCCATCGGCTCTCCAAAAGTATATTCTGACATTGTTGAGATTTACAGATGAGAAATTGCACACCTGTCAAATCGTTTCTGATTCGAGCACCCGGGTCTACGTACAGTCTACTCGCGATAAGTCACGCACAGTGTCCTGGAATAGAAAATGCGCGACTTACCGAGAGTGCGCGACTTACATTATACACCACGTCATGCATATGTACAGCCGTCATTTTTTCTTCTGCATATGGACATGTGTGCTGAACAAGCGTACAAGCACTGTACTGAGCTGCATGCGCACGGTAGACCTACACTGTCTGTAGTCTACACTGACTGACACTGTACACTGCTGTACACGAGACGTACATTGTAGATCTACCACAGCGTGAAGCCATGATCCGTTGATCGATATGAAGGCATGATCGAGAAAGAAAAGTAACGACGTTCCGTTACTTTTGCCGTTTTGGTAGGGATTTGACAAGACGCACTTCTGTTTCAGTCGTGTAAACACTTCGTTTCCCTTTGCTTGACGATGCCTTCTCATAAGAAAACGAAAGAACAGCGAACAGTGGCTGATCGACTGCGTTTGGTTCGTCTCTATCGTGAGAGTGGAAAAACCTCCGCTCGAAAATTTGCGAAGTTGAACAATGTTCTGGAGGCGATGTTCCGCGGCTGGCTGAGGGATGCTGAAGCTGGCAAACTCGCCGATGCTAATCCGTCTGGTCCACAGGGAGTCCGCAACAGAAGTTCCCAGTTCGGGAAAATTGAGGAGCGGCTAGTGAAGTATATTTTGCTTCGAAGGGAGAAGTTTGTGACTGACAAACTTGGATTGTCGTGGGTGATCCTGAGGGTGAAGGCTCTCATACAATATGCACAATTCAGTCATAATAATTATATTCTTACCTTTACAGTATTCAAGCTCCATCATTGAAAACCACATCATTCGCAAATATTCACGAAATCCACGAAATCCACAAAATCCCGAAAAATAAAAAAATCTTGAGGTGGGTGTCCTGGATGAAAAAGTGCGTGACTTATCGCGAGTGCGTGACTTAAAAGTGCGTGACTTATCGCGAGTAGACTGTACCTACACTGTTCGCACGCTTCGCGTGCTCAGCACGTGGTGGTGGCTACACGATTCGAACGCTTCGCGTGCTCAGTGCTGTGGCTGCTTCCGCTAGCTACACGATTCGCACGCTTTGCGTGCTCAGTGCTTCTGCGGCCGCTAGCTACACTGTGCTAATTAGAGGGTTTGGAAACGTGCCTCTAATCACGCGTACAGCAGACAATGTTCTTTAATTCCCAGTATCGAGTCAGCGAGAATCGGTATATTGCTCACAGGAAATGGCAAGGAGATAGTCCAACGAAGGAAGAATTCTACGTGCAGAGACAAACCACAAACTACTGCCAGAAGTCCAGAAGTGGAAAAAGCAAAAAGAAGAAAGCCTGAGCCGACTTTCAATGCCCGAGCTAGATCCTCGTAAAGGATACTTGGTGGAACAACAACAAAACACATGTATACAAATATGGTAGAGTACATAAGCATGTAGCAGAGTTCGCAGGAAGTGGTACATCTGCGCAACGTTCCGAGGGTCATGCGTAGCATGGTACTCTACGTAGCCGACAATGGCAACATGATAAAGGCTACATCCTGTAAACAAAATGTTGCCGCGCAGAAGCTTGAGAAATGTACAAAATTACGAAATCGCGGAACGAAAGATAAATCGCAAGAAATCCGTGCAGGCACTACACTACACTGTTCGCACGCTTCGCGTGCTCAGGGCAGCGCTGCTCCGCAGCGCTTCAGCGTGACACAAAAACACACGTCACAGGTGCCTCTTCTTTATAAGGAGCGTGACACACACACAGACACACGTCACAGGTGCCTCTCTTTTATAAGTAAAGATACCATGTACTGTAAAAGCCATATATATAACGAGTTAACGAGGAGAAATCTGTCGTTAAAATAGAAATCGTTATACAGAAATCGATACATATACTGTTCTATTGAGCATCGAGAATGAGTGAGAATCGTTACCTTTGGTACACATAAACCTGTCAATTTTGGGAAATCGTTATGTATGCGCCTCGTTAGAATAATGGATTTTACAGTATATGAATGACACGTCAAGACAAGACAGTTGATAGAATGACAATAATCATAACGACAGTCAACACACATGATATTGCGGTATGGTACTGGCCAATGAAATACAGATTCAGCTTCGAGTCCAGTAGCGAGCTTTCTTGCAACTAGAGCACATGAGTACACATGAGTACACAGCTGCACTGTGCCGGCGGGTACTGTAAGTTACTCGAGGCTGAGCCCGTATTTCACCGACCAGTGCTGTAGATGCACGGCCCTCATTTAGACAAGCTGATGGGGTCTTCTGACAAATCAACTGAGACGATACGATAACCAGCGCAAGGATTTGCCTCTTTTGTAAAGACTGTGGCTGAGTGTTCTACTCACCGCCCACCAAGGCACAGATCTGCCCGCAAGAAAGTAGCCTTCAGTTGAGCCATGATTTGTCTTGCGGCGGCTTGTCTGAGCATCACACAGGCACGACACATAGTGCTCGGCTTTAACACGGCTACACTCAGCCGCTACAGTGGCCGGCACTACATAATTGAATACATGAACCGTACACGCGCGCGCGCGTGTGTGTGTGTGTGCCAGAGTCTCAGTGCGGGTTCCAGCAAAGACGTGATTGTTCCAATGCCATCTTCTCTGTCAACTTGTAGAGAAATTATATCAGCATCGTTCGAAACTGCTTTGCGTCTTTGTGGACCCCGCAAGACTGTGTGCCTGTTGAGGCTCTTTGGCAAGCATTGCTTTGGCTAGGTGTACCCCAAGAGGCTGTGGCTCTAGTGAAGTCGTTCCATATGGATATGTTGGCGTCTGTTCGTGTTCCCGGTGGTTGTACCGACCAGATCTCTGTCAAAAATGGTTTGCGGCAAGGGTGTTTGTATTTTTGTTCCCCTCCTCACGAGGGCAGCAGTATATCAGGGTCAAGGTCAGGATAAAGGTGTGTGCGTGCATGCATGCGCCTGTGTGCCGGTAACGTGGATGTGCAAACTTGGTTTTTACTTGAACGTGGAGGTGGAGGTCTCAAAAATACAGGTTGCATAAAACTAAACACTGCAAATATTTAATAATTTTAGAAAGAATTTAAATTGGAGTAGTGAACTCACCCAAATGCCAATCCCTATCAGACCAATGAAATAAACAGCTAGGACAATTCCATCCCAGGGACGTTTGAATAGGTTATAGCTATTCCTCTCAATAGTGACGTTGTGGCAGCTTGACTCCATGCCCTAGCAGTCGAAAATTACTCTGCAGCAGATTCTTATTGACGACTGACGTTACATGAACTGTGCATGGGATACTACAGTTGTGTGCACGCAGTCGGAGCATTTCTCCAGGCCCGCCAGCACATTGTGTACTTTTATCTACTGGTATCATCAAAATCCAACACACCTACAAAACTAATAGTTACTTCCACCACCACCGTGCCAAAGAAGGTCATCACTTATCTACATCTATCACATGTATCAGGCCCTGGATCGACGCCTCGAGCACTGCAGGCAAAGGGACGATGAAAGGGTTCGTTCAAAACAAGCATTGCTGGCGACGTCATGCACAATCACGATGACGAGCATTCTCATAATACAAGTATTAGTACCGGTACTTTCCCCTGGCGCTGGGCCCTGTGCATGTGGCACTGGCAGTGTGAGGCTGCACGACAGAACAGCTTTCGCTGCTTTGACCCCTGTCCGAAAATACACCGACACACCAGATCTACATCAAGCCAAACCAAAAACTACACAGTTGTTCCCTTCATGGTAGATCTGCGTTGTTTTGTTTGCTTTCAGCTAGCTGCAGTCGGCATTTGCGTTACCCAGTGTTATATTTTCTAAACTTAGCTGGAATATCATCAGGTCTGTTGCAAGAAGTGTTTTAGCGATGACCTTGCAATTGGCTTGCTTTTCGTTATAACTTTTAAAAAGCCATTTAAAAAATAGGAATGGAGTCCCTTTACTGGCGGAGTGCCAGGCGTATTTTCGAGTCCTTTCGCCGAGTTCGTTTGCGGCAGCTGTATGATTCGCCATTGCGAAAGGCTTTACCAGCCCTGAGTTTCGGTGGAAATTTGCGACTGATTGCCGGAGGTGCTACTGGCGGTAAGTCTGTGTATTTTAAAATATTTTCGAATTTTACACAAGCAAAAATGCCAATGCATCAAGTACATGTACACTACAGCTACACTATAAAGAGGTTCTGCTACTAGTATGTGAAACGTAGAGAAATCACGTAGAGAGCTAGAGCAGGTGCCTGGGTTAGAGTCTACGGCTGTGTGTGTTTTGGGTCCAGATTTCTACGCGTAGAGGAGATTCTGTACGTTGCGGCACACGCAAAGAAAATGCATACGGATCTGCTGGGTATGATTCGAGTGCGCGAGTGCAGGCAGAAAACTGCCAAATATGGAAGGGGAAATCCCCAGTACACATTCCACGTGACTTCTCTACGTGAAACGTAGAGCAGAACAGGATTTCTTTACGTTACGGGAACGCGAAGAGAGTTCGCGTGATTCTTTGCGTGGCGTTCCCGAAACGTAGAGCAGAACCTCACTACTGTACATGTATATACACGTGTATGGCCCCACTGTATGTGACTCTAGTAAAATGCCCCGTCGTCCCAGGAGCATAAAGGCTGTTTGAGCTCCCACCTGTGATATTTGCTAGTCGGACAATCAACTCGAAAACACCCGAGCGAAAATTGTCGACATAAGGGCCATTGTGAGCCGTAGGTAGGCCTCCGCGGAATATGCTCATATTTTTACCGATTATTCCTTTGAGCATTGCTCAAAATTACGTCCGATAATTCCCGTAATTCCACCAATAATTCTCACAATAATGCTTTTTTTCTTCCCTTTTTTGCAGATACCGTTTTGCCACTTGTACGGGCAAAAAAATCACGGTTCGCGTGAAACTCGGCTGGAAACTTTTTTTCTTTCTCTTTTGAAATACCGGGCGGTCAACTCATTCAGGATCACAAGCTTTTTGGTACAAATCAGGGTGTTAAAATGGAAAAAATGAAAAAAGGGGGGCATTGCTCAAATTTTACCGATTATTCCACAAAAATTGCCAATAATTCCCGTTTTAAAAATCACACCGATAATTCCCGAAATTATGCCGGCATATTCCGCGGAGGCCTAGCCGTAGGTGAGCGAGGCCTACGCATGACCCAAGCTGCGGGGCAATATAAATAGAGCATCAGCAAGTAGGTAGGGTGGGTTTGGATGGAGCATTCTTCTCTCGGAACGGCCATGCTCCGGAGGACTGCGCGCCTGCATCTTGGTATTTTGCATGTGGGGTGACACCCGCTCTGTAATCTAACTAATCTTCACCAACTATTCAGCACCATGATTCACGTATGGTTGGCGTTATAATGAGCAGTCTCCAGATTCCATTACCAGTTGTCTGATGATTGCTTCGCCATGACACTTTTAAGTGACAATACAATCCGACTAAACCTCAATCCGACTGGACCTCTTCTCTTCATACGCGTAGATTATCTGCGCACTGAACATTTTTTCGGCAGTTGCCACTACTTTCTATGCAGTGTTGTGTATGCCTGTAGTAGTGGCGGTGTTGGGCAACTCCTGGGAGTAGCAGTAGCTGGTGTTGTGTGTGTGTGTGTGTGTGTGTGTGTGTGTGTTCTATAGGATGTTGCTGCTTGTCTGATTTGTGCAGGTGGTCTAGCTGCATTCATGACTCTTGGTGGTGCGAGTGCAGCAGACTCTGTGGAGCCTGCCGGAGGCAACAGTCCCACGCAATCGACGCTATGTCGAGTCATGCTTCCGGACGATGCGAATCCCAGCGGCAATGTACATGGTGGTACCATTCTGCACCTTATTGAGCAGGCAGGCTGGATTGTTGCCACGCGCCATTGCAACTCAAATAAGTCATCAGAAAACAGTGGATTCTTCTCATCCGCTAAGGACTTGTCGGCAGCGCTAGTGCGTGTTGAGCACATGGACTTCATCCAACCAATGTATATCGGTGAAATTGCGCAGGTGCGTCTCTTGTTACATTCACCTTCATGGGATCACAATGTACATGTACAGTCAACTTGGCTAATAACGACTGCGGATATAACGACAATTCGCGAATAACGACAGAATTTCCATGCCCAGAGCAAAGTCCCTTCTGACTGTATACATTTAACTTCAGATATAACGACTATCTGAATAACGACAATTCGCGAATAGCGACATGATTTTAGTGCCCCGAGGTCATATTCACTGCTTGAATAACGACTTTCTGGGTTTTTGACAGCTATTTCAAGTACCTGTCATGCAGAAGTACCAGAACCCGTGGCGATGGATAAGGCACACATACAAGAAGATACAGCAAGGGGGTGCTTTTTCTTTTTTCTTTTGCTTCAAAATAGTTGGAATGATCAGCACACCTATTGTACATGTAGTTGTACATGATTGCACATTAATCTTCATACATGTACATGAACATGTCCCTGTAGATGGCTCCAAAAGGTTAATTTTTCAATTTATTTCCCTTGGATATTGACTTTATACATTCCTTTCAATTGCAATACGAAAATAAAGCACAAATTGACGTAGAGCATGAAAAGAGCTTCATTTCGATATGCATGTCATACTTTACAAAATATGGGTTCACATACATTCAAATGGGACTTCGGATATAAGGACACTTCGCGAATATGGACACTTTTCTGATGCCCCGCCGAATGTCGTTATTCGCAAAGTTGACTGTAGTAGGATTTTCCTTGGTGGCAGATTTCTTTAAAAAAATTGCCTCGTGCTTAAGTATATTAGTATTTCAATTGTATGCTGAGCTAGCCTGTCAGTATGCAGATGTTGTCGATGATCTGGCCGCTAAGCTGCTCAAAGTACGGAACATGTACATGTAGTTGTGAGTTGCTGTATGTATGAATTGGTGGCTGTGCCAATACTTTTCTTCTTCTCCTGCTGCTGTGTGGTCCAGATAACTGCCAACGTGGTGTTCACCTCAGAACGGTCTATGGAAGTACGTGTGGAGGTATGGGCGGAGAATGCTTCGAAGGGCCAGCGTCGTCTTACCAACCAGGCTATCCTGTGGTATGTGGCTGTTCCTATGGATAAGGAAACATCCGCCGGTCATCTCAAATCACAGCCTGTTCCACCTCTTCCATCCAATCTCAAGCTGAGAAAGGAGGTTGCAGCTGCGGCAAAGGAGCGTTACGAAATGCAGAAAGCTCAGCGGGCCCAGGCGCAAGAGCTTCCAGGTGATACCAAGCTGGTAGCCCTGCAGCCCGAGTCCGATGCTGTGGCGAGCAGTCCAGCAGCTTCGCAGAGCAGCCTGCAGCACGTCATTCTGCCGTCGGAGTGCTTTGCCAATAGCATAGCACAGGGTGGTGTGATTATGAAGCTGATGGACACGCTGGCCGGTGTCACGGCCGCTCGCCACTGCAGAAGTCCAGCAGTGGTGACGGCCTCACTGGATGCTATCGACTTTCATGCACCAGTACTGAACGGCAATCTTGTTACGGTCACTGGGCGTGTAACGCACACCAGTAAGCGATCAATGGAAATTGAAGTCATTGTCTTTGCCGATAATGCATTCACCGGCGAAAGGAAGGTAAGACATGCAATCTATGGTCGTAACATTAGGAGCCTTGTTTGCGACATGTGTATGCAGTTCCCATGTACTCCAGCGACATCCAGTAAGTCGCTGGTGAATGCAAAAGTCACATTTAGTGCAAATAATGAAGCCGGCTGAACTGGTGCTTTCGGTGCTAGGATAATGATTTGTCCTGACTTTTTCTTCTGTGTGTGAAGATGTGATTACTTGTGTAGCTGACCCAAGCATTTGAGTGAGCTCGTCTTCTCCAGTACCTTGCAAAATAACTTTACTCTGTCGGCACACCTGCTAAACAATTTCCTTCTTCTTATTTTTTTGTCTGATTGCTACTAGGCCACCAACACAGCCTACTTCACATTTGTGACACTCAACAGGTTGACTGGCAAAGTCAACGAGGTGCCACAGTTGAGTACTCCTACCGATGAGGACAAGGCACGCTTTGCTGAAGGCCAGCAACGTTACGACGAGAGGAAGGAAGCCAGGAAAGCCCAAAAAGTATGTGGTGTTGGTCAGCACTGAAGTAGTGCATGCTGGGTTGTGCATATGGATGTGACTTAGCCTGTGGTAGATCCTTTCCATATCCTTGCCTGAATGCCACAGACTAGGGTGAATGCAAAGCATTAGGGATGTGATAGTATCAACGAGCATCACCGTATTTCTAGATAAGAAGTTCTTGTAGCATGCTGGGTCATAGCTAGAACCGAAGATGATTGTGTATTTTATTAAAGGGTCCAGATGAAAAGATTTCGATTCCTACCGGTTATTTATTTATGTTGCTTTGGCTGGTCCTGGCAGCACTTGTCATCAAATTTCTATTCTCCTACCTAAGCTTGCTCCTCTTCTACTTTCTTTCCTTCTTTTTCCGTATTTCTGCTTCATATCTTGTTGTCTTTTAGTTTCATCATTATTTTGATGTGTGGGATCGCTTGATAGTCAAGACAACTTCAACGAATGCAATGAAGTATAGTACTACTGACATCGTGCCTTCTCTGTACATACTGGGAATGTAACAATATATGAGGGGGGGGGGGGGAGAGAGAGAGAAAAAGAGTCACAACTTTCCATCAGAAATTCATCTCTCCTCCACATCTTGTTCCAATACTATTGCTAACTGGCTCGTTTTGTTTTGTTGTTTCATCTGCTTTGCCAACTTGCTAACCTGGATGGATCACGTCCTATTGCCATGCTCCACTGGTCACCTTGTTGGATTGTCCTGGCGCTCGTCGCTGTTGTGCTGTCTCCGGCATCATCACCTCTCATCTATCTCTGCAACTAACTTAAAACTGCCACTGAACTCTGCCATTGCCACGCCATTACTTTACGTTCATGCACGTGCGTACGTACGTCTGTGACCCCTGTCATGGCGTGCCAACTTTTGCTCCTTTGTAGTATACATACTAATTTATTGACATTCAACGAAATGTTCTGTTTCCGCAGAAACAGCCCCTTCTCATATCCGAGTGTTACTTGAGTTCTATAGAGGTGCTGACCGCTGTATCTAAAGTACAAAGACCTATTTGATAACAATGATGACTGTACATGTACTAGTGTTAATACTCTAGTGAATTAGGCCTTTGTTATGACCATGTGCGTGCAGAGAATCATGATATCAGGGCATACCTTGCCAGGTAAATTGCATTTATCGTAATTTGTTACGCTAAAGTAATTCGCTACAATATACCATTCTGATTCACAAATGCATCGAAGTACTAAGTCTTCAAGTTTGTACCTGTATGTGCACCAAGGCAAGGGTATATAAGCTCCCAGGGAGCTAGTAAGATGACAGTCAAATGGATCACCCCGACCGTGTGTACGTCATGACTGTTATAATTATCATGGTTATTTGAATTTCATATCGGCACCCCCGTAATCATGGTAATAATCAGCGTCTTCTCCAGTGATCTCTGCTATATTTTGAAAATCCTGTAGATCTACAGCATCTCTGTACAGCCTGTGCACTAGTCCACGGGGTTGATGGACGTTGCAGTGACAGCAAGCCAAAGGTAAAATCTAAAAGTCCGTCCAGTCGTAACAAGAGTAGAATACAATCATGTACAATCATAACTACAAGACTAAGTTATACAAAGTACAAGTAGTCTCTTGGCACCAGGAATGAGTCAGGCCACTGCGTCGCTGCTGCAAGGTGAAAAGGTCAAAGCTAGAAATTTACATGAACAGCACTTCTCCACTCAGTGACTCTCCAGCAAGTAATATCTCGGGCAAGGGCAAAGAAACAATCATCTTCGTGGGAAACTTCAAAGCTTGCATGCCGCCATGCGCATACGAACTACGTCTGCAGTACTGCTTGTAGTTGTACTGGTGTTATTAGTAGGCCTGCAGAGAGAGCTTGTACATATGGCTTGTTAGATCATACATCTCCGTAGCTGTCAGGATGGCCGAGCGGTCTAAGGCGCCAGACTCAAGGTCTTGTACCTTCTGCAGTCAATGCAGATTGGAGCCTTCTGGTCCACGTATGTGGGCGTGGGTTCGAATCCCACTTCTGACAGATTTCTTTTTTTCTTTTCTTTCTACACTCAATCGAATGTCGGAATCAGGGAGTCGTCAAATACCCTATTTGACGACTCCCTGGTCGGAATGGTACAGAATCCGTACTGGAAGAAGAACTATCATAATATACAATCTGAGTACATAAACCGTTTATGTACTCTTGATGTCATGTACATGTAGTTGTTTTCTTTTCTTTCTTCAATGAAGATTCTGTTTATTTTCACAAGTTACGGTTTTGTACTCTTTTTTTGTACGTGTACATGCATTATTTCCTGAACCATTTTTTCGTTTTGTCTTCTATCTATGATGTGACTATTCTCTTTCCTTGCAATCAGCAGTCATCATACCCAGAGTTCAACTAACTTGTAAGTGCAGCATCAGGTACATGCATAATCTAGCAGCACTTCTCATTGGCAGTGCCGCTAACACAACATCGCTGTGATCGACACACTCAGATCAACAGAGGCAGGAACAGTTGCTGTGTCAAAGTTTCTTACCAAGCAGAAAAAGGAACACACCCAGTTCGCACCGTCTGACGGTAACAAGAAAATGAGGTGCAACAGAGGCACGAATAAAGAAAATATATCCTACTAAAACAATAAAGAATTAAAAACAAATTCAGACAAGGCAAGCGTACCTTCTCAGCACTGTTTGCTACTACAAGTATTTACAATAGCGAGAAAATAAGTTACTGTATGGATTCGGCTCAATGTTTACTGCTGCTGCATGATGCATGATGCAGGCTACTGCCAGCATTGGGATTTATAAGTAAACAGCATACAGGTACATACAGCTACAAGTGGGACAAGGATGTTTACAGAGGGGATATCTTGTATGTACATGACCTGGGTTTGAAATTGTTTCATGAGGAATGTGTTGATTATTAGGTTAGGAGAGTAAAGATGTATTTCAGTGAAAAAGGTTTAAAAAGAATTGGGCATGAAGTTAGTGTGGCATGATGGTTGTTAGAGTAGTGGTGCGAGCGGTGAGGGCCGCTCCACAAACGCTAACTGCCTTGGCTGGACTCGGACGTCTCCAGCCCATGTGAGCTGCGTTGCTTGCGATTCTTCTTGATTCGGCACAAAACGCTCATGGGATCCGTGACATAGTCTAGTGCACACACACACACACACACACACACACACACACACACACACACACACACACACACACACACACACACACACACACACACACACACACACACACACACACACACACACACACACACACACACACACACACACACACACACACACACACACACACACACACACACACACACACACACACACACACACACACACACACACACACACACACACACACACACACACACACACACACACACACACACACACACACACACACACACACACACACACACACACACACACACACACACACACACACACACACACACACACACACACACACACACACACACACACACACACACACACACACACACACACACACACACACACACACACACACACACACACACACACACACACACACACACACACACACACACACACACACACACACACACACACACACACAAGTGCACATACACAGACAAGTGCACATACACACATACACACACACACACACGCACACTCACACACTCACACCCACCCACCCACCCACACACACACACACACACACACACACACACACACACACACACACACACACACACACACACAATGGGAGAAAACCCCTCAAATGCATGGCAACACAAAGTGTACAAGTACATGACCAGCGGTGGATAAGTTCTCATTTACATTTGATCCCGTATAAACGACTGATACGTGCAAGGAAATGTGATGCGCTGACAGTTGACACAAAGTACAAACGTCATAATCACTCATGCCGCATATCGCATGCGGCATCATACACTATGACGTCGTTGAAATTCTGTCGGGACAGCAGTGTACGCGGGAGTTGCACACTCTGGGGGGGGGGGGGGGGGGGGGGTTGTGTAGTCTTGCTATCATGCAGGCTAAGTGAGTGGAGACGATAGCTTACCTCCATTGCCACGTGTCTGCATGGTGCTTGTCAATTCAGCCAGTGCTTGACCACTAAAAGCAACAGTTGCACACACATACACACGTACAAAATACAAACATAAGATTCCACCCCAAGATCAGCATTGATGACTTTTCCCCGTGGCAAACAAACTTCGCAATGGCATACACATGTCTTGGTAGGGGTGTCAAATCAGACTAACCTCCACAGCAGGGAGGAGTTCCTACTAACAAACTATTCGAGCAATACCAGGACAGACTGCTCTAGTTCAGTAGGGAACAAAATACAGCCATGACAGAGGCAACAAAGGAGCAATCTCATACCTCAATGTCTTCTCAAAGCCAGCTGGAGAACCTCGGCCATTGTATCGACTGCAGGAGAACGAGGAAAAAAAAGAGACAACAGAAAGGACAGCAAGCGATGTGCTTAGTGAGGAGCACAGTACATACAAGACCGTACAAGTGTGTTCAGTGGGGGGCACAGTGTATACAACACCATACCGTGTGTTCAGTGGGGGCCACAGTACACATAGTACAGTCGTCCCTCTCTAATCCGGCACCTTTTGCTACGGCGTTTTCTGCTGGATTAACGAGGGTGCTGGATTAAGAAATCCTGCCCTCTGACCCGGCCCTACCCAATTGCATGCATGTATCATACGTCAAAACGCAGGGTTTTTCCGTGTCGACCCAAGTATTTGGTGCACGGCTTTATATTTTAATATATTCTCAATTGTTCCCCGGGAATATACAGTGATAAAGTAAAACAGAGAACATGTTCACATGTACTCTTGCACACACACGCACACGCACACACACCTGAAAATTGGCAGGACACTACTCCTTGCTAAAATAAGAAAGTATGGTTGACCGCTTAGCCGCTGTCTCCTGGACAACATTGACCAGACTGGCCTAGCCTGGCCTGGCAAGGAGTGCACCTGTACGATCGTACTGCCGGATTATGAAATCAAACTACATGCAGTTTGAGTAATTCGTTTCAAAACGTCACTGCCGGAGGCGGAATTCAAGTGCCGGATTAAGATGAAGGAATTGAACGAAAAAAATCGGTTTCGTCAGAAAGTGCGCCGGTTGGCAAGGGTTCCGGATAAACAAGTGCCGGATTAGAGAGGGACGACTGTACATCAAATAAAGTGGTGATGGAGTGACAGATTCTCCAGTGACTTGTATGTTACGTGTGCTGATTTGTTTCCCCCAACGAAATCTCTATAAGTATAAGACTATTCTGCAAATCTGCATAATTATTATCATCCTACACACTACCAGAACACACTTTGAAGTATACGCGTCCACATTCTACAACATCACCACCATGCTTCCAAATACCTACATTGCACTATCACCTCCCATCCCTGAATCAGATGACATCATAGACCGGCCATTTTCCGACGTAGACGTGGTCGATGCAGATGAAATTGCAATGGTCGTAGTTGTCATGCCCTGGACACATGCACACACATGCACACACACATGCACACACGTGCGTGCGTGCGTGCGTGCACACACACACACACACACACACACACAAGGGTAGTAAGATGATGTCAAAATGCTGGAAGAACACAAAACATGCCTGCTCCATGCAATTCTGAGAAGTCAAGGAAAGAAAGACAAATCACGGGAAAAGAAAAATCAGTTCGAAGACAACGAATACTGGTCCCAGATGATCTGAAATGATCTGAAAATACGACTAGCTCGACAACTAGAATAACAAAAAAATAATTTCTGTACCCAAATGCCTATTTCGCATGGCTTCCAGGTCCCTGAGTGTTTGATTAGACTTTACTTACATTGACAATAGACATTGCAGCCATGGTAGGCACAACACTGCCACTGCTTGCTGGAGTGCTAGCATACAGATGCTCTATCCGATGCATGACGTCCTTGAACGTAGGGCGTTTCTACACAGCCAACAACAGCAACAGGACAGGAGAATACACGCACATACATATAAGCTAGTACATGTGCCGTATTGGGACAACTCTGCACAGGCACCGAGTTACACCGACAACTGGCAGCAAATAATTCTAAAACCCACTATCGGTAATGGCCAGTAAAAATAGCATTGGTAACAACAAGAGGCAATAACACCGGAATAAACTTACTTCAGGGTTGTCATCCCATGCCTGCTGAATCAGAGATGAAATGCCAGGATTGAAAGAAAGGGGAACCGGAGGACGACTCTTACGATACGCCATGTCTGCGGCAGCAGCAGCTGGATAAAATACAAACAACATACAGTAGCAGCAAACAAGAAAGACATTTTCATTGAGTTGTAATTGAAAAGAAAAAGGGGTGGCGGTCAATAGCCAGTTAATCAAGTCAGTGGGAAAAGCACGAGCACAAGTGTTGTGAGCAACCAACCTTCTTACGGTACGATTATCGCCGAAGTCGCTACCACAAATTCGTAAAGAGAAAGAATGAAGAATGAAGAATGATATGCGCCAGTGTAGGAACAGCTTACCAGGCTTGAGGTTCTTAAAAGGCACTTCACCAGACAGCAGCTCCCAGAGACACAGCGCAAAACTGAACATGTCAGCCTTGACACTGTAACGTGTGCACTGAGAGAAGATCTCAGGAGCCATCCAGCGCAAGTTCTACATAAGCAGAGTAGCAGAGTAGCAGAGTAGCAGAGTAGCAGAGAGAGAGAGAGAGAGAGAGAGAGAGAGAGAGAGAGAGAGAGAGAGAGAGAGAGAGAGAGAGAGAGAGAGAGAGAGAGAGAGAGAGAGAGAGAGAGAGAGAGAGAGAGCATGTCAGGGCAAGCTAGGGAAGGAACGGTGCCAGAGGCAGGCAGCACAACCTTTAAGACCACACAATGATAACCACAACCAGCAACTTAGAATACTATCACCCGAGGCCAAACAAAAACAAATCAGTATGGTATCCTTACCCCAGGCTGCTTAGTCAAGTTGTCCTCGTCCATTTGATTAGTCTTCAAGAATCGGGACTCTAAACATCACAGAGAACAATGAGATGTCCACCATGAACATCAGATTTCTATTAAAAAAGTGAAGCATAATATCAGTGGATAGCATGCGACACAAACCATTGCTCTTCCAGGACACACACCCTAACTACACAAAAGTTCTCAGAGACAATATGGCCCATGTTCAGTGCATGATAGGATAGCATGGCCATGTCTGAGACAGGAAAGTACTTACCACCAAAATCAGCCACCAGCGCAGAGCCACACTCGTCCAGGAGAATGTTATGACTGGAACACAGAAACACAAAGCAGACAGCTTGGCATGCTACACAGCGAGCTGACTTAGGTGATCATGTATATGTGGAACTATGTGCACATATTCGCGGTGGCTACCTCCTATATATATAGAGTGCATTTGGTGATCATCAGCCTGTTTTCCTGTCTCGGAAACAAATTTCTTTCCTGATGGGAGCCAGACATAACAACACAATGTCCAACGAGAGAGCTTGGAAGCTCAGAGCCCTACGCTATGCTTTTTTGCCTTGATGACCTAGACAAAAAAAAGCATAGGGATGTTATAAATTCTTTAAAAAATTCCTTTTTTTTAAAGACATAACCTGGGATTCGAACCCGCACTATCGCGCGCCCTGCATGCATCCCCCGATACACTTCGCATACATACTATTAAATTCTTCCAAGTTGTTTCACATTGTGATCTTGCATTTGAAAGCCCTATTTGAATATGCATTGTGGCCAGCCGTCTTTGATGGCACGGTACGGTAGGGGATAGGGACGGGACAGGTACGATCGAGGGTAATACGACACCGTCTCCCGTACCGTACCATCAAACACAGCTGGCGACATACAGCTGCCCACAATATTCAAATAGGGCTTTCAAACGCAAGATAATAACGTAAAGCAACTTGGAAGAATGGGTATGAATGCGAAGTGTATGGGGGAATGCATGTAGGGCGATAGTGCGGGTTCGAATCCCAGGATATGCCTGAAAAAAAGGAGAATTGAAAAATTTATAACATCCTATGCTTTTTTGCCGTCAGATACGGATAGCGCCAGGCGTGACACAAACAAACAAACACACAAATAAACACCAAATTAAAGCTGTGTGGACCCTGGCTAGTGCCAGACGTTACTGAAGTAACGTCTTCTGCATAGCTACGGGAATAAACTCGTGTATATGCCCACAGACACACCATCTACTGAACTTGGTAACATACAGTAGCGTTACTTCGGACTGACTCCACAAATCGACAATAATTCTTCTCGTCCTCTTACCTGTTCAAATCGCGGTGTATGATAGGCCGAGGCAGGGTGTGCAGATAGTTCATACCACGCGACACGTCCAGTGCAATGGACAGCTTGTGTTGCACATCCAGTAGCCGGTTTTGTTCATGCAGCACGGAGTAGAGGGAACCACCTGACACATACTGGGTGACGATTGCAAATTGCTGGAAGAAAAGGACAAGAAATGGCAGCAACAATACAGACAAATTTAGAGCAGTACGTGATAATGAAGATAATTAGATAAAGGAATACATACACCTGAAACTAAAGAGAGAGAGGGGGGGGGGGGGTAATGAAGCGCATAAGACACCATGACAGCCAAAGCGAAACTCTATGCCAGCTGCACTTCAATGTCGGCACTGCAGGAACACACAGTCACAAGAAATTCACTTACCGACCGTTCTTCTAAGCAGGCTCCAATGAACCGTACCTGAAATACGCACACAGACACAAGAAGCAAAATTGTAGACTGAGTGCACGTGGTTCTATTTCAGGCACAAGTGAAAAGCCAAAAAAAATGAATGTCCAGTTCAGAAAGTACATGTGACTCAGACTACCGGTATGCACACTTGAAAATCCCCACCAAGTATAACAACACTGTGCCACCACAGGACATGCTGCTGCACTAGTACACAAAAGAAGTTTGGACTGGCTAGGGAGAAAAATGCTACAGTCCGCAATGCATGCAATCCGTTACAGCACGCTCACCTGCTCACCCATCCCCAAACCAAACTTACCACATTCGGATGATTGAGTCGGCACAGTATGGACACTTCCCGACAGAACATGTCCACGTCAGATTTGGCTGCAAAAGCAGCTGACCGATACCTTGCGTGACAAAACCACAAAGGAAACACCAACGAGGGTTACTTTGCCAATCTACATCACCGAAGCATGTTTGAAAAAACTGCATGCGAGAGGCAGCACAATAGCTATCATACAGTATATCACAGATAGCAGTGTCAAACAATGATGGCGGCATCTGCAGCAAGGTGTGAAGCAGACCGCTCAACGATTGACTACAAAACAATCGGCAAGATATGCAAGAACGGCACACACTACATGTAGAGAGGCTTACTTTTTTACAGCAACTGTCTCTCCACGCAGTAGACCCTTTGACACTCGTCCAAACGAACCTGAAGATGGTGGTAGACACAAAAATGCTCAGTTCATGCGTAGGGAACCTCAAAGAAAACATAGTCAGACAGTAAGCAGATGCTTTGACTCACAAAGATAAGTTGCACTTGGAAAAACACAAACAATGGATAATGCCACCATGTACTGGGTAGCAATGGTCATTCGCCTACTGAAAGCACACTCCAGAAAAGCCTGCTTACCACTGCCAATGTCCTCCATTATCTCAATCTCTGAAAGCTTGATATGGAGGCTTCCATCAAGAGTGGAACGTAGTGTTAGGATGTCGGCTTTTTCTGCACGAACACAATGACACAGAAATACGCACACATATACATTTGCACTTCCTCATTGCCAGAAACAGGTAACGCAGGTGTCTAAAAGATAGGAGAGAGTAATTCAGAAAGAATCTTGGAAAGATGACTAAATTGTCTACTGAATCGTTCAAAGGCAGATGACCTCAGAAACCCTGGGCTCTGGTAAATTAGGAAACATGACCTCACATATGGGCTCACCAGACCACATTCGGGGGTTGAGGACAAGGCGCAGAAAAAGGATTGGCGGCACCAGATATCCATTCCGGGATCAACTGCATATGCCCCCCGTCCCCAGTGAAGGTAATACGTGGTGCTTGGTACTTCGCTACAACTACTGTCTTAGTATTAGTGTGGGTTGCTAAATCAAAGTGGATCTAATTTTGGATTCACTAGCGCCATAGATTACACAAGAGTTAATCTAGCGGGAAGTGGTCCATTGGTGAACAGGTACGTACATTTTAACAGGAAGTACGGTATGGGATCTGAAAGTTCTAGGGGTCAAACGGGTGTACCTTTAACTAACGAACGGGTAATTTTCTTAACGGGCGGGTTAACGGGTACCCTTTAGCAGCCATATTATTTTTTTGCGCATTTCTCACATAAATCGTGTATTTTGATACCATATTATTATGAATCGCAATTGATTCGTGTCTCATAATAATATTATGGCAATGAAGGTTCCAAATGAATGTCATCCGTACATTTGCCCATGTACATAACTTCACAGGCAGTTACAATCGTACATGGTCCTAGTGCTACATGTATTTTGATACATGTACGCAAATCAACTGCTGATCGATGTGATTCAAGCAATGCAAGGACAGAGTAGTTTAGCAAAACTTCCGTGATCTCGCGCAATCCTATTTGCTATGTTCGCAGAGAACTGGTACTCTTCGCATTCAGATGTTCGCACCCATAGCTAGCTGGGGTGCCTGACACAGCTGATGTGCTGCTGGCCAGCTAGCTGCTAGTGCTAGCTCGTTGAACTCGTGAAACGAATCTTTACAAATCCATTATCTTGTATGCAATACTTCGAACTACTTTCCAACTAAGCCAAGCTCGTCGATTGAAGGAACAAACTACAACCATGAGTATCATAGCTACCACCTACGGACATCACCGTGTGTGTGTGACACTTCGACTGGTCACTCAGCCTGGTGACACTAGTTCATCTTCAAGTGCTGTGGCAGGTTCGATGTCGGAGAACCATCGTAACTTTCTAGTAACTCAGCTGCCACCTCGAACGAGTTTCAAGTCTTGCATTTTCTCACATCACAATCAAAAACCTCCAGTACGAGGATTTTTACTTGCACTAGAGTGGAGAGAACGACGTCTTTCAGGCTGCTCCTGCCTGACAAAGTCGAAAGCGGGAATGCACAGGAAAAAGGAAAAGAGCATCCGCACTCCTATTTTGAGTCTTGCAGCATACGATAGGATCATCGAAATCCAACTTTTTTATATTTTTTACAAACGGGTACCCTTTTACAAACGGTACCTGAGATTAACGGGCGAGTACCCGGTACACCCGTTTGACCCCTATCTGAAACCAAAACAGGTTGTGTGTACAGCACTGGAGATTCAAGCAGCAAAGCCCGATGGCAAGAGACCTAATCACTATCCGGCACATGACTAAACGCTGCCACAGCCAGCTGCCAGTTGGGCGCATGGCTTTGCAGAAGCACAGAGCAAAAAGCAAGTTCTGAATACCACCCACTGCCGCTACGAACAGGACAGAGAGGCTACCATGGTAAGCAGTTATAAAACAAAGCGGCATGTACATGCACATGTAGTACCTTTGGTAACATTCCGTAGCCGGCCAATTGGTGAAGGAAGAGCAACCTGAGAAATGTCTGAAAAGGCAACAGCAGCAAAGCAAACATGGTGCAGTGAGCAGTTCAGCAAGGGTGAATATCTGCACCAAGGGACCCTTAACTAGCAGTGAGCAACAGTTCAGCAAGGGTGAATATCTGCACCAACGGACCCTTAACTAGCAGCACCACACTTTCTATCACACTAACTACCAGTAAAAGTTAATAAATATGCCATGGCTTGTGTCAGAACCAGTAGCCGTCAGACTGACTTGTCGCCCATCACCGCAATCCCGCAATGGTACTTACAAGCAGCAGATGTTGGAAGACCACTGTCCTCGCCCATCGTATCCTCTTGAGGACGTGATTTCAGTTTCAGCAGGTGTACAATGTCATCAAAGCCTGAAGATAGATGCAAAAGATCGGCAAGGAACAAAGCTCACGCGGGCGTAATAATTATAATCAAATGTGTGCATGTACCGTGGCACAATCCCTTACATACGACCAGAGGCATAATCCTTGTTCAGCTGTGAAACGTGTTCGATTCGAATACGCTTCACAAACTTTTACAAACAGTTTCGCATTTACGTATTTACGTGAGTAGCGCAATTTTACGTCAAATGGGTCATCGATTAGTGTAAACGCCAAATTTCGACACGAGATGCAGCTCCCACGCGTTGGAAAACAATGTGAGAGTAAAAAAAAGCGAACAGAACGTTCATGTCATGTCAAAAATAACGTGCAGCGTAACCTCTCTATTGGCAGAATTCCACCTCCAGGTACCTTTATGAAACGCCCAGTTAAGAGGCGTCGCCTCCTCTTGTTTGTCTTGCTTGTGTGTCATTATGCAAGCGTCAGCTCCACTCTCCAGCAAGTATTCTGCTGCTGCAAAGTGGCCGTTCAGACATGCACTGTGCAAGCCTGTGCACAACACAAGAACAGACAAAGATAGACACATGCACCCACCCACACCCACACACCCTCAGCACAGTGATGTCCAAGAGCCAAACAAACTGCTAGTCTTGCTGTGTCTGTACAAGGCTGTACACACAATGATTGTCACCTTCTTACACATGTCCTACTACTGCTACTGTGCATGCACTTGATCTGCTTTGCTATATACACACACACTCTTTCAGGACAAGCTGTACGGTTTGCACACTTCCCGCTGTCTGCTTGTAAATGCAAATTCATACTTTTTCACTTGCTACTATACAAAGGTTAGGTTCACCCCTTGCAAATCGTACCGACGATGGGTGACTGGCCCGAAAGACATTATATAAATCAATGCAACTATTTTTCAAGTAACTCAGCGCATTGAGCGAGCAGCAGCTGAATAGAGCGATTGTCAGTTGACAACCCCCTTTTCACAGTACAGGACAATACTGTTCTAGAGTCCTTACCTGTGTGTCCATCCCTGCCCTGGATGTTGACGGAGATAGTGGGCTCAGTGAGCAGATAGCCAATCAACTCCAGATTCAGACCATATGTACATGCACTAATGAACACAGTGACACAACAGATAGGAGACAATAATCAGTTATAGAGAGATGGTGTCATACTGCCTAAAAGGAGGGAGAGCATTTTTTAATCGTGTATGTGGGGGGGGGGGGACACACACACAAACTTCCTTACACAGGAGGCTATAAGAATCATTGTAAGAAGAAATCTGAACACGACCCAAATAATTCATTGAAAGCATGCAGGTTGCAATGACAAAGTTGATAGTCAGCAAGGCAAGAAGATTAGACGTACCTGTGGAACGGCGTTTCACTGAAGATATTTTCCTTCAGCAGAACATCAGGTCCACTGACTTCCACCAGATACTTTGCTACCTCTAAATGTCCATAATAACATGCACTGCACAAACACAAAATGTACATATCAGTACACACATACAAACAGGTTTACACACAGAAGCACGAGCAGTTGCTTTTTCGTACTGAAGTACTACAGTACTGATATCTCAAACAAAAATTTGCAAGAAGCAGGTGGAGAGAGAGAGAGAGAGAGAGAGAGAGAGAGAGAGAGAGAGAGAGAGAGAGAGAGAGAGAGAGAGAGAGAGAGAGAGAGAGAGAGAGAGAGAGAGAGAGAGAGAGAGAGAGAGAGAGAGAGAGAGAGAGAGAGAGAGAGAGAGAGAGATCATGCACGCACAACAGTTAGCATTGATGAAATTCGGTACAAGTAGGAGTGAAGAGCGACAACGAAGCTCAACTATGCAAAATGAAAAAGTCATGTACTTAGTACAAGACTTGAACCATATGCGAGGACACAGAGACAAGCAGAGACAAGCAAACCGGTACCACAGATGAGGAGATGGATAAGACAACACAATACAGTACAACTTACAAATGCAATGGTGTGTCATCATAAATATTGACGGCGACAGGATTAATATCCACTCCTTGCTGCATGAGATACTTGACCACTGGGAGGTGACCTTCTCGGCATGCAAAATGCAATGGACTATGATTCTCGGTGTCGACAGCATTCACTGTAGAAGAATACAGAAGGAGTTCACCAAAGACATATCTCGTCTACTGCTGCGTGGGAAGATCACTAATACATCTCATCATGCACAAGAAATTGCATGGAAAGCAGACGGCCGCTTTGGAGCACACAAGTTCACAACTGGAAAAGAAATGAAAGAACAGCAAACAGCAGAAAACACAAGCAACAGCAATCATGACTCAGCTACCATTCACTACTGCGGCATCCTTACCTTCGGTGCCTAATATTGATGGTTCTTGTTCTGGGATTAGAAGCTGTACTATATTCAGATGACCTCGACGGCATGCTAGATGCAACGGTCGGCATCCAATCACGCTACTCAAGTTCACATCACCGTCACGTTGTAGAAGAAGCTCAACCAGCTGCAGATCATAAAACCCGCAATGTGAGGATGCAAGAACACACGCGTACACCCACCCACATCCACACAGAATGGCACACAGCAGACAGCCAAGCACAGTACATGAGCCAAAACCGGATCACACTAGATTCCACAGTGACTGTGCACGGCCCAATACATAGAATCAAGAGTACATAACCCCCAAGAGTGGGCAGCTGCCTATACAGCCTCTATACAGTGCTGCGACGGCAGAACTTCACAGCACGTGACATAGTTCAAAAGGTTACGCTGGAAAACAGTGCAACATGACCACAAGAGAGTTGAACCCAAAAGCACAACCCTGCATCTATCATGCACAGGGTGCAAATAATTTGTACGGGTTCGGCACGTGATGTGAAGTTCTGCCGTCGCAGGCCCCTTGGGCTGTGTTTACATGAGGCGTTTCAACCCGGGTTGAGTTCGACCCGGCTCAGATTTCAACCCACCATGTACACAAAATGAATGGCGCGTTTACATGACGCATTGCGCTTGACCCGGATTGATTTCAACCCGGGTCAAGAAAATCGTACAAACGTACTTCTGTGCGTATCTCGCGCCAGGTTTGAACAGCACTGCACATGCAAATTTCGCGCGAACGGATTCACGTGACCATACAGGACTCTAGAAGTGGACTTTTGGCGGCATATCAGTATTTGACCCGGGTCAACTGTCTTCATGTAAACGCTCACCTATTTTGTCTATCGTACAGACTTTCAACCCGGGCTGAACTCGACCCGGGTTGAAATTTCTCATGTAAACACAGCCTTAGCTGGAGTTGCACACTCTTGGGGCTTATGTATTATTGATAGAATTAAGACACATTAACAAGCGCCGGGTATCACAACCCCAGCTGCAAACACTACATGTAGGCTGGGCACCGATGCAGGGCACTAACTTAGTCAGAGTCTGATTTCATAGAGTATGGCTACACAGGGTAAGCTCAGTCACAGATGACAACCGTACCACTCACCTTATCATGACCAAAGTCAGTTGCATGATGCAGAGGAGTGTAGTTACTCGTGTCATGGAGGTTGGGATCAACACCGCGATTCAGAAAGACCTGCATTGCCTCCAGATTGCCGCACATGGCTGCTATGTGAATAGCACGCACGCCATTGTAGCCTTCTTGCAGAGGGTCGGCACTACCATCCAGAAGTGCTTCAAGCAATGTGGGCTCATTCTAGGTTTTCAAAGTTCACAAGCACGCAGACACACAGGCACCGCGAGCACAGATAGCCATAGAGAAAGTCAGCCTGGTACACTCCACCGATGCTAGGTACTTGTACTTGTATAACAATCTACTAATACTACGAGTCGTATGTACTGACCGAACAAGACTTTTGTGAGTTTGAGAACTGATAGAAATTGCCAGAGCGGTGACAAGCAGGATAGCACAATTTGATCATAACATACATTCAAAGAGCACACATCTAGCGCCATACCAAACACTACCTTGTATGCAGCCAGGTGTAGAGCTGAGAATCCATTCTTGCTTAGCACGGCGATTTTAGCTCCATTCCTCAACAAGCAGTCTACATGTTCTTTGGAGCCTGTAACAACACAATGAAAGATTTCCCACGATCATAGAAAAGACTATGAATACCACCAGATCACTATTCACTGGAGATATGGGGAAAGGGTGCATTTTCCACAGGAATAGGTGTTGGCGAGAACCAGTTATAACTTGCTGATTGTAGTTGAAACAAATATGCAGACTGCAGGTCCAAAGGCACTACTACACTGTACTGTGCCATGCCGCTGGATACACATGTATGCACACGTGCATGCATGCATGATCCGTTCTGCACATACAGGGTCAAACATAGAATAATGTGATTGACACAAGAAGTTGGAGCAGCAGCCAAGTTGAGTTTGCACTGACTCCAGAAAGAAAGATTGGGCTCCCGGCATGCCGAACAAACAAAGCTGTGAGTATACAAATCAGCACTGGCAATTTCGTTATCACTCCATGAATACAGAACCCGTGACAAACAATTGATCGCACAACACGCAAAAAAAACCTGGGAACATACCGCCAGTGACACAACACAGATGCAGACCAGTCAATCCACCATCGGTTTTATCATTGACGTTCTCCTCCGTAGCCAGCTCGGAAACGCGACTCGCATCACTTTGACTGAATAGGTTGCATATGAGAGCAAAACAAAGAATTACATAAGGCTCTGCACCTAGGTGCATCGATCACTCTCTCTCTCACTCTCTCTCTCTCGAGCTGCCACAAACTCTCCCCGAGTGTAACTTGCGAGTTATGGAGTGTCTGGTTATGAATGGGGTACAGTGCTCAACAAAGTGGATAGGAGCGATAAGATAGAGTGTAGTTTTGATGCAAGCAACTGGCATCCCCCTTGACATGGCAAGCAACAAGTATCGTCTCAAAGGCAAAGACAAATCCTGCAAGTGCAAAAAGTTTCACTGCCAGAATTGTGCCCCACCAAAACTTCATGAGAGAATTCCCTTGTAAGGAAGGCAAAGTGGAAGTGGGGAAAGATCAACAAGGAAAGCCATACAAGTGCAGACTACCAGCAATAGCTGAGTCATTCACCAAAACTAAAACAAACAAAATGAAGAATAACATTGTTCTAAATCACCAATCACTCTCAAAACAAAATTATAACCAGATATTTCGAATCAAGTTCCACTGAGAAATGTCACAAGAAATTAATGACAGGCATGCTGAGGGTGGGAGGTCAAAAAGGACGAAAATACAGCAAAACACAGAAACTGACCTGCAAGCATGATGAAGCTCAGTCCATTCTCCTACTTTCAGAGTGAGATCCTCAATGAGCCGCTTGCGGACCGCAGCGCACGATTCCCCAAACTTCTTCTGGAACTCATCTATCAAAATCAATACGATAAGAAATTATACTCGCATGATCTTCGACCAAGCCTTTTTCAAATTTCAACTCTCAAATCATGATAAGGACCTTACCAGCACAGACAACAGGCCTAGGCCTTGAAGCGTAATTCCCCATTAGAGCAGTTCAACTGGGACATTTCTCCAGGAGGGCATTCAAATATTTCAATTCTCAACCACTATTCAAGCTTAGCAAGGACCTGCAATCTGTCAAAAAAACTCAATTGGATTTCACTGGAAGCATTCTTATTCTGCACTGACAGCAGAGAGTGCAAGTCGCTGCTGAAGTCGATGAATATCCACAACACAGCACTGGCAATACAAAGCCGAGACGAGGCTCCCTCTAGTTTAGCCTGTCTCCCGGCACAATCTATCAAGTGACGAACTCACTTGTAAAGCAGCCCACATGCTCAGGCCACGACAACTAACTCAAGTAATAGTTCAACTACTTGAAGTGCAATCAGTGTGTGGCCTCAAAAGGCGAGGAAGGCAACACCTGACGTAAGGAATATTTTCTGTGTATGACAGTATGACCTGTGACTGCACATGCACAGTGGATCATCTGCCATGATCTGGATGCAGTCTGATCTGATTTCACGAAGAGCAGACGTCTCGTTGACACTCGCTGCCCAGTCATCTGGTCATACGTCAGACTTGACGCAGGCTCGCTGGCGCTGCGCACCGCGCCGCGCGCTATGAAACTTTACTTCACCGTTCCCCTTCTTCCGCGGCCGCGCGGAGCGCCCAACAAGGCTTCGTCTTGATCTTCAATGATTTTTGAGAGAGTTCTGTTGAAGAAACAAACAAACAAAAAATGCAAGTGAAAGTGTAGAGAGATGGAATTTTGTTGGTTTTGATTCACTGAGACCGACAAGGATGGATGTTGCGAAGCACTCTGTGCACACTCTTGTTTTCCGCTCATTGAAGCGGTCCCATGATATGTTCTTAGGTGACGAGGGAACACTGCCGCCTGAGGATGCTGAAGCGTACGTGAAACATTATTATGTTTCGACTTGTCGGCATGCATGCATGCTTATCATTGTGACAATCTCTCAACATTGTGTAGGAAGAAAATGCGACAAGGCATCAAACTTTCAAGCGAATACTGGTCTGTAAAGGACCTTGCTCGCCCGAAGGAGGCTGTTCAGGCGGTAGGATCGACAACCGCCTCCAAAAGCAAAGGTAATGCATGAGAAAGTCCGTATATTCTCAATTCACTTTGTAATTATTGAAATTATTGAATTCGGGTACTTTTATTAATTTTTGAGTTTTTTTTACATTGATTTGCTGTACACTTGAATTGTCCTCGCCCGGGTTTACGACGAAGCTGCTGGAAGTCTTATCTCTGTCCAGAGTGAAATACCTGAAATAAAGGCAAGCAATCATTCCAGCATTATCAATTTCAGATGGAGACGTGAGAATGGCTTCTCGGACGGATATGCACGCAATCAAGTTCGGGAGCTCTCTGTTCTCATTGCAACCGGAGGCATTTCAGCGCTTCAAATGATTCTCACACTGAATTCACGACCTGGAGAGGGTGATGCTGAGATTTGATGCTAGTGTCCTTGCTGAGGATGCTGCTATGGCCAGTGAAATGTTGGTTGCGCGCTGATGTAGTTCTACGTTCAGTATTATTGCCACTGCGGTCTAAGTTCAGAAGTAGCCTGAGGAAGGCAGTGACACATTGTGAATGAATGAATGCCTTGGCAGCTTGTACTGGTGGATCAATGTTTTCTTGGTCTTTATCACAGCCCAGCTTGGAAAGGTGATCTGTACTGTCATTGCCCTCGATGCCACAGTAAATGCTTGCCCGTACCACGCAAGCTGATCTTAACCGCTCTCCAGTACAGGGGAGTGTGCTGTAGCTGTTGATAACAGAGGGTCTCATTCAGTGTGGATCGCCCACAAAGGCATTCAGGAGTGATTCGCTGTCTGTGATGAGACCATGTTGGTATCAGCATCAGTCATCAAGAGTGCTGTTTGTGACCCTGCTGTAGCTGCTGCTGCTGCAGCTTACACTGTACAGAAGGAAGAAATCCTCCTGGCAGGTTCACTTCCATGTCACTTGCCTCCAGCAATATAAAAAAGTAGATTTGCACCTATTACTAGCAGGAAGTGGTTCTAACGAGGTGACATCACTCTGCGTCACACGGCAGGTGCTCACAGAGGAGCGAACTTTCATTGATTGCATCATATACACGACCAAATATTCTTCCACATGGTATTCATGCTACCACCGGCATCACCCACGCTAACGGCGCATTTGAAAGTGCAGTTCGTTTGATATCACATTTGGTACATTTGAAACTTCTTGGTTTTCTGTGCAAAGCCCCCTCACACTATATCCAGGTTCGCTTCACAGGTGTTGCTGGCATGCGTTGTAATGGCATTTACTGACTAGTAAGATGCCGATAGTATTGGCATTTCGTTGCAATGGCAATGTCCGGGCACTGCCATGCTCAACACGTCCTATAGACACTGGCGCTTGCCTTCTGTCTCATTACCTTTCTGTGTGGTGTGCACTTTTGTTGATTTGTCCAGTGGTTGATGAGCGTGCTGATCCGTCCCAGGTATGTTCTGGATCTGCCTAGCAATGTGGCGCATGATAGACTTACCTAGCTCATGGCGCATGTAGACATAGACATAGAATTCACTTTGGAGTGTAGCGACTTCTCACAGTTCAGCCTGCCATTAGCCTTTATTGTCTCTTTGCCCTCTGGGCAATAAGCGAGAGAAATAATTATAGCAATAACGGAGGTGTTGATGCCGTCGTCGTTCTTGCCCCTGCATTGTGTGTGCCATTCTTATCAAATCATTGGTGCTCCCTAACATAGAGTGATGCCGGTTTTCACTGGACCTCGTTCGGCACCCGTATCATGTGTGCATTTGGTGTGTGTGCGTGTGTGTGTTCAGATATGTTCTTCTCTGCCCAACGGTGTTCTGTCTTTTCCTTTTCTAGGCTGTCTTAGAGTACAAGCCAGGAGGTGCTGTGGCTCTCAAGCCAGGATCCAACGCCAAGGGTGCACTTGTGCCACGCAAGGCTCCTGAGGTGCCCAAGCCCAAGTGGCATCCACCATGGAAGTTGATGAGAGTAAGGAGTGCATTTTGTGCATTGTCTGCACTTCTCTCTGCTTGTCTGTGTTGCCAGACAGAGATACATGACTGTGACGTTTAAAACTTTTCTAAAAGATTACTTCGGTTTCTGCGGTAGGGACTATTCGGCATTAGCGATATTTTTCACGGGACAAAAAATTTAGTTATGACCCTCCCTCCCCTCTCCCCCCCCCCCCCCCCCCGAACGAAAAATGTATTGACTCAACAGCTAGAATGATCTGATGTTTCAGCTTTCAATTTTTTGGAAAACGTCACTCTCCTCGACTCACCCACCCGTAAACGAAACTTTTTCGTTTCGTGTAGAAGATCGATAGTCATGGATGGCCCCTTAGTTTATAGTTCTCTTGATCTAAACCATGTGCGTTGTGTGTGCGTGCGTGCTTGTGTGTGCGTCTTCTTCAGGTTATTAGTGGTCATCTTGGCTGGGTGCGGTGTATTGCGATTGATCCCAGTAATGAATGGTTTGCCACTGGCTCCGTCGATCGTCTTATCAAGGTAGAGTTCACAATGTAGCCTTCCATCCGTGCCTTGCAAGGATAGTATTGTTTTGAAATTGAACATCTTTTTTCTGATATAGTAAAGTGTCCACAATTATGTTTACCAGTTGACAAACTGCTCTTCTCTTTGATGGCGAGCGTCACTATCTGCTGTGCCGTAGCATGGCTTGTCTTTCCGTTACATGTACTTACGTACTGGAGTACTAAGAGTTGATTGTAGTAGGGAGCCAGCCCACTTGATGGTTCTTTTCTTCTCCAAATAGCCATTCAAATGACCAGTGGAGTATTACTGCATGTGTTGTGCTTGTGTATATTAGATCTGGGAACTTGGTAGCGGTAAGTTGAAGCTTTCACTCACGGGCCACATCAGTGCTATTCGAGGCATTGCCATCAGCGATCGACACCCTTACCTCTTCTCCTGTGGTGAGGACAAAACCGTCAAGTGTTGGGATCTGGAACAGAACAAGGTAAGGTGTCGTATGCCACGCTGATGACCTGTACTACCGTGCTGCTCAATGAAATCCGGTCGTGTGAGTCAAGTTTGTGCCTCACGCCATTTCGCAGGCCTAGGGCTGCGCAACGCCCAGCACGTATCTGAGTGACTCGACTGGACTTCATTGAGCAGTACTTTAGTAGCTATTGACTAGTACGGTGTCCTGTGTTCCTCTGTTGTAGTGTTTCTTTGGTTTTCTTCTTTTTCCAAATGCCTGCACAAGAGTACAGACTATGTGGCATACTCTCAAACTGGGCTTTGATTGAATGTGCAGACTCCCTGAAACTTCGAAAGAACTCTCATAGTGCACCATGTGCACATGCTGTACACAATACATGTATCTAAAGCCACTAGTGAGTGTCAATCAGCTCGAAACCACACAACCCCTTACCGAGTCCTCTGCGTGGAGCAGACGAGCCATTGGAATTACCGAAATTCCGAGAAGCTCAAAACGCCTTGCCGGAAATGCATTGTGTTGCTTGCCTATGTTTCTAAACTGTACCGCATTGATCTGTGGAATCTCTTGAAGGCTTGACTTCTCCTGCGTTCACTTTTCGAAATAGTTTGAGGGAGGAATATCTGAGTTTGCCCATTCCAAAGGACACTGCACTGCAACGTGAACCGGGTATACCTAAACTTAAGTAATGCTTCTGCACTTGGCCCTTGTCAGATAAACAAAACAGTGATACTGTGCCAACTACTTTGGAACAGTTATTTACAGGGTGTTGTGCCGATAACTGTGAATTCTCAAGATGCTGTAGCAAGCGTACATGCAATTTGGTTTCATTTTCCTGTGTGTTTCAGGGATACATGCCATTTGGTTTCATTTTCCTGTGTGTTTCGCGTCCGTCTCTTTGTTTTCCCTTTCGCTAATAGGTTATTCGTCATTACCATGGTCATCTCAGTGCTGTGTATGGCGTTACCCTTCACCCTTCCCTCGATGTCGTTGTCACCTGTGGCCGCGATTCCACAGCTCGGGTAAGGGAGAGACACATTTTGTTGTGCTTGCTAAAGATGCACATGCATTGTGTGGCCTTGGTTTTCACATGTCGAATCAGGTGCTCATTTCCAACAACATTGAATTTACTTTACCTGTTTGAGTGCATGGAATGTGTTTGTGTAGGCTACTTCTAAGCGTACATCCAATTGCTGTGTGTGCTTTTGCCTGACAGGTTTGGGACATGCGTACCAAAGCATGTATCCATACACTAGCTGGTCACACCGATACTGTATCTTCAGTTGCATGCCGAGCCATGGATCCACAGGTATGAGGGCTAGATAAGACATATTGGCACATGGTCACACCGTTTCATGGTCACTTTTCACCAACCTTTCATCTCCGTAATCGGGTTTTTAGTGGAATAGGGCGAATAACCCAGGGTAGCATGCTGATTCTGATCTGGAATATGATTTGAGGTCCGGTCCCCTTATCTGTTTCTGATGCTATTGAAGTTCAAACAGTGGAATTTAGGGGAATGCAACATTTGCAACCTTTTGACCCCTGGAACGGTAGTAAAAAACCCTTGTGGCTCACTCCTGTTTGTCATTTCATGAAGGAATTTCAAAACTTGATTTTTCGTAACTGAGATTGGGGGGGGGGCAAAAGAGAACATCTTGTGTAGGAGAATGAATCATATTGATGTACGGGCATGCCAACTGAAGTGTTATTCGAATCACATACTTACTCAAGATAGCTTAGAGAGCGTGTGTGGGCAGGCATGTATTTACTGCCATTTTGCCAGGTGTGTATTTACTGCCATATGAATCCACCAAGAGTACAGCTGCAGTGGTGTCTTCCACTTCATTTTATTACATACTCAAAGAAGTACTTGAAAACACCGCCATTCCGGCAACAGGCTCTCAGCTGCACCAAATAAATAACTTTGTTATTTATTTGGTGCAGCTGAGAGCCTGTTGCCGGAATGGCGGTGTTTTCAAGTGCAAGGAATACGCTGCAATGGAGTTTGGGAATTCTGAAGAAACTCAAAGAAGTAATAATTATAACAGTTGCTTCTATGTTGGTGTATCCCCATGTTATTAGTGCGTTTTATCAGTTTCTACTGCCTCTGGCGTGTGTGGGTGTGTGTGACCTTGCTGGACATTGCAGGTGGTAACAGCCAGTCATGACAGCACAGTCAGACTTTGGGATTTAGCTGCTGGACGTACCCTAACACATCTTACCAACCATAAGAAGAGTGTGCGTGCCCTTGCGCTTAATCCAACCGAGTAAGTTTGACGTTGCTTGTACCTACGTTTAGAGCAGGCATTTGTGCACATTCTGGAAGTTTTCGTACATATGAATCCCCCCCCCCCCCCCGCCATGAACTTGAAGGTGCAATAAAACCCTTAGTTGTACATAGTGCGTAGCATGAGCAAATCCGTAATAGGCTTTGCGCACCCATGGATGTGCCTGTGCTAGCACAATGTAGTGCCTGTGCTGGCACAATGTAGTGTCTGCTTCAACATAAGGTTCACTGTAGGTGTGCACTGGTCAGTCTCCGTAACAATGTCTTCGCACCAAGAGTGGAGAGAGGAGTTTCTGAGCAACGCAGAAAGTTGGCTTGAATGTTCTTGTGGTGCTTTGCTTGGGGGCCCAACACGTGTTCTCGAACCTTGGCAGCGTTCTTTGATCCGTTGTTACATACATCTATTGGTCTCTATATCCTACTATCTTCCGGACAAAGTCCTGATTGATAATTTGTTGCTATTGCCGTCAGTATCTGTGCAACCACATGCATGTAGTTGAAGTACCGTTACCTTTCTTTCTCCTTCTACTTATGGCAGGAATTCATTTGTCACCTCGTCTCCTGATAACATCAAGCAGTGGAAGTTCCCGAGTGGTAACTTCCTACAGAACTTGAGTGGCCATCATGCTATTGTCAACGCATTGGCTGTCAATGCAGATGGTGTCATGGTGTCTGGAGGTGAGACTCTTTGTATTAGTGTCACGCACGCGTATGCTTTCTCATGAAGTAGAGGTAGCGACTCTGGCGATAATAGAGGAGCATGCTTTATGGTCTACAAAACATGAACCTTTGTGAAATTGAATGAAATTTGGAGCTGATCGTACACTGCTGTTGCCCTGCACTTTCATCCCTTTCCTTACCGGTGTATATTTTGAGATTTGTGAGTGCTTCAATGTATACCGCCAGCTGATGTAGCAACCGGGGCTTCTCATGATTCCATGGTTGTGCTGGTGTGTGTCGACATGATTCCATGATTGTTCTGGTGTGTGTGTCGACATGATTCCATGGTTGTGCTGGTGTGTGTCGACATGATTCCATGGTTGTGCTGGTGTGTGTCGACATGATTCCATGGTTGTGCTGGTGTGTGTCGACATGATTCCATGGTTGTGCTGGTGTGTGTCGACATGATTCCATGATTGTGCTGGTGTGTGTCGACATGATTCCATGATTGTGCTGGTGTGTGTCGACATGATTCCATGATTGTGGTGGTGTGTGTCGACATGATTCCATGATTGTGCTGGTGAGTGTCGACATGATTCCATGATTGTGCTGGTGAGTGTCGACATGATTCCATGGGTGTGCTGGTGTGTGTGTGTCGATGTGTTTGCCCTGCAGCTGACAATGGCACTATGCACTTCTGGGACTACCGCACCGGTCACAACTTCCAGCGGATGCAGGCTGTAGCGCAGCCTGGCTCCTTGGACAGTGAAGCTGGTATATATGCCTGTACATTTGATCGCAGTGGCTCCCGCCTTTTGACTTGCGAAGCTGACAAGACCATCAAAGTTTACAAGGAAGACGAGACAGCTGTGAGTAGTGGATGCTACATTGTAGTGATACCATGTCTCGTTCTCTCTCTCTCCTCTCTCTCTCTCTCTCTCTCTCTCTCTCTCTCTCTCTCTCTCTCTCTCTCTCTCTCTCTCTCTGTGTCTCTCTCTCTGTCTCTCTCTCTCTCTCTCATAAATATTTAAAAAAATCAAGTACCATGCCTGTACTTTTTATGCATTCTTCAGTCTTGACTGGAGTATTTCCCAGCTTCTCTGTGTTGAACTCGATACAAAACTGCTCCATACTCTGAATTTTCTAGCACAGTTTCCTAACTGATAGCTTCCCACCGTGTTTAGCTGTTCAAATGTGAGTGTCAGCGGTTGGTATTAAAACTAAAATATTAGATTGTCTAACGGTGCCTCTGTGCTGCATGTTTCTTCCTTACAGACGGAAGAATCCCATCCTGTCAATTGGAGACCGGACATATTGAAACGGAAGCGGTTCTAGGTGGCGAGCATAAATAATGCTGCTGCTGCCCATTTCGGTGTGACTCCTCCTGTTGTAATTTTGTATTCTTCCAGCAGTTTGTTATTGTGTTCATAGCTGTATATGCCTCTTCCCCTCCCCGCCTAGCCAATGTACGATTTTTTTCTTTCATTTTAGTCTGTATTGTAGATTTGATTTTATTCAACATGTGTCATTAATTTTGTCCTGAGTTTACAACTTTAGCATGCCATGTATGGCTGTCAGTATTGCAGTATGGTGGAAGTTGGATGAGGGTGGTGACTGGTGATATACAATATCAGGGTGAAGCTAATCAGGAACTACAGAGTATGCCGCCAGAGTTTGCAGCTCGAATAGATTCCTTGACTACCCTTTTTGCATCAACTATACTGTGATCTGGAAATTGCACCATTGTACCAGAAATTCGTATGGCACAAATTGCGACAAATATTGGCACGCACACTCTTTGCTGCAGAAACACTGAGAATTGGCCACTTTTCGGGTTGAAATTTGAACCTGAATTAGCCAATCCACCAGTTTCAAAAAATGCACTTCGATCATCAGGTCAGTCGCGCGCCCAAGAACGTAATAGGTCGTTGTTTCCAAGAGGTTGGGACGTTCTTATTTTTCAGCAATCTGGCTGCGTTCTTATCACGTTCTTAGGGCATGATCGATTGGGCGAATCCCGAGCAAGTGCGCTCCGAGTGAGCGTAATCGTTTGGTCGAATCCGGAGTACGTAGGTGTACTTGGAGTGGAATCCGACCACACTGGCCCCCAACCCAGAGTGGCTGGCGTGGAAATGGACTTTGCCGTTTTTGGACAGCTTTCACAGAATTTTTGTACGATATGCGTACATTGTGCGTACTACACCCTTGTTTTGTTCGATTGGGCCAGAGTTGCTCGGACTACACCGCCTGCTCGCACTCAATCCAGATTCGCCAATCGATGACACCCCTAGAAACAATCCGTACTGGATCATATGTATCCCACAAGCTGCCAGACAACCAACACCGCCGTTCTTAGCTTTAGGCTGTGGCGTTCTTAGAATTTCAGGCTGGACGTTCTTCAGCGCGCGACTCTCCTGTACAGTTAATCGTTATTAGCGAAGTTGACTGTATACAATGCACATGTACAGACTCCTGAGTGACAACTTGACTAGAAGTCAAGATACATGTAGTTAAATTTGTATCCAACATTTTTGTGTGGAAATTGTGGCTTTCTAAGGGTGCGTTTGGTTGGTACGAACTAGAACAGGATTCACCAGAACAGCGCGTTTGGTTGGGACTGCACCTGTTCTGGGTCGGCCAGAACATGTTCTGCTTGCTCCGGCCTCGAGGCCGGAGCAGACCGAGCAGTTTCACTTTTTCACAGTGAAACCTGGCGGGAACATCGATTTTGGTCCCAAATGATCACGTGCATACGCTTTTGGGTTGGACTCGTCGTACCGTACACAGTGACCATGGTGACCCATACACTTTTTGAAGAATGCACCAAGTTTGGCATATTTTTCACATCACTCAACTCTGTATAGATAACGACTTTCAAGAAGCATGCCCAAACAGCATGAAAAGATCAATGATACTGTGCAAATTGTTGATAAGGTGTATACAGGCAAGTAGGGAACTATCAAGTGAAGCAGTACAAAAAGCCAGTCTTACACAAACACTCAATATTTACAGTAACAGCCAACTCTGATCATGTGGATCTGATATAGATCGTACATGTTGCGGACAACAAAACAGCCGCTCATTCTCTTGCGTCCAATTCCAGTACCTGCTGGAAGTCAGCCAAGGCGTTCTTAGCTTTGCCGAGTCGTTCGTGGCACACGGCACGAGCTTTGAATGCAGCCAAGAAACTTGAGTCAGCATTGATGGCTGAAAGGAAACAAAAAGAATGCGATGGTGCTTCAGTTAGCAGCTCGTCTCACAAACTAGAAACTATTGCCTGTGATAATAAGACAATCACGGGGGATGTGTCAGTTAGGGCATGTTCGATTCGTAAGGATCAGGATCAAGATCTCAGATCTGTCGGATCCTTCAGAGTCAACTGAACACTTTATTTCGGATCTTGACTGTTGCCGTGTTGACGAAGTAATAAAATGGCGCTCACAAGTCACCCAAAAGGGTGAAAGTCGTACTCATCGCGCACGCGCGCGTCGTACAAAAAGTCAACAAGCTCTATCTTGATCCATGTGCGCGTACCACAATGTGTACACAAATGATTTTTACCCACCATATACGTACAAAGGTCACATTTGGATCCGTTGGATCCAGTCAACCTTGCTCCCCGAGGTGGGTTGACAGGATCCAAATCCGAAGGATCCGGATCCGGATTCGACCAATCGAAAGGGTGCGAATCCAGTGGATCCGGTGGATCGGGATCCCGATCCTACCAATCGAACATGCCCTTAGTACTCTGCTCATCATCTCGGCCACTCAAATTCTATGAAGGATTCACGTTGGGATATTTGTGGAATGGTGTGGGAATGAAGGGGCCCACACGATTGTACATGATTTGTGAACAGTCCTGATGCAGGCACCATACCACTGCCGCATGCATTGTCTACACGTAGCGGTAGAAGGTATGTTTATCTACATAGTTTACATCACCGGTACTTGTGCCTGCCACCGCATTTCCAGCTGCCTCTTACCTTGTGTATAGGCATCCACTGCTGCAGGAATGTTGTTCAACTTTCTCAGGATGTGTCCACGATTCAAGTGGACAAAAGCTGCACTCGGACACAACCGTGCTGCACAAAAGAATTCCACAAGTAAGAAGAGAGTACTCGGTATGGGACAACATATGCAGCAATCTCCACCATGAACAAGTGAAACGTAGGCGCGTATGCATGCATGCATACAGTGCAGATTGCAGACACAATACAGACGGATACCAGTACTCCATGAACTCACATGCAGTGCTCAAATCACGCTCTGCTCCACGGGGATTCTTGGTTATAGCCTGAATGCAGAATACCAGGGTATATACGCGCACGCACCCACACACGCGCACGCACGCGCACACACACACACACACACACACACACATCACACACTTAGAAATCTCGTAGTTCCTTGGTCCTTTTTACTTAGAGATCTGTACAAAATGAACTGCCTAATGGAATATCGCAATCCAAGTCCAAAGCATCCTAGAGTTAAAAACAGTCATCCAGAGTGCACAGTCAGTGTACACGATATAGTTCACATCCTACAAATAGGTCGTTATTTACAGGTGGCCTCTTACCAACAGTATGGCTCTGTTGTTCAAGGTTGCATAGTCGTCATCAGGACAAAGCTTGACAGCTGTATCAAAACATTCCATGGCCTGCAGTGTAGCATCAAGAAGAAACCGTCCAGAATACAAAGATTTGCCGGAGAAGCTACAGATGAGCCCCTACAGTTTGGGAGAAGATTAAAGTGGACCATTTTCAACAGCACAGGATTGGCAACAAGAACTAAGGAAAGATCGACCTTTTTGAAGACCTGTCAGCTATGAAGTGGAGAACTAGTGCTGCTCTATCAACGCACAGGCAAATGTCACCAGACTAATGACAACTGAGAGGATGTGAGATTGTAGTACATACATGTACTTCCTCCAGAAACAAAAATGTCGTGACTTTTCACTATTTTTTTGCTGCTGTTCTGTCGCGCTCTCTCTCTCTGGTTCTGTTGGCCTGAAACACTGACATGACATTCCGGAATCGTAGGAAAGCATGATTCATATTCTGGACAGCCGACAGTCGTCGCAAAGCAGGGGTGTCCACGCTGGAAACAAAGCAAAGCGAATATGTTTTTTCTCCATTTTCGTCCACAGGGTGCAATGTGAAGAAAAGCACTGTGCTCACTGCTCGTCGTTGCTATTTTCAATTCAGAACTTGAAAGAGCAGGACAATGGCCCCGAGCAGCAAGAAGAGTGGAAAATAAATAGCACTAGCAGCTAGCGTTTTGAAATATTCGCCCTCCCAGAAACGCCTGTCGGCATGCGAACAGGCCGGCAAGATGTCAAAACTCCAAAACGCAGAGATGTGACAATCGTCACTTCGCACAGCAGAGCAAGATGAACAAGTTCAATATCGAAGTCGTCGTTCAGTCTGCAGAGCCCAGACCTCAACATGGATGATCTCGCCTTTTCCAGCAGCCTCCACGATGTGTCCTTGGTCGCAAAGGAGAACAGCCGAGATCTGATTGCGGCAGTCATGAAGTGCTGGTACGACTATCGCTCGGAGGAATTTTGAAATGTTTGTCTTAGCCTGTGTTTGTTGTTCCGGGGCATCCTCGAGAGCGGAGGCGGTAATGAGTACCAGCGCCACCGTGGTCTCCGCTGAGATGGAGAAGGCATTCAGGTAACCGCGAAGACGATCAGGGACGCGGAGAAGCTTCTCTGTGACATACGACATCGCGTTAATCGACGTGCGACTCCGACGGTTTCAGCGGTGATGAATCGAGCGATGGCGACCCAGACTGAGATTCTACTCCCACTAATCGTCTTGTAGATATTGTAGATATGTCCATTGAAGCCTTTTGAAGGTGTTGAAGTGTTTCCCTATCAAAAGAACACTTCTGTTGAGCACAGTAACTCCTTGAAAAGTCATGTAAAAAAGTCACAAAGTTTTTGTTTCCGGAGGAAGTACATGCGCACTTACCTTGGCATAGTGACGCTGTTGGGCTGCCAGGCATCCAGCGTTAAATTGAGCCAGGAACGAAGTTGGCTCAAGGGCTATTGCTTTCTCCAGGTCATACATGGCAAGTTGCCGTTTGCAGGCATACTGGGGACAAATATAGATAGGTAATACAGTAAAATATATAGCTGACAAGTCAAGGTGAGACAAACCTCATGGCTAATGACGTGCCAGTGTTGTGTACAATCCCTTGCACTGGCGTTGGCATGCAAAGTACTAGTGTAGTATATCCATTCCCAACTGTGTGATATTCCCATCAAGTCTGTCTCTCTTTTTCACTAGATCGCAACTTGTACGTGCTCTTGACCCTTTCGCCTGTCTTTTTTTCGGCCTCGTATATCCCAAACCAGTCTACTGGAGTTCTTCTAAATCCATGCGGACACGCGTGGGATTCTCCTGCACTGTACCATATGGTAGGATAATTAGGTGTTGCACGTGACTTTTCCCATATCCCTTTCTAGACATCTTGTTCATGCTCTTTGCTGTTTCTCTTTGGTCTCTTTGCTTTTCCATGAATCGATTGTTTGAAGAAAGTTACAAAGCAATGTCTCCTACTAGGTAAAGGAACCTTGTCATTGTCGAGCCTTGTTGGCCACAACTATCAATCATTCCTAGTACAGGTAGACTCCCTCTAATTCAAATACGGTATAATTCGAACATTCCGCGTAATTCGAACTTTTTCGTCGTACCGATCTTCTGCAAGTCACTTCAAGTCAAAATCGAATGCATAATTCGAAGTACGAAAAGTGCGCCGGTTGGATAATTCGAACCCAGTCTTCGTGCAGAAGAGCTGTTTAGAGTACATTGGCTGTGTCCTTTGAACGCTTATTTCGAAGTGAGATTGAGTTGCTATCCTTGTAATTCGAAGTTCATTCTTTTCTCCGTCTCTAGCCAAGAGTAGCTCAAAAATCGATCGATGGTCCGCTGCAGGATCGACTATAGCGTTCAAGAAACCCACCTTATGGAATGCTCTTCCCACTGACTGCCATCAGGCCCCGTCTCTTACTTTGTATGTAAACATGGTAAAAATTCACCTAGGGTTCACAGTAAAAAGGCAACGCCTGTTGGGACTCCCCTAGTAAAATAATAAAATCTACTACTACTACTACTACCTTCTCTCGAAATTTGATTCAAGCCCGTGCGAGGCAAATTGCAAAGGTTTGATTGAAGACGACTTCTTCCTGGTGGCTGACTCTCTTCGCGGATCTCGATGGCCTTTCTTGCGGCGCCAGCTCGTGCGTGGAGATGTTGGCGCACAACAACACTATTGTTGTAAATATTGTCTATGCCTATGCTCCACTTCCGTTCTTCAGAACGACGTGCTGGTGTCCGACGGCCTTTCATGACGCGGATTAGGCAGCGCAGTTCTTTTCCGTTGAAATTATGTTTCAGGAAAGCTGCAGTGACTGACAACTTCTTCACTAGAAGATGAAGATAATGTCAAATGATTTTGTGTCGATCCAGTGTTTTGATGATCCGTTGTACATGACCGGTACGACCACCTATGTTTCGTCGATGCAAATAAAAATGTGCAAAAATATTCAGCATGCGATTTCAAGCATTTTGACATACATATCAGTGCATGGGGCTGCATTTGGATAATTCGAAGTTCCGGATAATTCGAAGTTTGGGCCTGGCAATTTGAGGTTCGAATTAAAGGGAGTCTACTTGTATTTCCTACATGTTCCCAAAGGCATAAAGGGTCCACCCTTAGCGGAGCATGTGGAATTCAGTATCCTGTGCTTCAGACCAAGAACATGATTGTGTTGCTCACCGTGTTGATCACAGCTCGTGTCGTTAGCAGGCTTGCAGTTTCCTTCACCTGCCAACCCAGGAAAGGGAACAGAACAATTTGAATCAGCAACAGAGAACATTAGATTTAGAGGCGCCCATGTGGAGCTTATATTGGTTGCAGTACCCCCAATACCACTCAGCCTACCTGGTACCCCCAATACCACTCAGCCTACCTGGTACCCCCAATACCACTCAGCCTACCTGGTACCCCCAATACCACTCAGCCTACCTGGTACCCCCAATACCACTCAGCCTACCTGGTACCCCCAATACCACTCAGCCTACCTGGTACTCCCAATACCACTCAGCCTACCTGGTACCCCCAATACCACTCAGCCTACTTTAAATGTGCTTGAAGTTGCAGCAAGACAACGTGTACCCTAGTCCTGGTTTCATAAGGCTGTTCGTCTAAAAAATACCTGTGCCATCAATCATTGAAACACAGGTCTTACCCTCAAAGCGACATTGATGTCTTGCAGAGCAGCATCGAATTCTCTGAGCTGCAGATTGAGAATTGCCCGAGCCTCTCGTGAAATCACACAATCTACATGTATACAGGTGGCCAGCACACGGAAAACAGAGCAACCAAGAGGAAATAGAAACACTAAGCACTTCAGGAACTCACAGAAAGGCAACGCAGAGCACAGACTAACAATACGATGCTGGTACAACACACACTCAGAGTCGAGTGCTTTGCAGTTTGGATCGGTACAGGATATTGAACGAATACCAACTGTAAGCATGCAGCTCAAAACCTGTACATCATAATAGCCAGAAGCTGGTTGTCGTCAACGCCTGGACTTGACCGTCAATGCAAATCACTAACCTGGGTCGATAGTAATGGCTGTTGTGAACTGATACCATGCTTGACGATAGCAGCCTTTCATCTAAGAACAAACAAAAGCACAGCTTCTTCAGGGTCAATCATGCAGTCTCTATCGGAACACTATCAGCAAGTGGTAACATTATTACTAGTCTCAGTATCAGCAAGTGGTAACATTATTACTAGTCTCAGTATCAGCAAGTGGTAACATTATTACTAGTCTCAGTATCAGCAAGTGGTAACATTATTACTAGTCTCAGTATCAGCAAGTGGTAACATTATTACTAGTCTCAGTATCAGCAAGTGGTAACATTATTACTAGTCTCAGTATCAGCAAGTGGTAACATTATTACTAGTCTCAGTATCAGCAAGTGGTAACATTATTACTAGTCTCAGTATCAGCAAGTGGTAACATTATTACTAGCCTCAGAATCACAACAGTGCTGTTTAGTTCATGCAGTCAGGCTTCTGATTCACGCAGGGAAATGTTCATTTCTCGCTGGCTGAACACAGTGAAAGAAACGAGGAATTGAGTTCTTTGTAGATTTTTGCACAGTGTGGCTGATGAGTGCGAGGGCATGGCTGGGCTGAAAGCTTGTGATGGCGCAGAATTATTTCCATTGTTTTTCTTTTCGCCAAGTGGTAGGTTGCCCACCCACCCACCAACCCTGTTTTTTGCTGTTGATGCGGAACATTACACTGTCACTGTTACAGAAATTGCAGCTCCTGGTTTTCTGACTGATTGATTGTGCATTGTACGCAAGAATAATAGTAGCCTAAGTCTACAGCATTGGGTATTATGCTCCTCGGCTTTCGTCCTGTTGAGCACTCTCAATAGGCTGCTCTAGTGCTGCTGCATCACGCAACGCCCGCTACTTTTTGTAGTTTGAGCACTCTGGCGCTAGAGCGACGAGCTATCTTAAAATGTTTGTGGTGCCTCCTTTGCACCATGTCTGGTAGCTCGGCCTATTTAGCTCGTAGCTGTACTGATGAGGCCTTTATGGCCGAAACAGCTTGCTGTCTACAGCATTGGGTACTAGCCTATGTAACGAATGGTATGCTATTGCTGATGCCGCTGTCCCTAGATAGCTGAAACGCACATTGCCGTAGCTTATTTTCACATGCTGCTGTTGCTGTTACTGCTGCTGCTGGAACTGCTGTCACAGATACTGCTGTCGTTAGTGGTCGTGGAATCCGGTTGTCTGATCCTGTTGCGAGTGAGATAATATTTCTTTGGCAAGAAGTCTTGCGCAGTATGCTTGCACACCCTGCATTTTGTTATGTGTGAATTGGTGGAGTGAAACCAGGGCCAAATTTATCTAGACAAAGGAGTTGAACTGATTGGTAGCATAGACTACAGATCAACCCCAAGAAAATCTGTTGTTTGCTCAGTGATTACCCAAGGACGTGGTAAGACCTGCTGCTTCTATCCTTACCTGGAGACACAGACCGAGATCAATGTACGCCTTGGTATACAAGGGGTTCAGCAGAATTGCACGGCTAAAGTCATGACTGAGATGCAAAATACAAATGACACACCACACCATGTTCCATCAAAGTACTGAAGTACTAAAAACACACCGTCCATACATCCACTACCAGTTCTGAACCTTTTAAAAGGTTCTCACTGTTACTGTCTCCCAGCCGAGGTCACACACACGCACGCACGCACGCACACACAGACACACACACACACAAACACACACAAACACACACACAAACACACAGACACACACACAGACACACACACAGACACACACACAGACACACACATACACATACACACACACACACACACACACACACACACACACACACACACACTAGTTCCAGAAATACAGTTATGGTAACAAGGGATTCACAGGTAACACGAGAATACAGGTAAAACAAAGTGGAAGTCGGATAAGCTTGAGCCAAACACTCTCTCTACTCAAAGTCCTCAAGAAGCTTCCCCCAAATCAACATCCGCGGGCACTTCAACTCAGATCAGTCCGTGCGTGCGTGCATTTCAAGCATTGGCATGGCAGTATACCAAAACAGAGTCATATTATAACACCAAATGACTTCGACAAAATCAGAAACAACTAATCTGGGAAACCCACAGCACTCACACTCTTGAGACTTAGTCAGATTGAATTTTCTGCATGAGTAGGAACACGACTACCCATAAGGCATAACAAACTCAATTGGAAATTACTGCAAGCCCAACTAGGCCAGTATGCCACGCCGAAAACGCCTGGATTACCAGGCCCAAATTCTAGTGTTTGCAGTGAGGAACCAGATGACGTAATTGAGGGTGCAAACAGGAACGATCTAATTTTCGCAGGGTCAGCTGAGCATTCCTCAAAAACGCTTGGACGCAAGATCGGACGCAAGATCGCACGCATGACTGACCAAGCATACAGAAGCAGTACATGCAGAAATTGAGTGTCGTTGCAAATCCTGCGACTATTTCCACCTTGCCTCGCGAACCTCGTGGTCACCCGAAGGTCCTTGACAGCAACGTCAATGAGGCTGTACAAAAGTATGTTCCAGCCGTTCGCAGCAGTGGCGTGGTGGTGAATCGCAAAATTGTGATTTCTGCAACACTATGTATTTCATGTACGCTCAAGCCATGCCTATTGAAAGAGACGACATTGAGCCTCACCCCGCATCTGCTTCCATACTGGAACTACCGGGATGAGCTGAGCGTCGAAGATGGAATAGTCCTGAAGAGCCATCGCGTCGTCATCTCGTCACCAATGAAAGGAAAAGTGCTGACGAAGCTCCGTGCTGCTGATCAAGGCAAGGAAAAAACCAAGCTCCGGGCAAGAGCTGCTGTGTTGTGGAATGGGATCAACGTCGACATTGACACTCTTGTGTCATCCTGCACCATCTGCCAGAAATACCAAGACAGCCAGGTGAAGGAACCACTCCTGCAGGAGGACATCCCGCCACGAGCCTGGCACACCATCGCCGCTGATCGGTTCCACCTAGACAACGCCGACTACCTCATCGTAGCAGACTACTATTGCAGGTTTTCATTCGTCCGCAAACTGCAACCCAACTAGTCCGACAGCCGGACAGTTATCATCTTGCTAAAGGATCTCCGGCCATGGTGCGTTTAAATTTAGCCGTTTTTTGGGTCGGTGCCGAGTATAGCCGAAATTAAATAGCTGCCAGAATTTTGTATATTAAATACACACACACATACAGTAATGTGTTCACATGCAACATAACTGAGACACCCATTTAAAGGGGAAGTTAAGGCAAAAATTAAAATTTCACCAGTTGTAGTCTTCGGGGTGCTGAGTCGAATGGTCTTGGTCCGAGAAAGCTGAGACGCTCCCTTCCTACTTGAATCCCAATCGAACTCGCGCACTTCCACCGAAACTGGGTGACTGCGCCCTACTAGATGGGGATTTGTATGCAAAATGTCACTAAAAGCGCCGTTTCGTTCTTATAAAAGCACGGATGACCACGATTGGCCCATATGTTGTAGTCTTTTGGACGCTGAGTCGACTGGTTTTGGTCCGAAAAGGCTGCGATGCAGCGTTCCTCCTTTATTCCCAATCGAACATGGTTGAACAAGCGGTCACGTGCTCCTGCGTACACCAGTCAGCTGGTCACCGTGCCTGCAGGGTACAACTTACTAGCCTGTTTGACCTTTTTTGGGTGCAGTCCTGTCACTCGAGTTGAACTCGAGTTGAACCTTGGTGTGAAAGTTCTCGCCTGCTGGCGTGGTGACCAGGTGATTTGGGCACCCAGGAGCACGTGACGACTTGCTCAACCATGTTCGATTGGGAATAAAGGAGGAACGCTGCATCGCAGCCTTTTCGGACCAAAACCAGTCGACTCAGCGTCCAAAAGACTACAACATATGGGCCAATCGCGGTCATCCGTGCTTTTATAAGAACGAAATGGCGCTTTTAGTGACATTTTGCATACAAATCCCCATCTAGTAGGGCGCAGTCACCCAGTTTCGGTGGAAGTGCGCGAGTTCGATTGGGATTCAAGTAGGAAGGGAGCGTCTCAGCTTTCTCGGACCAAGACCATTCGACTCAGCACCCCGAAGACTACAACTGGTGAAATTTTAATTTTTGCCTTAACTTCCCCTTTAACTAACATTGCCATGGCATCTCCGACAGGATGGCAGTACTCCCAGAAGCACATTCCTCGACTGACGCAGGCTTCAACGGAGCGTGGATTTTCGCCCAAGACGTACGTGAAGCCATCCACTGCCTGTCGGAGAAATCCAGATCTGCAAAGCAAATAACACAGTATGTGTTTCACCACCACCAATTTCTCCAACTCCAGAACACAACATGAAAGTAGACCGATTTAAAGCTTGCATTGCTCTCCAGAAAAGCCTGCTTCTTTCACATCCAATGATTTAAAACACCAACCACTCAAGTGGTAAATTTGCTACTTTTTTAAGACATCACCGATTATAACGTGAATGGTATGTCGTTGTGCAACACGGATGTCTTACCGCATCAAAGCTACACTAATGGCATGGTATACATCCAGTCCTCTAAAGTCAAGCTAAGGTGATGATGATGGCGATGATGATGGCGGTGGTGGTGTGGCAGTGGGTAAGGATGTGGCATAACAGGACATGGCATTGTTATATGAACACACACACACACGCACGCACGCACACACACACACACAAGCATGTACGTACACACGTATACGCACACACATACAAACACAAGTACACACAAAAAAACAAAAACAAAACACACACACACACACACTTGTGACAGCAGTACATGTACTGTGATGACGTTGCTAGCAGCATTGTTGGATAGTGATTCAATGAACTGCTACTTCTACTCACAGCGAGTTAGTTGCTAGAGTATCAATGGCACGGACAAACGAATCATCTATTACTGTATTAGAAAAAATTGGCAAACTGCCTCAATGCGCAAGACGCAGAGATTTTCCACAATGAAGAGAGATCAAAAAAGGAAATTTGTTGTGACTTTTAATAAGTTTCATGCTGAAGCAATCATCCGAGGGTTGTCTGATGATTGCTTCGGGATGAAACTTTTTAAGTCACAACATTTTTTCCACTTGGATCCTCTCGCTTCCAGGGGAATAATCTACCAGTGATGCACTTGAAAACTTGATTAGTACCTAGCAAAGCCGTCCTTCTTCTCCAAGATATCACAGCTATCCTCCTCCATGTCCCTGACACGGCTGACAAGTCTATCTTTGCTGCTACTCAGAGTGTCTTGTTGAAAAATACTCATCCATGAGACAGCGACATCTGCCATATGTGGTCTCAATCCCGGGACACAGAGGATGAACAACAGTCTTCCTGTTGAGGCTAGCATGCAGTCTATACGAGATAGATTCTAGAAAACAAACACTTGCAACCCATAGCTGCACATTTCCACATCTGCACCCCCCCCCCCCCCCAATGCCTACATACCAGTACACACCAAAGCACACATACCAGTATAACTTGTTGGTAGTCAGCCAGGGCACAGTCGTAGCGCTTCATCTCGTAATAGATCATGGCACGGTTCAGATAGGCGTTTGTCTGTTAGGCAGCAAGCGTGGAAGCAAAAACACAGCGAACTTTTAGAGAAGCGGCATGATGCTTGCAGCGCAGCTCACACACTCATAAACTCCTCCACGAACATTCCCTTTTCTCTCCTCTTCCTCTCTGAGTGTGCACACACATATACAGGCTGTAGCCTTGATATCATGTCAGACATGCTGATATTAGATGATAAAAAATCCAGACTTGTATGGAGGAAAATGTGTCAGAAGAAAATGAAGACAGACAACAGCAAGGTGTATGCAATGAGGTGAGTGTGCAGCTGAAAGGATATTGCATCATTAAAACTATGCTTGTTTGCCTCATGCGGTGTGCCAGATGAGTACATGTATTTGAAATATCCATTCTCCACTGATCTGATGCTGACAGAAGTACATGCAAGTGCATGGAGTGCAATGTATACAGTGTACAGTATGTGGTGCGTAAGTAGGCATGTGTGTGGTGTTACATCTACTGTCATCTAGACATGTCAATAGGCACATTTCCCATAACACTACTAAGCATGGCAACACTGCAGGTTCAGTGTATGACACCACCAGTAGTCTCGGTGTTGGGTGGACATGGAACTTACCACAAGGTGTTTATAATCAGAATTAGTCTCATCACACAGCAACAGCACTGTACTGTTGTCGTTCAGCGCCTAGCAGGATAACACACAATCACACACACACACACACACACACACACCCCCCCACACACACACACACACACACACACACACACACACACACACACACACACACACACACACACACACACACACACACACACACACGTACACACACACACACGTACACACACACACACACACGCACGCACACACACGCACACACACGCACACACACACACACACACACACACACACACACATTAACAAGAACACACATTGCTTGGGTGGATGGTGCGTGGCCGGCGAAATTGAATTGCATTTGCCCGGGGGGCAAGTAATAGTAGGGTTGGCAAGAGCCAAGAGCCCACTGATGCATTCAATGGAGAAATGGAGAGCCGCCGGGCACCGTTTGTTGGGGTTTACTTTATAAAAGTAAGCATGTGAGGATAAATATGGGAGTGGGTGGGTGGGAACGAGAAACAAATAAACTGACAACCAGTCACCACCATGAACAATTCTTGAGAGGAGATTGTCAGCAAGGGAGCAAGAAAAATGGGTCGCCATTTTTGCGTCATGGTAACCAGACATCAGTATGGTTGCTGACGTCATGGGCACGTTGTGTGCACTGGGGTAAATGTGAGTGGCAACACTGACAGTTGTGCGGCACCATGCCTGCGCGAGGACACAGGGCAGCAGAGACAGTTGTGCGGCGCCATGCGCCCGCAAGGACATGGGGCGGCAGAGGTTGGTGTGCGGCCCCACGCGCCTGCGAGGACAAAGGGCGGCGGAGACAGTTGTGCGGCACCATGCGCATGCAAAGGCATGGGGCAGCAGGGGAAGTTGTGCGGCACCATGTGCATTCGAGGACTTGGGGCAGCACGTACCCGCGGCGGTGAGCTGCAATGATGCTAGCTGTTAATGAGCATAAACGCTGCGCTTTAATGCGACACACACACACACGCACGCACGCACGCACGCCTGACAGGAGTTGGACATGATATTGGAACCAAAACAGGACAGGTTGTTGGCTGTCGCGAATGCGATCCGATTTATTCGTAGCCACGAGCACAATGCATGTATATAACCAATAATTCACAGCTACATGTATCTTTGTTCAGTGCATGATTTCTACGTTCAATCGTTTGCATCTCTTTGTGACACCCCGGTACTTTCGGTGCGTCTGTTTCATACCTAAAATTTCAATACACCGAACAAACACCAACACACATAATCCAATAGGGAACTGCTTCTCTGTACCGAAAATTTCTGTTCACCTAACCTAGCCTGTTGCCCTCATACCGAAAATATTGAGCACCGAAAATTTCTGAAATTAGAGTACGTCACTAGCCGTTTGGCGTACAGCGCGCATGACGTCTATAAACATCATTAGCACAGAAAGGGTTAACGTATTTTTTTACTTAAACGGGGCAAGCAGTTACACGTTTTATGAAAATCCATCGTGAACTCAAGGAACATTACTAGTGTGCTATTCCTGCTATCCTCTATACTAGAGAAATGGAAGATGGGTGTGTGATGGATGGGTTGGTCAACTTTGTGCTCGCTAAGTTGGAAATGTTTGCAAATCGTTTAACATTAGACTCGTCACATTTTCAACTCCATCCATACATGCTCACAGCACTCTCCAAACGGTCTCTGGCCTACACCTGTTATATATGTACTCATGTGTACTGTACATAGTAGTAATATACCTCCTTCTGTAGCACTAGCATGATCTAGCATGATTACACTGCGCATGCTCTTGTTCATGGCTTTTTCCCCAATCTACTTGTGCTAGCTGGATGCTTGTGTGCATGGGGATCAGGACACAACAAATGGCGACGAAGATGTTTGCATAATTTCTCTATTTTAGTGTTTGTAGACGGTAGTACATGTCGATATGGCTACTGTAAGAGCTACAATAGAACCGTTTACGGGTGGCGATTTTGCCGAGTATCAAGAATGGCTCGCTTTCTATTTTCTGGCCAACGACATTGGAGTTGTTGCCAGCAGTGCGTCGAACGCGGAAAAGGAACAGGTAAAAAAGAAAATGTTTGCCCACCTGATTTCTAGCCTGTCGAAAGACGTTTACGCTACCCTCAAGAGTCTCTGCCTCCCAACCAGCCCTGCGGACAAATCGTTTGACGAAGTTTGTGCTCTGCTAAGTAAGGGATTATTACAAAGTTCGTCGATCTGCAACTACTGCATCTTATCAATTCCGATCGTGTGTTCAACACCAGGCGGGCGAGAGGATCGTCGACTTTTGCAACCGACTGAAGCGAGCTGCAGTGCCTTGCCAGTTTGGCGATCATTTAGACCGTGCACTAAAGGACCAGTTTGTTGCCGGCCTGGCCAGCTCGGACATAAAGCGCAAGATCTTGACAAGCGCGGATGCAGATACGACTAAGTTTGCCAATGTCGTACAGATCGCAGAGCGAGAGGAGAGTGCCATCACGTACGCCGGGCAACTCACTCCAGGTGCGACCTCTGTAAATAAGCTGCATACGAGAAGCTCACCAAATCGTACTGCACCGAACCGCACGACGGACCAGCGAGACCACCGAGGCCGAGGTACTACTACTACTACTACTAATACATCTACGAAGAAATGTTTCAGGTGCACTTCGGATCTACACATGGCAAACAAGTGCCCACATCGAAACACGGAATGTCGTTTCTGTAAGAAGACCGGCCATCTCGAGAGAGCCTGCCTCGCGAAACGGAAGCGTGCTGGCCAGGTCAACCATGTGGGTGACGAGGCGGAACCAGAGGAAACCAGAGGTGAGATCGTTTCGGATGTACCCATATTTAAGATTCGGTCAGGGAATGGGCACAACCCCCCCTACACTGCTATGGCAACCATCAATGATTCACCGTTAGCTACACGTTTGGAAATAGACACAGGAAGTGCCGTTACAATAATTACAAAGGCTGACTTCGAGAAATTGGGCTCCCCTAGTACATCGCTGGCACCTCCCACAGTTCGGCTCATTGGGTTTTCGGGGTCACCCATCCCCTGTCTGGGCGAACGAAAGTTCACGGTATCACTTAATGGGCAAACACACGATGTTCTCCTACGTGTTGTGGATACCAAGGGGCCGTCGCTGCTAGGCAGAGATCAGCTGGCAGTGTTCCAGTTAGACTGGAAGGAAATTTTCCAGGTCAAATCACAGATTGATAAGGCAATTGAGCGTGCTGTCTTGCGGGACGAAATAATGGCCAAGTATCCCACACTATTTGACGACTCGTTGGGCAAGCTAAACACGACACGAGTCACGTTGAGGGTAAACGACGACCACCCAGTTTTTAATAAATGCCGAACCATACCGTTTGCAATTAAACGCAAGTATGAAGAATCCTTGGATAAGCTGGAAGCCGAGGGTATTATCCGCAAAGTGGAATTTTCCAAATGGGCTTCCCCTACAGTACCGGTGCGCAAACCTGATGGCTCAATTAGAATTTGTGCAGATTACTCACACACCATTAATGCTAACTCTGACTTGGAGAGGTATCCTTTACTAGGGCTGAAACGATCATTCAATAACACCTAACGATCGACCGATATCATTAACGATCGATATATTGGTTTTATTGATTATTGTCGGCTCAACCCGTGCACCTCGAACACCAGTATATGAAGAAATTCCATGATACCTTTGCTTCGTTAAAAAATTTGTGGCACCGCACTGTTGACACCTGTAGATATCTGGCTGGTTTTATCAACATGAACTAGAGAATTTCATGTTGTTTCTAGAGCAAAGAATCGTGTCATCACCCTCTGGCAACTGCTCTTCTCCGACCTCTCCCACAAATGAACCGAAAAGACAGAACATAGTCTTCTCTCCCAATCTCTTTCAAAGCCACAGATCAATTTTACTTCGCTTGAAAGTACATTATTGTACTCTTATTCAGTATCGGATGGAGTGCCAGGGCTAGAATACTGTCACTGATATGCATGCATAAAAATAGTTAGCACTCGTTTTGAACACTAACGATTAGCGATTGCACTCTTAACGATCGATATGCGAGTTATCGGTATAATTGTTTCAGCCCTATCCTTTACCCACTGTTGAAGAAATTCGTTCCAGTTTAAGTGGGGGTCAGAAGTTCACCACACTCGATTTATCACAAGCGTATCACCAGTTAGAGCTTGATGAAAATTCGAGGGTCTACACTACAATCAATACTCATCGTGGATTGTACGAGTATACTCGACTACCTTTTGGCATACACTCTGCAGTTTCGGTGTTTCAACGTACTATGGAAGCATTACTAGCGGACATAGAGGGCTGCATTGTGTACGTAGATGACATACTGATCACAGGGCGTAATGATGAAGAACACCGACGTACACTCGAACGGGTTCTTGAGCGATTACAGGAGTCGGGTATGCGGGTCAAACCTAGCAAGGCACAATTCATGCAAGACCAAATTGTGTATCTCGGTCATGTCTTGACCGCTAATGGTATTGCACCATCTCCGACGAAAATTGATGCAATGGTACAAGCGAAACCGCCTACCTCGGTAAATGAATTGCAATCTTTTATTGGCTCTGCAAACTACGTCCGGAAATTCATTCCAAAGTTTGCAACGATAATGGCACCATTGTATGTTCTTCTGAAGAGAGATTCTCCTTGGAAATGGACAGATGTCGAACAACAGGCCTTTACCACTTTGAAAGAGGCTCTGTGTTCTACTGATGTTTTGGCTCACTATTTACCAGAACGAGAACACGTTCTACAAACCGATGCTTCAGGCGTAATTACTGAAAAGAATAAAATTATCCGAATTTCGGGCAAGGCCCATCTTCAGGAATGCCGTATTGGGAAACACTTTCAACTCTTATGAAGTATTGGATTTCAAAATTGTCACCCTGGTTTCAGAGATCACCGAAAGTAAGTACAGTGGTACACCGGTTCCATGGCTGGCCACTAAAACCAGATTCCAATTGCAGCCAAGACGCAGTGCAATCTGTCACGCATGTTTGCTTCACACTCACCATGCTCCTGTTTCCCATAGCTGTGTGGACAATTGCACGGTTGTACAAGGCCAGGGAGCACGCTGGATCAAGAGACAGGCAGCTGCACAGGTCACTAAGGGCTTCATCCAGCAAGCCCTTCTCGAAATGAAACATCGCCCTACAATGTAAATGAGCATAGAAAACAAACGGTACAAAAAAAGCCTGTCCATTCATTACAGAAGAAGATGGCTACTAGGAGATAGGAATGAAAAATGTAGAAATCAGTCAAAAAGATGAAGACACAATCAAACCGAATTTGGGGAAAGAATTTTGAAATATCAAGCAGGCGTCCTTTCCAGGAGGATTTCGTTCAAACTGTCCAAGTTCAACAGATGAACTCAAGAGTCAATTCCCACGGGGCACTACCGAGCACTTCCTTCAGATCATGGCTTTAAAATAAATAAAAATCACGATCCGCACGAGATTCGGTTAGACCGAGTTTACCTCATCCGTAGGAACACCCCTGCCCTCAAGGAGCAAGGTGCACATGCAGCTCCTATGGCTTGAAAACACTCGCAGAACAGGCACGCCATGATCATATTTCGTGTACATGCGAATACCACCGTACCGGTATAGGTGAGCCCGGACACTGCGTGGTCGTAGTCGGATAGCATTGTTGCAGTTGATGATGGCCAATTCCAGCTCTTTGCGCATGCCAAAGACGGCAGCGCGAGTCACATAAGCCTACGCACACCCATTAAATATGCATACACAAGCACAGACAAGCACACATACACACACACACACACACACACACACACACACACACACGTGACACACACATGCACACACATACACGTGACACACACACGTGACACACACGCACACACACTGTACTGTACTGTACTTGTTGCTCACTGCCAAAACTGGTCACGTGAGTCCCCCCGGGAGAGGGGAGAGAGACTCAAAAGGAATCTTGGAAAGATGACTCAACTGGTTATTGAACCGCCCAACGGCCGACACCCCCTGAAATCCCCAAAACTCTGGGTGGACTTGAAAATGATCCCACTTATGGGCTCACCACACCTCAGTAAGTGGGTGAGGACAAGGTGCAGAAAAAGGATTGACGGCATCAGGGTGTCCGTCCTGGGATCCAACTGCAGTTACCCCGGCCCCCAGTGAAGGTAATATTTGCTACTAGTGTGAGTGGCTAAATCAGAGTGGATCTGATAAAAGCTTCACTAGCACCATTGATTACACAAGAGTTAATCTAGCCAGAAGCAGTCCATGGTTAACAGGTATGTATACTTCAAATAGAAAGTATATGAACCCTGGAACCAACAAAGGTGGCAGGTACAACATTACACCTTCAAGCAGCCGAGCCTGTTGGCAACAGACCCAACACAATCAGGCATACGTGTACCTACCAACCGAACTAGCTGGCACACACACACACACACACACACACACACACACACACACACACACACACACACACACACACACACACACACACACACACAAGCACAGACAAGCACAGACAAGCACACATACACACACACACACGTGACACACACATGCACACACACACACACACACACACACACACACACACACACACACACACACACACACACACACGCATGCACACACACACGTGACACACACACACACACACGTGACACACACACACACACACACACACACACACACACACACACACACGTGACACACGCAAACACGTGACACACACGGGACACGCACGCACGTGACACACACGCACGCCGCACGCCACACACACCATGAAACACCTTACTCTGGGTGGGCTTCAATTCCATACTCATCACTAGTTTCGCTGGCCAAACACACACCAGCATGCTCATTGAAACGTGGGTAAGTTCATGTCAGAACACTGTGCAGCCCTAGCAGAATGAACGCTAGGCCATGCATGGGTACATGGTACTGACTTATTGACCAGGTTGAATTTCATCAAGCATGAATGCATGCATAATGTATCTGTGAAGTGGTATGCACCACATCAATGGAAACCCACCGACTTACATCATACATATCTCGACTGATACTGATCGATTTGTGCAGGTCAGACAATGCACGTCGCTGATTACGTGTAATGTAAGCAACACCACGCTCGTAGTACACCTGTGACCAGGACACACACACACACACACACACACACAAACACACACACACACACACACACACACACACACACACACACACACACACACACACACACACAAATGATACATACACCATTGAGAACAGTGCTCCTAAGTACAGTAAAACCTGGTGTAAGCGACCTCTGTCTTTAGCGACCACCTGCTCTTAACGACCGTTTTTCCATGCACGGACAGTTCTATACAGAAACTGCACCGGATACAGCGACCACCTGCCTTGCGCGACCAGCGACCGACTTTTTGTGTACCAAGTGCCATATTGGACCTGCACACAGCGGCCAAAACTAGTCAAAAGTGCCATCTTGGCTGGCAGGGCTGACTGCAACAGGGTTGAAGCAAGTGCATGCAGTCAACAGAAGTGACAAATGACAGTGCAGGATGCGCTGCATGCACTTGAGTGAGGTGTGCTTTGCCTGCACGAAAGTATTCGATGCTCCACACCTGTCAATATGACTACATGGAAGTACAATGATGCACATGTACGCATAATCCGATATACAACAAATGTATGGGACCTGGTTCTAAAGACCACCTGGCTTTAGCGACCGCTTTTGCTTGCACCGTGGGGTGGTCGCTTAAACTAGGTTTTACTGCACAACCATAAACTGGTTGGTAGAGTCCCGGTGTAGATTCTCCACTCCAAGCCCTGGGAGATTCGGAGTCTGGCGTCATGCTGCGGCATCATTTGCTGGCAAGCAGTCCCCTAGCCGCTTCCTCCATCTCGCTGACCCATCTACCAGTATACGCTTCTTGGTCGACACAGGTGCTAAGCTCAGTGTTTTGCTGGCCACCTGTACTGATCGTCGCAGCATATCCACACAGTCACTCCGAGCAGCTAACGGTACACCCATTAGAACATATGGACACCGTAGTGTTACTGTCGACTTGGGACTCCGCTGCAGGTTTCAGGGGGGGTTATATTGTTGCTGAGGTCGAACAGGCTATTCTGGGAGCTGATTTCCTCCATGCCCATCACCTGCTCATCGATATTCGCGGCAAGGCTTGAGTGTGATTGCCTCCGGGGCCAGCTACTACAGCTTCCTCAGACCAACACCATTCGACTCGAGTGATACAAATTTGATTTTAGGCTGTACGTGTACCGTAATGTCGCGTATTAAAGCCGTGCTTATTCCTGTAGAAGCCGATGTCAGTGCTAGGCTTCTATTCAAGTCAGGCTTCTATTCAAATCACGTATCTCTATGTAACATTATGTCAATACTAAAACCAGGCATCTGTGCTGAGTGTATCTTAAAATCAGGCTTGTACTCAAAACAGGCTTAAGACAGGCTTCTATACAAGACAGGCTTTATACAAGACAGGCTTTATACAAGACAGGCTTCTATACAAGACAGGCTTAAGACAGGCTTCTATACAAGACAGGCTTAAGACAGGCTTAAGACAGGCTTCTATACAAGACAGGCTTCTATACATGACACTATAGTACTTCCCTTTAGGTCTCTCCCCTCGTGCCATATACAAAACTCGCTCAATGAGCATCCGTTCGCTTTTGGAGGATTGCTAAATGAAGAAAGACTTGAAATGAAGAAAGTTTCAAGCCCAAAGGTGACAGGCTCCAAGCATGCAAGGGACCTGTTTCTTTCCACAGCTACTGGATGTCACAATACGTACTTTTGGTCGCTGCATGCAGTTGGACAGTGTGTTTGGTGCACAAAAAGTGTGCTGCTGGTCGCACAAGGCAGGTGATCGCTTTATGCAGCGTCGCCTTCTGATTCTCGAGTGGCACACCTGCGTCAGCACCTCCATTTCCAGAAGAGTGTAAGAAAATGATTGGGAAAATAGGACGGAACACAACAGCATCCTCAGATCAACGTTCTCCGACTCTCTGCCTAGAAAATCCAACATACTAGAGAGGTTCCGCACTACGTAAGTTGAGCACCTTTACGTATTAAAGTGGGCGGGAAAAAACCGTGAATTCTCGAGTTTGCACGCCACCTACGGAAAGTTGTCTACATAGAGTATGTAAGTAGTAAGTAGGGCTGTACTAACGGAGGTAAGTGGATTGGGGTATACATGTAGGACTCTCTCCCTAGGCCATACACTGTCGCGTTTGGAGTTGCCAAGGGCAGCTACGTGATTCGCAAACTACGTATGGTGGAACACGGATCCGCATGCAGTGTACGTAAGACTTTCCGTAGATGGACTACGTTTTTTACTAACATAATTACGTTGTACGGAACCTCTCTACTGGCAGCAAAGTTTTGACTATGGGGAAAACTTCCCTTACGGCATGCAGCGTTACGTCTGTCCAGACCCATGTCTTACCTTTGCATTTCCATCATTGTACTTCAGTGAGGTGTTGAATGACTGAACAGCTTGCTCGGTGCGCTGCAGACCCATTTGGCACTTGCCAATCAGGAAGTGACACTCGGCAATATCACGAGCTGTGCGCTTATCCATCTGAATACGAACAGCAATACCTTTCACGACCTGCTTCTTCTGGCTGGGAGCAGCGATTTTCTCCTGCAGTGGAAGGGTGCATGTGTAAAGCCAGAAGGAAAACTTCACCAAAAGTAATTCAAAAGCAATTCCAGAACATGATGGAGGCATGTGTTGGGTAACGGGATGACGTCATCTGAACTTCCCCCGATATATTCCCCGCAGATTTTGGAGTGGCAGTAGTCTTCTGCAAGTTCTGGTATGGCCAAGGCGATGATGCTCGCTGTGAGAAGGTTCCTGGGAACCGTCCGTTTAGTCAAGGCTGGGAAGGAAATGCAGTTGCACAAGCTCGACACAGCTGAGCTCAAGCTCAATCTCAAGCTGGAAGAAACCAAGCGTAGTGTGGAAGCTCGACACAGCTGAGCTCAAGCTCAATCTCAAGCTGGAAGAAACCAAGCGTAGTGTGGAGCGTTTTGAAGAATCGCTAAATGAACAACCCGAGTTCACAAATGGTCAGACAGTATTTGTTTTGAACTTTGGGCGTCATGGTAACAAAGGGATTCCTGGTATTGTGCGGTCAACTCTGAGTTCGTACAATTACCAGGTGAAAGTTGGAGACAGTGTTTGGAAGAGACACCGTAACCAAATCCGACCACGCGCTCTACCAGCTAGCAAGTTTGCTACCGACAAGGGTGAACAACCACCGCAACTACCGGATACTCGCCATGCTTCTGTCAACGTGAATTAAAGTTTCAGTGTACAGTGTCGCAAATCAACACCAGCTAACAGCAGCAAGGAGTCAAGTCTACAAGCGCCAACTCCACAGTGTGCTTCTCAACTGACTGGGTCTGAACAGATTCTGACGCAAGATACACTACCTGAGACAGATCAGAGTAGTAAGTCGTCCAGCAGTGGTAAGTCTGTTGAGATCGCTGTGCGTCGTTCTTCGCGTCAGTCACGTCCACCTGGCAGACTGATTGCTTCACAGTGAGTCTAGGATTGCCTGATAGACTGATGGACTGATTGTGACACGCTGATGGACTTTTTCAATATTGGGACATTTTATGATAGATCGATTGTTAATTATGTCGACTGACATGATTTCTAACCTTGGAACACTGTGTATTGTAGTTGACATAATTATTACCGTATATACCCCATCTGCGAACATAGATATCTATTAATACAGTCAGTACCTGTATCACAATACATTTCATATTACGCTACTTTGTGCATGAACGATAATTTTTTTGCTTGTTTTTTTTTGCAGGGGAGGAATTGTGGTGTCTCTCTCTGTAGTACTAATGTTACTACTCTGCACTACTTCACTATCTTTTTCCAATAACAATAATGACTTGATGATGTTTGACCAATGGGTGGTACATAACATGTGGGTTGAACAATCTTCTCACCACATGAACGTTACAGTTGTTTTAACCCTTTGAGACCCCACTGAAAGTACGACGATTTACTCACCTTCAAATAACATGCACTTTCGCTCTTATCTCTACCAAACATTCACCGATTTTTACAAACTAACCACCGTTGGAAAGGTATTTCCAAGACGAAGAGACTAGTACCACACTCAAGCCAGCTACCTGCACAGCCTCTGCTCTGCGTGGCCTATAATGCCGCCCAAAACAGCAGCCGTGCGCGAACAGCTTCAGCAAAGTTCAAACAGCCGCCATTCCATTCTCCTTCATCACATCGACTTCAAACACACTACATAACAGCGAAAAGCTCGTTTCAAGCGCAAACTTTTGGTGTGCAGCATGCTTGAATATGACGTACTATTCCGGGGTAATCCCCTGCCAAGTGCAGCGTGAACATTTGAATTTTTCGATCTGAGTGCATTTTCCAGTTTGTCTCCGACTTCGAGTCTCACCACGGCGGCATCGTAACTCCTAGAGACTTCGGATAACTTCGACGTGATAGCCAAGGTTCTTCTCGAAACGTAGATACAGTCAAACCTCGTTAGGACGAACTTCAAGGGACTGAACAAATTTGTTTGTCTTATCGGGAGTTCTTCTTATCCAGATCTGGCAAAAAATTGATATGCATATCAGATGGATTGTATTTGTGAAGGTGCATGCTGTGGTAAACGTGTACATGGGAAGCATGTCATTCTTAGCATAAGCCAGAAACAGGTAAGTACAATGACAAAGTGCAATGAATCACGACTGTGTCGAAAGTTCGTACAACGCACTGATTGATTTGTTCAAAACACGCTTGAAAGCAATTTGCACTGTACGTATACGTACAATATGACCTCGACTATAGAAAAAAGAAGAAAAAAAGCAGCCAGCGCACGCGCACGCTCGTGGACCGAAAGTAATTAGTTCGTACTACATGTACATGACCACACTGACTATGTTCAAATCACACTTGAAAATAGTTCGTCTTCGCGAAAGTTCGCTGTACAGAAGTTCGTCGTAAACGAATAATTTTGACTTGAATTGATGCCTGGCCAACCATAGGATTGGCCTTAGTTCGTACTAATGGAAAGTTCGCCTTATCAGTGTTCGTCCTAACGAGGTTTGACTGTACTTTGTTTATAAAATTCGGTGAATGAACACCAGAGATATAATTATTTTAGTGTCACTGAATACCAAACGATCGAATTCGATCGTTGCGGTCTCAAAGGGTTAAGGATACGATCTATTTCCTGTGCTCACAAGACACTGTGCTCACAAGACACTGTGCTCACAAGACACTGTGCTCACAAGACAGTGATCAACCATAGTTTCTACCTGGTTCTTTGTAATAACACATATCATATAAGGAGGAAGCCACCTGACCCTGTGCTCATGAGCTGTCCCATTGCCCACTAAGGGCGAAAAGTAAAATAAAGTGTGCATGTCTGCGCTACCACCAGCTATACACATGTGTGGAGAAAGACAACCAGGTTAGGAAGTTCCGCTTGTGCCAGGTGCAGGCCACCACCATGCCTAAATAGCATGGTGGCAGGTGCAGTGCCTGGTACCTTGGATATCAAGTACAGATCAAGTGGCCCTTCGGGTACATTGTATGGAAGTTTTACTGTACATGCTTTTACAAAATATTCCATATGCTGAGGCGTCAGAATCATCGACATACATAGCGCCAGTCAACCTGCTCAACAAGTGTCTACATGTACAAGTACTTTCGTGCAATTTTCTCAGTAGGTAAGCTGCTAATGGGCCAGGCGTAGAACATTACGTTTCTTATCCGGCTTGACAGTCACAGTGCTTCTCCTACCTTGATAAATAAGGCACGCTTGAAGAAAGACATTGCGGAATCAAATTGACTGGTCTTCATCAGTGCTTTGCCAAGCTCAAATAGGATGTTGTAGCCTGGACGTTCGTGTGAAGCATCACGAAGAACACGTATGGCCTGGCAAGGGCAGCATAGCCAAAGAAAGAAAGACAAGACAAATAATACTCTCAGACAAACACATTGCATCGCTTCTGGGGCTCGTTTCACTCAAGCAAACCCGGAATAATAACACCAGTCTCTCGCCGCTGAATCTGCTTCACTTTGCACAGAGGACAGTAGTTAGTCATACAGTACATATAAACAGATATGGTGCCACAATAGAGAGGTTCCGCGCTACGTAAAGTGGGCAGGAAACCCGTGAATCCGCGAGTTTGCACTCCACTTCCGGAAAGTGGTTTGCGGAGAGTACATGCATGGGGTCCACTAACGGAGATGCTTCGTACGTGGACTGGGGGATAAATGTAGGACTCTCTCTGGGTTGTTCGCGTTTCGTGCCCGAAGTTGCCATGCACAGCCAAGTAGTTCGAAAACTCTGTCTGGTGGAACACGGATCTACATGCAGTGTACGTCGCGTATAACTTTCCGTAGATCAACTACGGGTTTGTTTACTATTAGGGAGGTTCCGGAGTACGATTTTTCGTGCCAAAATCTGTGGAGGCGCTACGGATTTTTTTATACGTCGTTTTCGAGCAGTGAAAAGTTCCGGGGTACGGAACTTATGTGTTTGCCGTCATTGCCTAGGTTACGATCGCAAACACGTCACATTCCCGCGCTATGCCTTTTTATTTTGAAAATTTGTACCGAAATCAAAACTTTCCGCGGAAAATCGATGTTTCTCGTACCAAATTTGTACCCGAAAAATCTTTCTGCACCCGATGACGCAAAATCTCCATACGAAACATGGTTCGTATGAAAGCCAGTCCACACGGATTCTCCGTGCCGAAAAATCGTATGGAGCACGCCTGGAAAAAATCCGTAGCGCCCATACGGATTTTGGCACGGAAAGTCGTACCCCGGAACCTCTCTAATGTTAATACGTAGCGTGGGATCTCTCTAATCGGTTCACCAAAGAAACCTAAGGCTGTGTTTACATGAGGCGTTTCAACCCGGGTCAGATTTCAACCCGCCATGTGCACAAAATGAATGGCGCGTTTACATGACGCATTGCGCTTGACCCGGGTTGAAATTTCGCCCCGGGTTGATTTCAACCCTCCCCCCAAGGGGAGGGTTGAAATCAACCCGGGTCAAGAAAATCGTACAAACGTACTTCTGTGCGTATCTCGCGCCAGGTTTGAACAGCACTGCAGATGCAAATTTCGCGCGAACGGATTCACGTGACCATACAGGATTCTAGAAGTGGACTTTTGGCGGCATATCAGTATTTGACCCGGGTCAACTGTCTTCATGTAAACGCTCACCTCTTTTGTCTATCGTACAGACTTTCAACCCGGGCTGAACTCGACCCGGGTTGAAGTTTCTCATGTAAACACAGCCTAAGTGTTGCGACTGGGAGTTTCGTGATTTTCATCAATCATTAGGCAGCATTACAAACTGATCGATTTCTAAATACAAGCACAATGTTCAAAGTCCAGCTTGGAAGAGGAAGCGTGTTTAAACTATCCTACAACTCACAGAAAATGTCGGAACTCGTGGAGCGACACACATATAGAAATGGGTTTCGGCATTTAGTTCATTTGTTGTGAGTCCAGTCCTCTGTACTCCACCACTAAGACATCATATCTGCCACATGGACTATTGCAGAGCTGGTGCCGGCTACACACAAATACTTGGGGGTATGGCGTAAATAGCCACGTACCAACGCTGAAGTGTTAATTTCAATAATTTGCAGTCTTCTGCCACACCAAATAGTACACATACTCACTCAGTCACACACTCACCTTGTCTTCATTCTCCAAGAACAAGTTGACAACAGCTTGCTGTACTGGTGTAGCATCCATGCCCGCAACAAGTCGCGCAGCAGTGCTGAAGATGACACAAACATTTACCAGTAAGTTGAAATAAGCATTGAAGTACACCTGCGGGAACTGGCTTCAGGGCGACCACTACTGTAAGACATGTTATTATAACGAGTCGCAAATTTAACGATTGTCCAAAATTCATAGGTTAACGAGAAGATACGTTAACGATCTTGCGGTCTTCAGGCGTATCTGCACATAACACATATGAGGCATTAGACCCTCAACAGAACTTTAGGGCTCACAGTTGCGTACATTCAACATCAGCGCCATTTTGTTCCACGAGGTGCTGGCGTGATCAGTGAAAACCGTGTTTCAGCCAATCGCCGGGCTTGGAATTTTGAATATTTTTTGAATCTTCTATCGATTCGTTCTAAAGATCCACTTACCGGAGAGCCATGACATTTTTCAGGGAGGATTTCTTGGCTGAAGGACTACAGGATTACCGAACGATTTTTTCAAATCCGTGCTCTGAGACCCACGGACGGGATTTTGTGGATTTTCGTCCCTCGATGGGACAAACATCTGTGGGAATCGATGACACACGCTCGGTGAAAACCAAAAATATGGCTCGGTAATCCTCTGACCAGGTCTCTCAAGAAAATTTAGAGCCATAGATCGTCAAAATCGGAGCAACCATTGTGGAGTTCTTACATTTTGAAGCGCGCAAGGTCAAGAAGAAGACCGTGCGCAAGCTGACATGGCAGAAAACGGCAACTGAAGAAAAAAAAATATTTGAACACTACAAGTGCGACACAAGCACAAGGCAGTTGACTGTTTTTAGCTTACAAATGTAGAGAGAACTAAGTTGCTTACCTGTCGAACTACTCCTCGAGTCCTGCAGCTGGGGGTTGCTCAGCTTGCGCTGGGGACTGCGGAATGTTTGTAGCTGGAAAGCTGCGCTCAGCTGCCAGATGCGCTGTTTGCTTCTTGGAGGCGATGTGCTTCACACCATGCTCCCGACCTTCTTTCTCCAGCTGAAGCACTCTATTGGCGGACTCCTCTCGAGACCGATGGCGAGACAACGCGTCGCTGTAGACCTCGGCAGCAGTCAGGGTTCTCGTGTCGGATTCTGTTCTCACTACTTTGAGAGCAGATCGTGCCTCTGCCACTTGCTCATCCGTTACGCTACTGCTGTAGTTCTTCATGGAGGAGATAACTGTGCGGATTGTTTCATTCGTTGTTCGGGCAACAGATTGTCCACCATGCAGGATGTTCTGGGCGAACAGTTGAGTTGCTTGCCGACTTATCTCGGACTCGTTGGCACTCAAATATATATTGGCGAGATTGAACTGCCTCTCGGCTAAAACGTTATGGACTGGCAAGCCAAAGATGTGGTGGCAATACCAGGCCCATGCGTGTGGCTCCCCTGCTGCTGTTGGTGGACCAACTTCTGCGGAATTGGCCAACCTAAGAACTTCGATGGCCATACCTGGCTGTATTGGCCAATTCCTCCGCCACTCCTGCAAGCCCTTCCGATCTGCAGCAACTAAGGTCAATATGGCGAACTCGTCGAACAAATGCGTTTCTGGGTTGTGGAGCAGATATGATCGCTCGTCTAGAAGGCCATCAGTGACGCACAATGCCGCAAGTGCCGACACGGATTTCATTTCAAGTGCTCTATCTACTAGGAGAGTGTACGTATCTGCTGTGGCTGTGGCAGGGCCCTGCCGGAAAAAACTGCTTGTATGTCATGGCAACACCACCTAGCACACGAAATACAGCTCGCCAAAATAAATGTCGCAATTGGCTGTGTGCACCAAGAGCGAATAGCAATGGGAACACTAGCCAGCACGTTGCATGCTTCTCCAGGCTCGTTGTGATGGCACTGAGGAAGGGCTTCTGCACATGGTCGGTTAACCTGTCTTGCGCAGCTTTCTGGAGCTTCTCAGACTTGGCGGTGTCAGTGAGGGGCATCGCAAACGACGGATGTTTGCGCATTAACGTTGCTATGTTGATGTCCAGCATCACTTTGGCTGGCCATTGACGGGCAAGATAGCCCGAGCTGAACTGCAGCTCATTGTCCGGTTGCTGGCAAGCGGCCAGAGATGGCATAATGAGACGGTCGAGTACTTCGAGCAGCATGGTTCTCTCCACATCCAGGACGGGATTGGCAGCCATCCGTAATATGTCCTCCCAGATGCCGAAGTGGTTCACGCTCTTCGGCATCTTCTCCACAATGCGGCGTCCAAGTGCCTGGCAAGCGTTGCCGTATTTTGCCCACCACTGCAAACTTTCGTGAATGTAAGTCCATCTTGTTTCTATAAACTCTTGTGGCAGAGGTGGTGGCACTGATGTTATCTTCTCACTGACGTAGAGTGACTTGTAAAAACTCGGTCGCTGCTTGTGAACATACCCAACTTTGAAGTGCAACTGAAATAAATTGAAATCTTGCATTGTTCCACGCTGACCAAAGCCATCTGTCATGGCATTTCGTAGAGCAATGTTCAAAATACGTGGATAGCATCCGATAAATACTGTGGGTACACTGAACTTCTTACCCAATTCCACTGCTTGACCCTTGCGTGCACCGGACTGAGTGCTTGCATTATCTCCCATCACACCACAAATCTTGTTCACACCATAAACCTTCTTCAATACATGGTAATCCGTGTCTGCCTGGTCTGCTCCTCTTCCGGTTTTCACAATAGTATTGGCAAGCAGATACCCAACTGGGCCACCTCTTTCCGCAGACCAAATGTGCACGCCCAGCATGTGCCGGTCTTCCCCTCGTTTATTTGAATCATCCGCGAAAACTGCAATGTCGAACTCTGTTGTTGAAAGTTGCTTTCGCAGAACAGCTTTATCTACTTCTCCTAGTAGTACATTCCACTCAGATAAGGTTGCTGGAGAAACTGCTGTGCCAAGATTGTTGCATGGTGGTTCACCGGTGAGAATATGATGGCAAAGATGTAGTGCTACTGCAGCCTTCTGGTTGCTGAGCATGCATGCAATTTTCAGATAACGAACCTCTGCCATGAAACGTGCACTGTGTCCCTTTTGTCCTTGCAACTTTGCAGATATCACCACTGGAGATCGTGCCGAGTGTGGAGGGTGATCTATGGCTCGTTTTCCCCGCTTGCTTTTCGTCTGGGAAATCCGGAGGGCACGAATTTCCAGTGCTTGTTGCTGCATTCTTAGCTGCTGCTGCTGCTGGCATTTCCGCTCCATTATTTTCAGTTTCTGCTGCAGCTCGCTTTTTTCCTTCTCCATGGCTTCCAGGGCTTCGATGTTGTCGCGACTGCATGCAGTTAATTCATTCTTTGTTGATTCACCGTGTGATGTTGGCGTACTATGCATTGTATCGGTTGGACTCAATGCACAGGCTTCATCCTTCTCAGACTCCGGGTCTTTGATACATGTATAATCGTGACTGCATGCGGCTGGTTCATTCTGCATCATTTCCCTTTGCAGAGGTGATAGGTCCGCACTAAGCGGTATATCAGTTGTGCTTCCCGCACTTGGAGCACCCACTGACGGAACCTAGAAAACAGTCATATTATGATGCAGAGCACAAACACTGTGTTGGCATCTTATGAGTCATAGCTAGCCATTATGTATTGTTTCATAATCTTTCATGCTATTCTTTTTTCACCACTTTTATTGGAAGTGCTCCCAGGATAGTTACGCACGCGCTGCCCTTCTTTGAAATAATTCTACTCGAAGTACTTTTATTTTAGTTTCGCACCACATGTAGATCTAATTCCTTTATGGTACATGTATTGCTTCTGAGCTAGATGAGGATCTACACTTCACTTCTTTTTTGCTATGAAAACTGATGTTGATATCATCATGGCACGCAAATATTAAAAAAATAGTACTACTTCAATTCAAGGAATTGCAAAAAAAAGCATTCGACCTGCAGATTTACCTCGTCATCAAGTCGTCCATCCATGTCAGCACGAGCCACGCACCCAACAGGAACATTTTCCTGGGGTAATCCAGCACAAGTCATCAGTTTAGGTTTCTTTGCCAACCCAAACTGGCCAAAGCGGCCCTGGTTCCTTTGTTTTCTGCAACGGTAATCCATCCCTGCGTTACCCTTCGCACACCTAAGCTCAAAGGGGAAATCAGGGAGGGTTACCTGTCCTTGTCGTTTTATCGAGCAAAGGCAGCTCAGCTGCTCCTCCGGCCTCTGCTCAGCAGCACCAAGATGTCTCGTCTGAAGATAGTCTCCTTGCCATATATGCGACTGTTATTTGAAACCAGGTCATAGCACGACTCAGCAAAACCAGATACCCAAGAAGCCAAGATCGAGACACAGAGTCTCCCACACACAGCGCCTGGATGTCTCATCTCGACAGTCGACTCTAAAACAAATAAAAGTAGAGATCCTTTCTCCTGAGAAAAAAAGAAAAAGCAAAGCACGAATCAAGCTGTTCGCGTGGATGAGCATGAATGCGATCGAAAGAATCTCCGGAGCTCCGCTGGATCATGGATTGATGAGGAAGTCGAAAAATAATGAATTGTTCAGGCTCACGTGCGCGCTGCGTGACAGCTTGTCACAAATCAAAATGGCCGCCATGTCGCGGCCTGACTGCCATACGAACTGTGAGCCCTAAACTTATAACGAAAAAATCGCAGCCGTTAAAACGTTAGATTTACTTCCTCGTTGTAATTACATGTCTTACAGTACTCAACAGTACATGGAATGTACATACCGGTATTCATCAACAGTACAGTCGGTATCGCCTATAAGGTTGGCGGCTATAGTAATATACCGGATATAGTGATCAATTTCTCAAATTCATTTTCATTTGCCATAACTAAGTATACACAGTTATCGCGTATAGTAATAATCGTCTATAGTATTATATCGCCTATAGTGATCAAATTCATATTTCAAAAGACGTGTATTACACTATTTTTGCATCGGTTATAGTGACTGATGTAAAATCAAGCGATGTCAGAGGAGAACAGGGTGTTACTTCTTCGTGAAGAACTTGTCCAGTGAGTGTTGTTTGGTGAGTTTTGCTTGTACAAGTTGCCAAAATATGCCTCCATCATGAGGAAATGCTGATTTTGTGTGTCAGGAGCTACAGCCAGCTACATGACATTGTACATGTATGTAGTGCGTATGTGCACGGCGCGCTGAGTCGTTTGACACCCCACTCGCATACATTGCATGCAGTATCGGTCATAGTAATATATCGCTTATTGTGATAAAATGCTCAAAATCAAACACCAACGCTATAGGCGATACTGACAGTACATGGAATGTACATACCGGTATTGATCAACAGCACATGGAATGTACATACCGGTATTGATCAACAGGGCATACTACACTATAGTACTTATCTCGGAGAAATCGAAGAGATATCAGCAGCAAGTCATCTGGCCAGAAGACTAACCATATATCACTCTGCGCCAATTTCTGCTTGTCCAGCGAAAGAAGCAACCGCCCCTGTAAAACACACACGCCGGATGAGAGAATCCAGTCGTGTACATATCAGTTTCTAGCATTGAACACTTTAATGATAGCTTGCATAGACCCCGGTCCTACCGGTAGAGCCATCATACACAAACTTGCTGCATGGCCTGTGGTCTAACATTCACCCACAACTTGACCCCAAACTGTATGCTTACAGTGCAGTGTATGCTGGGTACAGTGCAATGTGTGTGTACAGCTGCGGTACATACCCGGAATAGCCAGTACTGCGGTACACATGGCTGCAGTAGAATAGCTTTAGTGTAGTCGATCACAGCTGCACGACTCTGTATTCGCACAGTTAAAAAAACATCAGATATGCACATTCGAATGCAGGTGTTAACTCCATCAACTGAAGAGTGGCCGCATGGTGGTAGGGAACAGGATGAGAAGTATGCAACAAGTGTGGTTTACCATTCTCCCAGCTTGTGCAGCAACCATATGTGCCAATACCAGGTATGTTTCAAGCGCATTGAGAGCCACAGAAATGTCGAACATACGCATAATTATGTTCATGTTCGTTGGGTTTTAACTTCAGTTCCATTCACTCAATCTTCACAATCATGAGCTTCCTGGGAAAAGAGAAAATGAATTTACCATGATGATCTATGCACCAGCTGACCACGGTTGTTTTACGTGATTTTCCCTCACCTAATATGTCGGTTAACACCGGTTTTGCACCAGATTTAATCAGGAATTCAGGATTGCTGCCAATCGTACTAGAGATACTGTTGGGTTCTGCCGAACTCGAGCTCTTTTTTGGCTCGCCCGGGTTCCACCTAAACTCTCGAGGTTCGAACTCCACATGGCACAAGCTTGACTCTCGTACTTCGCCCGTTTTGTTTGGGTCTCTGGCTCGCTATTTGAGACTCATTTTTCATTTTTCAAGAGGAGCTTGTGTGAATAATTATGTTGCGTAGAAGCAGGGGCTTCTAAAGTGACTCCCAATTTGCTTAGCACTTAGATCATCTGGTTCCTGGTAGGTTTACACCTGTGGAGGTTCTGGTGAAGAATTCTTCCCGTGAGGAGTGTGTGGAGGGCGGACAAGTTGTCCTGGGGGAGCCGGGTCACCTGCTCCACACTGTCGACTTCGATCCCCAACACAGTCGTCACAGTGGTTGGAGGGGCGACCTTATCCTGGCCGGTAGCCACTGGAACGCCAAAGTTCTCGAAAACGGCCAACGGCGTAGCCTGTTGAATGGCTGCGGTAGATGACAGCGGAGAGGAGCTGGGCAGGGCGGGGCGACGCCGATGAAGTCGTCCAGATAGTGTTCGAGGTCGTCCAGGGAATAATTGTGCCGGAGTATCCAACATAGCGCATCTGCCAGCAGGTTGAAGAGAGCTGGGGAAGACCGCAGCCCGAATGGCAGGGCCTTGTCACAATACTGCCTGTCCCAAACCATCCCAATAGCGGCCAATCATGTGGGTGGACAGGGGTGTTGCGGAACGCGTGGCGGATATCCACCTTGTACATTCGCACGCCCTTGCCGTGACGGATAACGTGCGCCACAGTAACGTCCACAGTGATGTACTGGAGGCTGTACTGCTCTTCGGGAATGCCATCGTTGATACTAGCGCCTGCCAGCGCTGAAAAATGCACTATCAGGCGGTAGCCACCCGACCTCTTCGGAATGACACCGATGCCAGCCGAACGGAAGTTGACGAACGGGGGTTGCAGAAATGGACCGACCGTATGGCCAAGCTGAGCCTCCTTAGCGAGGCAAGCTGAAACAATCTCAGGGAAACAAATGCCGAAGCAAGATTCTAACACAGCAAAGAAAGACGGGGACCGTCATAGCCAACTCTAAAACCATAGCGCAAACCATCTAACAAATGAGTGACAAATGCAGGATCAGGGTGTGCGTATAATTCAATTTCTAATGCATCAAGAACAATTGGAGTGTGAGGAGTGTGTGTGTGGGTAGGGCCGGGTGTGTATGTGCGTGCGGCTCAGACACGAATGCATTAGAAACAACATGAGTGTGAGGCATGTGCGTGGATAAGGCAGGATACAGACTAGCCGGCACCGGGTGGTGATGTTGTCGAGAGCTCCGCAAAAGCAGCAGACGTGGCAACATCGGCAGCTGCGAAAATTACACTGGCCCTTGTTGTACAGCTCGCACGCTGGCTGGGTCGCGCCGGGCTTGCTTTGGTCCCGGGAGGTGCAAGCGGAGGCCGCGTGTGTAGAGGTCCTGGTCCACTACATCCCACTGCACGGTGAGGCTGTGGGCGAGTTTACGTCGGTATGCCTCGTCATATTGGCACACCGACAGCCACCGATAGCGTTTTGCCGCTTGAATAATGCGCAACTGGCAGGTGAGCAGCGACACCGCCTTCATGGGTTGAGTGCCACAGATCAATGCGCAATACACTGACCATGCCTCCAGCCAAACGGGCAGGTTCTCGAGCTTGCGGCGTAATGGCAGTGACGGGGAGAGCACCATCTGGCCGCTGTCCTCTGACACCCGGACTCGCTTTGCGGCTGGCTTGTCCGAAAGAGGGGGGGGGGGGGATGAGGAACAACGTCAGCTCCACATATTCCCCACGCAGCACCTTGTTGTACATACTGCGGGGTACATGGTCTGTCACGCCATTACTGGACTTGACATTGACCGCACTAGGGTTACACACATTGTATGCAAGATTGCTAGAGATATTCACAACCAATTCAAACTAGAAGGGCACATAAGAGCTAAGGGTAGTCACACCACTAGGGGGAGACACTCGACGCAGCTACAGGGGTAAGGGAGCTAGTAGGCACACGTGTAGATCTACTACTCTGACTATTCACACCCGTACCTGTGGGAAGCGACTCCTCCACCTGTACCCGGGGATCGGCAGTGTTGGTGGAGGCAGCCGGGCGGGACGGACGGCGTGTCGTCTCCGCCTGACCCGAGGCTGCAGGGGCGACGGCTCTAACAGCCGCCTGGACAGATGTGGCGATCAGGGCCTGAAGGGTCGCCATTTGGCCGGGAGAAAACCTGGACGCCGAAGCCAGCGTGGCCGGGGGAGCAGGGGGTGCAGCAGCAGCAGGAGCTGCTCGAGCAGGCATGCTGTGGGTCGCGACACGTCTGGTGCTCATCGTAGCAAAGAAGGAAAGGAAAAAACCTCGGAAGGAAAAATCTACGACTTGACGCACAAGCTGCAACTGCAAAGAACACTCCTTCGCACAAAGACAGCTCAGCAAAACACGTCTCCAAATTAGAAGCCATATCTACGATTGTCCGTAAAATTTTGCCAGGCCACATGCTGAGCACGCGGCTTAGCCACGAGGTGGTCACATGCCACGTGCTCGCAGCACTCCACCACCAGCATGCGTGTGCCCGAGCTAACTAGGCTTTGCTGCGCTAAGCCCACATTTAAAATAACGCAGATCTATGCGTTTTCATTCATTTTTTATCAATAATCCATCACATTCCAGAATCAAAGGGTCTTACCCCTCCACCACCCTCCACCAATCATTTTCAAGTAAAAAGCAGGGCGCCCGGTTTTTACCCCAAAATGGGGTACTATCAATAATACCCTATTTTTCGGGCAGGGGCATGTGCCAGTCGTAGAACCGGCTCGACACATACTACTTGCATTCGTCCCAAATTCAAAGGAATTTGGCACTCAAGCAGCTTTACCGATTTTTCAAGATAAACCAGACGAAGTGCCACCATACTGATAAGTGGTGCGTACAAAACAGCTGTGTGACCAGCGCCGGAGAGCGCAGATGATGCAAAAGATGCGCCAAATGCATGCTGCTCCCGGTCATGTCATTTTCCTTCATTTTCCTTCATTTTCTTTGGCCACTGGGTCGAATCTCCCTGCCCATGCTTACCTCGTTGAGACTGCTGTGCAGATGTGCACGGCATGCGTGTGCCCTGTCATAGGTCGGCTTGCATACGATTGCCATGTTTATGTATCGCATTGCCCTGTAGAAAAGGGGAGAGTCACACCAATCCTTCAGGCCCAGTGTTAGAAGTGATTGGCATTGCAATGTACATACAACCTTCCATCATCAGTTAACTGTAACACTACGTACAGCTACCTGCATAGCAATGCCTATAATTATGCTCATACGTACACAAGTCACATACACATCCAGTCATCCACACAGACTGTACATGTGCAGCTCAATAGTACACAGGCACCATAACACCTACAAGAAATTGGCAAAAAATTGATAAGTAACAAAAAACTGTGATCAAGGGATAGCTGAAAGAGTCTAGCATTTGCCTTAAAACAAAAGAACAGGCTATCTCTCCGAGTACGGCATGTTGGACTTGCCAATGCATGCACTGTCTTACTCATTCGTGTCATGTTTGTAATTCTTGTAGATCAGTCCCAAGCAAACCAGAGCGGAGGCATCCTGCGAGTTGGTTGTAACAGCAGATTTGAAGTCACGTATTGCTTCGTCAAATCTGCAAACAGAATTTTCACAAACACAGAAAATCACAAATACATTGCACAATGAATCATGCACATATCGAACATAGTTCAGCGGGACTAGCACAGCGCCCACCTGTATACATGCAGGCAATGTTAGTGTGCGCCTACCTGCAATGCAGGCAATGTTAGTGTGTGCCTACCTGTGATGCAGGCAATGTTAGTGTGTGCCTACCTGTGATGCAGGCAATGTTAGTGTGTACCTACCTGTGATGCAGGGCATAGATCACACCACGGTGGAGGAACACCTCTCCGCTTATGCTGACTTCATGATCCAGGAGCAGTGCCATGCTGAAATCCTTCAGTGCACGCTCCCAGTGGGCTCTACAAAAATAGGAAGAGAGAGACACACACACACACCGAGAAGAAGAGTTATCAATAAGCAAGTCTGATAAACTAGCAAGTGGTGCAGCTAGTTTCCCACTATTGAAGTAACTGTTAGCAGCATGGGTGTGGGTCATTTATGAGTGAGCTACATACACAGCGACAGGAGTAAGTCTACCATACCAGCATCACACAGGGAGTAAATAACAACCGGATCTACCAACGAAAAACAGATATACTGCTTCTAGAAGCTAGAGTCACACAATGGATGTGATAGAACTACTTACTTCATCAGGATACGACCACGGTAATAGTATGCTAGAATACAGTCTGGATCCAGTGCTATCGCTGATGAGAAGTCCTTCACGGCATCTGTAGGCTGACCCTGCAGCATGCAATGTAGAATTGTAGATGGTAAATTTAATTACATGCAGCACACATGCATGCTATCCTGCGCTGATGACACTTCAACCATGCATTGCCTCGCTATTATCATATCCCAAGGGCCAGTTGCGTCATGCATAACGGAAGATAAATCGAAATTGATAAGTCGTTTCTACCTGATTTCTCTGGCCTGTGAACTGCAGCTATTCATGCCACATCCTGCAGTAGACTGTAAAACGGGTAATGATTGCAAAGTTGAGATGTTTGCGATTTTCCGAGAGACGTCAATTTGCAAACTTTGAAAACTTGCAAAATGCATGCGATTTTTGCGAGAGGCGCCGAATCGCAACTTTGAATGCTGCACACCAGTCTCAATGTCTAAAATGCAAACATATTCGGTCACAAGCCTTACCCATTGTTATAGTACGTAGCAGTTATGGTAGTTCACTATACTCTGAAGTACATACCAGTTCAACAAAGACCTGTCCACGGTACAAGTACATACCAGTTCAACAAAGACCTGTCCACGGTACAAGTACATACCAGTTCAACAAAGACCTGTCCACGGTACAAGTACATACCAGTTCAACAAAGACCTGTCCACGGTACAAGTATGCTTCCTTGTCATTGGTCTGCTCGACTAGCAGTGTCAGACCATCCAGGCATTCACGATAGCGGCTTGAGATCCACCATGACACAAACACAACATAAGACACACACACACACACACACACACACACACACACACACAGATTTAGACAAAGGTATACGTACAGTTTGAACTTGCATGCAGTGACAATGAGATGAAGTTGAACAAGTAGCAGGAAAGGAGATGATCAGATGCCTCATGACAAAATATGGTTATCGTCAGCGACCTATTTTGAACAGATGTCACACTGAGCATGCACAGGTATCGACCACTTTCATATGAAGGCCGCAACAAACAACTCATTCTCCTGGCATGTGATGCACCTGCACCACAACACTTAAAATGAAGTAGCTTCATAGGCAAGTATGAGCTGTCTGAGCATCTTTCAATGACGTGCATCGGCCAATGTTAGGCAAACCGGCGGTCATTTGAAGATTGGAAGTTCTGCTTTTGAGATTCAGCACTACATCTCTGCACCATGGCAAGAATTAGCTGCCCGGTGCTGGGACAACTGTTGATCAGAATGACTAGCCTGTTTGCTAATTCGCAGGGAGACATGTCAGGAACGTGGCAACACACAGGTCAGTTTAGCAATGTCTGAAAGAAGATAGAGCCTCTACCATGACCTGCTACGTTTACATGTACTTTAGTTTCTTGGTGATTCTTTTTTCTTCTTCTCAGGATTACAAATTTATTCCCTCTCTACTGGAATTGAAAGGCAGAGGCATATGTATGTTCATGATCAGCTCGTTTGTTTTTCTTCACCAGATACACAGGCGTTTCTGCCTTCTCGTCCAACCATACGCCTAGAAGCTCAATAAAAGATGAAGAAGCTTCCGCTCTGTTCCTGTTTTCGAAGTTGTTTCATTGACACACTCCCACAACGGTCTATTTGTCTTTAGAACAGAAACACACTCACAATAGACAGCAGAGCAGATCAGATACTGGTATGGCCCAGGGACTGACACTACTACCAGTCGGGGAGATGTCCTATCTAGGACATCGCACTCTGAATGAGTCTGATTGGTTACCTGTCCCAGAGTTGTCATGGAAGCGTCGGTCGCGCACACGCGATGAAAAGAAGTGCTGCGTGAGCATTTCTGAATGTATGTGGAGGATGCACGATCGTAATGGCGATGGATTTCTTTCCGAATTGGTCAAGTTTGAAGGAATGGGGCTGTTAAGTGATTACGTCACAGTTCCTTCGATACGCATAACAACGATCCCACTGGGGACAAACAAAAGTAGCGTCGTCTCCACCGACCCAGTTGTCAGTGGCAACATATAGGAATCGTGTACATTTCTTCGTTTCTTCTTTGCTGTTTTCAGTGAGTGTTTTGTTTTCTCTTTGTCCTTGATCTCGACGATGTTGTCGTGCTCATTACCTTACTGAGACGTCTCTTGTGACTGTAGCAAGTGTCATGGAGGATTTTATTGGCGTGACAAGGTAGATCGCCGAGATCGAGCGTGAAAAACGCTCTGCATTAGTAGCTCCTGTAGAATGTTTTCTGGGTTGGCGTATCCATGGTCAACAAAACCAAGGTGCAAGACAGCATGAGAGATCGTGTAAACGATGTGAACTCCAAAAGGTAAGCTCCTGAACAAGTGGAAAGATATGGGTATTTACAAACTCTCTCTTCATCCATCGATTGGCGCTATGCATTGCATTTTGTCTTCACAGATAATCTGGCCAAATTTATTGTAACTAGAGAGTGCAATCGTGCACTGCTTGGGGCCCATCCCAATGTCATCACATGGCTGTGGTGACTAGTGTATATCTGGGAGAATTTTTCCTCGACTGATACGGAGTGCAGGTGGATCGATTATGAGAAATGCGAACATGTGAAGTAAGTAATTAGTTGTGTCGAAGAAATGTGCAATAAAATAAAATTTACTTTACACTCAAACATACACTGTAGATGTACATGTAACATCATGATAATGATTCCATCTTCATTGTCCCGCAACTGGTACACCATACGCACCGAATACATGGTGTGTGTGTGTGCGCGCTTGCGCGCGCGCATGTACATGCACACACTCTCATACGTGGCCAAGTCGGCCAGATGAACAGACCATGCATTTACACGAGGTGTCCGTAATGTCATTGGAACGCTGTACTTTATGACTTTATTCCAAAAGAGTATGTCTTGCCCCTGACGAATGGAGTTGTGTCTGTGCTCAGCGGGTATCGGGCTATGACGCAACACTGCAATCAGCGCTGCAATTAAAAGAGCACTGCATGGATTATTTTGACTAACTTCCTTTGCGTTTACTTGGTTGAGCCCGTGGTTTCATTTCTGTGTTCTGTCATGATTGGCCTCTGGAAATAATCAGAGTGGATGTCATTTTGCCATATATGTGTGCCTTGTGCGACAGGTTCAAGGCTAGACGAACTTCACATTCGGCGTGCGATCTCAGCGTCTGGGACCTGATGAAGTCTTGGTTGGATGATTATTCAAGCATGATACTACTCGACACACCAATGTTCATGTCAATGTAATTTTTTCAGAGCTGCACTATTTACGTGTTGATGCTTACTTCGGTGTTAGCGTGTTTCCCCCGGATTGTTTCTATCATCATGATCGTGCGTTCTTGGGCTGAGCGAGCACATGCACAAGTGTGCAGCTATAACCCTGTGTATCTTTGGTTACACTTTGTTCTGCAATGCATGTACCTTGTAACATTATGTGCTTGCACTGCTTTGTCTGGCCTGCGTATTTCAGGACTATTCAGTGCATTAGACCCAGGTTTGTTTGGTTGCCGGATGACCTCTTGTTGCGTCGCTCAGTATTTGTATTCATCAATTTTTGGGCTTGAGAATTGAGCTGTTGTGTGGTTCCCAATATGAAAACATCATGCTGGTGCTCTGTGTTTCGATTATCGACTGTCGGAGCAGTCATGCATTTATTAGCAGAACGGTCAATACTGTAGTCTTTTCACGTGTTTGTCTTTTTTGTATTTTCGCCGGGGGTATTAGTGGTAACGTTGCACACAGAACGACAGTGTTGCATCACTGGACGACCCTGCCTCTGCATCTGACTTAATTTCCCCAGGATCTGGTGCAGTTACACCAGACAGCCACTTCCTGTAAACACGCAAACAGCAAAAGAAGAGATCCCGCAAATCAGGAAAAGCCATTATGGAAAATATAGAGTAGATCATACAACATTCAATAATCTGGAGTAATTACAGTGAGACAAACACTTCAAACAGTGCTCTCTCTCTCTCTCTGTCTCCATCCTTCCAAAAATACCCTATGACAATTCCCTAGAATTATTTTATTTTATATTCTTAGGACATCATTCTGAACATAATAAATTCTTCCATGGGTCTTCAATCACCACGGAGGGCGAAAATATATCTAAGTCATGCAGTTTACGGGAGGTACGAGCTGTCATGGATATAGAGGCTGATATTGTGCCAGCGTGAGGGCAGAGACAGAAAGAAGACACTGATTTCTTGAACAACTCACCTATATATAATCGAATCCACAAGGAGCGCTCATACTTTGATCCATCAGGACGCGAAACATCTTCAAAGCACTCTCAAACACGGAGTTTTACTGTGGGCAGCCAATTTCACAGCCATCATGAAGGCACTCGACGACTACAGGAGTTTTGTAGAGGAAAAAACAAGGAGTAAAGAGCGACAACAATCGCTTCAAGAAAAAGCAAAGAAAAACAACTGTCTCTCCAGTCATTTAGATGCTGTTGCCCTTGACATCTGGTTCCATCCAGAGGACGCGACTTTTGTTTGTCCCCAGTGCTCTCCGTTGCTATGCGTATCGAAGGAGCCGTGACGTCACACTTAACAGCCCCATAGGCGGAGAATATCAGACATCGGCGGGGATTGAGGTAGTGTATATTCGATTCGCCATCGAACACCCGAACGAATGGCCGTTTTCGTTTGGGGATTTCATGTGGGGTTTCTCGTAGCCACGCGGCGCTTCTTCGGAAACGATTGGTTCTAATTAGTAATTATTTGAATGTTTTGCCTTTGGAATGTTTCTTCACGCCCCGTGCGTTCATTTCGCCCCAAACCTGGCCATGCAGAGGAGGAAGACGAGGCAGCAGGCGCTAGGCGCGTAAATCACTACCTGGAAGATATTATTTGGCCAAAGCTTGCTGTTGGCGTTTTTGATTTCTTGGATACGACAGCTCTTGCGGCTAAAACTGGACCTTGGACGGTCTTTCTTGGATATCAACCCAGGACGTGGTGGTCATGGACGTATCGCCATCGCTTTCAGCCAGATCCTTCTGCTGCCTGAAACCAATGGCGAAAGTAAAAGCTTTATCGCAGCAGCAGCTACTGCTCTGCTGAAAGTGCGAACACAAATTGCTTCGCCAATCCTCTTGTGCACTTGCAATTTTCAATGCGACCAAAACGATTCGCTTGCCAGTTCCTTTGTCCAGGCGTACTCCACAACAAGGAAAATAAAATTCGTGAAGGCAAGAGGCAAGATACGAATCTCGACTCGCTTGAGGCAAGCCGCCAGGAGAACGACAACTAATTGCTTTTGAGACGAAAGGCCTTCGTTGCGCTTGAGTGCGACATGTTCATCTTCCTCGGCCGCGACACAAAGTTTTGAGTCACGTGTCACGATTACTATGGGAACAGCATAGTATGTATGCTGGGGCATGCTGGGTTCCGTGATGTCCTATCTAGGACATCTCCAGGACTGACTACTGGATCCATCAAATAATTATGACAATCCCATACACTTTAAAAAAACTAGAGACCACAAGTTTACAAGTTTTATAAGTTTTTAATTCTAATCTTAATCCTTAGCTCTCCATCCGAGTTTACTCCCATGCACTATTTGACATGCTGTAGTGGCCACTCAAGAAGCTCAACCAACACAAACATGCTGTCACTCACCCGTTGGAGAAAAGATAACGAGTCAGTCTCCACAGCGCTTCAGTGCTGCTTTGCTGCAGGCTCACAACATGTTCATAGTCCGCCATCGCGAACCCCATCTCCTTTGTCTGCAGGGAAGGAATGAGGTAGCGGCAACGGAAACAACGGAGACGCCAAATCAGCACCGATAGGCATAACAGGGAAGAACATTGGCAAGAAACGGGTAGACCCTAGTGCTCGAAGTCTGGCCATGGTATGCTAAGTCCATACAGGTGAAAAGGCATCGAACAATTACTTTACAGTCCATCCATAAAAAGGTGATATCCTAGCTTGTGGTAGTGAATGGGTCAACTTTAAGTTTTCTACGAAAGCATACGCACTTCATCATACTTCTGCCAAAGAACGACGCAATAAAAAATCCACCGTGGGTGAACCCATCACAGCTCAAGATTGGAGTTGCACACTCTTGGTTATGTACTCTTGATCGTATGCATGACAGCTCCTCTACAATGGGGAGGCCAAAGGTTTTGTCAGGTCCTCAGGAAGATCTCTTGACTGAGTATTGCAAGTCAATGGCGGAGAGAGGCTTCGGGATAAGCAGAAGTAAGCAACCAGTTGACTGACCTTTTGCCACCTATATGTTGCTGTCAACTGTATAGGACGTTTTGAAAATTTGGTTTCGCGCTGTTTTATGGACCTACGCATTATTTCTTAGAAAGTGATTTTGATGACGCGCTTGTAGCTCAGCTATACTGTTATTTGAACGGAATGCATCACCACTGATTACTACACATCGTACTGATCGTAGTCAGATTTACTCTAGTAGGGGAACTATTGTTGTGAAACAGCCCTGACATTGCGACAAGGCCACTGTGTGGATTTGACTTCATGCATGAACACAGTAAACAGACATGCACAATACGTGTCGACAACCCTGCACCCCCTGCTGGCTCGAGTCGAGCGCCTTGAAGAACGAATCGCAGTTCTCCCGGATCCGGACGGCCATCAGGCGGCGGTCCCATCAGTGGCAGATGTGGTCGAAACCACGTCCAACATCGTCACCTATCACCTTCCGCAGGTTGACTCCGGCCTCATGGGCATTTCCGTCATACAACCGGCGCTGCCTCCGACAGCAGTGCCCATGCTCCATTGTTCCCACGGTCCCGTGTAAGTTACTTGAACAAATCACACACAGCGAATACACTGATCTGGAGGATCTCCTCCCGGAGAATGTGGGCGCAGGGTCCAAGCCCTTGGAGCTCAGCACCACCAAGGGAGAGGGCCGGCGTGTGTCCCTCAATTTATGTGTGACGAAGAAGCGCTCCATTGTTGACTTCACTGCCTGGTTGGAGGCCTACACCATCTATACGGCCTGTGTACTGAAAAATGCACCCTTCCGAGCACTGGAGCTGGTGACGTACCAGCACATTATCTGTACTGCCAACCAGCCGTTTGCGACCCCAGCTGTACTGGGATGTGACCGTGCCTTCCGTGCATTAGCGGCAGGAACTTCTTAAGGAAATCTGTTTGACCTGTACTTCGAAGTAACACAGTCTGTAACAGAGGCATTCACAACCTCTAATAGCAAAACGTGAAATTAAGCTATATTTCGTCATCGTTGTGCATGTGTAGGACTCCAGACACAGTACAAGCACTAGCAGGCGAAGTGCTCAAGTCCGAACGGGAATCACCTGCAGCAACGGGCAAAGGCTGGTGGAGAGGCTTTAAGCGCAGCCACCCAGAACTATGCACTCGGGCACCGAGATCCCTGGATGTGGGGCAAGCCAGAAATGCATCCGAGGCAATCCTCCACCAGTTCTACGACCTGCTTCAAGCAATATCAGAGAAGCATGGAGTAGACACCAGTTCAGTATGGAATGTCGATGAGAAAGGCTTCGACCTGGACCCCGCACCACGGAAAGTAGTAGCCAGCAGAAGACAGCGGAACCTCAGCCAGCAACACAGAAAGTCACAAGATCACATCACAGCGAACATGTGCGTAAGCGCTGCGGGAACCATCTTCCGCCGCAAATAATATACAAGCGGAAACAGCTATCGACGTCACTAACGTCAAGTGGGCCACCTGGCACACTATGCAGTACGAGCGCAAATGGCAGCATGGACAAGACATTGTTCATGGATTGGTTCACGAAGATATTGCGCAGCAGCACGTCACGTGACAAGACCGAGCTCCTGCTGATGGATAGCCTTAGCAGCCATATTTCAGTTCAACAAATCAAGCTAACTGGGGTGAGCAATGTGATTCTGCTAGCGCTGCCGGTAAAGACCGCCCATTTGTTACAACCGCTTGATCGCACCGTATTCAGCTCGCTTGGAGCACATTACCAGTCTGCTAGTACAGCCATTCGACAGGTGAAGCCGAACCATCAGCTGACAATCAGTGACTTCATGCCAGCGTTCACTGATGCGTTCCACAAGTCTATTACACCCACAATTATGTTAGCCAGTTTCAGAGTAACTAGTGTGTCACCACTGAACCTCTCCGCAATACCAGCCAGCAACCTTCTCCCAGCAGCAGTTCACAGGATATCTGCTAGCAACGATTGTTGGAGTGAGCAGCAACACTCAGTGTTTCAGCGCCACTTCGGTGGTGAGACTGACGGTGAGAGCGAGGATGACGACGACTATGACGCGTGGAAATTACGCAAAACAAGCACTGTAGAAGCAGCCAACCAGCAATCATCAGCAGTATTTCTGCTCGCCCAGTCGCTGGTATTATCCAGAGTGGTCTCGCAGACTACAGCTGACCTGTTCCACAAGCTAGTGATGAAGCCGCAGCGCTTGCCATCTGCCGCTAGCCAAGCCAGGTCACTGCCCAGTGATGAGTTCGTGACAACACTGAAAGAATTAGAAAAGGAAAAGAAGTTTCATTCCGGTTTTGCCAGTTCTACTATTCTACCAATTCCTGAAAATAAATCGTACCATTCCATCCAATGATCACGCCATGTCTGTAAAACGCGCTATAAAAGAAGCTCTCACTCTCTCTATCAAGTTCAGTTGAAGACTCAGTCTCAGCTCCCAGTCTTAGTTCACTAACTTTACTTTGAGCTCGGATTTGCAATGACTACTCACAACGTAAAACTGACAGTCCTTGTCTGTTGATCGTGAGGAGTTGAACTTGGACCAAGCAAGCTATACTGGTTGATCCCTGGGTTGTGCTGGGCTCGTCATGAGACCGCACATGTCTATTACGTCGCCGCCGCTCGTAGTGACTTCTGGGTCCGGTCACTGAGCGCAGGGATGCAACACAGTTATTAGGTGTCCCGAATTAGGATACCCCAAAAAGTACCCCAAAAAGTATGTCAAATATCCCACGAAAAAATACCTGCCAAAAATTTCACTCAAGCAACTTACCCGGGTGATAATCCTTCTCTTAGACAAGCCTCCATGCTTACAAGCAATTCCATCAGGGACTCTGCAGTATTATTCTGCGAGAAAACTACCCTGCCACGTGGTCCCAGAGCAATTTTTTTAATGCACTTAAAAAGGTCGGACTTTCGAGCACCAGGGTCTACCAGTTACCTTCAGGGTGCCCAGTGGTTGGGCACAACACAAATTTCCAAGATCACCTGATAATGGATCTCACGGCATGAAACTCTGTGAGGCTTCAAACAAACTGCCTCGGTACTACTGTGTATCCTCTCCTCTTGATTTGTACTTACAGTTTCGTACAGTTGAGCACGTTGGAAGTACAGCTCAGGGTCATCCGGTGCGAGGCTGATGGCTGACGTATAGTTCAGGACGGCATCGCTCAGCTTGCCAAGTTTCAGCTTGAGGTCACCACGAGCGCGGTACGCCCGAACACTGCTTCCATCATGAAATATCATGTTGTTCAGGTCTGACAAAGCTTCCTAACAAGACACACCCGGTACACACAAACACACAACAGTATAATTATTAGTGTTGCATGCAATACCCACATACCACATACCCACATACCCACAAGTGTACACACATAATGCACGCATGCAGACGCGTAGATGATGAAGAAGAGCAGCGAGCTAATGTCGCCAGACAAATTTGATGGTGTTGTGTCCTGCTCAAGGCAGACCAACTCTTCGAAAGATGGGAATGAATAGATCAGTGAAACGCAATGGCTTTAAAGGGAAGCTGGCTGCAAAGGCGGCTTGAGAGGTGACATGTGAATGTGCTAGCGTTATGCGCAAGGCGCAAGAGGTCCAGCAGTGCAGCGTGCAACAGTGCGTGGAAGCAGGTGCAAACAGTAGCAGCCTAAGTGCCAAGACCCATGCAGGGAAAGGTGCTATAATATCACCAGATGGGTACAGGTATGTCAACTCTGTCCAATGCCATGCATACCGTATGTACAAGCAACACACACTACAGGCACGCACACAGACATACACACACATACACAGAAACACACACACACAGACACACATGCACACACGCACGCCACACACACACACACACACGTGCACACACACACACATATACACACACACACACACACACAAACACACACACACACACACACACAAACTTACACACACGCGCTCGCACGCGGGCACGAGCAATAATAGACAAATTCACCCTGTGTACTCACAGCATCTTGATTCTGCAATAGCCACAACAAGTGCCGATACCAGAGAGCATCCGTAAAGTGCGGGCAAATCGCTAATGCCCTGTGATGTACGCAAGTGTTCACACACAGGTAAACATGCACATGTGCAATGCATGTGTGTGCGTGTACAAGACACATACATACACACACGTGCACATACACACATACACACATGTGCACACACACACAACATGCACACACACACACGCACATGCACATGCACACACACACACGCACATGCACATGCACACACACACACACACACACAACATGCACACACACACACACACACACACATAACATGCACGCACACCCACACACACAGCCCATCACCGAACAGGTCATGTGTACTGAGATAGATGGGGTAAAGCAGACCACACTCTGACTGGCATACATGAGAGTAAATAGCACTGGCCCACCGGGCAGAAGTGTTCAACACGCCTCCTAGTATACTCTGCACCTCCGTTTTTTCAGTTTTTTTTCTTCAAAAGAACTGTTCTCGCAGTGGGGTAAATGAAAAGCTATGAAATATTGCCCATGTAATTTCAAACTAGAACTGCTCTTTAGAGTTGAAAAACTTACCGGGTCATATCATGGAATGACTCCCGTAGCTCACCCAGCTGTAAAAGCAACAATAGACAGATGAAAATAATCAGCCTCGTATTGTGCTAGGTCGCTGGGATAGCCATAGCAAACCGGCTCACTTGTGAGATATAGCGCTGTTGATGCCACACGTCGAAAGGCAAAAACTTGATGTTTTCAGTATCTCATTTCATATACGAGCACTGTGCAGGGGCGGATCCAGGAGGGGTTCCGCGGAACCCCCTAAATTTTGTAAATGTAGTACTGGCAACCATATGCGTGTCCATGTAAATGTATCAGCTATTCAGTTTTGACTACTGGAACCCCCCCCCCCCCCCCCCTGTAGAGATCACTGGATCCGCCACTGCTGTGCATACTACAAGATGCTGGGATGCATGCAAAGAGCATTCAAGTCACACCAATGCCAAACTCACTTTCATTAGTAGAGCACCACGCCGGCAATAGGCCGTTGCACGTAGCGCACTGCCTGTCAGCTTGCTGTCAGCGATTGGTGTGAGCCGCTGTACCTCCAACTTGATTTGCTTCACAAGCAAACAAACCACACACAAACACACACACACACACACACAAACACACACACACACACACACACACACACACACACACACACATACACACACACATGAACGTCTGCCGTCTATCGATCCGGTGAAGATTTCCAATTTATTTTGACTTCGTGCTTTGGTTTCGTTTTCAGTCCAGGATACATTGGCCGGCAGTGGTCAGCCAAAGTGTGGACCATCCATCCTTTGCAATAGCGCTGACTAAGACTGGAAAGTTGGAGAAGCTGAGTAAGGACGTACAGCACAGGCCAACAGTGAATGTTTGCAAACCCTTTTATTTGCTATTACAATACGCATGAGCATTGGACACATGTCATGTACTGGTTAGAGAGTTCTCACTATCTTTTGGCCTTGGGGCTTGCCGACAATTGCACCGTCGGTTTTGGCGAGCGGCCCAAGATCTCATTCGAATGCAACGGTGCACTGCAATTTAAAGCCCTCCGCATCGAGAATTTTCTTGCATCCAAACTTCTCTCTTTGGATCTCCAATATTCCGCACCACACTGTGTCAAACAATACACCGCTGAAAAGCTTGTTCTCTCAGTTTTCCAATGAGCTGTCATTTGCAACAATCGGAGAGAGGACACCAGGTTTACAGAACCGTGCTTGTTCTCTGTACAAATGAACATAAACATAAAATTCATACGTCCTTTGGCATTATCATGTGTATTTTCAAATGTGCACGCGTTTTTTAAAGAATGGAATGCAAATACATGCCCTTCATCATGAAAGGGCTAAACATTAGAGCATTAGAGCATCAATACTGTCCTTATGTCAAGTTACATATACTTTGACCACAGCATATACTAGTACATGTACTCGCATGAGCAAATTAGATATCACGTACCGAGAGAATGCTGCTGTCTGCTATTGCTGGTGCTACGTTACTCAGCTCCCGTAAAGTCTTTCCATTTTCAAATGGCAATGAAGTGCTGCATTGATGCAACAGCCGACATTGGCAAACAAATGGTCAGAGAAGGCACACACACGCATAGACAGTCAGAAAGCCACCTACATACGTCTACAGGTAAAGACCGTGCAACCATGTCAAAGATCTGGATTTTTCAAATTAGCCAGCATTCGGGGAAATTGTATGCTCGTACACCATGCAGCCAGACAAGGTTTGCCTCTTACAATCGCTTCATTCCATCCACCCTGCTTGCTTCCTCAGGATCTGCAAAGAAAACCCAGAACACAGTTAAAAGGCAACGCAATCAGACAACTTTGAACAACTAATATTAATAGCTAAGCGAAGAACAGCTATTCCACCAGCCGACACATCAATTGACAGACCAAGACGAGCAGCAGCTAGCGGCAACAGGACATAAACATTCCCGTACATGGACAGATTCAAGAAGCGGAGCTGATGAGAACGGACACAACTGCAGCAGGTGAAACGGACAATGGCAGGAGACGTGGCAACTGGCAAGTCAGTGGCGGAAACGGGTGACGGCGGTGGTACAGACAGCGAGTCAGGCGGTAAGCATGAGAGTGGTGATGAGAGTCAAGAGTGGCATGCATAGATTTGCCGCGTAAAATCATGTGGCATGAGAACACCAGAAGAGTGTCTACCACCAGCTAAGGAGAATCAAGAAGCCTCCAGTCCGGCCTCCCATCCGGCCAGCTCAGTTGTCACAAGTGCAGTTGCAACTGCAGGGGAGTCAACCACATACACACCCACCGCCGATGGCCCAATAGAGGACACCAGATTGGCGGCCGCCGCAAGAGAGACAGTCGCCAACAGCAAAGATTCCACCTCCGTAGTGAAGCATAGCTATCATTCTTGCTATGTCCCCCGGAACAAGAAGTGCACTACCCATGCGTCATGGCGCAAGTCAGATCCTAAAAATCTCGTGTCCACCATCAAACGAAAAGGCAGCATTAGCCCTTCACCTGAGTCACCACATACTAGGGAGGTTTAGTCCCACGTAATCCGTGGGTACTTTACGTGTGTGTACCACGTGATACTCAGTGACCCACGTACAGACGTTTTCTGATTCACGACATACTGTGTATGGAGGCTCACCCACGTTCCGCCAGAACGTGGGTGAAAATCAGAATGGAGCGCATTTTGCGAGCTGTGAGGGTGCTCAGCTGAAGAAATTTCCGAAGCACGAAATAAAAATATTCGATGAGCTTCTTAGGCCCGGGTAGCTTCGTCTTTGACCAGGTTTGGGCCTTTCGCTTCATGCTTTTGTTTGTTCCGTGTGACTAAACACAACATTGCAACGTGGATGCCCTTCATCCAATTTACGTGGATCACCCACGTACGCGTTTCCGTTACGTGGGAACTAAACCTCCCTACTATCAGGTCAAGGCCCCTGTAAACACCTCAGAAACCACTGTTGCACTGTCAACAATTCGCACGTGGAATTTGCTGCTCGCAAAAGTGGACAAGGACATTCTGAAGGAAAGACTATCCACCACAGTAATCACGACATTGCCATCTTCGTAGACGATTCTAACGAAAGAGGTGAAGATCGGCATATGGTGGATACCCACACCTGGTCTACTAAACATGCATGCCCTGTTGGCTACCTGCTCGCCGACACAATTGTGGCCAGTGGTTGTTTTTGCGAGCAGCAAATTCCACGTGCGAATTGTTGACAGTGCAACAGTGGTTTCTGAGGTGTTTACAGGGGAGAGGGAAGAAGATCAAGCATGTGCTGACTAAACGTCCTAAGCAACGTTTATGGAGTTGTTAAAGCAGTCCGTGGTGTGGTGGGAGACGATGCTTCAACACAGTCAGTCAGTCAGGGGCTAAGCACAACACAGTCAGGGGCTAAGCACAACACAGTCAGTCAGGGGCTAAGAAAGGGCACGCTGTGGAGCTTGGTAACTTGTTCAAAGCTCGTACAGTCTTCATAGGCTGCTACCCTCATATATTAAATATAGGGCTAAGAAACGGAATGGCGGATGCTTTTGGCCAGCGACGTCAAATGACCAGCTCAGGTTTCACAAGTACCGTTTTGCTGTCCAAGCTGACATCCGGAAAGCGTTCTTTATGATCGGCATCCGGAAGGAGGACATACCTGCAGTATGTGTGGCCTGAGAACAGCAGCGATGAGATGTGAGTCTGGCGGCTCACCAATTTGCCAATCGGCGCCAACTGTTCACCGTTCATCCTTAACACAGTGCTGCTACATCATGTGGACGTACTGATAAAAAGCGCTACATCAGAGGAAGGGTGTACCGTGCTGGCATTAATGATCTCTCAGTGTTGCCGCTATGCAGAGCGCTGGCATGGCACATACCACCATGGAATGCTGCCAAATCCTTACGTGCATGATTGTGTCCACATAAAATCGGTTGTGGCGACAAACGCGATTAGGCCGGCTGCAGGGACGCCGTAATGTCGCACTCGCCCCAGCACCATTCAAACAATTCCCTTTGGCAGTTCACGGCACGAACTTCAACAAAGCCCCGTGAATGTGTACTAGGGGAAGGCTAAACAGCATGTCTCTAGACATCAATAGGCATCGTATGAAAAGCCAGTCAATAGCACTAAAGAGCGAAAGCCTTTGTCACGGTTCGGTTTCACTCGCGCACCGGGCCCGAGCTGCCAGCGCAAACAAATGCCGGGCGCGAGCTGGCAGCACAAACAAACACCGTACTCACACGAGACCGCTGGGCCAACGGATGGCCACAGCCATCAAAAACAGGAACAAACCCATCCACGGCTCTTTCTCTTGCTAGCTGTGCTGCTGCGTGCATCCAACTGTTTTGCAATTTCTCCCTCCCACCCACGCCTCTTGATCTGTCCTAGCTCACTATTCTGGACAAATATTAATTCAATTGCAATGAAGCGCCGGGGGCCGGCGGGGGCATTCGGCGGCTTGGTCTGATTCCTAGCTTGTTGGTAACCAGGTAACCGGCTTGAGGTTTCCAAGGTTGCTATGACAACGTGCAGTCATGCGCAGGGCCACCCAACATGCGTTGGGGGCCCAGGAAAGACAGAAACGCGTTGCTAGGCAACAGCAAAAGCGCTCAGCGAGTATCACGCTACTCATGCAGCGCGCACGTTGGCTTAGGGTATCACGCTACCCTTGCGCTGCGGGGTACCACATTGCCCCTCGCTGGAATCAGACCCGCGCCCCGGATACCTTGCGCTGGCCTCCTGACGGCCAAACTCAACCAACTTGCGCGCTGTGACTGGGGTTGTGCATGCATTAGCAACATAATGTGGCCCAGGTCGGCAGACTTTCATTAGCCAAGCGAGCTACTCAGGCCAGGGCGCATGATCACTATTCGCAGCACTTATCGTCCATGCAGCAGTCGGGTTAACGTTAGTTAGCATGCACAATTTTAACTTCTATGGTGTGATATATTGCTATTGCTGCATCGCTCCGCTCATCTGTAATGCCGGTACCAGTAGGATTGCTGTAATTTTTAAGTAATTGTTGACTAAATTCCCTGAACGTCAAAAACCATGTTGAAACTGTATTCTTGGTCATTAGATTATGGGCATGCATCTAATAGCCTCTCTAAAATAAGTGCCGCAGTGTAACGAGCGCCTCACCTCTTAATGGGTTCGAAATGTCTAAGCGCATCGGCGCTAGTTCGCGAGAATACAGTATGTCATCGGAATGTAACCCAGCAAAAATTACCCCTCAATCCTTCAATCCTTCCCATTGCTGATACACAACATACCGATGCACGTGATGCAAATTTCGTGGCCATAATTATATCAGAAAGTGTGATTTATTGCACACCACAACTTGTGCATTCTCTTTGTGTAACTTTGCTAACCGTTTGATCACATACACTGCGTTAGTTCTAGTCTGTGTGTGTGTGTGTGTGCCGACGACAGATAGATAAATACTTCGTTCCAGCCGCCGATGCAAGCGAATTTCAAATTGCGGAGCGGAGCGCACGCCAAGTAAATTCTCACGCAAATATCGGGAGCTCCAGCCACTGAAGACGATGTCGTCGTGATGTACCTGGAAGAATCTGATGGTGCTTATGGTGGGAAAGCCATCGAGAGTGATCCCCGTGTCGACAGTCTCCCAGAGACGGAATTTTAGGCCATCGACTTTCTACGTACCTGATTGACGGCAGCGCAGCGTGACTTGCGCACGATCTTACGGAGCCATCGGACAGCGATTCTGGGGCGATTCTGCTCTGAATTGCGGGCGAGGCACGGCCACTGAAGTCTCTGATGGCTATGACGTTCGTTTCCGCTCCGAAGTCGACTTGTTTTGGCAGTATCATGTAAATGTCGGAATCTGACGATTTGCACTATGTACAATTTCCGTGTTTGGACGTATAGGTGCCAATTTAGCAGCGTATGTGTGTGGTATGTGAAAATAATTTTTTCCATTGCCAAGAAGTTGTACCAGACTTCCAAGAAAACATAACTTGCACATACAAAATGTGCTCTCGTTGTGAGTTATTGGCATCCTTCTAAATGTTATGGATTTCATATACAAAAAGCACTTGCCGGTGAAGGGTTAGAATGATCCACTGATTTGTCAGGTGCCGAGAATTGGCCCAAGTTTGAAGGCACCAACGTTTTCAGCAGGCAGCTTGAACTGAGTGAGCCGCATGTTGCATTGCACAAGTATCAGGTCATGCAAACAACTACAGTTAGTACGTGTCAGTTACGCTCGTTAGTCCGACCCAGAGTGCACATTTGACGCCCTCAGTTTGCACGGCTCTTGATGCCCTGGGAGTGGCACAAATGCAGCTGGACGTACACATGTACAAATATTATGATGTAATCAGACTTGGTACCGGGCGCCAGTTTTGCACTTTGGGTCGGATTTCACTGAGCGCAACTGTACTTGTACAGACAAGTGGCTAGACTGCAGACTTCCACACCTGCAAACGCACCACACTTCAGTGCAGCAAGTATTCGAAGCGATAATTAAGGCAGCCAAGTGTGAAGTCAAATAGGCGGGGAAAACGCGAGCTCAACATTGCGAGCAATCCACTTTCCTACTTTTATCGTCAAGTTCGCTACCACTAACGTGTATGATGTAAAATAAAACGGAAAATACCACATCTGCTGGTCCTACTAGCAAAAGGACCTGGAACAACAGGTTACACACAACACTCAATCTGCGGACAGCATGCTATTTCGTTCTTTGTGAACTCATCAGCGCAGCACAGAGGAAATGAGGCCGAACCTGATAGCAATGGAAATAAAAATTTCCAATCAGGCCCGAGCGTACCTGTTATACAACATGTTATGCTAGATGTGATACTCACCAATGCCTTTAGATCGCCAGTAGTCGTCATACCACTCAGTCCACTTGCTCTTCGTCCAGTCATAGTCAGTTAATGGTAACCTGGTGTAGCAAAGTTTGCACACACACACACACACATACACACACACACACACACACACACACGCGTGCGCGCACACATGTACACACACACACACACACACACACACACACACACACACACACACACACACACGCACACAGAGTGCCTTGATTGAAATATGCATCTCTCTGTTGCAAAAGAGATCTGACTTATCGGAACATAACTCGAGTACAATGTCTCTATAGTCAGTTTGCCAAACAATAACACTTGCGCTTGTGGGCGCTAACTTTGTTGGCTGTGTTTGCGTATATGAAAATCATCTCCATAGGATGTATACAGTGGCATGGGCCATGTACAGGATACCGTAGGAAAAGTGGTGCAGCTGCTCAAGATCAACGTCACTTGACAAGTTGATAACGCCTGGCTCTACGAGGCATTGCAACCACTCGCCCATCACCTATGCTCTTTGGCAGTGCCTGGCCGAGCCAAGCATTACAGCCGCCCATCCGTGATCATTTACCCACGTAGTACATGTGAACAACCAGCCAAGCAAGCGGACAAGCAAAGGCACAAACACACACACTAGAGGTCACTGAAGCCTGCCTTTTTTTTTTTTTTTTACGTACTATGCCACTATGTGACAGCTGACATCTATAGCTTGGCTTGGGAGTATGAATTGAGAGGTAACCTCATTCAGAATACAGGACATAGGGCAAGTTGCACTAAGATGTATTATTTCCTGAACTGTATCTCCCACTTATATCCACGTTGAGCTATTTTACGTTATAGTACCGTGTATCGTTTGAAATTATTGACTCGCATCTCAATTCATTTTCATCCTTGAGGCGGTGGTATTCTTATGGATGCGGAAAATTCAGCTTGACTGTGACCGGTGTGAACCATAATAATGTTTGTTTATTTACATGATGTGAATTAGAAGAAGAAAACACATGGAAACGAGATATGAAGCAACTATCCACAAATGTAACAAGATAATAAGCGGTCAGTACGTGCGATACCAGGGCACACAACTGACAGGCTACTGAGACATTCAGCGACCTACAACCTAGCTCCAACACATCTCCAGTGCGCAAACCAACAGCCTTCCAACTTGGAAGGTTCAAGGTTGGGTAGGACCAAAGAGTGGGGGGGGGGGTCTTGTTACATTCGTGGATAGTTGCTTCAGAACTCATTTCCATGTGTTTTCTTCTTCTATTTTACATTTAATACTGGCTCATTATCTGAGTTCGATATATGATATTTTTCATCAGTTGTATGTCTCTGTGACATCATTATTGTGCATTTTACGTATTCAACGCTTCTGCTACGCTGTCAACAATGCACCAGTCTTTGGAGATACTGTTGGCTGATGCGAGATGGGTGAGGTTGAGAGTTCCTTTTCCTCAGAACAAGAAGTTTCATCTTCTGGAAGCATAACATCTGGAAAAGACAAATCTAGGCTACCGTTCTGGTGTGACTTCAGATGGTAGTACATGGTCTCAACACTCTCTCCTCTATCAATCTATTTACTCACATTATTGTCTTTACCAACCACACAACAAGCCGACCTGTTTGGATGCTATTACGCGTTGTATTATCAGGACATAGGCAACAATTGCCGCATACAGTATGCAATACTATGGTCCAATGCCATAGTATCGCAAGCACCAATGTGCGTTAGTCTGCCCATGCCAGGGGTAATGGGGGCAATAATTGCCCGGCGAGAATTCAGGCGTTTCAATACACGAGCATACGGTAGGGATGCACTTGTGAGCACATGTAGGCACTCTTGGCTCAATGCCGGCCTGACCCACGATCCCTACCGTTCTTAGGCGTGTCAATACATGAGCATACGGTAAGGATGCACTTGTGAGCACATGTAGGCGCACTTGGCTCAATGCCGGCCTGACCCACGATCCCTACCGTTCTCCCTTCCGGGATGGCTTAGAATGGAATGATGGTTAGAGATGATGGGGTGGGTGGTGGTGCTCAAAAACTGGCCAAGGTTGTCAAGCGATCTGACTGTTGGCGCAGCAAGGATGAAGAAGAAACAGCATCGAGAGCCGGAGTAATGCGCATGCTCCGCGCGGTCCCGTGCCGGAGCGCGGGAGTTCGGAGCGCGAGAGTTCGGAGTGCGTGTTCTGCACGGGCACGTGATGCGCTATGGCAAGTACGTGCAAATTATGTTAAGAATGTAATTGTTGGTGGGTTGCTAACTTCACTTACCGTGCCATGCACGGAAACTTATATTAAAAAAAAAAAAGCAATACGATCACAACTACAACTACTGTACATATAAGTGTGCAAGCTTCATACTCCATCTTACTTGTCCTTCGAACAGTCTCTCAGCTGGGTAAATGCAGGCAGCACACGGGGCACACTGAGTGACCTGAAGCGAGCATTCTCGATTTCTTCCACCATGCCTCGGAGACATGGTTCCTTTGTCTTGACAGTATCCCTGATAGCAGAATACATGATAAACATCAAAAGCAAACAGTAAATTCTTTAACCCATTGAACGCGCGTGGCGTCTATAGACGTCATTAAAAATGACGCCCGTGCGCGGATGACGTATATAGACGTCATGGACGTACTACAAAAGTACGATCTAGAGATCGGCTCGAGGACGCGCTCCTACAGCGTGTAGAGCGCTGAAAACTTGCTGGCATGCCGTCCACGTGCCCTTGATGCTGTGGCGCGAAAATGAAAAGCAGGGACTAATATTTGGCCGTGCAGCGTGATCGCGTTTTGAACGTTCTGAAATATCGTGCGGCGATTTGAATTTCGATATGTCAAGAAGACGTCTATCTGCCGCGGAAGCTCTTCCCCTGGTCTGCCTGGATGCTGACAGTGACCAGGAGCCGTTTGATGGCGACTACGACTCTGACGAGTGGTTTCCAGGCGAGCGTGAAGCGGACGCAGCTGATGCTGTTGCTGCGGAAGTTGAGATTCGTCCTGCTGATGACGACAACTCAGCTCCTGCTGCTGTGTTGGATTCAGCTGACGAGGGAGATGTCGAGGACCATGAGAGGGGGGGGGGGGAAGATGATGAAGCTGAGGATGTCATGCCATCAACAAACGGCTTGTATCTACTTTTCCACAATATCCTTTAACATTTTGTTCACAGTGGGTCCAATGTTAACCCGACTGCTGCATGGACGATAAGTGCTGCGAATAGTGATCATGCACCCTGGCCTGAGTAGCTCGCTTGGAAAGTCTGCCGACCTGGGCCACATTATGTTGCTAATACATGCACAACCCCAGTCACAGCGCACAAGTAGTTGGTTGAGTTTGGCCGTCAGGAGGCCAGCGCAAGGTATCCGGGGCGCGGGTCTGATTCCAGCGAGGGGCAATTATGTGGTACCCCGCAGCGCAAGGGTAGCGTGATACCCTAAGCCAACGTGCGTGCTGCATGAGTAGCGTGATACTCGCCGAGCGCTTTTGCTGTTGCCTAGCAACGCGTTTCTGTCTTTCCTGGGCCCCCAAATGCATGTTGGGTGGCCCTGTGCATGACTGCACGTTGTCATAGCAACCTTGGAAATCTCAAGCCGGTTACCAACAAGCTAGGAATCAGACCAAGCCGCCGAATGCCCCCAAATTCTGCGTTGGTCAGCCGAATGACCTTAGTGTGGTATTCAAGCGCTTCAGCTACATGTACGTAGTTCAAATGCGTGCCATTCGTATGGTTGTTTTCCCTTAGTGACACTGATAAGGGTTTGAATCGCATGTAGTCGGCAAAAGCAATGGGTGGCATGATGCCTTAGGTGGGAGCTATAGCACAGCAACTGAGGGTGCAGGTAACTTATCATAAGTATCAGAGGCGTGCGTGCACAGTCAGTGCTAGAACGTGAGTGCATACGTCCGCGAATGGGCGTACCAGCGAGTGTACCTGCATGCGTGCTTGCGCGGTGTCAGACTGCGGGTGCGCGTACGCGTGCATGCATATGTGTGTGCATGCGTGGGGGTGTGCGTGCGTGTGTATGTGTATGCGGGTGCGTGTATGTGGGTGTGGCTGTGCGCGCTTGCGCCAGCGCAAGGTATCCGGGGCGCGGGTCTGATTCCAGCGATGGGCAATGTGGTACCCCACAGCACAAGGGTAGCGTGATACCCTACGCAGCACAAGGGTAGCGTGATACCCTACACAGCACAAGGGTAGCGTGATACCCTACACAGCACAAGGGTAGCGTGATACCCTACGCAGCACAAGGGTAGCGTGATACCCTACGCAGCACAAGGGTAGCGTGATACCCTACGCAGCACAAGGGTAGCGTGATACCCTACACAGCACAAGGGTAGCGTGATACCCTACACAGCCCAAGGGTAGCGTGATACCCTACACAGCACAAGGGTAGCGTGATACCCTATGCAGCACAAGGGTAGCGTGATACCCTACGCAGCACAAGGGTAGCGTGATACCCTACGCAGCACAAGGGTAGCGTGATACCCTACACAGCACAAGGGTAGCGTGATACCCTACGCAGCACAAGGGTAGCGTGATACCCTACGCAGCACAAGGGTAGCGTGATACCCTACGCAGCACAAGGGTAGCGTGATACCCTACGCAGCACAAGGGTAGCGTGATACCCTACGCAGCACAAGGGTAGCGTGATACCCTACACAGCACAAGGGTAGCGTGATACCCTACGCAGCGCGAGGGTAGCGTGATACCCTATGCCAACGTGCGCGCTGCATGAGTAGCGTGATACTCGCCAAGCGCTTTTGCTGTTGCCTAGCAACGCGTTTCTGTCTTTCCTGGCCCCCAAATGCATGTTGGGTGGCCCTGCGCATGACTGCACGTTGTCATAGCAACCTTTGAAATCTCAAGCCGGTTACCAACAAGCTAGGAATCAGACCAAGCCGCCGAATGCCCCCAAATTCCGCGTTGGTCAGCTGAATGACCTTAGTATGGTATTCAAGCGCTTCAGCTACATGCATGTAGTTGAATGCATGCCATTCGTATGTTTGTATTCCCTTAGTGACACTGATAAGGGTTTGAATCGCATGCAGTCGCAAAAGCTATGGGTGGCATGGTGCCATAGGTGAGAGCAATAGCACCGCAACTAAGTGGAGCAGATAGCTTCTCATAAGTATCAGAAGCGTGCGTGCACAGTAAGTGCTAGAACGTGAGAAATTGCAAAACAGTTGGATGCACGCAGCAGCACAGCTAGCAAGAGAAAGAGCCGTGGATGGGTTTGTTCCTGTTTTTGATGGCTGTGGCCATCCGTTCGCCCAACGCTCGTGTGAGTACGGCGTTTGTTTGTGCTGCCAGCTCGGGCCCGGTGCGCGAGTGAAACCGAACCGTGACAAAGGCTTTCGCTCTTTAGTGCTATTGACTGGCTTTTCATACGATGCCTATTGATGTCTAGAGACATGCTGTCTAGCCTTCCCCTGGTACGCATTCACGGGGCTTTGTTGAAGTTCGTGCCGTGAACTGCCAAAGGGAATTGTTTGAATGGTGCTGGGGCGAGTGCGACATTACGGCGTCCCTGCAGCCGGCCTAATCGCGTTTGTTGCCACAACCGATTTTATTAGGCATTTTGCCTGTTTTGATTTCCACTATAAATAAAGTATACAACAACAACAACGAAGTCTCACAGGCAAGCTGTGGACGCGCTCACCAGACGATTCTGGACGTGAAGGTAAACTGTGAAATTTTAACAAATTTGAATTTTGAATTTTTAGATTTGAAATTGCTCTGAGTTTTAGCGACGGACATGACTGTGATTTGTGAGCATCAATCTACATGTACAAGCGTCTATTTCTGTAAGCCACAAGTCGTAAAACTCATCAACTGTACTTATGTCAGAGGGGCAATCATATTCCATGCACAAAACAAATCAATGTTCTGATAATTGTATATTGACTACGTCTTATGTTGGATTCATTCCTAAAATATTGTAAATAATCCTATAGAGAAAACATCATGAGTCTAATCGTACTTGAATGTTGTAGATGCCAGTCACAGAGCAATACATGTGGTGGCTGACAGCAAAACATTTCTATATGTCCTATCATTGTTTGTAGGCGTTTAGGAAGGGACAAATAACGTAGCTGATATTCCACCGTTTACCGCTGGCGCCGGGTTGCAGGTTGACCTACCTGAAAATCCTCAGCCGTATGATTTTGTCAAGCTGTTTTCACAGATGACCTATGGAACCTGCTGGTTGCGGAGACAAACCGTTATGCCGGACAATACCTGGCTCAGCATGGCCAGCAACTGCCGCCAGCAAGCCGTATGCGAAAGTGGACTCCAGTGACGAAGCCAGAGATGAAAGTGTACATGGCGCTTTACTTGACTATGGGAGTTGTGGTCAAGCCTGAAATTGATATGTACTGGAGCACTGATCCGCTTCTCACTACACCTTTCTTCAACTCCTCTATGCCACGAGATCGCTGGTGTGTAATTTCTACATTCCTCCACTTTGCCAACAACCAGACGGCCGATGCTGACGATAAATTGAGGAAAGTGAGACCTCTACTGAAGCTGATGACCAATCGGCTCCTGGAAGCATACACCCCAGGAATGAACATCTCCATCGATGAAGAGCTGGTCGCTTGGCGTGGTCACCTCCAGTTCAGGCAGTATATCCCGTCAAAGAAAGCCCGCTTTGGAATAAAGGTGTTCGCTGTCTTCAAATCTTCAGGGTATATGTCCAATATTACCGTCTACATCGGCAAGGATGTTGAAACATTCGATGCCGACGTGGTACGTCAGATTGGGAAATCTGGTGCGGTGGTGGCCAAGTTGATGGAACCGTTTGTCTCCAAGGGATATCGATTATTTATCGACAATTCGTACAGCAGTGTCAAGCTAGCACGGTATCTGGCTGACAACGGGACGGCGATGTGCGGCACAGTCAGGAAGAACCGGCGTGGGCTACCCAAACGCCTAGTGAACTATAAAGGCCTCAAGAAAGGCGAATTCATCCACAGAAGCCACGACGGCCTCATCGTAGTCTGGCTAGAGGATACCAAAACAGTGCATTTTCTTTCGACGATCCACAACGACTCAGTGATCGACACCGGCAAGCGCGACATGAACGGGCGGCCTGTGCAGAAGCTCGCACTCATCCAAGAAGAAGAATGAATCTGAAAAATATCGGATTTTGTATGCAGAGGATGGATGTCAATACATGGTAGCGCTGAATGGGTTAACCAGCACAGGTTGCTAAGAATCGGTTATCACACGACCAAGAGCAAACATTAGATAGCTTGCCTTGCATGCTGTCTTACCGGTAGGACCAGGAAATCGCTCTGCAAAAGTTCTTTCGGTTGGGAATTGTGTCAAAATTGTTGAGTTGAGGTCTTTGTAAGTCAAAGCAATGGAAGACTATACAGTCAGACCTCGCTTGACCGCACACATCTGTTTTCAACAAAAAATATCCGGATAGGCGAGGGAACCGAAATGTACATGTATGCATGACATATGCTTTAAATCGGTAACCAACAACTTCCTTCCGGATGGCAAGGGATCCAGATAAAAGAGGACCGGATAAGTGAGGTCTGACTGTATTCAGTGCATACCATATGTGAAAATATTGCAATTTTTAAAAAGGCCATGCACAGGTCAAAGCGCTAATAACTATGTCCTAAATAAGTTTGACCATAACGTTTCGCTGATGATGAAGACGGTATGGACTTTCTCAGCTTACGAACATGGAACATCTACCACTCATACCTAGTCTGATGATCATGTGTCCGCTGATTATGATGTCATTGCTATATAAGCGAATGCACATCCTGCGCACCACTCTCCAGCACATGCTGTTCAAATCTTGCTTTGCAGAAAACTCCTTTGTCATTTCTGTTTACGAGGACTTGACTGTTCACTGGTTTGTCTGTCAGTTGTCAATTTTTATTTTTCCTGCACTCCCTTTACCTGTCGACGAACATGCCGAGGACACAGAGTACCTCACGGGGTGCAAGCGCTGATGGAACTAATGATCCCCCAGCTCTCTACCCGTATCCGTCGCAGGCTGTGAATACTCAAGAAAATCGGTCCAGCATGAGCCGTGGGCACAGCTCCGCCAACGCAGACCAGGTGGCTTCTCCTGTGCCGCCACAACCAGCTCCTCTCACCTTGCATGACCTGACCTGTGTTATCCACCAGCCCCTCCTGGAGTGCGTGGAGCGCTTGGAATCGAACACCGTCGTCCCAACCATCTCGCCCGTAGCTCCATCACCAGCACCAGCACCAGCTCCTCTGCCTCTGGGGCAACCTACACCGATGCCCTTGGCTTGCTCGTCCGGTTCTACAGGACTTCCACTCAAAGCAGAATGCATCGCCATGGGCAAGTGCTTATCAGCAGCTATCGTTGCAAAGCAGGCCGAGCGCCGTCTCAAGCTCCTTTATCAGCAGAAGTATACAAAGACCATGGCATCCAACAAGAAGCTGAAGGTAATGCTCAGTAAGGCAGAACAAAAACTCAATGCACAGCCTACTACTACTACTAGTGCCGGCAGCAAAGAGAAGCGCAAATGCATACGTACCATGGAAGGAAGGCCGCCGCAGCACAGTGATGCTGTCCGCCTGTGCTGTGTCCAGTTACTCTCCCACAATGTCAGAGTCAAGCCCGCCTCACCTGTGATCAAGGCCGTTGTTGAGACCCTCACTCCATACAGAATGGACAGGCTTCCGAGTACTGCAAAGATGTCGGATTTCCTGTCAGAGGCCAAGCAGCTTGTTCTGACACAGATTGGAGAGCAGCTTGTTCTGACACAGATTGGAAAGCAGCTTCTGCACAAGGGCAATCTGACCCTTCACCATGTTGGCACCAGCAAACAGGGCGAAAAGTATTGCGGTGCACAGGTGGCAACCGACAATGAGGTATTGAACATCGGCTTGCCGGGAATGAAGTCTGGCTCGGCAGACCATAGTATGGATGTCCTCCTGTCGATGTTCCGTGACATTGAAACAGCTTGCCGGAATGCGGGCTCCACGGGCGCAATTTGCAATCAGCTTCTAGTAAAACATTTAAATTATGACTGACCGGAGCATAGTGGAGAACGTGAATGGTTTGCTGGAGCGCTACTGGGCCGACATCATAGTGCTGGTAATCGAAGACTGGCAGCACCTGTCTGACCCAATCAGGAGCGAGGCCAACAAAAGGAACAATTTCTTTTGTGGCCAACATTATATCGTGGGCCTTGCTGAGCAAGTGCAGCAGATGTTGGTTGCGTGTGAGAAGGAAAACACCAACAACACCGAGTGCACGGAGCCTGGAACCGTGCGCCTCATCCGGAGGAGAAGGAAAAGCGCAACCTCGAGACCAAGCGGTGCCTCGGGCACGAGATCAGCGAGGCAGGGCTCTGGGAGTCAGCTGATGAGGTCACTACGAAACTCACTGCCATTCCGCTCCTTCTGGCAAGGTAAACACCCTGAAGACGCAGCTGCGCTTCCGTAAGGTCGTCCCGCAGCAAGCAGCGAAGGACAGGGTGATCTTCCAATGGTCGACAGGAGGCAAATCCTTCACATTACATGGCAAGAACTCGCACAAAACTTGTTCAAACTGAGTGATTTTTGCCGACCACGCACTGCACTGATTTTTCGATGACATCATGCATGCGCAAAACCCGTGCATGGCATGTTCGCTGGCATCCCTAACTATGCCTTGAAGGGTCGCCTCGAAAATTTGTGGACTTCATCTTCAGTCCCGTGGCAACTGCTTAGTTTCAAGTTAAAAGATGGAATACAGCCTATGTAGCATGTCGATGTGTGATGGTCCTAGCTGTAAGACCGGAATCCATGCAAGCCATCATTATGAACAAGAAAAGTGACAAGTTTGCAAGAAATGGCTCTCTCCCTTGTTTACCCCCTCACCTTGACACCTCTGACACATCATCCGTTGATAAAGACCTACGAGTAACTGTTGGCTTTGCTGGCACTTCTATCACGCCAAGAGGCTCCATTGTTTCATCTCTTGTCACCATGCTCGGTAAACGGGACAGAGATTTCCTCCTGTCACAACAGACAAACGTGCGCAGGAAAACAGTAGCAGTTACTTTGACTGGCACTCTCTGTGCTGACAGTGAACCAACGTACAACAGAAAAAAACTGGTGTTCATGTGTGCCGCCTTTCTGGAAAGAAAAAAAACAGCAACACATTGGACACACACGGCCACAACAATTCAAATCACTTCTTGTTAACTTCCATGTAATGCCACAGTCACTCTACTGCTTTACCCAATCAACTTGGCCTATTTGGCATGCGTCGTCTTTTCTCCCCATATCCATTCTTCATTGTGCCAAGGAGTCCTGTGCATTCACTACAGCTGCAGCTCTTCACGACAGCATGCCAGTACAGCATTGGCATAGCATTTGATTGCGACGGGGAAGCTCACCTTCTCATTGTCCTGTCAGGCGGAGTCTCCCTGAGTGCTCTCACAATGAAGTCCACCTTTGCCTAATGAAAAGACAGAACAGTGTGGTGTGTGACACGCATCGACCATGATTCCTAGAGGGCCTGGCAATTTCAGCTGCTGCGAATAAACTTGCGTCATGTACAACAAGAATGCTGTACCAGCGTGATACAGATGATGTTTCAACAGTCCTGCTCTTCACTTGCGAGTGCATGCACACTCAACAATCAGGTGTATAATATTATACAGCAGCATATAACATCCCATTCGGACCGTGCCATTTGAGTTGTGCAACAGTTAACACAGTAGACCTGGCTATCATGCACATGCAAACTGACTCACCCAACCTCTATAGACCATCTTGCGCTTCATATCCCGCACTTGTATATCAGACGGCAGTTGAAGCTCATGCCGTGATTGCTCAGGAACACTAGGTTCAAGAAGGTAAAAGATCAAAAAGAAAACAATCTAGGGAAAGTCGAAATGCACGTACGAAACATAGCAGCAAAGGTTTTACAAACGTAAATCAAGTTAATAGGGATACACCAGTCATGAAAAGGTCAAACACAATTCCTAAAAAAAGTGGGCTGTGAGATACAGAAAACACTGACCCATGCCAAAACAACTTTCCTCTGAATCTACCCATAAATCATGTGCAAGGCTCTGTGCTTTGGTTTCGCTAAGTGGAGCCATCAACCAAACAAGGAGTTATAAATCCAATGAATTGGAAAAAAGGAGCAGAAAAGAACCGGAGCTGTTGACAATGCAAGATGAACATTTCTGAGAAGCTTTACCATCATTGTCTTTTTATCAGAACACATTAAGTTGCGAGAGAAGTGTAAGATATGCCATTGAACTGCACAAAGAATCGGCCATGTTTACCTTGCAGCCTTGGATGGCTTCTTCTTCAGCATCTTTGCTTTGGTTCGGCGCCGATGAACTTCTGTTAAAATGTGGAAAAGGCATACAGGCATCCCCCAGGTGCTCATAGATCTACACATGTGACCAACTTCCACAACGTCCACACCTTGCATCCCGGGTTCAACCCACCTACACATTCCTCTAAGAGTCTTCCCAGTCATGTGCACCCATACCTTGCTAATCCGGGTGGTCCGGGACCGGGAAACTGCCCATAACTTTGAAATGTCCGTAACTCCGAATCACATACATGTTGATGGGGAAAAACATCGACATTCCTCCTTCCCAGGCGTCGCTTCTAGTATGTTGCTATCACATGCTTCCTCCTCAGCTAAATGTGCTGTCACTGGAGGTTGAAACCAGCGGCTATGACTCTTTTATACTCTATTTTACAGTAAAAATCGTGCACATGCGGACTGAAAGCTCTTACAATGTCACTTTCTGAAGGAATATCAGTCTCAATTTTGGAGGCAAACTGGACAACACATTGACAATGGCAAAAATAAATTTCACGTGACTTTTTGCAGGCGCTGGCAATGAAATATTTTACCGATTTGTTGAGAAATGACTCAATGTTAAAAAATGACGAATCACCTCGTACTCCCAGTTGGTTTTGCGCAGTCTTTCTTTTTCTTTTTCTTTGTCTTAGTTATCGTTCCGTCGCCGAGCCAGCCACAGTCATGGAGGTGATAGCGGAGTGGGAGAATTTGTTCCGCTCCCTTCCGGCTTAGCTGCGTCCGGCTTCTTTTCCGGTAACTCCCCAGCCAGTGTGATGCCAGCAGTGCCTCGCCGCCGACGGTCTCACCGCTCTCGCCAGCGCTACAGGGCCCGAGGTGTAGCGTTGCGCTGCCCTCACTGTTCCTTCGCTGGCTATCGGAGTACCGGACAGTGCGCCCTCCCCTCCCACTGTGGAGTTGGACGTTGTCTTGTTGGTAGACATTCATTGTCACAATGAATTTGCATTTGCTTCTGCGGCCGATCATCGCAGGACATCAACGCTCGGATTGCCAGTGCGTCCCGAGCGTGCGGTGCTCTGCAGCAAGCTGACTTCAAGAACAAGAACCTAGATCGCCACATTAAGCGTTGTGTGTTCAATGCATGAGTCCTTTCTTTGCTGGTGTATGGGTGTGAGTGCTGGACACCTCTAAAGCAGGACTTTCGCTGCCTGTCCATCGCCCATCCAATTGTAGTGAGTCATACATGTATGTTATGATGTAATAGTAGTGAGTCATAGACCCTGTCTCACGTTCTGCTAGTGAAAGTCTACATTTCCTTCCGATCGCTCCCGTTAAATCTCCCTCACACTTTTGAAAAATCACAAGTGACACATGCTTACACCACACACCATGGGAGGATTCCGTGCAACTCACTTGCGGGCGGTTTGCTACTGGTCTCAGCATTCACCATCGATCCCTGAGTACTAAGCTTTCCACCACTGTCAGCATCCGTAGCCACTGCAGCTGCCTGTGACTTGTTCGATTCTGCCAATAAGCTTTGCTGCAATGTTTTCATCTGGTAACAAAGACCACACCAGTATGTTTGTTACAGCGTCAAATAACAAGAAAAGGAAAATTGTCACTGCTGGCAAAGTGATCGATGCCAGTAGGATGAGCTTGCTCATGAAGGAGAGAAGAGAAGACTAAGAGTTGCACTTCCAAGCCCTCGTCACTTGATGATTGTGAAAGTCAAACTCGGATTCGCAACATGTTTTCTATCTCTTCCCTGCAATGAGTCTTTCCACAGTCCACTCTACTCTCCACTCGGACAGATAATAACTGTGACAATTCATCGTTCATTGCTCGTACATACTGGGGACACACAAAGCTATGTTCATCATTCATCATTCATCTCGCTTCTCACTGATCATTTTGCATTTCTGGCTGGCTTAGTCCGAGCACAGTATACCTAACCCCGTGCTCTTCTGCCATGGGCTTGATCATAACAATCAACATCACACTGACAGTGTACAGAGTGTAGGGTACGGATAGCCAATACCTGTACTGGCAATAGGCAGCATGATGATACATATGTCAGTATTCTACTGGCATGCAAGTGCAGTGCTCTGTCTTCTGAAAGGGGCTCACGTTGCACTTAGTGAAGGCATCTGTTGCTGTACACATAGATATTGACGGGTTGTTCTGCTGTTCACTAGCAAGGATCTACTCCTCTGAAGGAGAGCGTCATTATCACCACAGCTCTGATCTCCTTTTGCGAACATAATTTGTTGCATGAACTACACATACGAGTACCATGCGATCCTACAGGATCAATGTCATATAGTACATGTGACAGCTTACCTCTTCCATGGTGATACTGTAGCTTGTATCAAGTGTGAGAACAGTGTCATATGGCAGGTTGGGGCAGGACCTATGCACAGATCACAAACAGACCAAACACACCAAATAAAAACACAATGACTGTAGTTGTACAGTAAAACTCCATGGATGCTGCCCCATATTCGGGCGCGTCAGTCAACCGGGCACCTCTCTGACCCTTTTAGAGTTACAAAAATTGGCTTTTCAACGGAAAACTGCCCCAAAAACTACTGATTGGCATAAAAAATGTTTACTTACGTGCAGTAAGTTTGGAGTTACAGGAAATTCCTAGTTACGGGCAGTGCTCGGTCCTAACCTGCCCGGATTAGGGGAGTTTTACTGTAGTAACAGTGTGTGTATGTGTGTGTGTGTGTGTGTGTGTGTGTGTGTGTGTGTGTGTGTGTGTGTGTGTGTGTGTGTGTGTGTGTGTGTGTGTGTGTATGTGTGTGTATGCGCGCGCACGCTCGGGGCCGTGTGTGCGTGCATGTGTGTGTATGCAGTGGGTTCAGTCTGTGTGTTGTGCGCGGTCTCCTACAGCTGGTGCCCAAACCCGGGATCGAAGCGTGAGGGTGGTAGTTTTAGTTTCGACTTTGGAGTCCGTCCATACCATATGGGTTTGGGGAGTAATTCTAGCGGCAGAATCGCATTTCTTCGTGCCCGTATGGTACCCAGTGATTAGTCAAGGGTTTGGAGGGTTTATCCTTGGAGAATACATCGAAAACATCAAAATTATGGAGTACGGACAATCGAAGTGCGGACCACGTGTGCTGCAAAGCAGCTGCTGACGGAAATAAATTTTGTTCGAACTTGAAGCGTATTGTCAGTTTTCTTTCACGATGGACGGGGTTCAAGCCCTAGACTATTTCTTTTCTCTCCAAGACGACGATGACAGACTCCTCTGCAGGTGGTGTTTCATCAAGTGATGAGTCCCGTCATGGCGCTGAGAGCAGTGACGACGACAACGATGACGTCAAGCCTGATACAGCACCGGCTGCTGTTGTTGTCAACAACACTGCCACACATGGATGCTGTGCTGTTCATGGTGCTGGTGCTCCTCGTGGCAGTGGAGCGCAGTGTGAAGGGAGAGGCCTTGGTGGTGGCAGAGGGTGTGGTCTTGGCGCTAGTGCTGCAGCAGCTACTGCAGCAGCTCCAGTAGCTGCACCAGCTACTGCAGCAGCTCCCCCAGATTTGCTGAAAAATTGGATCGACGCAGACGGTGAAGTGTACGGTACGATGCCACCTTTTGAGCCCCACTCGGCGCCTGGCTTTCATGCCCCTGATGGATTTAAACCAAGCCGGTGTGTGGACTTCTTCACCGAGCAGCTAGTGGCTCAGCTAGTGTCTTTCACAAATGCATATGCTACTGACAACACCGAGACTCGTCCTTCCTATGCTTCTCAAGATGGTACCTGGAATCAAACAACAATTTCTGAAATTGATAGCTGTAGTGTATGTACCAGACATGTATTCATCTAATTGCAAGTACTATTGATCCACCCTAAAACCACAACCGCTTAGGCATGAACTCTCTATAGCAATTCATTGTACTGCCACCCAACACCCAACGCATCCCGCACCCGGGATACAACTCCTATATCCTCTAGCACAATCATACCTCAACGCTTCTTATTGCTTTGCAACCGTAGAATAAACTTGTTTGTAAACTCTACGTGTGAACCCACAGTCTCTTGGTTAGAGACACAACAACTGGCGACGAAGATGGCCGTTGCAATTGGAGCCATGGAACCATTTTCGGTTGGAACGACGGATTGGTCTACGTACTATGACCGCGTCGAGCAGTACTTCGCTGCCAACAATGTGGCCGAAGACAGGCAAGTAGCCACCTTCCTGACCCTGATTGGTGGCTTGACCTACAAACTGTTGGCTGACCTGGTCAGCCCGGACAAACCGAAGGACAAGACGCTGAAGGAGCTGTCCGACGCGCTGGCTGCGCATTGTGCTCCGAAGCCCTTGTTGATCGCGGAACGATACCGTTTCCACAAGCGGGATCAACGCCAAGGAGAGTCAGTAAATGCCTACCTCGCGGAGCTCCGACGGTTGGTACGATTCTGTGAGTTTGGCGATGTCCTGGATACCACGCTGCGGGATCGGTTCGTGTGTGGTATCAGGAGTCAAGCTCTCTGCAAAGTTCTGTTGGCAGAGAAGGACCTCACTCTGAAGACCGCCATCGAGAAAGCCAACAGCCTGGAGGTAGCTACTCGCGATGCATCCGAGCTCGCGGGCAGTGCCACTGCTGCTGGTGTACACGTTCTGGGCACATCGCAACATCGTCGTGCTGGCAGACCATCGTTCGGAGGTGCGAAGTCCGCGAACTCAGGTCAATCCCGTACGAGCTATTCAGCATGCTTCCGCTGTGGCTCGACGGCACACGGCGCAAGTGAATGTCCCTTCAAGGCATATGAATGCCGCCACTGCAGGAAGACTGGGCACCTCCGCAAGGTTTGCAAGAAGCGCCTCGCGGAAAGATCGACAGATTCAGCGAAACGCTCAAGTGGTAGCAGCGCCTGCCACAGCTTGGCTGTCGATGTCGCGGACGACGACGAGTTCAATTCACTTTCTCTTCTAGCCGCAGACGTCCTTCAAGCGCCAGCAGTCGCCACGGATGAAACGACACCCACGACCGTGCGGAAGGCACTTTGGATTGATGCTATCGTCAATGGCCAGTCGGTCCGCATGCAGGTCGACACTGGAGCTGCGGTGTCAATCATTCCGAGTGCGATTTATCGAAAGTCGCTGTCTGCCTCGCCTCTCACCGCGAGCAAGCTGAAGTTGCGTACGTACACCGGCGAGCCCGTGCATCCTCGCGGAACGTTCGTAGCACGCGTGGAATACTACCATCAATCCGCGGAGCTACCACTGCATGTGGTGGACACGCAGGGGCCAGCGCTCTGTGGCCGGGACCTGCTTGCCCACATCGCTCTCGACTGGCAGCGCTTGTTCCAGGTCGAGATGGCTGACGTCCCCTCCGCAACCGTGTCCCCTGGCCAGCAGCATCCAGGATCAGCAGGTACGCGTCTTGAGCAGCTCAAGGAGAAATTCTCCGATGTGTTCAGCGACGACTTTGGCAAGCTCAAGGACGCCAAGGCTCGTCTCCAGCTGAAGGACGATGCAAGCCCTCGCTTCCTCAAGGCGCGCCCATTGCCCTACGCCATGCGGCCAAAGGTGGAAGCTGAACTGGACAGGCTGGAAGGTCTGGGTATCGTGAGTAAGGTACAGTGGAGTGAGTGGGCGACACCTATTGTGCCTGTGATGAAGCCCAACGGCTCAGTTCGTCTCTGTGGAGATTTCAAAGCCACATTGAATCCACACCTGAAGGTGGACCAGCACCCGCTACCACGCGTGGAAGATGTCTTCGCCACCCTGGCTGGAGGCCAGCGATTCACCAAAATCGACCTAAAGCAGGCATACCTCCAAATGGAGATGGATGACGCATCCAAACCACTCCTCACACTCACGACGCACAAGGGCCTGTATCAGCTCAACCGACTCGGGTTCGGTGTTGCCTCTGCCCCAGCGCTCTGGCAACAGGCTATCGACCGCATCTTGCACGGCGTCCCAAGCCAGGCCTGCCTACTGGACGACATTATTGTCACCGGCCGCAACGACGATGACCACCTTGACAATGTGGAAAGCATCCTGAGTCGTCTGTCGGACCACGGCCTGAGAGTCAACCCGGCCAAGTGCACGTTCTTTGCAGACCAAGTCGAGTACTGTGGACACATTGTCAGTCGCCACGGCTTGCGCAAGACTGATGGCAAGGTCAAGGCTATCAACGAAGCCCCAGCACCGCAGAACGTGTCCCAGCTACGGAGCTTTCTTGGTCATGGTGTGCTACTACCAGCGCTTCCTCAAAGACTGCTCCACGACCCTGCATCCACTCAACAACCTGCTCCGGAAGGGTCAGTCCTGGCGCTGGACAGCTGAATGCGCGGCTGCATTCAAGGCTATCAAGGCAGCCATCGCCTCGGATCAGGTCCTCATGCACTTTGATGCCGATCTGCCCGTGCAGTTGGCAACCGACGCATCGCCATATGGCCTGGGGGCGGTGCTCTCGCACATCATGCCGGATGGTACGGAAAGGCCGATTGCCTTCGTGTCACGGTCCCTGACAGACACCGAGAAGCGGTACGCCCAGATCGATAAGGAGGCGCTCTCTATTGTCTGGGGCGTCCGCAAATTCCACACGTACCTGTTTGGCCGACCGTTCGTCCTGCTGACGGACCATGAGCCGCTGACAGCCATCTTCAGTCCTAGCAAGGGATTGCCAGCCATGACGACGGCCCGCCTACAGCGGTATGCTATCTTCCTAGCAAGCATGAATTATGAGATCAAGTACCGCAAATCAGCCGATCATGCAAACGCTGACGGCCTGTCACGCCTACCGTTGCCACACTCACCACAGGATGAGAGCCTAGACTGGGCAGACGTGTTCAACATGGCCCAGATCGACTTCGCTCCGCAATCATCCGTACCGATGAACACAGCGCCTTTGCCGTCCGTGGCAGAACCGGATCACAGTTTGTGCTTTCCGACTGCTCATTCGCCAGCTAGTGTTCCGACACCACCCAGTGTCCAAGCCGCTGCTACTCCAACACCTCCGCCTGCGCAAACACCAGTAGCTGCAACTACGGCAACGCAGCAGGTCCAGTCGCCGCTGGCACAAGATACGACTGAACCCCGCCGTAACCCGCCGAGAGCCCGAGTCCTGCCGGCTCGCCTGAGAGACTGAATTGCTTCTTGCTCACACAATTGCTGTCCCGTGCTCTCAGCTCATCCGCTTCTTCTTCTTGTGCATTAAATGTTATGCCGTATAGGAATACCTCATAGCTCAACATGTACCATAACATTTAGGGGAGGAATGTAGTGTATGTATCAGACATGTATTCATCTAATTGCAAGTACTATTGATCCACCCTAAAACCACAACCGCTTAGGCATGAACTCTCTATAGCAATTCATTGTACTGCCACCCAACACCCAACGCATCCCGCACCCGGGATACAACTCCTATATCCTCTAGCACAATCATACCTCAACGCTTCTTATTGCTTTGCAACCGTAGAATAAACTTGTATGTAAACTCTACGTGTGAACCCACAGTCTCTTGGTTAGAGACACAACAATAGCCTCATCTCACTTATATATTTTTTGGTTTCAAAAAGCCCATTTTGGCCTGAGGCCTATCCTTTGCCGGACATTACTGCTCGGACTGTTACGCATGAATTTGTAACTGGTTGGGTTTCTCGGTTTGGTGCCCCTGACCGGATTCATTCCGATCAGGGCGCTCAGTTTGAGTCTGCTTTGTTTGCTGAGCTTTGCTCCAGGTTCGAAAGTCGCGCACGACACCGTATCACCCTGCTGGTGATGGCTTGGTTGAGCGCATGAACCGTACACTCATCACCACGCTCAGACTTTACGCCAGTGACCACCCTGAGTCATGGTACCGGCATGTACCCCTGTGTCTCCTAGCCTACCGGACGACGGTCCAGAAGTCCACCTGTGGAACGCCAGCACGCTTAATGTTTGGGTGTGAGCTCTGTTTGCCTGCGGACATTATCTATGGGTTGCTACCTGATTATCAAGCTGTTTCTACACATGAGTATGTGCAGCATGTTGAGTCTGTCCTCCAGAGTACCTATGCCCGTGCCTGTGCAGCTGACGCCGTGGCCCATCAACGGATGAAGGATTACTATGATAGACGTGCCCACGGTTCACCCCCTCAACCAGGGCAGTATGTGTGGCTGCTCGACACCGCAGTGAAGCCGGGCGAAAGCCGCAAATTGCATAAGCCGAGGGCTGGCCCGTTTGTTGTCCGATCACTGACTGGTCCGGTCGTTGAAATAGTGTTGGCCGCAGACTTACGCAAGCACAAGCCGATGCACTATAATCGCCTGAAGCCCTGCCAGCGTGCTCCCAGTGTATTGCCGCCTCCGCCTAATTCCATGTGCGCACCGTCGTCCGCTGCTTTGCCGCCACTGAGTAATAAGTTCATTCGGCCAGACGGTGATGACATGGAGTTTGCTCAGGCTGCCCCTGCGCCTGTTGTGCCACCAGTACAGTCTAAGCCCATTAATGTACCAGGCCCACGTGACCATTTGCGCAGGAATGCTGGTCCGCCTGCCTGGCACCGTGACTATAATATGTAAGCTATGTTGTGTACACTGACTGTACGCTCTGGATGACTCCTGTTTAACTTCAGGATGCTGTGGAATGTGATTGGCTGATTATACTAATTTCGTCGGCAAACGGTTTTCATAGACTGCTTATTGGCTACTGACCTAAAACATGGCTGCCGCTTGCCGGACTTTTGTTCCCTTGCTGTCTTTTTTCTTGTTGCTCTTTACTCTCTTTGCATTTTAAGTGTGTGTGTATAATATTTCTTTCCTGACGATTATTTGTAAAACTATGAAGTGAGTGCTTTGACTTGAGTGAGTGTGATTGCCTCCGGGGCCAGCTACTACACAGGGAAGGCAGACGGGAATATCTGATGTTGCTGGGACAGCTTCTCACCAGAATGCCTGGCCACGTTGAAGGGTAACACGCCAGTGGGTGCAACTGTGGCGGCTGTGTCAGCTACTCCAACTGTGCACTGGAAGTCCATGCATTGATTCGAATGCCAGCAAATAGGCCGCATGCTATGTGACCGCCCACAGCGTAGACCTTGCAACACCGCCTCAGCTGAGTGCTTCCACTGTCAGGAAATGAGGAACATTGAGTGCAACTGCCCCCCAGTTGCAGCATATACAAGCATACCCAACACTGGTCAAACATTTCAAATCTGTACACTGAAAATGATGGTGGAGTGAAGCAGGTCCACTGCTCATAAGTTTGCAAACCCTATAATTATTACAGTGTACGTGACTTACTTCCACTTGCGTAGAGCTGGCTGGCGCCGCAGCTCAAACTCAAGTCTGGTAAGGTTCTGTTGCTCGTCCGTCTGCTCCTGCTCCTCAGCCACACTAGCGGGCATGCTAACGTCCAACTTGAAAACTCTGTGTACACTACAGCGGGTTGTTACTGGAGCCGTGCCTAGGGCAATACCAGTTAATATATACAAGCACAAGTGCAGACAACGCATGAGATGACAAGTTGTTCTACATGCTCGGAAAAACAGAAAAGTGCAGGTACACCACCATGGCATTCTTGTGCAGTAGAATGGGATCTTTCACCCACAATAATACCCCGGTCTTGAACAACAATAGCACAATGGTGCAATGACATCACACAACTAGTACAGTGTTGCTCAATGAAGTCCAATCTCAGGAATAAACAGGCGCCCTACACCCGTGTATAGTGCAGTGTTCGCGGGTCTAGCAGGGCTGAGCCTGGCGATAGTTCACACATGGATTTCATTGAGCAGCACTGCAGTTGTATTCAGCATAACAATGGTATACTACTACACTGCAACAAGGCAAAGAGTCCATACACTCACCATCACACATCAGCGCTGCCCTGAACGGCAACGGCAGCGTCTCTGCAGTCGCTACAGTGCCAGTGTCGATTTTCAGCGGTGATGCCTTCGTGTTGTCAAAAAAGGAAAGGCTCATATCACAGATGGAGTATGAACGACGGCGGTACATCCTGTGGTGGGTTGGGAAAGAAAAAAAGTGATTCTGTCCCATGTATCTTCTTTCGATCACGATTGTCATGCACGGGTAGATCTTTAAAAAAATTAATGAATTTAGTAAAGGAAACTGCTTGTTCTGATCAACATTTCTATGCAAGTATAAAAGAAAAGGACTGTTGTGGTTTGCAAATGACGATAGCCGTGCAAGGGCTGACAATGACGATAGCCGTGCAAGGGCTGACAATGACGATAGCTGTGCAAGGACTGACAATGACGATAGCCGTGCAAGGACTGACATTTCCAATTACTAGCACTAGAAAGCCAATCTCAAAGCCAGGCGCATCAATTGAGGAGACCATGTCCCTTCGTATTTCAGCATCCAAATGTACATGTGCCTACCTGCGTTAGACACTGTTAGTGGCCTCGTTTAGGTATATCAACCATGTACATGCGTAGCTCACCGTGACCGAAAGACAGACTCGATAGCCATGCTCCGCATTTCAGCATCCCTGCGCCTCCTGTTCTCCAAGTCAGCTGCATCCCTAGCTTCCTTGGTGTGCAGTAGATCCATGACCAGCTCATGACTTTCAGCTGGATTGTACACTTTGCACATCTTCTTCTGCACTGTGCTCGGCTCGATCATTGACCGAAGCGGCCATTGCTTACCAGCCACCCTGGACGAACAATTTACATATATAAACACACAATACAAAGAATGGGTATACTTGGTCCATTTCATCGCAATTGTCGCTTATCGGACTGTGTTTTACCTTTTGACAGGTAAAACACAGTCCGATCTCGATATCTAAGTCACATTCGTTTGGTAGGTTGTGATGGAAAGATCAAAGGAGACCAGAAAGAAAAAATCATCGTGACTGGCGCCAGTGGCATCGCGATTCGTACGATTTTGATGGGAAAGTGGGGAACTTTTCGCTGCAGTGAATGCACTGCACTGCAGTCTGCAGTGAATGCACACATTCACTGCAGCGAAAAGCCAAGCGCAGCTCAAACTCGACCAGAACTGTAGCAGGGGAAATCGACATCTTGACCTGGAGAGCGTGACAGTCACGGCCAAGCCAGCCAGCTCAGTCGCCACGTTTGAACTGCAACGGCCTGGCATTCTTTGCAAGCCTGACATTGTCCTACCTGGCAGTGGCAGTACAAGAGTCGTGGTCAGCATATCCAGCAGAGCGTATGACAGCTGTCTGGAGAGGGATGTGTGTCTGATTCAAAAACCTTCTTGAAACACAGAGTACTGTAGTGACACACGGGGTCACGCTGCCCACGTTCCTCCAAGTGCCAAAGTGACAGCCACGACAGTTCCTTTCCCATCGCTACCGTACGCCAAGCGGAGAAAGCAAGAGATACTCCACGCCAGCAGCTATGCAGACCAGCGAATGTCAGCTCAAGTGACATCAACTCGAGTGATACAGAGCCAGAGTGCGTGAGTGCAAGAACGCGCTCCGTCGCTGTTTTCTTTAGTACATTTTTTGTACCCTTGCTTCCTTTCTTCGATTTGCTTCATCAGATTCCATCGCTGAATTTTTTTCTTGTGGCGGACAGGAATCCTGTATCATGCTTCTTCACTATGCGTATTGGAAATTTTACAGAGCGGTAAAAAACTCCTGTTCTTAGATGCGATAGATAAGCGACAATTGCGATGAAACGGACCAAGTACACACAGTCACTGAACAAACAGTACAGTCGTGGTATTCGCATCCGACAAGGCCTTGGTACAAGAACGATCCTTGTGATAACATTTCCGTGTGTTCTTCTTTCATGCTTGCTTGTTATCCGAAAAAACAAAATTACCTCTTTGGAACAGGCAAAGGTTTCCAGGGTCTTGTTTCCGCTTTGATGTCACTGTGATCTTCAGTTGCCTTCGTTGATTTATCCAGCTACAACGCACAAAGAAGAACGGAGAAAAAGAACATTAGTACCTATGGCTAGAGATCCTGATCCTTTGATTAACAGAAAGAAATCCTCTTCTTTTTCAAGTCCCATGAAATAGAGCTCAAAGACCCTTCTCGTAAGTGCCTCGCACCGGTCATAGAGGCAGAAGAAATGTATTTGAGTCGGGGCAGTTGCGATCATAGACTGACTGCAGTCCTGGACTGCATCACAACAACCTGTGGCATCAGTTTCCACCGTAGCTTGAGTCGGTGTCAACGTCAATATGGGGTAAAAAAAAATGAACCGCGCTTTCCCGAACTCATATTATAACATTGCACATTCTGGCTTATGTGTACATGTACTCTTGATGGTGATCATAGTTCCTGTACGAGTAATGGTGATACCTGTAGTGCACTAAAGAATAAGGATACCTAGTAGACTTAGGTAAAGGTCATACTCCTACTTCCCCCATTACTCTGTACCTTAGTTTTTCTTGAATGTTGGCGTGACGCTTCCATTGCATGGGACTTCCCCATTTCCGGTGAATTGACTTTTCCGTCCACCATCGTCTCAGAATTAGTTTGACTACTAGCAGAATCACTTGGTTGTGCATCTCCTTCGGTCAATTGCTCTACAATAGATTTCGGCAGCCATTCTGTAGTGGTGACTAGCTCTTTGTCCATACGATCTAGAAGAGGCTGGAGGACTGCTTTGCTTCTTTCCATAGACAGAGTTTGACCGTCAGCATCACCTTTGGTTGTTGCTTGCGGTGGAGGGTGCACAACAGTCGGCTTTCGCTGAAAATAGGACAACACGTAAATAAAAAAGAAAGTCAAACTCACACCAGAACAGCATGGTACACTACTAGCAAACATATTGACTGGCAAATTCTCGATAACTGCTCAAACAGTGGTGCGGTCCCGGTCATCTAGGTGAGTAGGTGCGTACGTACGTGACTGGAAGAGTGGATGAGTGTGTGGATGGGTCTGTGAGTGTGCGGGTGCGTGTCTGTACAATGAAAAGAATGCACGGCAAACAGTCCTACATTACAGAGCAACCAACCCCTTACCGGTCGCCATATGACCTGCGGCTCGTTCGGATGACTCAGCAGCGATGCAATCATGACTGGCAGTGGCAGCTGGCTAGTAATATGATGCGGGTGGCAGAAGTAATGGATGCTGTCCTTGTCGAGTGCATGCTGCATGTGGGTAGAACAAATCAGTGGTAGCTGTGAACAGAACCTCAGAATTGAATGTTATTTGAGATGGATATTTGAACATTACCACCATTCTCCTCTCAGCCAACCAGCACGGCTTGCACACATCACTTCTGTCACAGACACTGACACACCCTTTATTGTGAGGATACTGTCCTATCCTGTACCATGTTATCCTTTCACCCATTCACGGCATAGTCCTTCCCCTGTCTGTCGCCATGTACAGACGGTACGTGACCTCTCACTACCCCCGTGCTACGCACGATACCATGCTCTGCTGGGCATGGCCTCCCTGACTCTTCACTATATCTACACTCATCTGTCTGTAAAATAAAGGACTTCCTTATGTCAGTACATGACACAACATGGTGTCAGAAGTCAGTCAACCAGGTCTACACTTCGAGTAGAAATGGCCAAGTTCGCGCCGCCTGCAGACTTTGATTTCTCCATTCCAGATGCCTGGCCGGCTTGGAAACGCCGGTTTGCGAGACATCGCCTCGCCTCAGAGCTCAACGCAAAAGACGAGAAAGTGCAAATCTCTACGTTGCTCTACTCGCTGGGCCCAGAGGCCGAAACTGTCTTCGATCAACTGGTATTCGACGCCGTTGGAGACGAGGACAAGTATGACAAGGTCATGACGAAGCTGGATGCTTACTTTACGCCAGCACTGAACGTGTTTCAACAGAGGACCATTTTCGAACAGTGCGTTCATCTTCCAGGAGAGTCCGTGGAAGAATTTGTTCGGAAACTTCACGCAGCAGCGAAGTTCTGTGACTTTGGTGACCAGAAGGACAACAGAATTCGAGATCGCCTCGTGGCTCACATTCTGGATCGTCAAGTCGCCAAGGAGCTGCAGCTGATTGAGCCCGCAAAACTCACCCTCACGGACGCAGTTCTCAGGGCCAGGCAGGCCGAGAAAATTTCCGGAGACGTTGCAGCGCAAGCCGCCAGGCCGCAGGTCAATGCTGCATCCCGCTTTGGAGGAAAGCAGCAAGATGCAAGGAGTCGCTGCCAGCGCAGCGGCTTTCCATCGAAGCCTGCACCAACGCTGTCCACGCAGAGGAAGAGCGGCACTGTAGCTTCAACATGTCCGTGGTGTGGCCACGCTGGTTCGCACAAGAGCAACCGTTCTGCGTGTCCTGCGTTTGGTCGCAAGTGTAATTCATGCGGCAAGCAGGGCCACTTCGCCGCCGTCTGTCTTTCCACTCCAGCAACCACGCGTGGTGCCAGAGCTGTCGAAAATGAATCGCTCCCGTCCCCGTCGCCATTCATGGGTGGTGTTGCAGAGCTGTCATCCAACGCCAGTCCTTCCCAGTCCACCGACTCCTGGTCAGTAAGTCTGCCTGTTTGCTCGACAAATTTGATATTCAAGATCGACACAGGTGCAGATGTATCATGTATCACGCACTCCACGTATCAGAATCTCGTACAACGCCCTGTACTCACCCCATCCACTACCAAACTCCTCGGTCCATCTGGTGCACCTCTATCCATCAAGGGTCAGTTCACTGCAGACACCATGCACAAGAGTGAACTGTTCTCTATGGAGATCGTAGTTATAGATGGTCCTGGATCTACCAACCTGTTGAGTCGCAGAGACTGCCTCCGACTTCGCCTGATCCAGAGGTTAGATGCAGCAGAATCATGTACCAGCAAGCCAGCACAGCCCATCGGTTGTATGGTTGGGCCCCCAGCTGATATCAAGCTCGTGGACGACGCCACGCCGTACCACTGTGGTGTTGCCCGCCGTGTGCCTCTGCCTCTACAGGACAAGGTCACAGAAGAGCTCGCACGTATGGAGGAAATGGGCATCATCGTCCGGGAAACGGGTCCCTCTGACTGGTGCTCTCCCATGGTGCTGGTTCGTAAACCTAATGGTCGTGTACGGATCTGCGTAGACCTAAAGAAGCTGAACGGCAACGTGAAGCGCGAGCACTTTCCTCTTCCGACAGTTGAGGACACACTGGCTAGGCTCGCCGGATCTACTGTCTTTTCCACGCTGGATGCCAACAGTGGCTTCTGGCAAGTGCCTCTCACGGAGTCTGCATCCAAGCTGACCACGTTCATCACGCCTGTGGGTCGGTTCCGATTCCTCCGGATGCCATTCGGTATAACCTCTGCACCGGAAATCTTCCAGCGACGCCTGCAGGATTTCCTGTCCCACGTCAAAGGTTCTGAGGTATTCATGGACGACCTTCTGGTCCACACCGCTAACGAAGCTGAACACGACCACCGGCTGGACACAACGCGCCAGGTCCTTGCCGACGCCGGCATCACTCTAAACCCCGATAAATGCCACCTCAAGCAGTCGTCAGTCAAGTACCTGGGACACACCGTCAGCGGGTACGGTGTGAAACCCGACCCCAGCAAAGTCTCCGCCATTGAAGACCTCAAAGAGCCTACGAATGTTCCTGAGGTCCGCCGTGCCTTGGGTCTGTTCACATACGTCGCCAGATTCATCCCGGAATTGGCTACGATCTCAGCGCCCCTCCGTCAGCTCCTGCACACCGACACTGATTGGTTCTGGAACTCCCCGCAGCAGGACGCATTCCGTCGGCTGAAAGAGCTCGTCGTTTCAGCCCCGTGCTTAGTGCACTATGACCCCAAGTGTCCCATCATGGTCAGTGCAGATGCTAGCAGCTATGGCATTGGTGGTGTTCTGCTCCGGAAGCACGATGGCGACTGGCGCCCAGTGGCCTACGCCTCCCGTTCCCTGACCAAGACCGAACAAGGCTACGCGCAGATCGAAAAGGAATGCCTCGCAGCGGTGTGGACGTGCGAGAGGCTAGACCAGTACCTCTTCGGCGCTCCCAGGTTCATCGTGCAGACGGACCTCAAGCCCCTTGTGCCACTGATCAACACCAGAGACCTGGACAAGGTTCCCATCCGATGCCAACGAATGCTGCTCCGCTTCCTCCGGTACGAAGTCCATGCCATACACGTTCCCGGCAAGGATCTGGTGGTGGCCGACACGCTCTCACGAGCGCCAGCATCGGCATCAGTTGACAACGTTCTGCAAGACGACATCGGCATGGTTTTATCAACCACTGCCGAAGATCTCACGAGTCCATCCGTTCTCGCCGACCTAGCCAAGGCTACGTCTGAAGATCCCGTGTTATCCAGTGTGATGCGCTACGTCATCCATGGCTGGCCTGCTACCGTCCCTGACGACATCAAGCCGTTCCATCGTGAGCGAGGCCAGTTGTCTCACATGCAAGGTGTCTTGTGCCACGGCTTTCGCCTGGTTGTTCCGTCCGTGCTACAGCCTGAGATCCTCCAGAAGCTGCACGATGGTCACCAAGGTGTCACGAAGAGTAAAGCCCGTGCCCGCTTCTCGTCGTGGTGGCCAGGTATCTCTGCCGACATCGAGGCGTACGTCGCCAAGTGCACTACCTGTACCAAGCAGCATCATCAGTCTCCAGAGCCTCTTCAGACAGCTCCGTTCCCCGAGTGTCCGTGGCAGCGTATCGCATCGGATCTCTGTGATGTCGACGGCCGCCAGTACCTGATTACCGTCGACTATTTCTCCCGTTACATTGATGTCGCTTGTCTCTCATCGACTACGTCACGGGCCGTCATACTCATCTGAAGAGCATATTTGCTGTCCACGGCTATCCGGACATCTTCGTCAGCGATAACGGGCCACAGTTCGCTTCCGACGCCTTTGCACAGTTTATGTCATCGTGCAACATCACGCATCGGACCAGCAGCCCGAAGCATCCTCAAAGCAACGGAGAAGCAGAACGCGCCGAGCAGACTGCCAAACGACTCATCCGTGCGCCAGGTGATCTACAGCAGTCCCTCCTAGCGTATCGCTCCACACCCCTGGTCAACGGCTATTCGCCCGCCGAACTCTTGTACGGCCGCAGGCTCCGCACCAATCTTCCGTGCCCACCTGATCTCCTGCAACCCTCCTGGCCAGACATCACCGCTCTCCGGGCCAAGGAGCAGGAGGCTAAGCATCGTCAAGAAGATCACTTCGATCAACGCTTCGCAGCCAAGTCGCTCTCCCCTCTGCCACTGGGAGCGAAAGTGTGGGTCGACGACAAGCGCGAGGGTACAGTGGTTGAGCAACTCACCGATCGCTCCTACAACATCGCCACCTCATCCGGTCTTCTGCGCCGAAACCGTCGTGCAGTGAAGTTGCTCCAGCCAGTGACTCCTCCCGGACCGGTGCCAGCAGTACCACCGGCCGCGCTAGTCCCGCAACAACAGCCTGTGCCTACGTCACAGCCAACTCTGCGTGCTCGCAACATCCAGCCACCGCAGAGATTGATCGCTACCATGTAACTCTCTCTGGCTTCATGCTATTGCTATTGCTCTCCCGCACATTGAATAGTTCTGTTCTATGCGCCCGGCTATTTACAACCCGTACATGTATCTGTCTTGCCTTTGCTCTATAACAGTTTTTTTTCCCCAGCTGTTGTGTTTTTGCTCTCTTCAATTTTTTTTCAAAAAGGGGAGATGTCCTATCCTGTACCATGTTATCCTTTCACCCATTCACGGCATAGTCCTTCCCCTGTCTGTCGCCATGTATAGACGGTACGTGACCTCTCACTACCCCCGTGCTACGCACGATACCATGCTCTGCTGGGCATGGCCTCCCTGACTCTTCACTATATCTACACTCATCTGTCTGTAAAATAAAGGACTTCCTTATGTCAGTACATGACACAACAGATACGATAATGGTTCTCTAAACTGACTTAGGACTTAGCCTTCATTCTGACATCAGCAGAGGGTAAGGGGGGGGGGCTTGTCATTTCAAGGATAGATGCCACATTTATTGTGCATACACATCACATGAACAGCACTTACACGTGTTTTCGGTTCTAGTTTCTGCACAGCTGAGAGCACCTTGAATTGAGTAGGGGCCCTGCGACAAGTTACTCTCAGAATGTCTTTCCGGCTATTATCGGCTTTCATCTTGTTTCTCAGTGCCGCAAACTCCTCCTGTATCTGCTTCTTTCGGCTGGCCTTCTGCACAACAGCATCATATTCATGCTGGGAGATGAGATAATCATTGTACTTGGCTTTTTCCCTAGGCTTTACTTGCATACGTTCAATGTCCTTGAGTTCAACTTGTTCACTTGGAGAGAAGTGGACTCGCCTGTCAGCTGGCATGCATGTAGGCACGTCACTCGCATTGCCAGATATTGACTTCTCATGCGATGGTTCACGCTGGGACCCAAGGCCCTCGTCTTGTCCAGTCTTACTCTTGAGTAGTATGTCCGCACTTGTGGCACTCTCGTCCGCTTGAATAGGTGTGCTTGCATCAGACCACTCTTCGCCGATAATCAAGTCACTCGGTGTAGCTGCTGCGTTCTGCTCGTCAAGCAACAGTGGAGTGCTAGCCTCCCCAGCATCTTCAGCCATGGCCTCACCAGGAGCCATTGCAGTGGAAAGATCAGCACTGGACTCCACAACTTGAGAATTGTCCACGCTACTGTTGGATGCAGGTGGTGTTATGCTGCTGTTCGAGTTCTGACTGGAGGAGCCTGTACCCCCTACAGAGGATGGCGTAGCAGACAGGCTCATAATTTCAGAAGCGATGAAGGCTAGAACACTCTGGGAAGGTGCGCTCGCAGCTGACGCTGGACCTGTATGGTCAGATTCGCCTTTGCCATCCGTTGATTCAATTGCGACAAGGTCTGGCTCAGGTCTGATGTCATTCAAGTCTGCCCTGACATCATCATCTGGCTCATTCTTGACATCATCTGACACATTCTTGACATTACTTGAGCTGTCTTCCGCACTACACCGTGCAAGAGATGTGACAATTGGTGCTGCCGTCGCTTCTGCAGTCTCCGTTTCCCGCGCAAGTGTAGAGAATGGCTTCACAGGCGCTTTCCGTTTCCCGACAGGAGCCACTCCCGCCGTAGATGATTTCGCAGTGATAGCCAGCTTTGGAGCACTCCGAAGTCTGGCAGTGCTGTGGGAAGCCGGCATTGGGTTAGTCTTGATGATCTAGCAGAGAAAAATTATAAAAAATAACACAGAGTCCACACATATAGTTGGATAATGACAGGCCGCTACAGTAAAACCTGTCAAAGAGACCACTGCAATAGGAGACAACCTGTCTTTAGAGGCCGGACAAGTCAATCACCAAACCCTGTTGGAACACACATAGTAAACCTCCATTGATCCAGACTCCCTTAGATCCAAGACACTCCCAGCCACTAGATGTACTTCTGGGCCCTTTGCGTCAGACCACAAAACATTGGCTTTTCAAAGGAACAGTGGCACCAACAAAGTTCTAGATAAAAGAAAAGACAAATTGGTACGAGTTATGGCTAATAGTCAACCGATGTACTGTAAAAGCCATATATATAACGAAGTGCTAACTCTAACAAGTTAACGAGTAGAAATCTGTCGTTAAAATAGAAATCGTTGTACAGAAATCGATACATATACTGTCCTATTGAGCGTTGAGAATGAGTGAAAATCGTTACCTTTGGTACACGTAAACTAGTCAATTTTGGGAAATCGTTATACTAGTATATGCGCCTCGTTAGAATACTGGCTGGTTTACAGTAACCAGAGTACATACAGTCAGATAGTGTGACGACTAGCCGCACTAAACAGATAGGGAGTACTGAGAGACACTAAACAGATACAGTAGGGAGTACTGAGAGACACTAAACAGATACAGTAGGGAGTACTGAGAGACACTAAACAGATACAGTAGGGAGTACTGAGAGACACTAAACAGATACAGTAGGGAGTACTGAGAGACACTAAACAGATACAGTAGGGAGTACTGAGAGACACTAAACAGATACAGTAGGGAGTACTGAGAGACATTAAAAACGACTTGACACCTAGCTCTAACACATCTCCAAAGCGCAAACCAACAACCTTCCAACCCGAGCCTAGATTGTTGCTTTGTGCTTTGGAGATGTGTTAGAGCTAGGTGTTAGGTCGATGAAAATATCTCCGTACAGTACTGCCGCTCGCCGAAGAACTGAGGGCTCAGCCTCCTAGCCTAGGCCGTTTTTTATTTTCATGTATTACAGTCTATGCACGGTTGAGTCACCGTGTATACATTGGTAATTTGGTAAGCTGTGCTTGGTGAAATTCTAGCCTGGTCTTTCTTCGGTACTATGTTCTTCGGCGTCCGACAGTACTGTACTCCCTGGCAGTCTGTGCCTTCACACTCGCTGACTGTATATAACCTGTTTACATTGGTGGGCCGTTAATCATAACTCATACTAATTTGCCTTTCTTCTTACATAGAATTATTACTGGCCCAGTCACCATCCGAGTTCAGACCAATAATATTGATTGGTAAATGGTGACTACCTGAATGTAAACTATAATTATGCATGCTCTGGGCTGTGGGCAATTCCTAGTTGCCGGCTGTACCTGGTCCCAATGTACCTGGTCCTAATGGGCCCGGATAACGAGAGCTCTCCTGTGCATGCACATTTGGAATTCATCTACAAGAAGAGAGAGAGAGAGAGGGGGGGGGGGGGAGGGGGGTACTAAACCAGCATTACGGAACCATCCCATGATTACAACATTTCAATAGAATTGTCAACAGCAACGCAGGGCCCAGTGACTAACCTGTGGAGCTCTGCTACCGTGCTGGCGGTGGCTAGCAGGTGCACGTGCGCCATGCTGCTGCTTCTGCCGCTTCTCAGCCTGTGGTGGCCGGTCCATTGCAATCAGGCTTCGTGAGTCATACAAATATCGGTAGAATTTGAACGCTTGTTGACGGTACACGCTGGAGTACGCCGCACGTGACTTTAATCAGGTCTGGGTGGAGATTGAAGTTGCTCTGTCACACATCCGCCATCTATAATCAAACAATACAGGTACCAGTGTACACTCCTGCTAGCATGCATAATAATGCCTAATAATGCATAATTATACTGAGAGCATGACTATACTGAGCAGCTTCGAGTCCAAACAAACCTACATAATGAATGTACTGGAAATAATATGGGACCTAATAAAGTGCACGCACATGATTGTCAGATATTCTCGCAGCCATGCACTACTGGAAACAAAATTTATACAGATTACTTCGACACCGTTCAAGCCATAGCCGCATCGCACCGACTGCTTCAACAAACTTTTCATTGACAAAACACAGATCTGGTAGTGGTAACGTTTCCAAAATTAGGCTTCACCTCTTCGTATGAGGTGCACATCATGTTGCAAGAGCCTGAAGAGGGCGTTTGCACTCGAACTATTTACTTGCAGCTTTCCAAGCCAGCCACGTTATGTAAAATGATTCCCACACTGGCCTAAGACTAAGAGTTCCGAGAGCAGGTGGATGAAAATCGTCTTCACATCGGAGAGGCGAGACAAACAGATGTTTGAGTAAGCTCAGGCCAGAGCCAAAGTCAAAATGGTATGGCACTTATCTTCAATCATACTTCATAGCATTATTGTTGTTTCACTCTCTGTCCTGTCATTGGACTTTGAAGCAGCGGACTTCTCGGTTCACATTTCAGCTGCTTTTGAAAAGTTCACTTGGTTCACCGCGTCACCTGGCGCTGCACCCGCGTGGTTCATGTTACCATGGTTCTCACGGATCGCGGAGTTGGTATTTTACTACGTACAATGACAATGACATGATTGTACTTCCTGTTTTGCAACACGATCAATCATCTGCATCACTGACACTGTTTATCAGTGATCATTATGAATATGAGCAAGAGTCACTTCAAATGAGTTTACACGAATGGAGTTTCTCAACAATTAGTTGTAGTGTACAGGTCTGTTAATTATGAATACGTGCAGTATGATTCGGGGGACAGGAGAACTGTGCAACTCCTCGGCCGCTGGAAGCACTATTCCTGTCGATGATCTTGAAACCCAGTCCAAATCTGTTACTCAGAAATACAGTGAGGGGGAAATATTGCTTAGGAGGAAGCTAGCTACACTGTACCGTATCATGGATCATTTGGGCTGGACACAAGGTATTTACAATCACATAACGGTACGCATTGAAGCTAGCTTCATAGTCCAGGAAAGCTTGTCAAAAGGTTTCGTATTTGTATTTCTCAATAACTTCGATTCAGTACCTTTTTGCTGATCAAGTCAGTATAATTAATTATGCACCAAGAATTTTGCACGTGCAGATCTGCATTTAGTTGAAGCCTTCACATGCACACACGTACACACACCACACACGTACACACACCACACACACACACGTACGCACGCACAAGCGTGCATGCCTGTCACCAAAGTGATACAGCAAACAAGCTATACTACAGTCCATTTCAAAACTATAGACGCGTACCTAGGCAAAAACCGTTATGCCAGCATCTATACCACATAAAATCTGTGATCACTTTGTGCATAAATTTTTCCAAATTGGGCGTCTGTTATCCAATCCGTTAGAAACTATATGAGAGTAATTGTGGAGCGATCCTGAGCAATATTCCGAAAACTATTCTCAAAAATTTCCAGCCAAATTTGAAATATTTCAAAAACCCTACGCGTCTATAGTTTTGAAATGCACTGTAGACATCGTAGCTTGTGCTGGGATGGCAACCTTCAAACTGCTTGGACACACACGCATACCCGTTTAGGCCCTTCGGGGGCATCGGAAGGTATTTTAATGTGGTACTTTCAGCCATATCAAGTACAATTTACTCGTGGGGGAGGGGTAGCTGAGCCGAAAAGTTTTGGAAATTTAGAGCCCAGATCAGTGCATTTTATTGATTCGCGGGGGTACCCCTAGGGCAAAAAGTGGTGCGGTCAATACCGTAGTGACCGTACCGTGTCCGACACCCCTGCCTTTATTTCATCGCTGGTGAGTGGTGTAAAACCACACATCGTGACATACTCCCTGCACAGAAGAACTTAGATTCTTGCTCTCGTCATCCTGGCTAGGTTACTGTACTTGCATGAAAAATACAAGGGAAGAATGGGTGGACCCTGTTTTCCCAGTTGTAAATCAAGCCCTTTGGGGAGCGAAGGGCTATTCTAAGACCACCTGTGGGTACAAGGTTACATCTCTCATTGTTAGGTAGATGTAAGCCTTGCTTGTGAGTTTTACGAGGTATGGTGATGACAGTATTTCACAAGGTGGAGGACACATTGTAAGGAACAGTGCTCCCAACTATGACAAGAGACCGCAAGACCGAGGTCCTGCCAACCGGTCTCTGGTTGTAGTCAGGAGCACTATTCCTCGCAGTGCGTCCTCCACCTTGTGAAATGCTACAATCATCATAATCTTTCATTGTTGTTGCACTGGTCAGTGCCCAACTGTAATCACCTGAGCTAAGCTATAGTATAATGTAGACTGTGTTGTATTATACACACACCCATCTCTTAGCCGTCCACCTTGGGACCAAAGAATGTTCGTAACTCAGAAGACTGTACATACTGGTATGTTTACCATGTGATTCATCATATTGTCAGGCAATGTGTAAAGAACTACCTGGTGCACACTTGGACTAGTATACATATACATGTAGTAGTAAAAAAACTACTACTCAGAAGGGGACCGGATATGAGAGGACTGAGTGTATATAGCTCTTCAGCAAAGTCTTCTGCATTGTGCTTTTGTGTGGTGTGTGTGCGTGTGCGTGCGTGCGTGTGTGAAGGTGCGTGTTTCGCCAGGCAGTGACGAGTTCTTGATTAATCCGTTTGGCTTTCACTACAACGAAATCACGGCTGGCTCCCTGGTCAAGGTTGATGGTGATGGCGCAATCCTTGACGAGGGCTGCACACAGCTGGGTATCAGTAAGGCCGGGTACACGCTGCACTCAGCTGTACACGCTGGCCGGCCGGACGTGCAGTGTGTCATTCATGTCCACACCGATGTTGGAGCAGCGGTACGTGCATACCACTTTGTGAAGAAGAAGAAAACATATTTAGAAGATAACTACAGTAACTTATTCATGTGTATAATTGCAACGACACTGTTCTCAGTAAGTGGACATTGCACACTGTACATGTAAAGTGGGAGAGTGAGTGACCATGGTCCTGGCATAACACCTGGCCTGGAAGCTGATTGCCAGTGCGCTTTGCACACCGAACTGCCGTGTTGAATAGACTGGACGAGATCATGGCCAGTCTCTCTACTCACCATATTGAGATGGACCTGGAGTGTTCTACACTGTATTATGTATGTGGCAGTCACGCCGTGTCCTGGTGTCAGCGACTGTGTTGAGTTGAATTGTTCACATGTTGTGCTGGTGTTTGTTCTGTTCTATATCCGATGTTCAGGTATCAGCAATGAAAAGAGGACTTCTGCCCATCAGCCAAGAGGCAATGATTGTGAGTCTTGCCGTATCTTCTTCAGTCTTATCCTGGGCCGCTGTGTGTAAGCCTCGGCATTATGAAGAGTGCTTCGACCAGCTATGCACTGCATCCAGCGTCCTGATCTCCGTGAATTGGCTTCTTGCCTTTTCTTCTACAGGTTGGTGAAGTCAGCTACCATGATTACAACGGGATTTTTGTGGACGAGGCTGAACGGCAAAAGATAATTGATGACCTGGGACCTAAGAACATGGTATGTCTGAGTGTGCCTTGCCTTCTCCAACACAAGATTCTTTGTTATTGTACTTCCAAGTACACTTGAACTTCCTGGCCTACATGGGACTGGGCATATCCGTACTAGGAATCGTCCGTACCCCAGGACTACTTCGAAGTACATTCAAGTTGTGTACTTATAGACTTTGTGAGGCTTGCTACGTTTTAACCCGGAAACAGCGTCCAGTAGCGTCTAATACAGTAACGTTATAACAAATTGGCGTGGACTAGAGACCATCAGGTTGGTAGAACAGTTCAGATACGGGGAGGTCGAGTGTGTCTCATTTCCAGGAGCGCCTTATGTCTTTGTTTATTCTCATAGTGGATGTGTTTTTGTTCGTTCCTATATTTTCTGTACTGCTGTTGTAGGTGATGATCCTGCGAAACCATGGACTTGTAGCTATGGGTAGGACAATCGAAGAAGCACTTCATTATATCTATAATGTGGTGAAGGCCTGCCAAGTGCAAGTAAGAACAAGTGTGTGTTGCTGTTCCAATGTGCTGAGAGATTTTCCTTCTTTTGTTTTATGTGTTTGTTTTCACCTTTGTGTTGCTGCAATGTGATGTGACTTTAAGTTGCGCTCGCATGGTATGTAAGCTCTCAGGTACAGAAACGTTTCTTTGTGAAAGTGATGTGTGTAGCCAATTTTTCTTTCCAGCCACTGGAAATCAGATAGCTTTCTCGCGCGGTTTTTCAAGGAACCATTCCACGTGAGCGTGTGATGATTCTCCTGTCAAATTCGTGCCTTTTCCTTTCCTGCAGTCACTGATTTTGCTTGCCATGTGAGCGTACCCTATAGTGGTCTCTGTTGCACAAAGGGAGAAATGGTCCGTTTGTGCGTAGTTTGTATACCAAGTTTGCTGGATAGTTACACAACTGACCGCATGTCATATTATTGTGTCCGTGTTGTGTGTTGTGTGTTGTGTGTTATGTATTGTGTGTTGTGTGTTGTGTATTGTGTGTTGTGTGTTGTGTGTTGTGTATTGTGTGTTGTGTATTGTGTATTGTGTGTGTATTGTGTATTGTGTGTGTATTGTGTATTGTGTGTGTATTGTGTGTTGTGTGTTGTGTATTGTGTATTGTGTGTGTATTGTGTGTGTATTGTGTGTGTATTGTGTGTTGTGTATTGTGTATTGTGTGTGTATTGTGTGTGTATTGTGTGTTGTGTGTTGTGTATTGTGTATTGTGTGTGTATTGTGTGTGTATTGTGTGTGTATTGTGTGTTGTGTATTGTGTATTGTGTGTGTATTGTGTGTGTATTGTGTGTTGTGTGTTGTGTATTGTGTGTGTATTGTGTATTGTGTATTGTGTGTTGTGTGTTGTGTATTGTGTGTTGTGTATTGTGTATTGTGTGTTGTGTATTGTGTATTGTGTGTTGTGTGTTGTGTGTTGTGTATTGTGTGTTGTGTATTGTGTGTGTATTGTGTGTTGTGTGTTGTGTATTGTGTGTTGTGTATTGTGTGTTGTGTATTGTGTATTGTGTATTGTGTGTGTATTGTGTGTTGTGTATTGTGTGTTGTGTATTGTGTGTTGTGTATTATGTGTGCTTATATGTGCGGTGGTATGTGTATTCAGGTCCATCTACAACAGCTTGGTCCTGATATGACTGATGAGCTGACAGTACCTAGCAAGGCTGTACAAGAGGATGTTGTCCGTGTCGTCACCAAGGGTGGTGGTGGAGTCAGCTCTGGCTCATGGGGCATTGGAGAGCTAGAGTTTGAGGCCCTTGTCAGGGAGCTGCACAGAAAGGTATGTTGACGCATTAGGAAAGTGTTAGGAAGTGACTTGGTACCATCATGGACAAGGGCGCTCCTGTTATATTTTCGGCAGTTTGTGGCTCTCGTACAACTTCACTCTTTTATTGTGCAAACTGGTATTACGCTTTAGGTGATGAATGAATGTACATGTACATGTAGGTGTTCATATGAAGAGGACACCAGCTCTTAAGACTGTGCAGCTCTACATGTGCTTGCTATGTGCCCAGCCAACGGTGAAAACTCACGCCATGTAGTGCGATGTTCACACTGGGCTCCTCTAGGAACATCTAGCCTGCAATGAGTAGTACTTGACCTTATCTGTTGTAGAATCAGTCTGCTTATATACTGTCATCCGCTGTACAGAATGTGTCTGCATTGGTGCCTGTGTATCATGCAGTCTGAGACTTCCCTGCCTGAGACCACAGATAGATGCAGAGTTCCTTACCCTTGTGTGCTTATGTACTCTTGATAATACTCTAAGTATTCTTAATTAATTTTCACATCGTCCCCTGTCTCTGAATACCTGCTCGCTGTGTGTGTGTGTGTGGGGGGGGGGGGGGGGTTGTGTGCACTACTTCCTGTCATTCATTGACTTTTCTTTTGTGTCAACATGTACCCCAGGGTTGTGCAACTGGTCTTCAGCTGAAATCGGAACAACTCATACGCCGGTGAAAGGACGGAAGCAGAACATTTGGAAATGTATCTCCGTGATTTACAAACAGATGCCCTCTTACTTCAAGTACTACTGTGATCACACAGCACTACACACTACTAAATGTACCCGCTGTGACTGGACAGTATTCCGCCCTGCCTAGGACTTCAAAATTACTAGTGAAGGTATTGTAAGATGCTACATTTGAACATGGTGTTTGGCACAGCATTTTGTTATGTTGGGTTTGTGACCACTGGCAAGATGTGGTAGTAGAGGTAGTGGTGGTAGTGGAGACAGCTTCTCTCCTACCTGCCTGCATGCTGTAGACTCTTTCCGCTAATGTATCCGCCACTATCCGCCTATCCGCCACTATCCGCCCTGAGCAGCTGTGCGACTCAGTACACCTGTGTTGTCCCTCAGTGGACCATGGTGGACTCAGTGGACGACGGGTTTCGACTCAGTAGTGCCTCAGGATGTTCCGGTGTGGGAGAACTTACACTGGTTTGGTCTGAATGGGCACAGTTGAAGAGAATGCAAGGCTGTTCAACACCGGAACACAGATCTCTTCCTTTCCCCGAGGATTCCTGTGGCAGTACGTCCAGGTTAAACACGATGTGCGTATTCCTACTTTTAGCCGATATCTCTACAGTGTTTTAGACTACACGTGGTGCTTATAATTTTGGGAGCAACCAGACAACTTACTTCCTTGCCTTTTAGATCCCGCTTCATTTCTCAACATTCCATAATTTCACATAGCTATATTCTCATAGATCAGCACATCAGTTTGGGCCATTCTTTGTACTGGATTAGTTCACCTTTGTTCTCGGGTTGAGCTGTTTCTAGCATCGCCTGGCATATCCTGACACCGGATGTACAGCTTTTAGAACCACTTCATCATGGTGATGAAAGGAACTTTATCAAAACTAACTTATTTTTTTATCCATCATATCTCGCCTGCTTTCATTTTCCGTGGACTCAGCTGGTCTGGGTTTTATGATTCACAACGAACTCTGTTGGTCTGCATTTCACGGTTTGCAATGAGCTCAGCTGACCTGGGTTTCATAGTTTCCTGTTTCTGGTTAGCTCCGGCACTGTTCTACATAAGTCATTGCCCCGGTGGTTTATGTGTGGTGATTCCTTTGTTCACCCGCTTGTACATGTACCTGCCCACTACAGTGGACAGTGGATTGTGTCATCAGTTCTCGTAATGCAAGATGTACCCATTTGATACTGTACGTCGCATTTACTTCGAAGTGTGCCTTGCTAAGGCTCAGATCCTAAACCAGTCCGCCCATTGGGGTCTGCAGTTGGTTACACTACAGGGGGGGGGGGGGGGGGGGAGCGTTGAAACTGATACGTGTAACACGGGGGAAGTGAAGGGGGGGGGGGGGTAATCATTTGAATACCGAGCCCAACCTTGGCATGGCCTGACAGCCTGAGCATACAGCACTCTCGCGAGGAGCGTATCGCATAGCTTTCTGCGTGTTTACTTCTGTTGGCAGGGGCTTGAAAGTCGGGTTTGTCAAACCTGTTTCTCTTCATTTTCATGTGGCTATTCCATTGCGAAATCTAGCTGCATTGGCATCAGGCCAAAACTGCTCATCACTGTTGCGGAACCTTGCCCAAGTAACGTTAGTTAGTTCGATATATCAGGTCAACTGGTGGATTCCAGCAGATGGAGTCTTGGGCCTGATGGTGTCATGTCGAAAACAGGATGGAGCAGGGAGACAGGGAGTGCGTCACATTATGATACTGCACAGTCTACTATACTGTAGCTCCAACCAGTTAAAATCAGGTTAAACGACTCCCTAGTTGTAATCATGACTACCGGTATGTCTATTACTACAGCTACTAGTATTACTATTAGTGCATTGGACTACAGTACATGCAATCTACAATCGGTATGGACTATGGAGTATGGTAGATCCACATCTACCACGATCTACGTAGATCTATGAGGGGCTGTGCCAGGCATGCACATAACATTGTATCATTTGTATGACTGTCTTGGTAGAGGCGCTAGGCGACAACGACCTTTCAAAAATTGAGTTGGAATGTCACCAATGTCAAAGAGAAGCAAGTTCAGTTCTCTTTCAATTCATTTCAGGTATTGTGGCTACTTCCACCTGAAAGCTACAGTTCGAGTAACTAGCATTGGAAATCCATCCAGCACATGTTGCCAGTCCCTATTTCGTTACGCTGATGGCCGATACAAGCGAAGGGAACCCTGGAAGCGAGCCACAGCTGCCCCTCGATTGAAAAGAGGCGTTCAGCTGAGAAAGAAAGAGTGGCTGTCATTTCTTCAGCTCCTATCTCCAGATCTCGGACGCTATCATTTCAGATAGAAGGTGGGTGCTCTCTTCGGAACTAACACTTGGCTCCATGTTATGCCGGTTCTGAACGAGTACTGCGGTAGCGACTAGGCGGTCAGGCGCTTCATCCCTCTGCGGCTAGCTTCAACAAGAAGGCCCTGCACTGCAGCACGTGTCAGTGATTCTCAGAATCATAGAATCATCAAACAGGCAACAATGGCATCAAGGCAAAAGTCTGCCTCGAAGACGATGTGGGAGAGACAGGGAAGCAGGGAGCACCTGCAATTGCAGCACGAAGTGAGCCGCATCAGCAAGAGGCGTAGGGTGTGCGCTGTGCTGGAGAGCAGTCAGTTCCGTGGTCATCTAGAGGACATTGTCAGTCGCCGCTATCCAAGTGGTAGACCTGCCGCTGAGAATGGCCATCAAGGACTGGAACTTTCCGAAGATGAGTCTGATGATTCCAGGGATGCATCAGCTTCAGAAAGTGAAGATCTACAGCCTCAGGTGAAGACCCGCCAGAGGGGTATGCAGCAATCTATGAGGTCTAGGCACAGTATGGTGCGGCAGCAGCAGCAGCAGCAGCAGCAGCATGTACGCTGTATTGATGACATTGATCAAAATGCATCTAAAGTGTTTGGCAAAGAAGACGTCCTGGCCCGGAGAAAGCTGGCCACTCTGTACAGAATCGTAGATCAATGCGGCTGGTCGCAAGGCATCTACAACCACATCACGGTAAGCTGCGACTGGGAGGAAGTACATTACACCTTGTATGCCAGTGTCATCGGGGAGACAACTAAACACAGCAGTCCCCAAAACTAGGCGCATGTCCGAATTTCAGAATGTATACATGAACCATGGTTTACGAAACTCTTGATTGAAACAGTACACTGTCAAAACTTCAGCAGTTCAGGTGCAGCCATGCTAGCACGAGTTTCAGATCAGTGCCAACATACCGCAAATGCGTATGCATACATTGACCCTGCCCTGGGCTGAGGCCAACCGTACCGGCATCATTCAGACTGTGCGTGGGACCTCGGCTCTTAGTGCTCCATCCGCCCCGTGTGCGCCTGTGCTGCTGTGCTGTCTCCATGGGACAAAACTATCTGCACAATCACCCCATATTGGAGGTGAATTAATGGCTTTAGTGGACTTAGTGGTTAGGTTGTATGCTTTAGGGCATGGAAACCATTGTTAATCCGGCATCAGTCAAGTTCTTTGTCTGTCCAGAATCATTAATTTTATGCTTCCATGGTGGAGTAATAGTCACTGTTTTCCATGGTGGAGTAATAGTCACTGTTTTCAATTTGTTCATGCTCTCTGTACGTGCATGTAGGTCCGCATCAATTCAACTAGAGACGAGTTTCTCCTCAATCCATATGGCCTGCGTTACGATGAGATCACAGCCAGCTCACTGGTCAAGGTTGATGCTGAAGGCAATGTTATCAATGAGGGCTCGACCAGGCTGGGAATCAATAAGAAGGGCTTTGCTCTACACTCGATGATACACTCCATTCGACCAGATGCGCAATGTGTCATCCACGTGCAAACACCGGCTGGAAATGCGGTAAGATCCCCTCCTCCCCTCCCCCCCCCCCAATCACCCACATTTTGAAGTTTCTCACCTTTTTCACTTTGCGCATGCATCTCCGGGAAGTTCCTTGCACTTCTGTCCGTTCTGATTGTGTGCCCTATCTGCACTCACTGTGACTGAATCATGTAGTAAAGTCACAGCTGAGCCTGGCAAGACTTTGTGACATCTAAACAACCCAGCGGAAAATCCTTGCTACAATGTGAACATATCACCTGTGTTGCAAACTGATCATTACTCACGGCACCACGAGATCCATGACACATCATAGTCGGAACCATTCTCTCCTCATTATAATTCGTGGTACCAGGCCACTGGAGCAACTTTGCACTCATCAAGTCGGGCATATCCGACTGGCAGAGGAGTTGGTGCAAATGAGTGTGAACGATAATCCCTTTATGAACTGACCCAAATTCAGGACGTTTATGCTGTTTGCACTGTTGTTCAGATATCGGCAATGGGAGTTGGGCTCTTGCCAATTTGCCAAGAAGCTATGATTGTAAGCATGGATGTGCTTGATACGGCCGCATTACTGCATCACTACAAATGCATCGAACTGCATAGCACACCCAGTTTGAGAGACAAACTGGGAAATGAATACTTGTGCATGACATTGTACATCAGTGCATCTATTATGTTGACATAAGTTGGTTCATGTCCTTACACTCAGTTCTGTAGCGCAGGCCCATTTGGCAGAAGTATGACAGTTAGCAGGCGCAGATCACTGCGTCCTTTTCCCAACCCAGTTCCTACGGTTCATGTGTAATGAAACTTTGTCATCACCTGACCACCGTAAGTAAAGCCGGACTCTGAATGTTTCCTCCAGGTTGGCAAGGTCGCTTACCATCAATTGCGTGGAACCCCAGACAACGGGAGAGAACGGCGGCAACTAGCAACAGACCTGGGCTCCTCAAGTAAAGTAGGTGTCGAACAAGGGAGTGAAGCACTGCTTCAGTTTGTTGCAATGGCCAGGCCTGAGTGTGAAATCTGCAGAGGTGTATAGTACTGTATACCATGACCACGAGCAATTAAGCTAGCTAAGTGACCGGGTTGAAGATGTAGTAGTACTGGTGGCATCATCACACTGTCACTGGTACTGAGTTTTCCCCGGCTTATTGCCAGGACTGTAGAATTATGTATTTGCCATTATGCCGCCGCCGGAGTATAATGCACACCCCGACTTTCAGTGAGCTATCAATTTGGACCACTTGGAGTGCAGTTGACGTCGTACACGTCCAAATGATATCCGGAGTGCTGCATTGCATCCGGAAATTCTGAGCCCAAGAACTACCGGCAAGGATGATGCAATGGTTGACGAGGCTTTAACGATGACATGCAGCACTATTCTCTGATACATTTTTTTGTAAATCAATCCGACATGCAGTTACAGTGGACCAGCATGAACTGGTATTCAATGTAGCAGCGGACTACCATCTGGTTCATACTGCTGTTTCTATCTTTATTTTCTTGTGCCCTGGCTAGGTAATGATCGTGCACAATCATGGACTGGTGGCCATGGGGCGTACCATCGATGAAGCACTCTACTACATGTTTCATCTGGTGAAGGCATGTGAAACACAGGTATGCCCTATAAAATTGTGATGTGTGCAAAATGGCAGTTTCGAGAAAGCTGTGGGGGACCCGACAGTGCTTAGCACAATGAAGTATTATGGTGCTGTGACAGCAGTAGCAGCCAATGTCTGTTTTAGATCTCACTCTACACTGTCCTGTCTGGTTCCGTATCTATGAACCCGATACATTTTGCTATTAAGGTGGAAATGAAACGCATTTTTTTGCAAATTTGAGTGTGGTGGTACCACCGGCCACTACTCAACTTTTGTAGGACCAATCCCGGAAACGTTGGGACCACAGTAGTACTTCCTCGTTAGGATCACTGCATGTACACAATACAATTCATATTTTCATCATCGTATTTTATACAAGTACCATCATATTTTTATTTGTGGTAACCTTGCCATTTTTCTTCAGGTGTGTGCCCTGGGAAGTGGAGTAGCGATAGAAAAGCTCATCATACCGGACCACACAGCACAGCAACTATTCATCATACCCGACCACACAGCACAGCAACTAGTCATGAAAGGAAGCAGCAATGTTGCTACACCTGATCACTCCACATGCCCTGAGTGGAGCATTGGCGAACTGGAATTTGAGGCGCTTGCCAGAGATCTGGATGGAAAGGTATGACCGGTGCTGAATCTGCTACTCAGTGATGCCACGTGTAACATTTGTAGTAATCCTGCCTGGACAAGATGTGTGGGTGCACAAACGTCGTATACATTCAGGGCGTTTTCAATTTCAGTGTTATCCCAGGTAAATCTCTTAGCCTGCGGTGAGGTCAATTGAACTGCTCCTGCAGAATAGTGCAAACACATGACATGCACCGGGCATAGGCCTTTCCTCCCTGCTCCTAGGAAATGCTGGCGTAGCAAAGAAAAGGGTTCCATGGTGGTGTGGGTAGAGGAGACCCTGCTCCACGATTTCCTAATTTTTCTTTTTTTTTTCTCACTTTGGCTTGTTCCAGGGTTACAAGACTGGGCTGGCGCTAAGAACAAGTAGCATAGTGAATGCCGGTGTTCAAGCTGACTACACCAGGTCAAGCAAAACACAGGAAAGGCATGATCATGCCGAGGCAGACTGTAGCCAACAAAACGGTGCCTGGGAGTTCCTTGATGGTGAACAGATCCATGACAGACGGGCAATGCCTGCACAGCCAACAGCAATGCAGCAACACCTGGTAAGTATGGTACAGCACTGTTGATCCACCTCTGTCTAACTTCCACGCCCTGTCGAATATCTACCTGTGAGCTTAGGCTAACTTCAAGGCACACGCCAAAGTCCGTTGTCGAACCAATACATGCACTGCAGTACGAAATGTCACTTGAAACGTGTTGGGCGACTGAATACCTGGACAGCCAAAACGAACGTGAGGAACAATTGACTGGTGGCGAGCCGGATGTGCCAGGCACTTAGGGTGTCTTTAGCGCTGTTTGTGTGTGCCTTTGTACATGTATCTGTACAGCATACACCCACTACTATGACCCGTGATCATCAACAGCTGGACACTAGCACGGCAATAGTTCAGGCACAATCACAATCAGTTGAGATGGCACCGACATCCAACATGACCAGAGTATCGACAAGTTCAGCTGGCCGTTTCGCCGTCACCCAATCTCCGCTGCTGGCAGCTGGTTCTGACGATGTGCAGAGTCGGCGGGTAGATGTGGCACAGTCCATGGGTGGCGCACTTGCTTCACTACAAGAGTGTGTTGCACAGGCAAGAGATCCAGGATCAGCGACAGCAGCAGCACCACGTCCCCGTGCCATCATCCAGCCGAGGGGCACAGCACATGCTCAGACACGGGAGCAGCAATGGTACCAACCTATCACAGATCAACCCTTGCCAAATGATCGCGCCTATTCACTATTACACCCTGGAGGCTCAGGTGCAGCTGATGATCAGCTGGAAGACGATAGCCTATATCTGGATCTCCATGAGGATGATGACTCACCGACCAGTACATATCTCGGCTATTCTGATGCGCTGCATCAGACAACGGAGATCGCCGAAAATGTAGCAATATCCACGAGCCGGGCAGCTTCAAGGGCACTGTCCCGTAGCAGTGGTGACGCCAACTAAGACTACACCCAGAATGCTGGCTGTGCTCTTTACCTGTTGGTCGATATTACGGTCCCCTACAACAGACGAACAAACGCTGTGTGCTACCAAGAGTACATCGCCATAGTAACATACTCCCGGTCCTATACTACAAGTTGTATCAAGAGTACATGAAAACCAGAGTGTGCAGCTTGGGGCCTTTTCTGCTATGGGTGTCTGTCACGGCGAAATTCCGTGATTACATCATATTTGGCCCAGATCTGAGGCGGGAAATGGCGTAGTGCGTACAACTGAGCTGCAGTTGTGCAGAAAGAGACCTGCTTGAATCCTGCTTGTACGCACTACATCACTAAAATGATATAATCACGGAATTTCGCCGTGACAGCAACCCATCCGAGCTGCACACTCTGGTTTTCATGTACTCTTGGTTGTATGTGTACTACAAGCATAAACATTATAGCCATACTTGAACTGGTACGTTGAAGTTGTTTTCCACAAGAATACGCCAGTCCTGCTCTATCTGATAGCTAACGTTACTATCAATTCCGGAAAACAGCAGCTCTACTGTTGAACAGGCTGAGAGAAAGTGCTTCATCTGATAGAACTAGAGAGGTGATTCATATACAACTGCAATGCATGTCTATTCAAGTATTCATCCTTGATGATCCATGAATGCCTTCTTCCGGACAGCAAACACTGACAAAACGTAGGGTTACTTGGTCTGGTGAAAGGCAATTGCATGACAAACTTCTTAACGGTTATACTTTCAGCAGCAATCTCTTACTTCAAGTACTTGAAATGATTGTATGCACGAGGTGGAAGCTTGAAGCAAAGAATTAAATCCAGCAAGCCAAGCTAAGGAGAATGCCTGCGGAAAGACGGAAGCAAAGGCAGGCTTGAGCATATACAAGTAGAAATAGTAGAAAATGCTTCGAAAGCAGAGAGGTCAATGTCATTGTGTACAACACAGAATCAGAGCAATAGAAATGGGCTAGGAATAATAGGAAATTCTTCTACACAAGCAAAGAGGACACCACCTTATAAGCTAACACTTATTTCGAAGCAAGAGGTGATAGAGCAAGAGAAACCAAACGGCAGAAACCAAATAAAATACTGAAGACATTGCTCCGTCTTTGAAACTGAGTCCGCAGCACGCGGGATCTCTCACGGTGACCGTGATAAATATGAAGAGAAGAATAAATACGAAAGTTCCGGTAATAAATTATGAAAACATGCATCAATGCCACACACCTGAAAGTGCCAGCACCAAAGTCATTTCATGATTCAGTTTTCTAATTTGAATCTTTTGATGCACCACAGTAACATCAAGGTTCTTTCTAAACTAGTGCTAGGTCGGAAGATATTACTATTATTTGAGTATTACTTTTAGTATCATGGCAGTCTTGGGACTGGCAGCTAATTTCGGAAAAGAAGTGGGTAATATTTGTGAAGGACTATGATTGTGTTTTTCTTGCTGGAATAGTACGGGAAGCAGGTACCATAACTATTAGTGGTGTTGATCACACAGCGGTCTCTCTTTGTAGTTTGGGGTTGAGCAGCGCATTGTTCTCCAAGCATGCTGACCAATAGCTAGCTGTTAACATGTGGCGTATGCGAGACTCAGCACGCAGATAGGAGAAGAGCTCCTCTTCACCGGTGAACAGGCTAGTTTTCAGGTCTGCTTCGTGAAGGCCCAGATCGTCCCGCAGCATTTCAAGCTCTGCCTTTTCCCGGGAACTTAGAGTGATAGAATTCTTGCTGAAGAGTTGCTTTACGGGTTTAGATGCAGTCATGACCAAGCGTACCTGCGCGCAGCACATGCGTAGAAAAGAATAGAAAGAAATGACAACATTGGGAACAGGACTCGAAACATGAAAACTAGTATGTGAGTGCTATTGAGATCAACACACCTATGATGCTGCATGAAACTGAAGCAGCAGCAGCAGCAGCAGCAGCACACACACACACACACACACACACACACACACACACACACACACACACGCACGCACACGCACGCATGCACACCAGTAGATACTAATCGTACTTACGTTATTATCGTATAGTGTATCAATGAATTTGACGAAGCGAGCCGAACCCTTCTCACCAAGGCCAATCTCGGGAATGCCACGCACAATCACAGTGTGAAAGTGGGCACACATCTCCAAATAGTCCATGGCTGCTCGGGGCTATTTAGCAGAAACGACCACACATCCAGGATACATGCACATGTTCACATGAGGAAACAAAGGGCATGGTGTAGTACTGTAAACCATGGACCAATGGTAAACGTAGTACTGTAAACCATGGACCAATGGTAAACGTAGTACTGTAAACCATGGACCAATGGTAAACGTAGTACTGTAAACCATGGACCAATGGTAAACGGAAGGGAAAGCAGCAGCTTTCAGTTTCTTGCTTCAATTTTCTCAGTAATACTTGGTACTCAGAAATCACAGTCAGAATAGAAGAGCGCTACTCAGCAACAAGGTCGGCCGGAGACCAAATGCAATGATGGGGAGTGTTCAAAGTCTTCTTGAAAGCTAGTATATTCTGTACAGACGGCTCTAGTTTTGGTATCATGTACACGTGTAGTATTAGCTGGTCAGCATCTGTACTGTGTCATGCGGGAACTTGTGGCCTGGGTCCATTTTTAGTATTTCTGGCTTCACTGCTTGTACTGTGGACTGCCTCGTCTGGACTCCTTTTGGTTGGACTCAACCTTTTATATCTCTGTGTGCCGCAGTCGGACTCTCGGTTCGTACTCACGCATCCACATTCACGATCCCGTATTTATCCTCACTGCTGTACGTTGCCTGTAGCTTCCTTTTCTGGACTCGTTCTAGTTTGTTTCTTCTTGCCTTTTTGCCTTTGGGGCTTTTCTGGGTCTCTTCTCGGTTCCAAGCGATACAGCTTCGGATATATTTATAGTTTCTTGTTCTTCTTCTTTTTTTCATGCATGTATTGTACATGTATTCGGATAATCCAGTGCTTTTCGAGCCAACACCACAGCAATTCATGAGTGTCGATCCTCGCCGAGGTGTATGATCTGTAGCCGTCTAGACATTTTGGTAGCAGAGGATGGCTTGTCGTTAGGTTAGGATCCTCGCCTGAGAATGGCATCCTCGGAGGAATGCCATGATTTGGAGCGTGAGATCGAGCTCCTGAAGCTGCGGAAGTCGGCAGCGAAGACGCAGCTCACGAATGCGAGGCGTGGGCTGTTGGTCTTGGTAGATGTCGACACGCGACCTGTGCCGGACAAGGCAACGGTACTGAAAGCAGTTTCCTTGCTGCAAGGAGCCATGGACGAACTTGCAGGAGTCACCAGGACCCTGGCGAGTTACGTTCAGCAGACCCCAGACTGTCTGGGAGAATTACGCAAGTTATCTGAGGATGCGGAGCAAACAGAAGAGAAGTATATGTCCGCGATGGTACGAAGTGCGGACTTCTGTCGGCAATACAGCAGTTTTGTCACGCCCAGTACACGTTTTGGAAGTCCGTCCAGAAAAACTCAAATCTACAAACTGCAAGCTTTAATACCTGGATAGGCACACTGCTCTTGTCGATGAGAACAGCGCTGATGAACGCGATGAACAATTACATGCTGGTGGAGCACGGGAATTTGAGTACGGAGTGGAGTCGTTAGCGCTGCAGAAAGATAGTAGTAGTACTGTGGAGCACACAGCGGTCAGAGAAGCTGGTGCTCAGCCCGGTGCCAGTGAAGTAAAAGTTCGAGCAGACGTAGCGGGCCTCAGTCTCGGAGACCGAGCGCTTCAGTCCAGCACTAGCATTACTAGTAGATCTGCTAGTAGTACTTCTGCCACTAACACTAGTAACAGTACTAGTTCTAGTACATGTACCAGCACTAGGCCTCCGCGGAATATGCTCATATTTTTACCGATAATTCCTTTGAGCATTGCTCAAAATTTCGACCAATTATTCCCGTAATTCCACCGATAATTCTCACAATAATGCCTTTTTCTTCCCTTTTTTTGCAGATACCGTACCGCATACGGGTTTTTTTGCCACTTGTACGGCCCAAAAAATCACGGTTCGCGTGAATTATGCATGAAACTCGGCTGGAAGCTTTTTTTTCTTTCTTTTTTGAAATACCGGGCGATCAACTTCAGGATCACAAGCTTTTTGGTACAAATAAATGGAAAAAAATTGAAAAAGGGGGACATTGCTCAAATTTTACCGATTATTCCACAAAAAATGCCAATAATTCCCGTTTTAAAAATCACACCGATAATTCCCGAAATTATGCCGGCACATTCCGCGGAGGCCTAACCAGCACCACTGCAGGGTTGTCACCTGCAACCACAAACAACCTGTCACCAGCACAGGCCAGTGTGACAAGCATTAGTTTCACAAGTACAGGTGCCAGTTTCAGTGCCAACTACTTGGCAGCATCCAGTGCACCACCACCAGGTTACCTGCAGGCCAGGCCAGTGATAGGTATGGGAAGCACCGTGACAGTCAGCGCTGCCACTGGGACCAAGACTAGCAGCAGGCATGCACCAGCAGTGTCTAGTACAAGTACAACTGTGCATACCACCCTGCCAGTGTCTGGGATGAGCTTGCCAACAGCCAAGACCAGAGTAGGCCAGACGGCCACTCAACCTATAACTCTGCAATCTGCTGTACCTACACCAGCAATGTTTTCAGCCGCACCAATGTCAGCAGCATGGGCTGCTCCAGTACCAGGATCAGCAGCTCCATCATGGTCTGCTCCAGTATCAGCATTTCCAGCAGTCTCAGTCTCAGCAGCACAGGCTGCACCTGTATCAGTGTCCGCAGTGCCAATGTCCGCAATGCCAATGACCGCAGTGCCAATGTCAGCAACACACGCTGTGCCAGCTAGCGCAAGCTCGATGCCGAGGTCTGTGACAGCATCGACCGGACCAGCAGCGTTGGGAACAGACATGTGGCGACAACTCAAGCGTGTTGCAGTCCCAGAGTTTTCCGGCGACAAGTGGCAGTACAACGCGTGGCGTGCAACCTTTGTAGCTTGTATTGACCAGGCACCCGCTACACCTGAGTATAAACTGTTGCAGCTTCGCCAGTACCTGAAAGGCGACGCGCTGAAAGTTATTGACGGACTCGGACACTCAGCAGCGGCCTATGAGGCAGCCAAGCGGCGACTCGAACGGAAGTTTGGCGGACAACGTCGTCAATTAGCGCTCCACTTGGATGAACTAGAAAGCCACCCCAGTGTGAAGAGCAGCAAAGACCTCGAGCATTTTGGTGACCTGCTCGACATTGCCGTCCTCAACTTACGCGAGGCAGGCCGAGACCAAGAGCTCGGAGATGGCACCCTGTACAGAGCTTTACAGCGCAAACTGGCAGAGTCGATGCTCACCAACTACCAACGTTGGTTAGTTGACCACCGACAGTAGCCAACGGTAGTAGCGCTTCTTGAGTGGACACTGCAAGAAGTGGAGTACCGTACAGTGGCAGCCGAGGCGGTACATGGCGTGGCAGCAGCAGTACCTGCAACAGCACCAGGCACTGCCCGTCACTTTGACAGCAGCAGACCACCAAACCGGCACAGAACACATCTGACGACCAGTCAGCAAAAGTCCAGCAGAAAATGTGTGATGTGTGACGGACCAAACGGGCCATGGAACTGCAAGAAATTCCAGGATGCAAGTGTCGGCGAACGCTGGGAACTCGCCAAAAAAACACCAGCTATGTTTCCGGTGTGTGGGAACTGGCCATTCCGGTAAGACCTGCACCGACTGGAACTGATGGCTGCCGTTATCGCCGCACAGCTTGCAGACGCCATTGCAGCAACGTTGAAGCTTTCACAAACGCAAGTCATCCTGTGGTCTGACTCCATGAATGTTCTTCACTGGGTGAGGTCTCGCAGTAGAGCGTTCAAGACCTTCGTAGCCAATCGTGTCAGCCAGATCCATTCGCTGACCAGCCCAGACGCCTGGAGATACGTGCCAACAGACTCTAATCCAGCAGACATTGCGCCACGAGGTGCAGCAGCTACGGTGTTGGTTGACAGCTCACTATGGTGGAACGGTCCTGAATTCCTTCAGCTCGAGCAAGAGCATTGGCCTGTAACGAGTTTTGCAGAGCCAGCCACAGAGCAGCAAGAGAGAAGTAAGCGCGCAACCGATGAACCGCTCACAGCAATCCGTACATTGTTCGTGAACGCGTCAACGACCGACGACGACATTGGTGATCGTCTGACAGCAACTCGATACTCCAGCTGGTCCAGGTATCAACGAGTAATGGCGTACGTATTGCGCTTCCTCTCCAATTGCAGACAGCCAACTGCAAATCGTCAGATCGGTGCGCTCACTGTTGATGATCTTCACGACGCGGAAGTCTACATTCTCAAAGCAGCACAAGCAGAGTCGTTTCCAGTGGAAGTGGCTGCTCTATCGTAAGTGCATGCTGTCGCCCCCAAGTGCAAGTTAGCACCGCTAACACCGATAATGGATGATGATGGCCTACTACGTTGTCGAGGGCGTCTAGATGAAGCAGAGTCGCTACTATTCGACACCCGCCATCCTGTCATTCTTCCAAGAGATGCTCATGTTACGAAACTGATAGTTGCTCACCACCATGTGAATAACAAGCATTGCGCAGGAGTCAATCACCTATGGAGTGAGTTGGCCGCAAGATACTGGATAATTGGTGGTCGAGAAGCTATTCGTGACTGTCGAGTGCATGGTGTGCCGGCGGAAGAATGCCAAGCCTGAGCAGCAGATTATGGCGCCTCTTCCACGAGCTCGACTTGAAGAACCGCTGCACGCGTTTGCCCAAGTATCAGTGGATTACGGCGGTCCATTCGAAACCGTGCAAGGCCGAGGAAAGAAGAGGATGAAACGGTATCTCTGCCTGTTTACATGTCTGAAATCACGTGCTGTCCATCTGGAGATGAGTTACGCTCTAGATACCGATTCCTTCCTACAGTCATTTCAGCGGATGATGAACCGGAGAGGAGTACCATCTGATGTTTACTCCGATAATGGAACCAACTTCTTCGGAGCCAAGCGAGAGCTGCAAGAGCTTGTGAAGCAGCTTGATGCAACGGACATTGCATCGCGACAGTCAGACAAGATCAGCCGGCATTTCAACCCCCCGCTAGCACCGCACTTTGGAGGCATCCATGAGGTGATGATCGGTGCTGCCAAGCGAGCTATATTCGCTGTGCTGAAAGGAGCTACAGTAACTGACGAGGAGTAAGTGACGGCCATCGCTGGAGCTGAGGCACTACTGAATTCTCGTCCCCTGACGTACTCACCAGCTGACCATCGGGACCAGTTGCCACTCACGCCCAATCACTTCTTGCATGGCCGAGCTACCGCAATCTTTGCAGCATCAGCCGTTGACGGTCCTGCTGACGATCTACGGCGACGATGGAGGTTTGTGCAGAACCTAGTGCTTCATTTCTGGCGCCGCTGGATGCGCGAATGGCTACCTGGTTTGAACAAGTGTCAGAAGTGGGTTCAACAGCGACGCGACCTGCAAGTGGGTGATGTTGTGGTTGTTCTGTCGCCAGGCACAGAGTGCGGCAAGTGGCCACTTGGTCGCATTGTGGAAGTATGCCCAGGTCGAGATGGCCATGTGCGGGTTGCACACGTGAAGGTTGGAGACAAGGTGTTCACCCGAGCTCTCAACAAGCTGTGCCCGCTAGAGTGCTCGGAGTGAGTCACTTCGTCAATGATGGGTCAGTGGCAGTATTGACATTGATCTCAGACTATTCTTCATTTTCTGTTCTTTAGATATTCACATCAGCTTTACATGTCGTTCTAGTACTTGCATAGTTACTAGTATCCTTCTACTGTATTTGCCTGATCTTTTGTGTGTTTCTATCGGCTAGTCGATACATGCCGTCATGCGTTTTTGTTGGTTTATTGTTGCTGTGTGATATCAAGGAGGGAGGAATGTACAGACGGCTCTAGTTTTGGTATCATGTACACGTGTAGTATAAGCTGGTCAGCATCTGTGTCATGCGGGAACTTGTGGCCTGGGTCCATTTTTAGTATTTCTGGCTTCACTGCTTGTACTGTGGACTGCCTCGTCTGGACTCCTTTTGGCTGGACTCAACCTTTTATATCTCTGTGTGCCGCAGTCGGACTCTCAGTTCGTACTCGCGCATCCACATTCACGATCCCGTATTTATCCTCACTGCTGTACGTTGCCTGTAGCTTCCTTTTCTGGACTCGTTCTAGTTTGTTTCTTCTTGCTTTTTGCCTTTGGGGCTTTTCTGGGTCTCTTCTCGGTTCCAAGCGATACAGCTTCGGATATATTTATAGTTTCTTGTTCTTCTTCTTTTTTCATGCATGTATTGTAATTTATTCGGATAATCCAGTGCTCTTCGAGCCAACACCACAGCAATTCATGAGTGTCGATCCTCGCCGAGGTGTATGATCTGTAGCCGTCTAGACATATTCTATTTATTCGACGGGTTCGCGTACCGGGCAGGTCAAGAACAAGGAGTCGTACAACTCCCTGGTCAAGAACCACCTTTCCGCTTCCGTGGGACGCCACCACCCCATGATCAGGCGTCTTGAAAGCTAGTACTGTAAAAAATCACAGTTCGCTTGAGACTCCGTTAGACTGAGTTTTCAGCATCCGTACGAACACCACCACTCTGCAAAGATCTAAGGCGCAGATGCAGCTCCTAAAGCGGTGGCAGGTGAGTAGATCAGCCCCCAGGAAAGTGGTCAAAGACTGAAAATCCCATTTACTGCATCCATGTTTCCCTCCGACTCGTGCCAGGTCACGAGTTCCCAATTAACTGTGGGTCGCAGCACGGCTGGAAAAATCCTTCCGCTTCCAAGCAGGACTTGAACCCGGTACACTTTGTTTCTCAATCATGGTCTGAGGCTGCGTTTACACGACAACGCTGGGGGCGAAAACGCAACGAAATCCTTTCGGATCCATGGTTCATTTACACGGTCCGTGGAGCAAAACGTAAAAGTTGTACACCAAAACGGAAGAAAACCAAAACGCTGGCCAAGGTGGAAGAATTTGAAAACGGAAGTGTGTTCTGCTGGATAAATTTGGGTGTGTAAACAGTCGAAACGGTGTGCTGGCCTCGTTTTCCGTCACGTTTGTTTCGTTTTCGGCCGTTTACACGGATCCGACAATCCAAAAAAAATGTTTTTACAATTTTCGTCATGTGACGTGTGTTGTTGTGTGCCTGTTTTCAACCATTACTTGAGTGTGATCGGTGCTTCCACGGCAACACTTGGCACATGACGAACGTTGGCGGATCCTTTGCTCTCGTGTAGACGCTTGAAAACGATACAAACGGAGACCACCTCGGATCGGCTTTGATCGTGTAAACGTACGAAAACGAAAAAAGAAATGCGGGACTGAAAATGGAAAACTGGCCGTGCGTTGTCGTGTAAACGCAGCCTTAGACCATCCCACTATGCCTGCCTGAGTACTATAGCGGACATTGAAATCCGTTGAGAAGTCAAGCGGCAACGGGGCGCTGGCCTTGCAGCCGCGAGCACTGCGGGTCCATATTTTGCAGTGTGTACGTGAACGATAGTGCATGTACATGCTAAAACCAGTGAGGGTGCCGGCCCGGTCATCCTATCAGATTTCAATATCCACAACAGTACAAACTGCCCCGAACCATAGATGCAGGTGATGTTTTGAACTGCACACACTGATCACGTCAGCAATGCTGACCATCTCTGGACGATAAATCATGTCTCAAAAATATCCAGTGTTGCTTCCGAAGCTTACCAGCCAAGCGATAAAAATACACACGTACGCACACGCACACACACACACAATGAAACGGCAGAATCTCACCTGTAGGCACATGTCATCATAGGTCACATCCACAATGCCGCCGCAAGCCTGGGGAAAGGCCATCTCTCGACCCAGGTAATACAGGGTGCGCGCTTCAACAGCTGCACAGAAAAATGCACATAAACAGGACAAATACACCTAGTGAATAGCCAAAAACGATGAACACATAAGCAAGTAGGGTGTTCTGCCCAAAGAACTCCATGCCCATGTAAGGCAGAGCTTTCTACACAGTACGGAGAAAGGAAGCCACAATGTATATCACAACTCAGAGTTCATATTTCATGATCATCCGCCTTCTTACCTGCTCCTTCCTCCTCGCAAAGCTTTCTGAAGAGATCGTCTGCCTTCAACGCACTACCATTGCCATCATCTCTGCAAAGTATGAAAAACACAATAATGTGTATATTAGTATTGAGTACTTGCATGTACATGAAGTATGTGGTATCCTTTTCGCCACCTCCAGTAAGTGCAAAGCTACTTTAAACGCAGCCAATGTATCAGTTCAAACAGGAACTATAAAGCCTACTGAGAGCACTAGAGGAGACTCGGTCGGTTACAGGCATCAGCAATGGGTGTACAGTGCTGCAGTGATGATGTCAAACACGACATTGGGCAGTAGTAATGTCACAGAAGATAACTACTTCCAGGTCTACTCCTCGGTAGAATCTGCACTGTGTCTGTACGACCGGCCCCACGCGTCGCATGCTGGTGTGCGGTCCACCCCCCCCCCCCCCCCCCCCCCCCACATCACCACTGCTACCGGAGGTGACACCCTACTGTGACCAGGGAGTAGTAAAAATACCACTCCCTGGTGGGACGGAAGCCAGTGCAAACGTGCATGGATCCATGGAACTAATGTAGCACTACTTTCTAGCCTTGTCGCTACCAGCCTAATGTCTAATAGCTAACAGTCTAAATAAACTTCCATGACCTCAACTTGACAAGGCAACAAAACCTAAAATGTAATGATAGTAAAGGGACCATTTAGTAAGGTTTGGGTGAATGAGGTAATTTTAAATATATTACAATATTATTTAAAATTACCTCATTCACACAAACCTCACTAAAATGGTCTCTTTACTGCATTCAAAATACCAATGAGCCATGTGTGATACTTGTCTAATGATTTAAATGTTGGAGCCAGGTACATTCAATGTAATTCAATATCAGGAATCACGCCAACAACCCACAACTTACACTATATAGACTGCGCCAACACTGGGTTCACCTGAGAGAAACAAGGACGAAGAAAGAAGCCTACTTTCAGAACACAGTGCCATAGCAAACCAAACAACGTATTATGTACAACCACTTATACTCGTACACTTACCTGTCCCCTGTTCTACATCCGTCCCAGTCTGGCATCCGAAAATGCGACTCTACGTCCTGGCAGCTTCGCAGGCTTGTTCAATCGATATGTTCTGTTCGTGAGAACGGCCATTACAGCATGCTATGTTTCTTTGACCTAAGCAAGGCTTTCGACACAGTATGGACACGCGGGCTCCTCCATAAGCTGTCGAGTCATGGAATCCATGGTGCTTGCTTCACGTGGCTCCGTAATTATCTGACGGGCAGACAGCAAAGGGTGTGTGTCGGCTCTGCTCTGTCTGCCAAAGGGCATGTACGGTCTGGTGTTCCTCAGGGATCAATCCTGGGACCTCTTCTCTTTTTCGTATAATTATATTAACGATCTGGCTGAAGTGGAACACGCGTTACTATTTGCCGATGATACAGCACTACTTGTGACAGCACCCACTCTCCCCAAGGCTAGTACCATGTTACAGTCCAATATAGATGCCGTTATTCATTGGATGGAAAAATGGAAATTGCAGCCCAACTCTTCGAAAACTGCTGTGATGACTCAGCATCATGAGTATCCTTCCCCCCCCCCCCCCCCCAGATGTTCCTGTGACTTATCTTCATTAGAAACCAGTCCCTTCACCTTTCCAGACACCACAACTCCGCTCTGCATCGTCGAACAACATAAGCATCTTGGCGTCATCATTGACCAACATGGAAATCCCAGATTGAAAATTTAGACAGTCGTGCTAGCTCAGTAATGGGATTTCTCTCCTCACACATCACCCACCTCCACGCCGACTGTCGTCACGTTATTTCCAAATCTTATAATTATTCTGCCTATTTTTGAATATTGCTGCATAAATTGGGCTGGCATTTCTAAAACACTGTTGGCTCAACTCGAAGTTATGCATAGGCGTCTGCTGAAGATATTATTTCGGCTTCCTCGCCTGGCTCCAAACACAGATTTATACCGCCTTGTTTCTGCTGCGCCACTCTCGGTTCGCGTGCGATTTTTGTCTAGTCAGACAATTCATAAAATTAAGCTGGGCATTGCTCCTCCTCATGCTCTCTCCTGCCAAAGCTGGTTTGTTCAATCTCAAGAAATGCGCACCAGAAACTCTCTCTGCTTCCCTATTGCGCGGTCTACCTCTATGCAAAGATCTCCTCTGCTCCTTGCTTACCGCCACTGGTCTCTCCTCCCACGAGATCTAAAATCCTGCCAATGTTACAAGACATTCGTACAGATACTGCAGAATGCAAAATACTAGTTGATATCCAGCTCCGCCCTAGCTCCCCGTGCTTCTCTTACATATCAGTTCCTCTTTCATTTTTTTCTTTCTTTCTTCCCTCTATTATCGCCATGGCTGGCTATCGCCCACATCACCTTTTCATTGGCTAGTGCCACAGGATTGTGAATAAATAAATGAATAAATAAATTAAACAGGAGCTATTACACCCATGGACAGTGGTGGACAGTGATGGATATAGTGGCTGTGCGAACGACATCACCGTATTCGCTTTCTATTGATTGGCAACCCAGTGCTTGTAATGCCAGTCCATACAAAGCAACCGAAATGATGCAAAATATCAGAATAATATAATTTCACGACTGCTGCCATTCACACATTTGCTTTGTGGGTATATCAACCAGTATCCAGAGTTACTCATTACCGTTTTCTGATGATCGCTGAGTGCGTGAAACTCAAAGTTAAAACACTTTTTTTCATCCTCTTTATTGTTTTAACCCTTTATTACCGGATTACTTGCACAGCATGCACCAGGATTACAAATTTCAGCACAATTTCTAACTTCACCAGGTCATAACTTTGGTCTCCTTCACTTGATTTTCACAATCTAGGGCTCGTTGGAAAGCTCTTGGCAAGAGCAACGCCAGGGTACCAAGCTCCATTATCCAGTCGCCACAAATCAGGCGCGGTAACACAGCAAAGTCGTCTCCAAGCCTGATATGCAAGCAATTTCGTCCCATCAACGCCATTCCACTCTCCTTCATCGTAGAACGCTCAAATTTGTTTGAGACGATTCAAACTTCAGCTGACTACGTCAATATCACGTGCTTAGTCGCTCAAAGAGCACAAGTAAAGGGATTTTCCCCAAAAATGGCGAAGTGATCGATCAAAAATTTGAATTTGCCGAGGTGAAAATACGGCGCGCGATATCTCTGGTGTCCAATATCGTAACTCTTCGGCGATTGTTGCATTGGATAGCTTGGAGTTTCCGCTACCAAATAGACCTTTCGATTGTTGAATTCGCACAAGAAATGATGGAGTTACGAAGATATTACTGGCCTGCAGACTTTCGATCATATATGATCGAAAGTCTGCAGGCCGGTAATAAAGGGTTAATATAATTACGTGTAAATGACCATTAACCGGGCCCCAAAATAATCCATACAGTGCAGTAGTAGCATGCCACAGTATGATAACTAAGTATTAGTTGACCAGCAGCAGCAGCATGATGTCACTTACCTTTCATGTCTACTATCCGATGGTCAATTCCAGAGTTGAGAGAGGCAACGTCACAGTGGGCCTAACACACACACACACACACACCCGCACATACATCATGATTATACCCATGCGCAAATTGCTGAGAAAATCAAGCCATAAAGGGCATTTACAATTGACATACTACTATAGTACACAATCACATGGGTTGCAAATAGCATAGCTCTGCAACAAAAATGCGCACATACCACAGCTTTTCCAGCAGAATACAAGATGCACAAGGATCAGCTGCGACAAGTATACAATCTTCATGATACGATAAGCATGCGCGCAACAATGCAAGGACTGCTTACAGGACTGCATGGGCAACGAGGGCAGCATGGGCAACAAGGGCAGAATGGGCAACAAGGGCAGCATGGGCATAAACAATGGCCATACTACTATACATGTACTTGTGGAAGTGATTACCTTGAGGACGTCAATGAACGGCAGAAAACTCGCACGCTGAAGACCATTCATGTACAGATCTGAACACAGAGAGGCCAGAAGATGAATGCAAATACATTTTACAAGGTTCTCGAAGGTATAGCTGGCAACTGCCAGAACAGTGCTTCATGAACACAGCAAAGTGCCCATTATGAAAGAGAGCTGATGGACCTCTGCCCTTGTATTGCAGTACCATACACATATGTTGATTGTACAGTGTACGAGTACAGTCGGGGATCAACGGATTTGTGTACGAGCACATGTAATTATGATGTTCCCAAAATCACATGACAGCAATGCACCCATTGAGGCAAGATGTACTCTACGTAGACACCTCAGTGTAAGAAGCCCTCAGCTGAATCAACCACATGCAATGTAGATCTACCCCACTGGCACTAGCGTCTGCATATAACTCCTAGAGTGATGACATTAATACTCACCATCTGGTGGGCGATTGGAAGTTGCAAATACGACAACTCCATTGTCAAAGAGACGAGTGAAGAGGCCGCGTAGAATCATGGCATTAGATATATCCGTTACCTATAGAACAAGGCAATACAATTCAAGATCAAAAGAGGCTCACACGTAATACAGGTACGTACCAGGGTCAGTAGTTACACACTCCAGCCAAACTAACATGGCAGCGCACACACACACTGAACGTGCTAAATTCTAGTAACTACCGTACTGGCAATATATGTTGCCGCGTAACGCGTAACGCAGGGGGGTGCGGCGTAACGCGCGACCAAGCTAGTGCGACAAATTTTCGTTGCGTTCGTAACGCGCGTCCGGCGGGGTGCGGCGATCTTTTCATTGCAGTTTGCAAAAAATGATGCGGCAATAGCAAAAAAGTGATGCGGCAATAGCAAAAAAAAGGACTGCGGCAATATAGAAACCCGTGTAACGGCTCCTGTGCGACTTTGCATGTAACGCCCTGCATGCGGTAAACATGTGCAAATGTAACGCTTCATGGCCTCACTGCGACCATATATATTGCCAGTACGGTACATGTATGATCACACAGCCTCAGGCAAGCAATGCAAGTAGTTGCGTTTGATCACAGTGTACATAGTTTGAAGCACTCCCCATAATATCAAGTGACTGGCACAGGGCTCTCTCGTGAGTGGTGTGAGTTGCCACTATGATGCAAGCCAGAAAGATTGATCGAACTGTATCTCAGCTGGTTGGAGCAGTGCTCGCCAATAGCAAGGTCCTAGTTTGAATCCCGGTGGTGGGACTGGTGATTTCTTTCTTTCAAATCTGGCCTGCGAGTGTTGAGTTTCGGAGGGGAAAAAGCAGTAAGCAGCTGGCCTACTTTTCTAAGCAATGTAAGACCAAAAAGGAACAAAGCAAAAGGCGGTGCTTACCTGAAATTCATCAAAACAAAGCAAGTGGGCTTCTTCAGCAATGCTATCAGCAACTTGACCCAGTGCATCAAAGTTTCGGAGCCGATCTTCACCAGAGGTCTGGATGAACTCGTCTTTGGCACACTTGAACCCTTCAAGTAAGGAAGAGCCCACACACAATCACATACCAACACTGATAAAACACCTAGTTTGAACAAACGGCGAGGATACAATAATTTTAGAACCGCAATCAATAAGACAAGCTGAATCGACATTTGTGAATACTTTATTCATGCAGGGTAAAACGGTGGAGACAATGTGCAATAAAACGACGAAAGTAGGAAGAAATAGTGAAGAGAACAATGAGGATTCGAACAAATTTTCATACAACACGCGTCAGGAATCTTAATCAGGACTAGCCACACCACGCCTTGTTTGCTATTGCTTGAATGCAAATGGGCAAAATTCCAACACAAGTTGAAACCTAAGCCCATTGAAAGAATACAGTAAAGTACACTGGCTGGTTGGGAGCAACCATGGCAACCAGGGCAAGTGAGCCAAACAGCACAGCCATTCAACCAGAGATCACACTCAGACCAAGCCAACCCAAAACACAGGTACATAAAATACGAGAGCTCTTACGCTTGTGTACGTCGACCATGAATGCTCCAAAGTGGCAGCGGCGCTTCTTTTCCACCCGCGTACCGCAGTAGAACATGTCCATTAGCATGGTCTTGCCCGTTCCTGTCACACACACAAGCATGCACATACGCACATCCACCCGCCCGCAAAGACACACAGACACATACACATTTTCATCTACTAGCATACAAGTATTCATAAGGTTGAGGGACCTGAAGCACACTGTGGTAGTAATTGGCCATTCCAGGCTCAACACTAATAAACCACACTATACAGCCTCTAGAGGTTATGCATTAGGCAGGTTAATGTACAGCTGTGCTCACTGAAATTCTACCCGAAGTGCAAAACTGGTGCTTTGGACCAGTTCTGATTACATCACTGTACTTGCACATGTGTACGTCCAGTCGCACTCATACCGCTTCCAGGGCATCAAGGGCCGTGCAAGTTGAGGGCGCCAAATATGCACTTCGGGTCGAATTTCAACGAGCACAACTGTATTTGCAAGCGGCAAGTAGGCATGAGGTGGGTGCAAGTCTCAAGTGTATATGCGTGACCCGTGTTCATTGAGAAGAAAGTAGGAGAAGTAAATGGAGATACATGTACATGTATAGTCCATTTCTTCTGTAGACCCCCGAATTCCTTCATCATAGCAAAAATACAATGTAGAGCATAGGTTCCATGTACTGCTACTGATGAGAAGTTCTCTTCCTGAAAATATTTGAGCACCAACCCTCCTGGCCGAAACAGCAAGCAATTGTCCTCAGGCGAATGTATATTTAAAATGTACTTGCGATTCATCGCGGTACACGTGTGGGTGCACGGCACTGCACGCAACTAATAGTTTTCGGTGTACAACATCCAAACAGGCACTGCATGTACATGTGCTAACAGTTTAACTTACCAACAGATCCATGAAGATAAAGGCCACGTGGTCCAGCTGGTGTTTGTGAAGGTTGAGAGAAGAGCTGGAATAAATTGACAGCCAGAAAGGCACATTAGGGGTTGGGGCTCCTGAGAATAGAATAGAACTGCAACAAACTGCAAAGACGTAAGCCGGGGCAGGACATGGCAACCCACCCCACATTCCTACGTAGTATGGCTGCACTACTGGCTGGCTACTTTTTACTTAGTTTCCAAAATAATCCACAGAGGGACCCGAACCCCCGTTTAGCCACCCAATCTTCAAGAAAGTGGTTCCTGGCCTGTTGTACGAGTACATGTACAGACAAATATGTTCCAGTACCGATGGAAGCAGAGACACACAGACACATACTTCAGTAGATATTAGGTGGACATGCAGTACAGTCCGTATCGCCTATAAGGTTGGCGGCTACAGTAATATACCGGATATAATGATCAATTTCTTAAATTCATTTTCATTTGCCATAACTAAGTATACACAGTTATTGCGTATAGTAATAATCGTCTATAGTAATATATCGCCTATAGTGATCAAATTCATATTTCAAAAGACCTTTATTACATTATTTTTGCATCGGTTATAGTGATTGATGTAAAATCAAGCGATGCCTGTGGGGATTGCCCTATCAAAAATTTGATAATAATAATAATAATAATAATGTCAGAGGAGAACAGGGTGTTACTTCTTCGTGAAGAACTTGTCCAGTGAGTGTTGTTTGGTGAGTTTTGCTCGTACAAGTTGCTAAAATATGCCTCCATCATGAGGAAATGCTGATTTGGTGTGTCAGGAGCTACAGCCAGCTACATGACATTGTACATGTATGTAGTGCGTATGTGCACGGCGCGCTGAGTCGTTTGACACCCCACTCGCATACATTGCATGCAGTATCGGTCATAGTAATATATCGCTTATAGTGATAAAATGCTCAAAATCAAACACCAACGCTATAGGCGATACTGACTGTATCTGGAGTGTGGTTTCCATCCACTGAGTGCGTTTGATTTTGCCCACGGATCGGTTTTGAATCCACTCATGAATTACCCCTGGCTCACCACTCCACATGTGAACAGGATGAATTGATTACGAACTGATTCCGGAGCTCATGACATGAACATCGTACGACTTAAATGCACGAGATTCCACCCATGAATCAATTCATGGGCATACTAGTAATCAAACGCACCCACTGTAAGGGTAGTTTCCAATAGAAACTATGCAACGATAAAGGAAAATTGCAACAAGTGGCTGTGCCATACTGTGTGTGTGTGGGGGGGTGTACGTGCGCACGTATGCCATACTGTGCAGACACTCATTAGCACCGTATTTTCTACAATATATGTTCAGGGTATATGCTGCAGGGCGGATTTCGGGCTTATTATTCCCAAATAAACATAATTATGCCATATGGAGTATAGTATATCCCGTACATGTGCCCTAGAACAATATGCACATGTGGTCGGGACTAAGTGGCCAACCCCAGGGATGTGTGTACGTGGAAGTCCTGTCTAGGCTTTGAGGGGATCTTTGCAAGAACCAGTTGCTGGCACTCTTCTCGAGATTCTCCGCCATAATGATACTACACAAAAGATAACCAAGAAGGCAAGTTCGAAAAGTCTGAATAACAAGACATATGCCTGTGTAAGCCCTCCAACTGCTTCCTCTAGCTAGTATGGTTGCAGCGAGGTCAGCTATTCTTACATGTGTGCTACTTGTCAATACAATTATGCAGTGACAGCACTCCCGACTGTCCAGGCGCAGTGTGCCGAACCCAGGGCGACAGCCCATTTTGGACTATGATACTTGTTATACCTTTTTACACGAGAGGCAGTCTTTATATAAATTACGTATGGGTGTCCTGCTTTGGCACGGTAACTAGATAATTGGACAGCCTGGCACTCTTCTGAGACGTGAGACTGCATCCAATGTGTGAGTGTTAAGTCTGAATCTACAATGACTCAGTGCAGCGACTAATGTAATCACGGTGTCACTGTTTACCTTGCTGAACACAGATACGGACGCCGCAGGGGTACCGTTGGCAGTATAATTGTCCAGACGGATGCATAGCTCATCAAGCAGGCCAACTATGTTTTGCTGATGCGCATCTTCGCGCAGCTCTTGACTTTGAACTAATTCTTGGTATCTCTCCAGAGGGCGAACAAAGGTTGCAAGAAAGCGCCAGCTGGCGCAACGCCTGAAAGGGCAGACATCATTTGTCAGTCTTAACATATCAGGTAGTGTGCTTTCTCGAAACTATGTTCAGGTCCTGTGCCAATTTCTCCTCAGATCTCTATTCAAGGTAATGAACGAGATAGACAGCAACAAAAGGTTTTCCCTTGTTGCGCAAAAAGTTTCCTTCGATTTCGGTCACGTGCATAGTATGACCTCATCATTATAGTATGACGTCATCCGAGTTATGTCCCGCGGGGCGCGGGCGCCCCGGGCCCAGGGCCAGCAGGGGATCCGGACCGGGGTACCTGTACGGGCGCCGGGGCGCGTCCTGGGCGCAGTACAGTATAGTCGGTACTGAGGCCAGAGCCAGTAGAGGATCACCAGAAAAAGGGAGAGAGAGAGAGAGAGCAAAAAAACCTGGTACAAACAAGGGGGTAACATGACAGGGAGTGCCGAGGTCAAGTCGACTCCCGGATTCCCGCCATGCGCATCATTATTATTATGCATGAAGTGTCCTATGCCAGCCACCCCCTTCCCACTTATTTCTGGTTCAGGGAGGGGAGGGGGTGGAAAACTAGATAGCCAAAACCAGGGAGTCATAGCATAGATGGAGACGGCATATACATGTAGTCAAAGTACCCGAGGCAATGTGCATTTCGCCCTAGATTGGGAAGTTCGACCTGGTCGGTGGTCTATGCAACTCACGATTGCGATTGCGGCCTGCTAACCCAAGTGCGGCTCAGACAAGTGATGACATAGGGGAGCGTGCAGAAATTGGCCCTGACGCAAGGGCGACTGCAACCAACAGCGGAGGGTCGAAAGACTGGAAACCCACGTCATTTAGCGTTGCAGTTGCCCGTGCCGTCTCTCTACAAGTACAATCATGCAAATCCCTGACTACAACTAACTTGTTCTAGTTACAGTCACTGAGCTCTAGTGGTCATTTTAGACTATTCAGTCACTAAAATTATTTTAGTGACTGCTCTGCAACACGAACAAGGTAGCTGCTCAAGCATCTACCTTCTAACTGTTACAATCATGTACCCTTCCAAGTTGCAACATCTCAGTTTGTCCAACAACTATTAGTTTTAAATCATGTATGCACCCTACAATTTAGTTTATGATACAACAAAATAACTTAAATAGCAAAGAAATATAAATAGAATTCAAGTACAAATGGGTGATCCTAGAATCTTTACTTGAAGTTAAAAAAAGGTAAGCCTAAAAAACTTCATTCTCCCAAGCCTAAAAAAGTAAAGTTTTAGCATAGGTTATTGGTACATTACTTCAAGTTTGTCTTGCTGTAGTCCAGCCATGCTATGCATAACCATTAGCCATAGATTCAAGAGGACCATCAGCATGTGGTGTCGACGCACGAACAGGTTTATGGAGGGGTCGATGGAAGAGTTTGTAAGTCAGGCCCGGATAGACGGCATCAAACTGCTCCATTCCGATGTCCACAGACTTAAAACCGTTGTGCAAACCTTCGATAAGCAGGCCTGCCATCCTCCTACTCAAAGGAGTAGTCTCTGCGCTATTCGCTAGCTGTTTGATTCCCATCCAACGGCAGTCCAGTACTTCATGACTACACATACTGATTTCATGTGTTTTCGCTTCGAGACGGCAAATAAAATATAGGTCAGAACGATCAAATGAGTTTGGCTGATGGTGCTGCTGACGAAAGCCTAGGATTGCGTTGAACTCTGCACAGTCAGCCAGATAGACAAGAACCAAACAAAGGCAATGACATGGGTTGGTCTAATATTCCTCATCCTTTTGAAGTGTGTGCACTGAAGAATGCTGTCAAAGATAAACAACAGTAGTGGTCATCTGGAGTTCCCTTCAATAGGAACAGATATGAAAATTTACCTTTATACATAATTGCAACACCCACAACAACAGAAGAGCTTACCTGCTTCAATACCAGTTTCCTCCTTGACCTCACGAACTGCCGTAGTTGCTAGAAATTGAAACAATGTCATACACGGTCGTGTGCGCCCGAGTGCATGCGCACGCGCACACACACACACACACACATACGCATATGGATCCGGTGCACGCCACTGAAATTTGGCAGTAGGCTCAGAAAACTGCCGTACTAGGAATGGGAAAATCCCTACACATTCCATCCGATTTCTTTCTGTCAACCTAGAGCAACACATCTTCCTACTACATGTACCACGTGAAGAAGCCCAAGAACGGGAATATTCAAGTACCGTAAAAGTCCGTAATTATTATTAGGCCTAAACAAAAAATAGGCTTGTTTCCGGTCGGCAACCCCCCAAAAAACAGACTCGGTCGGCCGGAAAAAAAAATTTTTGGGCAATTTTTTTGGTTCTTACAATCAATGATCCTGGGGCATATTACGCAGTAAAGGCAATGCAGATATACATACTTGATGTATAATTATGTACATGGTATAGAGGAATGTCAGTTTAACATCACAACAGAGACCTGCATGTCTCATAATTCTAGCGGCTATCCAGTATTCACAACTAATACTTGACACAAGTCAATGCATGCTTGTTTACAGCATGTGCATGCCACGATACCAAAAAAAGGAGATGTGGAGACAAAAACGGAGAGAGAGAGAGAGAAAGAGAGAGAGAGAGAGAGAGAGAGAGAGAGAGAGAGAGAGAGAGAGAGAGAGAGAGAGAGAGAGAGAGAGAGAGAGAGAGATCTGGCTCATCGTCTAAGCATGCTGGCAGACCTATTTCTTGGGCTGACGTGTAGGCGTTGGCTTCTTCAGCTGGTTGCAGGCATCGCACAGAGGCAGCACAACTTTAAACTTTGCCAACAGCTCAGGGCAACGCATCGCTTCTGCATTCCCACAATGACAGCACACGTCTCCGAACTTCCGTGGGCAAGCATAGTATGCAAACTCAACTGGGTCACTGCACCGCAGACTCAGGTTGGCGAACAGTTTGCCGTGAAATGGAGCACCCACTTCAGTGATAGGTGAGCCACACGTGTAGTCGATCACTTCTTTCAGGCGGTCAAACTCACGTACCTCATCTGCCTTGAGTGCATGCTGGGCATACACCCCTCTCGGCTTTTCGCACTCCAAACAGACCACTGTAGCACGAAGGCGCTGGGCGGTGGCGACTCCATTGGGTATGCCAGATGCTGCCTTCTGTGCTGCCTTGGACGTGAGCGATGGACAGTGACTCTCCTCTGTCTCCACACCCTTCAAGCTCTGGAAACGCTTGTAGTGACCGTCCCTGGATGGATCAGGTTGCGGGTCTGGAAGCCAGTACAGTTGGGTCGACTCATCTGTGCGCAATGGTTTGCAGACTCCAGACTCGCAAGGGTCCTGGCCACATTTTCGAATCTGGAAATGAAATGCAAACAACAAAGGCAAATGAGGAGGTCAGCTTTAAAGTTATGTGGACATAGAAGGACAAATATTCATCACCCAAAAACAAGGAAAGAAGGGTTTCTCACAAATTGCATGCACCAGCACTGTAAATAGATATGACTGCAATTTGCAAAGATGTAGGCGTTAATACAAATTATGACATACACCATAGCATGCCCCATTCAGGGCATGAAGCACAAAGACACTCACCTGGAACGTGTATTGACGGATCCTGCAGTGACTGTCTAGAAACTTCTGCAAGCCCAATTTGCCACTGAGGTCTTTGGCCGTCAGCTTTGCAAGGTCGACATCAGGCCAAAGGTGGGTGATGATAGCCCGGACATCCTCGTCTGCAACTAGATCCGGTGCACGAACCTGTGTACCGCTGTACACCAGTCGCCGGAAGCGCTGCTCAACATGCTCCTTCACTGGCTCTATCGACTGCTTCCAATCCTGTTTCACATCAGGGTACTGTTCAGCAGCTGTACGGACAGCAGCCATGGAGTTAGCAGACTTGATGCGACTTTCAGATTCATCTGTCATCCGAACTCTGGCGAAAGCAGCATTCTGCAAACCAAGGTTGAGGGTTGCCATGACACGTTCTGCAGGATTGGCAAAACTGTGACCAGGGCAAGTGCGTCCAGCAACAAGAAGGTCGAGGTCTTCCTTGATGAACAAGGCAATGTAGGCCAGCTGGACAGATCTACAGGTAACTCGATGGTCTACTCCGCCATCAGTATATACGAATGCAATTGGCGGGCACACTGCACCATCGAAGCAGGCAGATGCTCGTAGCTCTGCCATGTGGCGGAACGGATTTGATGGCTCGAACACGCTGTCTTTCACACGGACATCTACTTGGCCACGGTAGAATGAGCCCTCTGCCATATCAGGAATGTCGCATCGCAGAATGACGGATGGTGTCAGGGAGCACTTCGTAAGATCATGGTCCATTGCGGTTAGCTGCTCGTTCTCCTCCACATATGTGGCCTTGGAGCGAACATTGGTTGACGTAGGCCGGTCAGGCTCGCCAACAGGAACTTTGGCCTTGTCATCCATGCAGAGGAATAAAGGATCATGCTCCTTCAAGTCGACTGCCATTGCTCGCATATATTTGAAGACAGCTGCGGCATAGTGGTCATCCTCATGACTGGCACGGAGAATGCGGGACTGCACTCTCTTCTTAACATGCAGCTTGCCGGTGTAGCGTATCGCTGCAGACGTCCTGGGGTCGACTGGTAGAAATTGGAGCCTGAGCCACTCAAGTGAAGGTACCTCTACATCAGGACACTGCACACGTACTTGCTCGTGTAAATCACGAATTGACAGAAATTTACTCAGGTGAGCAACTCCATGTCTTCTCGAATCCTCTGCCTGGCAATCTGACAACACTTCCGCAGCTTTCTCAAAGAATCTGTCGAAGACAGCAGGACGGCCGCTATTCAAGCGCCGCAAGTCAACATCAATCTCCGGCAGTTCTCCCAGAATGTAGAGCTGCATCCGTCGATCCATGGCAGGGTTTGTGCTCACAGCAACATCACCGGTAAGCTCCTGGTACACTGAGCGTAACACAACAGGAGTGAGGCCAGAGAGTGAGCTGTAGGAACTGAAGAATGACTTCCTCATTTGCCTGGTGTGGTATGTGGGCAACTTCTCTTCAAGAGAGGAGAGGATGCGAGCTACTTTCGTGGCGTATGCATCACTCGTCACCTCAACAGATTGTGGGCATTTCCATAGGAAGACCACACAACCACGACCGCCACCTGGGTCGTACCGCATGATATCCAAGGTAAGGTTAGACTTCAGGTCCTTCAGGAAGGTCAGAGTGCAGCCAAACAACTCCTGCTCGTCGAACAGCTGTGGTACATAGTCCTCACACCCGGCCATCTTGTTGCTCAGTGCGCACTCAAGGTTTCCCATGTTCTCCTGAGCAGCATGTTCACAACGCTGGACAGTAATATTTGTCGAGACTTGCCGCACGGGATGAGGTTGCTGCTGCCGCCACTGTTGCTGCACACCAGCTGATGCTAGGTACTTGCAATAGCCTTGCAAGGTAGTAGCGAAACCGTCGATATCTTGGCGAATATCTAGCCACTGACTACCACTCAAGCAGACCTTGGGTAACAGGGCAAGAAGGGCTCTGCCATGCGCTTCCAGGGTGCTGGCGTCAATGCGCGGTCTCTTCTCTTTCTTCGCCTGCCAGTCGTTGTAGGGCTTCGAGAAATTATCCATCCAGCGACGGGGCATTGCAGAGACGGTGGTGCGTGTGCTGGCGTCTGTAAGCTTGTCAAAGTGAGGATGGCAGTACCAAAGCGCCGAGGTCAGCGTCCGCACAACGTACGTGCCCTCCGACGCCACGGAATCCGATGAGAACCCGACGCCACATGTCTGCAACAGTATGAAAGGGGAAACAAACTATTTAGTTTCGAGCGAGACGCAGCACCGTGAGTTGTACTCGTAAAGCAACGGCCACGAACAACATTACACCGCAACAACAACCCTCGGAACATGAACACCAAACATTGATGTAAATCTACGTACAATCCTGAAACTTTCGATCAAGCTTACCTTCAGATAATTCACGACGTCGTTGAACAAGTCGTCCTTTCTCGTAACAGGCTCCCGCCGGTCAGGAAGGCTATTGCGCTCCGACGCAGCTGCAAGCATGATGTCAAAGGCGGACGTTGGACGACGCTTTGCTGCTGGCTCGCCTATGTCTTCCTTGGGGAGATCGAATTTTATAAATCTACACCCGAACTCAGCAACAAGTTGGACTTTCTCGTCCACGTCAACTTCCTTCCATGTACCGACCTTCCCAGACTGACTGGCAAAGGCAGTCACATCGCCGTCAACGCTCTCCTCAAGACGAGGCTGGACATGTTGTCTAAAAACTTCCAGGAGGCTGCTATCCGCGGCGGCGGACACAAGTCGCTGCTGGACTAAACATTTAGACGATCGATGGCACTCCACGCAAAGGGGAGCCATCGCTGTCGACACTCAGCGAGAACGATAGACTTACTGCAGAACACAAGAGAACGACGGACTTCACCAAACTCTTCGGAAGGAAAGTTCGCTTTTCTCCTCTTCGTCTTTTACCTGTGCTGGGAACATTTTCGGATAGGCGATACCGCTGAAATCTCATCAGGCATGGTGCCTTTTATTGGTGGTGGCCTGGCGCATGCGGAACTAACTTTGTTACTTCCTAATCCTAGAAGTAGTAGTACTGGCAGTAGAGTCGGTGGTAGTGGTAGCGGAGATGTGTGAAGTTTACATGTCTTGCTAGATTGCAGCAACGATGCCAAGGATTGAGTACAGTGTTGGTCGCACTGAAAACCGAAACCAACTCATCAATACGATTCCGCAGTCTGTCACTATTTCCACTGCACTCATGCTGTCATTTTCACAATCCGATTCATGCACCATGAACCGTGTGTGCCCGCCCCTACTTCACTGCAACGCGGGCGCGACATCGACACTTTTACATGACTGCAGTACATGGTAGATCTACAATCTGTCAATGACAGACTGTGTGCTCCTGACAGCGTGAGTCCACCACCAGACGTACAAGACCGCGGATGCATGCAAGCTACAACTGTACAACAAGCGTGCTTGCACCGCGCAATACCTACAGTCACTATACAGCGCTAGCTTTACAGGCGCACACATGACATGTACTACATTACGCGGACCAAAAAAAAGTTTCAGAATTTGGGAAAAAATGACCCGGTCGGACGACCGGAAACAAGGCTATTTTTTGTTTAGGCCTTATTAAAGTACTTGCCCGAAATAAATACCCCTTTCATCCTTTTGACTCCGTCTGTTGAAGTCGAGTTCAGCCAGATAAACATACTGCCCGGAATAAGTACCGGTATGATTCGCACATGCAGTGCTTAGTATGTATAACATCTACATGAAAATGACTTCTCCACTACACACAAGTCAAGTCCGAAAGATAGTTCTTGCCCGACAGTTAGTACCGGTGCGACCACTAAATTCGAAACTAAGTACATACTTGTTCACGGACTTTTACGGTATTCAAGTCGATTTCTTGTAACGCAGCTGAGCACAATGCCACTATTATCATTACTACTTTTTTAGCAATAAGTAAGCAAGCTATGACAGACTTAGCCATTAATGGTATGTAAATTTAGCTTTTCCACAAGGACCACAACACCACAATGTACTCTTGCTCAGGTGGGTCAGCGAGGAGAGCATAGCGGTGTGCTGGAGTGAGCTAAGTCCATAGTCAGTAGATGCTGTAAAGTAGGAGCCAAACTACAGCAGCAGCAGCAGCAATACTTACCAATGTCTTCAGCGTGATCTGATAGGCCACCCGGAAACTTCCAAAGGGGAAGCTGCAGTGCAGAAGACACAATGACGAGGCAACAGTCAAACCCAAGAAAACAAAATGATACATGCACATGTGACAGAGGAATTGCAAATCTTAAAGGGGAAGTATACCCTAAAATCAAATTTTCACCAGTTGTAGTCTTCTGGGTGCTGAGTCGAATGGTCTTGGTCCGAGAAAGCTGAGACGCTCCCTTCCTACTTGAATCCCAATCGAACTCGTGCACTTCCACCGAAACTGGGTGACTGCGCCCTACTAGATGGGGATTTCGATTTTGACAGCATGTTACAAGGCGAGGACGCGTAGAAAAACATGTTAAACTACCAAGCAAGGCTTCTGTATATAGATGGGGATTTGTATGCAAAATGTCACTAAAAGTGCCATTTCGTTCTTATAAAAGCACGGATGACCGCGATTGGCCCATATGTTGTAGTCTTTTGGACGCTGAGTCGACTGGTTTTGGTCCGAAAAGGCTGCGATGCAGCGTTCCTCCTTTATTCCCAATCGAACATGGTTGAACAAGCGGTCACGTGCTCCTGGGTGCCCAAATCACCTGGTCACCACGCCAGCAGGCGACAACTTTCACACCAAGGTTCAACTCGAGTTCAACTCCAGTGACAGGACTAGACTGCACCCAAAAAAGGTCAAACAGGCTAGTAAGTTGTACCCTGCAGGCACGGTGACCAGGTGACTGGTGTACGCAGGAGCACGTGACCGCTTGTTCAACCATGTTCGATTGGGAATAAAGGAGGAACGCTGCATCGCAGCCTTTTCGGACCAAAACCAGTCGACTCAGCGTCCAAAAGACTACAACATATGGGCCAATCGCGGTCATCCGTGCTTTTATAAGAACGAAATGGCGCTTTTAGTGACATTTTGCATACAAATCCCCATCTCGTAGGGCGCAGTCACCCAGTTTCGGTGGAAGTGCGCGAGTTCGATTGGGAATAAAGGAGGAAGGGAGCGTCTCAGCTTCCTCGGACCAAGACCATTCGACTCAGCACCCCGAAGACTACAACTGGTGAAAATTTGATTTTAGGGGATACTTCCCCTTTAAAAAGGAAAAAAAAAGAAAAAGAAAAAAGATCATGAACAGTCATAAGTATTGACAGTATTGACATATCCGCGGCAAGCCGCTTATGTACAACGGCATGGGAGAGGATAACAAAAAATGAAAATATATTGTTGGGGAAATCCACGCTATTATCGAATATTCAACAATGACGGGTGTGGGGTTATACCAAATTCCCATAATGTGGAAGTACGTTATTATTGTTGAAAGCACTAGGTGATCTGCACTCTACAATGTGACCTGTGCGATTATATCGTTGAATGATTGCCTGTTCCGAGCCACCAAACGCAGTGTCTCCAGGTCCTTCAGACTCCGGAGACGCATGGACGTTGCCTTGGCTAATTCGTTGTCTATCACCACTGGTAGGGTGATGCGCGGGCGTCCGAGCCAGCCCCGATTCTGTCGCTGGAAATACGCTGTCATGCTCACCTGCGCTGGAGTTGCTTCAGGGAGGCGTAGAATATGACCAAACAGTTTCCACCGTGCTCTTCTGCTTAGTACGGATATTGGCTCGGCATTGCAGCGGGTATATATGTCTGTGTTGGTGATAATTTCCGGGTAAGATATCCCTAATAGACGGCGGAGCTGCTTTCTGTGGAACGCATCCATTGCTGTAGCATCCCGGGATGAAAGCACCCACACGCCACAGTTGTAGGTCAAAATAGATAGCACAAATGTATCAAACAACCTCAGGCGGGTTGCTTCAGAGATAACTTGTCTCCGCATCCACAGGTTGACAAGTGTGTTGAAGGCAGCTGCGGCTTGCTGGCGCCGGCGCTTGAGGTCTTCTGTGACTCCGTACAGTGAACCAAGCAACCGGGTGGACCTCCATCGTTCCTCACCTCTTCTTGCAACAGCCTCTTCTTGGTATAGATGGGTCCACTCGGTCTTGGTAGGGTTGATGTTGAGGTTCCACTCTTTGAAAACTACCTCTGCCTCTGTTAGTGCGCACGCTAGATGTTGACGGTCCGTGGAGTACAGGTTAACGTCGTCCATGTATGCTGTTTCGCAAGGTATGGACATATCGACAGTCGTGTAGGCTGTCCCTCCAATATTCAGTATGGCAGGTCTTGGCGATATCCTGGGACGCAGGCAACGCATTGTCGCTTCGAGATAACAGGTGAATAGCACCGGCGACAAACTATCTCCTTGTGGGATGCCTATTGATGTTGGAAATTCTGCCGAGAGCGCATTCTTTATCTTCACTCTTAGCCTTGTGTTGTGCAACAACATCTCCACCATTCGTACCTCATCTGTGTTAACTATTTGTTTCATTACCTCCACCAATCTTCCCCGCTGCACTGTGTCGAACGCCTTGCTCATATCCATTCCGAGGACCGTACATTGCCACTTGAAACGTTCAGCCTTGGCTGCCAGCCACCGGCCACACCAGACAATATCCGCAGTACTCCGACCCGGACGGGAAGCGCTCTGGGTTGGAGATAGGTAGGAGTCAATCTTTGGCATAATCCTGCGAAGTGTGATTGTTGACAGGCATTTGCGTATAGAGTTCAAGAGTATTATTGGCCTGATACTGGTTAGTGGCCCTCTGGGTTTCCCTGGTTTCGGGAGCGGGATTAGTGTTCCACATCCAAGATCCATTCCACTGCCATCCGCAAAACATTGGTTTAGAATGGCAGCGATCTCATGTGCGACCCTCTCACCAGCATGCTTGAACAGGTCCCCGGGGATGCCATCCGGCCCAGCTGCCCTCTGCGATTTGAGTAATCTAATTGCCAGGGCAACCTCCGCAGCGCTGATCCTATCTTCAAGATACTTCGAGCCCAGCGGTCTCAGAATATCATTTACTGCAGATGGATCCCGAAACTGCTGCCTGAAGTGGTCAGCTACCTTCTCTGCCGCTTCTTTATCGTTGGCGATTATCCGTCCAAGAGCGTCATGAACAACCAATGGCGCGGGAGACTGCCGCCGCAGCAAAGAGGCTGCTTGAAAGACCCTTGCATTGTTTTTCAGCTTCTCTACTTCTTGAGCGAAGGAGTCCAGGCGGGCTTCAGAGTTGTTCCGGGCGATATCTCGTATCTGGTGTAATATCTGATTCCGATCGCGTTTCAGTGATTTCCTCCCGTCTGGGCATTTTGTCGAGTCGATTTTTACCCGCAGTTCTTTTTGTTGTGCTGATAGAAGGGCTATGCCAGGATCATGGGCTTTTCGGCTACATTCGGCTCTCTTTTTATATCCAACTGTTTTTGTTGCAGCCGACTCCAGTGCATCCCTCACACCTCCGAAACGTGCCTCAGCTGAAACAGTTCCCTGCTGCGTTTGTTGCGTTGCCAGTGCTTTGTCTACCTCCTCCTGGAATTGACTACAGACCTGGGGGTTCTGAGTAAACATCGAGGTGTTGAAGCTACGCTTAGTTGTCTGGTTTCCCTTCCGCCAAATTGGAAATAACGCACGAATCTGCAGTGTGGCAATGACTATTCTGTGGTCCGTTGGTGTCTCGCAGCCTGCATAGCTACGTGCATTACACAGCAGTGGCTTGTGTTGCGCACGGCAAAGAACAAAATCGATCTGGTTGTAGACAGGTTGTGGGCCAACTTCTCCACTCCCAGGTCGCCGCCAACCCGTCCATGTAGTGCGGTGGCTCTGGCGGTGTTGAAAAGCTGTATTGGCCAAGAAGGCATCATTTTCAATTGACCATTCCAACATGTGTTGCCCGTTATCATTTCTGGCGCCTCTGCTGAAGGAGCCTAGCCATTTACTTTCATCAGCTCTCTTACGAATTCCAACTTTGCTGTTGAAGTCTCCAGCGATGAAGCATAGAACTCCGCTTCTCGTTGTATCTTTCCATACAGTCGACAAGGCGCTGTAGAACTCCTCTCTCAGCGATGGGTTCCCTTCACAGGAAACAGCGGTAGGGCCATATGCACTTATGACACGTACCGTGTTGTGAGTTGGTTTACAATTACTATTATTTTTGTTGCAAGGGAAAACAAATTCCGCAACACCAATTCTCTCACCAACGCTCCAGTATCTTGACAGGAACGGGTCCAGACGAGGAGCGACGACAATGCCTACTCCTCGCTGATATCCATGGTCCTGAGCGAACGTTATGAGCCGGTACCCCAGCGGTAACACGGTACAATTTGCTTCACAAATTTTTGTTTCTTGGACTGCACAAACATCAACTCGATACCGCTTCAGGTCTCGTTCGAACGAGTGCCTCTTCCACGGCGCAGTGAGTCCTCGTACGTTGAACGTAGCGACCCTAAACTCATTGTTTAGCCCAAACCGTTGTGCAGACTGTTGTGGAGGATCCGAGGAGGAACCTCCATCCATGGCCGTCACCCCATGGTCCAAAAAGTCCAAAACAGTCATAAGATACAACACAATCATTATTGTATCCAATCAAGTACAGAGCCCACTTTGAACGCACTGCACTGTATTTTCGGCTGGGTCTGCACTACTAGTACATGTATCTGAGTACGCCAGGATAAGAAATGTATCATAATACAGTCGTCCCTCTCTAATCCGGCACCTTTTGCTTCGGCGTTTTCTGCTGGATTAACGAGGGTGCTGGATTAAGAAATCCTGCCCTCTGACCCGGCCCTACCCAATTGCATGCATGTGTCATACGTCAAAACGCAGGGTTTTTCCGTGTCGATCCAAGTATTTGGTGCACAACTTTATATTCTCAACTGTTCTCCAGGAATATACACAGTGATAAAGTAAAACAGAGAACATGTTCACATGTACTCTTGCACACACACGCACACGCACACACCTGAAAATTGGCAGGACACTACTCCTTGCTAAAATAAGAAAGTATGGTTGACTGCTTAGCAGTTGTCTCCTGGACAACATTGACCCTCTTGAGAAGGCCACGCAAGCAGTCGACATCATGCAGGTCGAATGACGG